CTGGATTTCGGCAGGGCTACATCACTCCCACCATAAACTGACTCCAAACTAGTATTGGGTCTTTCTTTGACGTGCGTCAAAAAGTTATATGGTTGATGGTAGTCTGAGAAAAGTAAAGCCTTCTCTCGCATAAGATTGTCATCCTGGTGTTCGGCGTTACTCTTAAGTTTCAGCCAGCCCGGGCTATCCCTTGGGCTTGGTGAATCCTTCAAAGAAAAACAACATGATTTAGCAAACCTATAATCATTCAGGGATTTAGAGAGTTTAGAAATAAGAAACTTCTTTCATAAGGTTATTTCTCCTTACTTAGAAATTGCAGCAAGTTGCTAATGGAACAGACAGGCTGGAATCGAAATCTATCTTTCTGAAGTCGAGTGAACAGCAGAATATTGGAAAACAATTTGCTGAAATGAAAAGTGTTACTCAAATAATTCAACAAGGGTGGTTTGCAGTTCTTCTGTTTCCACTAGTGTCTGATCTTTGATGACATTTTTGCAACATAAAACACGAATAGTTTTTCACTAACCCCAACATTCATCATAATTACGAAAAGCTACTTACCGATCTTCCTTGATTTTTCTGTAAAAAAAAAAGGAAAAACAAATGAATCATTGAAAAACAAATGAAACACAATGAATTCCATTAACTCCAAAACAAGGTATTTCAGAGCATTTTTGAAATCGGTTATAGTCCTTTGTTTTTTTGAATTTAAAAATCCTCTCTGTGCATGTTTTTTATAAACTCCAGCATAAAGTTGTCGTTTTCATAAAAAGGAGGGAACAGAACAACATTGGGATATCGCAATGCTTCGAAATTAACGCCCTTTGTTGATTCACTGAAAGGCCGTACCACAGCAAATGACAAAAAATGAATCAAATGATGGCCAAAAAATACAACAGCACCAATTTTCGGAAAGTTTTATAACAAATTTACTTAAAAAGTCAGTCTTCTTCGTAAAATTGGTCGAACTACAGAGAACTCGGTCTATTAAGGTTCAAATGACAGAGTTAGCTGTGATTCATAACTTATTTTGCACGAAAAGAAAACTTTTGTAGATATTGTAAGAGCCGTGGTCTTCTACTGGAGTCTGCAAGAAGCAAATCTAATCTCCAAAGAAAATGCTACAAATGTATGAAGTACTTAGGAATTGATTAAATTAGATCAAGATGCTTGTGAAATAATGTTATAGAGAGGTTAGTAAGTAATTTGTGCATTTTCAAAATAAGCGAGAAAAAGCCTTGTTTGCCTATTCTTCGACGTATAGTCGACAAGAGAGCTAAATCACCCAACTTGGATTACAGATAAACACGGTGACGAAAGCTCGTGCACGCGGTGAAAATACCCTTGTTTTACAGAAATCCCTGGCAAACCTTATGTTTCGGCACTTGCAAGAGTGCCCTCACGGCTTGCAAAATCGTCTGCAAAAATGTAGGCTTACCTTTGGAGCAAGTCTGCTTTTATCAACAAGCAATTCGGATCCAACGCTGGTACCAGATCCAGAAGAGCTGACAATTTCTAAAAGGAAACACATCGGTAACAGAATTTTAACAAAAAATTCCCAACTTCGATAAGCAACTTCTCGCCCAGGATGCAGAGATAATTTGGTTGCCACGCACCAAAAATTTATCAGGATTGTTGTCTTGCGCTAATCAAAGACAATTATCTCAGCTGGTACTTTCCCGTGAGAGAGAGACGAATTCGTGCCACACAATCACAATAAGGAAACTAGCATCTTCTTACAAATTGGCGGCGAAATTTTACTTTAAAAGAAATCGTAAGAGACGCTAATAATAATATAATTCATTTGCTGAAGCAGGTGCATGACTGTTGTGATAGAGAAAATGATCAACAAACAAAGCAAAGCTGATAACTGGTTCAGATGCTTCCCAGTCAAATTTCCTTTAATTCATATGAAAACAACCAATGCCAAGGCAGAAATCACTATATTTATAAAATCGTTCAAAAAAGAGCATGTCACGTGTATATTCACAGGGTTACAAAAAGACATCCAATTATGAACAGTGTATCAAGTAGCATTTAATTTACAATTTTTCTAAATTTTAGAGGTCTGTACTTTAAGCTAGATAATCATTCATTGGGAAATGTAGGCAAAGCTCTTTTACTTATGAGAAGTTGTAAGAATAGGGACCTCTCAAAGGTGTCTAAAAGAGAATATTACAGAAGGGGTTCTTATTTAATGTATGGGAGCTCAACAAAGTTCTATAACAAAAGGTTTTCGTTGATGTGTGGTAATTAAAAGTTCTATAGCAAAAAATTTACAGTGATTTTTAGATTTAATCTCAAGAATTTCTTCTTAAAGAGCTTCTTCTCAATAATGTTTACAATTCAACAAGAGTTGAATTCTTTTCAGAAGTGAAAGTCTTTAAGGTCATTTTTATGATATTTCACCACATAGCTTGTCCCTATTCTGTGGTTTCGAGCCAAAATTGTTTCAATACCATTAATGGATAAAGACCTATATCAAAAGTTATTTGTAAAAAAAATCGGTCGACATAGCAAATTCGAGCTACAAACCTTTGGGTTTTGCTTTTTCGTTTTTGCTCCGGCTTTGGGATAAGAAATAAAAACATTTACTCTCAAATTCGACAAATTGCTTCTGTTTACATATATCAATTATAATTTTCATAACAACTTTTCTTACATTCTTATATATCATAGTGTAGCTTCTGCTATTATTGATAATTGTTATTACAACTAATTTGCAATATGTTTTTGTAGCTTTTTGCTGTAAAGATGATGGGCCTTCTCAGTCTAGATATCTTCATCAGGCAAGGATGGCTCTATTGCGTAAGGATGGCTTAACTGGGTCACAGAAAAGGTTTTACAAGGGTCTGTGGTTCAATTCACTTACTTAGCCAAACAGAACCAGGACACTGCACGATAAGCATAATCATTCAATGTCCTAAATCCTACTTGTAGAAGCTATAATCCCAGACAAAATTGTTGATACAAATACAATTTTCGCCAATTTTTACTTTACCATGACCCGGTAAATTCTTAATCCCTCTTTCCCCCAATCAATGTTGGCTTAGAAGTTTTATCATTTGTCCTTCAGAAACATGCATTCAACATGGGTTGCAAAACATCAATTTTTCTTGAAAGTATCGTTTCCCGGGATTGTAGGTAGTAAAAAAATTCTTGATAAATATACTCATACTTGATCATTGAAAAATACTAATACTTGATAAATATTTCGAGCTTACGTACTTTACTAAATTGATAATCAATGAAGTTGTGCGTGTTGTACATCGAAAATGAACAAAATTTTGATACAATAAAATAACGACTTTGTACTAGAAATGAATATTTGATATGACGTTTCGAGCATAACTCTTCACCAGATCTTCTTCTTCTTCGTTCCTCCTGATGAAAAGTTATGCTCGAAACGTCGTACCAAATATTCATTTCTTGTACAAAGTCGTTATTTTATTAAATATGTACGTTGCGTGTGGTACTTCGTCCAGAATAACGATAATATAGTTAGCCAATAAATTTAATACCAGAAAGAAAATACAATCGTTTGATTGCTAAAAACACACTATTATATCGTTATTTCATTGTATCAAATTACGTACTTTACGCCAGAATAGCATAAGGACCGAACGGAAGCAAAATGCAACCTACCGTTTCAACCAGCAGAACAGGCAGCAAAGGCACAGAAGAAGTATGATAATCAATATTATCAACACTATGATTATCCAAAACAAGAAACTGTTTTTGTTTCCTTGGTTGGCCCCAGTCTGTGTGGGCGTCGCTTCCGATGGCTTTGGAGATGGCTTTGCCTTTGCAGGCGGAGGCGAAGGTGGAGGTGGTGCTGGCGGTGGCGCAGGAGGAGGTACAGCTGGCGGTTGCTCAGGTGCTGCTCCTGCTGGCTTTTTAGAAGGCTTTTCAGGGATGCCTGATTCTGGTGGAGGTAATGGCTTTGCTGGTGGTTTAGGGGCTACGGCTTCCTATGGAACAAACAATCGATTGGTGTAAGCAGAAAGGATAAATACAGCTCATTGGCTCTTGGCATATTGACAGAAGTTGTTGATTATCATGATTATGATGATGATTAAAATCATCGACATTTCTTTACTTTAAACAACCAAACAGGTAAAAATTATAGTCTTGCTGTGAAAACTGAATTATTTTCAGTGTTTTATTCTAGAAAATATGAAATATGTCATACTTGTTGCTGCGAAGTGTCCACTAATACCCCAAATGTTGTTAAATGATCGCATTCGCATCTGGTGTGAGTTTCATTGTAAGATACCATATTACAACCATCAGTAGACCAATCATCTCTGGAAATATATAAAAACAAAGATTTTAATTATCATAGAAAAAATGGATTCCTTAAAAAACGCTAGTGAGGAAAATTGGTAATAAGGTACAACATATAGAAAAGTTGTGGCACTTACATGATAGGAATGATATAGATGTAGTCAAAAAAACACATCAAATGGTCAATCAAATACTATTTTCTTTACTATTACATTGCACACATAAATTTGGAATGAATTGAAAAAAGAAGTAAAAAGCGATAACCAAAGCATAACAGAAAATTTAAAGTTAAGCATCTTCCTCATTTTTTAGGTCTTCAAAGCATTATTTTTCTTCGCTGTTTTATCAGTTTCCTCACGAGATTAAAATTATCTCGTCTAGGAAGCGTTATCAAAACATAAAACTCTACTGAACAAATCTGAAAACAATTCAATAACATCCAAAATTCTGAATAACAAAGCATCTTGGAAAAGATAACTAGAAATAAAAAAGAACATATTAAAAACAAAATAATTTCAAACAAAATAGATATCCTGTTTCAATAATATCATCAAACAGGCACTTGAGTGAGCAGGGAATATTGCAGCTTTTTAAACAAACAATAACTCACACTGTATTGTTCCAAAATCCACATACGTGCTGGGCTTTTGGGTCAAACTACAACACAAAAAAAGATTCAAAAACAAAATTCCTTTTAATACTATTAATCAGTATACGATGTTTTGTAATTCTTGCTGTGTGTCAGCGTAATTCTAAATTTTCTAAAGCGGTCATAATTCGAGGCATGGAAGGTTGAAAACTGTGTATTAAGAAAACAAACAGCAAAGAAAAAAATAGAAAAAAGTCACTACAACCTAGAGCCCAGAAAGTATATAAGTGCCTCATAAATGATGAAGGGTAAATCAGCTTACATATGGCAGAAAAATGTTCAAGGGTGTATTTATGCAATTCACTAGCTATCTGCTTTTCAAACTGATACGTACATTTGTGTTTTGCAAATGGATAGAGACTGGTGCACGCAGATGGTCTGGAAGTGGAGGATCAACGGTCATTGAAATTAGGCTAGATCCGACTTTCATCGGATTTTCATCAACAACTTCTTGATCATCACTAGAATAAAACAGATACAAGAAATTTATACAAGTTCCTCCAAGAATTTGCTATTCAAGGTTTTGCCAAAGCAGTTAAAAAAAGCATCAAGTTGATTTTCTAAATCGACATTTCTCTTAGCACTTGCATAATTACAAACCAATCAACGATAATTGAGTGATAATTGATCTAATACAACGATTAATGGCTGCATACTTATCATCCATATCTTCCTGAAGTCTTTGTAACTTGTGCACAGTTTTGAATAAGAATAGAGTTATATGAATCGTCGAGGTTGGTTCTGAAATTAAGATAAAAACCAGTGAAACAGATGTACTAGTAAAAAAAGATTTGATATATGGAAACAACTTAGTGATTCTGTAAGAAAAGCAAGTAACTGGCAAATTAACAGAAAAAAAAGTTATTAAACCATAACAGATCTTGTAAAACGCTACTCATCCTATTTCTGTGTTTGTTATTATGACACGAATAAATAAAATGCCACTCCTTGGATCATTAAATGACTTTGTACTATTTGTATTTTTCATTTCTTTTCCCGAATTCTACCAACCGTTCCCCTCCCCCAAATTTAACCATGCAAGTCATAAGAAATCGGTGTATACAAGATCGAGCATATAACCTTTTTGAACATTGCATGCTACTTTATAGAAAAAAATCATTTTTTGTTAGGAGAAAGTGGAATAGCTGAATAAGGCATCGAAAAGAATTTTACATCAATTTTTTAAAACTGCTGGCAACGATGATCAAATTAGACAAAATCCCACAGGAAGAAATAAAGACCGCGGGAGGAAAATCTTCGATTTAAATTGTTTATAAACTGAATGTTTTCAGCTAACTATTTCGTTTGACTGACAGTTTAATGTCTCTTACAACTGGCACAAAAAAAAGAATCATGGATATAAACCCACATACATGTTAAAAGAAGTTGAGACATATCTGTTAGCAAGACGTAATATGACAGGTTAACAGAAATAATTAACTATCAACGTGCATCCTAAATCTGCAAAGATTCATAAACTAAAACTAAAAAATAACTCACGGATACTTTCTGCCAATTGATAAGCTGGTAATGAAATCTCGTCCCTTGAGTTCGACCATTTTGCGATGGAAGGATCGGAGTAATTTGGGAACACAACACGATTATCATCTGATTGCTTATCATCAAGATCTTCCACCAGTAAAATGCGGAATTCCATGACTGAGAAAAAAGATATTATTTGTTGATTTTGATTCGATATCTTAGAATCACAGAATACAATTCGCCGATATTGGGTGGCATCAAATCAGTGAACAGAGATGTAAATATGAAATGATTATCAGAAAAATTGAATTTGCAAGGTAGTAAAAGTTGTCTTCGTGCATAATCTGGTGTTCAATCTTTGTTCAATGACTTGAGCAAAATTCCTTTCACTTTGTTTACATTTCTACAACAACTCCTCCAGGGGAATGTTCTCTCCAATAATGCTGGCAATCATTGATCTTTGGCAAAATGGGAAGGCTCCCATTCAAAGAAATAAACAATAACAATCGGATAATGTCCAAAAACTCCTGGTAACTTGTTGAGATGCAATGCTAGGCTTTCCATTTTAGTTTAGTATTAAATATAAATCCATGTTATTCGTATAACGAAATGATAAAACAGACACTGTAAATTACAAGTCCCAAAAAAATTTAAGCCAATCAAGGTTACACTTTGCAAGAGATCGAATAATGAAAAGTCTCAGGAAATACGAATACCTACCTATACAGGGTAGGAAAAGAGAGCCCTATGATGTTGCCAAGTCAAAAAGAAAAATTTCTTGATCGATTGGTAGAAAATCAGAGACTACGTACTGATATTGGGTGTGATAACCGGCTTCTGAAACACAGGATTGTATTTTGTGATCATTTTGGATGCTGCTTTGCCATACTCTTCAATATCATCAACAAATTCCAGCAACACATTTGGTTTTCTTTTGCTCTGCAAGACAAACATGCTCAGCATTGAAATAAAAGTCACAAAATAAAGCATCTTTGCCCAGTTAGAGCCTCAAAACAACGCCGTTTAAGCTGGTCTATATCAAAATATCGTCTTATATTTCCTCTAAACACCATGCCAATGTTAGGAACATTCCTCTCAAGCAAACCATCCGTGACTGGACTTGGTATCAAGAATTATAAGTGTAGATGGTAACAAGAATAAAAACGCATAAATTTCGACAAGACAGACAAGCTTGAAAACTCCAAATTCTAGTTATAATATTGCATAACAAGTTCAGTATATTTTTGGAATTTTATTCAAAATCAACCCTAGCCAGGATCACATACCTGCATTTTACGAAGGGATTTCCAGTCTTGAACGTCAATATCTCCTGGGTTTAATTCATCCTCGTTTGCAATGACCTTCAGATGCTATAAGCAAGTAGAAGAAATTCATTCGTGATATTTAAAAAAGACGATTCCTATTTCAAAAACAGAACATAGATGTGGATGCTCATCATGTTTATAGATCTATTAATAATATGATACTAGCATTTGAAATGACGCTAAGAAATACGGCAAACAGTCTTTATGTTATTTATGTTATTGCCTGTCTTAAAATTTGGTGATATCGCAGCTATAAAACTTACTCTTTGTGCATTTTTCCATTCCCGGGCATTTTTCTCGTCTAGCAAACTACTGGCAGCCTCCAGGAATTCCTGAATTGAAAAAGGAAAAAATTCAACCTTACTCAAAATTCCCATTTCTTACTTCTGTTAATTCTCAAGTCTTACTACATTGCTAGAATAATCATAAATACTGATAACAAGTTATGACTTGTTTCAATTACGATGGTAGAAAAAGAAAGGAAGGGAATTGAGATCAAAGGGAGCGAAACTTGAAGAAAACTTCAAAATACGCATAGATATGTGACGTCACTTTAGTTTACTAGCACGAGGCACTCGATGAAAAATATTTCTCTTCTACTTGCTCGTTCAACTTTTTGCATTCAAGTTAACAAGTGCTTAATTTAAAATGTTTCGATGGAAAATATTTCTCTTCACTTGCTCGTTCAAGCATTCAAGTTTGCCTAATTTAAAATAGGGAAATTGATCCAAAGCTTTGAATAAATATCAATACATAAGTACTATTGCCTTCAGTCCATTGCTGTAATCGTAACACAATTCATAGATAAGTCTTGCAGATTGCATATTTTCAAAATGGCTTGAAAAAACGAAAAAATTAATTACGACACTGAAGTATTACTTAGAAGGCATCATTCGATGATTTATGCTCTAAGCAAAAAGTAGTGTTTCAGTTTGATGTTAAATTCAGTCCTACACTTCTAAATATTAAGCACGACAATTTTTGAGCTCATATTGCACAACGCTTGTCGACAGCCACGTTTCTTTTCTACATTACAATAGCAGTTATTCACATACCTTTATTTCTTGGGGACTTGGGGCGTCTGTCTGAACCTGCATGTTATTTGACAACTCCTCAAAAATGTCTGCGGATAATAAAATGTCACCTCCAAACATAGCTGCTCTATTGGCTCCATGCTCTTTCTCAAATGTAAACATGCGATCTGAATCCTGCGTTTCACTCGCGAGTTTGTGCGCGTTTTCCTCAGTCTCGTTAACTGTGAGCTTTTTTAGATTAACCTGAGGAATATCTAAGTTTTCGATTTTCGATCCATTGGTCAGCATGTCATCGACCGTGTTGTTTCGATTCTCAAGAGGCACTGTTGGAATATCTTCAACATTTTCAGGAACTTTTTCTTCGATCTTCTTTTCGTCCTCTGTGGTAATCTGTGACTGCTCATCGACTTTCTGTTCATTATCCATACCTTATAACGGAGAGAATGAAAAAGTGTGAAAAGCAAATGCACCTTGATGAATCTGAGCGACCAACAAAAAAGCCCCTAATAGATCGTTATAAAGTAATGATAATTAGATCTACAATTCTTACTAATTGAAATGATAATGGAATGAAATGATAATCTCCATTTCTAAAAGAGTATGTTATTCAGTTATGACCAAGTTTAAAGGGGACATATGTTATTAAGATGCTTTCATCTATAAATATCAAATTACAATTTCTTACATTAGGTGATTTATCTTTGATATAAGGATGAAGACAAGGTGGTGTTAGCCGGAGGAGAATAAATCCAGTTTTGATGGAGTTTGTAAAGAAGAGACGTTTATCCCCTTTACGGCAAATAAACCTTAATCTAAAAACCATCCCTATAACAATGGGTGACCAGTTTATTGGACTGTGGATACATTTCGATATGAAGTATTTGCTTGGCATAATTATGGTTGCATTATGAAAAATATAATTTTTTTTAGTTAAAATGGTCATTTAACAGAAAGGCTTCTATCTCATGACAAATGTGATTTGGCTACTTTTTCAGGCTATTATGATCGTCATGTCATATTTCTCAAGCGGAAATTTGCAGGTGATGCGTCAAATGATATCAATATGAAGAATGAATACCAACAAACATTTAATAAAAAAACATAAACCTTTCATATCTGAAGTAGAGGCTTCTGGTTTGGTTTCACTGGGTTGACTGCCTTCCTTTTCATTGTCAACAGCAACCTGTTCTTTTGGAGGAGGAACACCTTCAGTGGTTGAATCTACGTTTTGTGTATTTGACTGTTCTTGCTGTGGAGCGGGCCCATTTGCCGGGCTGCCTTCAACACCTGTAATCTCGATATTGGTTGAGGTCCTACCATCGCTGTTAGGATTGTCACCATGGTAAATCTTGGCACTTGCAACAGCATTGATTCTTGGGTTATCAAGATGAGCTTCGGTGTAGCTTGAAGTTTCTCGCGGATCTGGGAGGCTCATTCTGCTGGTATCAAGGTCAAGCGATGTCCCTTGTTGGGCGCCAGTTTGAGTGACAAATTGGTTGACTGGACTTCTCATGCTACCTTGCTGTTGGTGTGAAGTGCTAACATCAGCAGATGCTCCATTACCATTTACTAGAGGAAGATTCACAACAATTGGTCTCACCGCATCAGAATCTTCATTTGGCCTATAGCTTGTCTTCTCAATTAATCTAAATGGCTCTTTACTTTCTTTCAAATTGCTCTTTCTTTCTGCAATGCTATCATCCAACAAGGGAGCTCCTGTAACATCTGTAGCCACTGCTGTGCCGGAGACTCTCATATTTGGGGCAACCCTTGAAGATCCTCTACCCCAACTTTGATGCTGACTCAGCTGGTCTAGCCCATCTCCATCTGATTCCTCATTTGTAAGTGACTCTAGCAAATTGTCCTGGTAAGTTCGGTCGTCAGTTTTCCGGTAATCACCAAATGCCTCCCTTTTGGTCACATTATCCAGCAGATAGCCCCCTGTCTTTCCATTATTAGCACCTGACGATAAAAATAACTTTCTTTCGCTATCAACATCGATTGACCTCTTTTTCCTTATACTGACAACATAATTCTTCCTATTCTCGTTCGCAGCTTTGCTCCCGTCTAACTGTTGCATGTTCCCGTAGACTGCCGGATTCACAGACCCATATTTTAAACCTCCTTCATTGAGGTTATGATTCAGCTGTTTCACTGCTGTTTTTGGTCCTATATATAACTGATCCTGGTTAACCAATGACTTCCCTACATTTCTGTCGTAGGACAAGGTCAACTCCGGTGTCTGCCCAAGGTGCAGCGCCGGTTGACTGAGCTGCCCCTCAGCGGATGGTAGGTATGATCTTTCTGTTGGCGTTTGATATCTCTCTGTTAGCTTCCTAGGCATCTTTCTCTCAAACGACCATTTGTTTTCCTGCATCCTTTGATTGACATCTACTGGTAGAGATAACGTGTGATAAACTTTACCAGAAACGTCTTTGTGTGGGGATGGCACTGATCTTGTTTGTGCATGATACTTCTGTGGCTTGCTCCAGATTCCTTGGGATAAAAGCAACGACGGATCGACTTTCGGATTCCCGTTAAACTTTCTGAAGTCTTGTTGGTATTTTCTATCAATATCACGTAAAATACCCGCTTGATTAGGTTGCTGTAGCGAAGCAGGGCGAGGATTTTGAATAGACCCTTGGCTTCCTTGCTGTGCATTAAATTGAGATTGAAAAGCTTTTTGGTTTGGAAACGAAGGTGTCCTTTCGGCTGGCAGCGACAATGGCTGTGAATTGAAGTTCTGCCTGGAAATTCCAAACGTTTCAGAGTTCTTAGAATCAATGCCTGGAGACTTTTGAGCGACAACATTTTGCTCGAAGATTCTATTCGGAATCTTTGGCACGGGCGCCTTAGGCCCAAACACTTGCTTTGTGTTGGGAGAAAAGCTTACACTTGTTATTTTAACATCGTCATTGCGAGGCTTTGTTTGAGCAAGAGGCTCTACTTTGATCAATTTCGCAGTAGGTCCTCTGAAAAAAGACACTAAATTAATGGGTGATTTCTGCTTCTGTTGAGCGGGCTGAATAGCCTTACTATGCTGAATCTTTTTCTCCTGATTTCGTCGTTCTGCGACAAGCTTACGAAAACTCTCGATTTCTGGTGTATGCAGGCTTCCTCTACTTTTTGGATCTTGATGAATTTTATCTATTCTGAAGTGATGATGAAGATAAAACGATCGGGTGTTGCTTTTTGCCGCCGGGGGGTTTGACCCGTAGGTATCTGTAGTGATGAGCTGCAAGACGCGGTCAATTATAGACGCTGGTGTGAGCTCGGGTGAGTGCACTGAGGCTGAGTTGAGAAGCTGGGCCTAAGGATGAAGGAAGGATATGTAAAGGAAACTTATCTTCCTAGTGTAACAAATCACTAATGGGATTTTAATATGGAAGCATAAACAGAGATCTATAAAAGGGAACACACTAATTTCTTTGCACAGTGAGTCCTGCTGCAAGATCCTGCATACTAACTGGCAAGATCAAATCTTAACAATTATAATCTCCTGATACCATAGAGATTTTGCATCCCATATTTGAAAGATCCCAATCATGGTGCGAGCATAAAGAAGTAGCATTGTTTCAATGTTTCTGAACTAGCATAAATATGAATTTGAAACTTCGCTTAGACTAATCGCCAAGCTCCTAACGATATTACTAGCTTCCTTGAACATTTCTGATCACTTGACGTCAGGTTTTTCTCTTTAAATGAATATTCCAGTGTTTTTACGTTTGGCTATTCATTATCGTGTAATAATATTAAAATCGGGAGTCCTTTTATAGAAAATGAAAAACTATGAAGGTAAAGAATTCAAAAGATCTCATTTTCGTGCCAAAGGGAACTGATTATCTTACCAAAACGAGATGTAACAGGTTTTGAATATTCGAGGAGCGCAAATAAGAATCAAACTACAATCAAATTATTTCCGTTTGTTAACTCGCACGCTCAACCACTGAACTATTTTACGGTCGGATTGCGACCATACCCATCGATATGCTCTGCTGCACAGTGTCATACTTCACACTTCATTAACTTCTTACATGGTCCAAGAACAGTTTGACCTGCATGTGCAAGCGCGTAGCAGGCGTTTACCGCAAGACCTCTTGCAAGCCATAGATTTATTCAGCATTGGGCCTAATGTAAAACTAGCAACAGAGAATTGCAAAATGATATGAAAAAACTAGATTTAAAACTGTGCAAAATCGACGAGGTACCAGAACTAGATATGATATTCCTTCTTTTTACAATGCAAAAAAGAAATAAGCTCCGTTCTAATGATTAACAAATATACTCATTCCTTTAACAAATAACTTATCTATTTTTTTCAGCAAAAGCAGATTGATATTGCAAAGTTTGATGGAGTGTACACAAAATATCTCATTAGTATAACGACATATATATTCACACAATTGAAACTTGCTGTGGTGTATTGCAGAAAAAAAAAGCTCCGCCAGTATGTTGTCAGTATGATAGGGGATAGAAAAGAATAACTGTTGAAGATAGAAAGTGAATTACTGAAGCTTAAAAATCAAAGTACGAAAGAAAAGCTTACTTCTTTGAAAAGATCTTCATATTTTTGAGAAACGCAGTCACTAAAATCAGGCACATCCCATTTGGCGGTATGATCCTCGCTCCCAATGCAACGTCTATTAGAAAGGCCTGGAGGAAAATATCATATCATAATATTAATGAATATCATTCATAGAGAGTATAGAGAGAGTATATGAGGCTTGAAGATGCAAGAACTACCGACTACATTGCTGCTACCAGTTTATTTACTTGCGTAAAAGAGGCACATTTATTTATTTAATTGCCGTTCCATTAATGAGAACAATTGATCCGTTTTTAAGACTTACATTCCAGGTGAACATTGCATTGGAATATGAAATCATAGCCTGCAAAATAGGAGCCATCAAAATAAATCAGATAAGGCTCGAGATTGGTTTGTGCGAGCCACCTCTCCTCTTGCATGTCAGTTGGACCAGCGCAAAGACATGTCTGGGTTGAAATTTTGCAAAATACTTTTTGATTGAGATTGAAATTTGCAAAATTCTTCAGTTACCTTTTGCATCACGTGGGCATGGAATGTTAACGGAAGTTCCGAAAATTGCAAGGGGCCAATGTGCGTCGTAGTTGTGTTCAGGTGAGCAGACAAGGTTGTCTCCTAGCAATAACAGATACAAGATAATACTTAATGGCGATATCAAACAATAAACAGGCTGAGCTGAAATACCTAGCAAAAATGGTGTGTTACATTTGCAACAATAGTTTCAATTAACTACAGAAAGTTGGCTAGGTATAAATATAAGATTGAAATCTGAGAGTCAGACTAAAATTGGTAAATATGCTGCTGATGATAAAAGTGCCGAGTTTGGTAGTCATTAAGAGGGTTTTGCTTTGATCAAAGCCCATGATATTTATTGGCATTCTGAAAAGTATACTAATATTGTAGTATTTCCTAGAGAAAATACTGTCAGATCACAGCAAACTAATAAATTCTTGTAACAAATTAAATGTAACCTTGGAAAATATACAGTTTAAAAAGTCCACTTACCTTTGCTATTAAGAAACTTAAATCCTCTGACATCCAACAAGAGCTTTCCAGAAACTGGTTCATCAAAAGTTTTCACCTCTCCTTTCCTCAATGAATCGACAATCAATTGCAGCAGAACCTTTGGATGGGTTACCTGATCAGTGGTCACATTGAAGATGGCGATCACTTTATTTGGCCTACAAAGAAAGATTCATATCAATGCATCATTATTAGAATGACATGAGTACAAACCCCAGTTGAGAAAAGGTCAGTGAAACTTGACTTGCTATTATACATGACTTTATTATTAAAATACAACATACTATTGAAGTTGAGATGTATACCTGAAAGCTAAAATTTCAATGTTTTTGAATCCTTCTACATTTCCAAGTATTCCACTTATCTGCAAAAAAGAATACATATTTAATTGACTGTGTTAGTTCTATCAATGATATTGTTAACTTCACGATGTCAAAATATTACATATTAATGGGAACACCCTTCGTAGAATGACTTCAGGATGTAGGGTAAAAAGCTTTCGAAACTCAAAACCAATGATATATGAAGTTTTAGTTTAAAAAGTAAGTTGATGGTGAATATGCTTAGAAAACCGTTTAGCAAATATTCAAAGAAAACTAGCGGTACAAATGGGGAAACAAAATGAACTTTTTCACATGCGATCTAAGAAAAAAACCAAATTCAAAGTTGATGGTGAATAAACTTACCGCCGCTCGCACAGCCTGTGCAAAATTGAGAAACTCCAATGACTCATGATCCCGCAAGCCTTCCTTGTAATCTTCACTTGTAATATTCAAATGAACGGTGTATTGACGATCTGTAAGAGATTTATGCTAATATAAGATTCAAACAATTCTACTCACCTCATTAGATTCAAGCGAGTTTATAACCATGTCTTTTATTGAGACAGGTTGTAATAATCTAATGAACGGTGCATTAGCGGTCTGGTTCTGCTGCAGTTGTGTAAAGCAGTTTAGGGCACTTTAGTTCAATAACTAAGGACCCCGGACCAAAAGGGATACCCAAATTATTGCTATATTTTTTTTCAAGACTCGCTCAAGTTCACAACATTTTTCAAAGCTTTCAGACTTCTTAAACTGAAGCTTCTACTAGTTAACGAGAGACATTATCATTTTTTATCTTGCTATTATGCTTGATATGCTCAGCAGCATTGGATGGGACTTTCTTGCAGGTTGTTTATAAGGGCGCCATCTTTTCTCTTAGAGCCGAAGATGGCTCTTTTACGCCATTGTGCTGCTATAAGATTCATAGCAGAATTTTATGAAATGGATTTTATGAGCAGGTTTACATGAATTTAGCTTTTAGGCAAGATTTCTTCGTGCTTAGGTTATTTTTGCTTAGACAACCGTTTAGCAAATATTCAAAGGAAACTAGCGGTAAAAATGGGGGAACAGAATGAACTTTTTCACATGCGATCTAAGAGGAAAAATCAAATTCAAAGAACCCACCTGTTGGTAGCAGACCAGGAATTGACGCTCTTTCTAAAAATACAAAAAGAATTGTCGATGATTCTTCAAACAACTATTCCAATTCGGTCTTGACAATCAAAGTTGGGGTATAATCGCAGTTAGTTTGCATAGTCTTTTAATTTATCTCAGGATTATATACATCTGAAAACAGTTTAAAGAAAACACAATAATACTGAAACAATACTAAACCTAATGCCACAGAAGGCGTGGCATTCTGGGAATCTTGCCTGGCCATGCTGCATAGCAATGGTTGCACATTTTTGGTTACAAAAATAAAATTTCAAATCATGGGAACAGAGGAAATGCTGTCAAATCTTCATTTACATTTGCAAACTTTCTTAATTTTGGGAAAATTTTTTTATATGGTCTTGTTACGACGTTGGATATCACTCCCATTGAAGAAGGGCTTCTAAAATTACGGATTGATGCAATGTTATAAAAAATTTCTAGGCCACTTACTTTCACCAATATCATCATCCTTTCTGTCAACAAACGCGAGTTTAGAACGCAGCCCATGTGACGTTGCTGGCCTTCCTGCACATGCGCCATTTCTGAAACACTGCACAGAAAAACATCTCCTTCCCAGCAGAAACGCAGCGTCACACATCATTTCAGCGCAGCAAAGTCCGATGCAAGCATCAAAATTCGGGGTTATGCCTCGCAGCGTATAAACTCCAGCACGCTGTCCACCAATCAAACCATAATCATTAAGAATTCTATTACTTCGACATCCCTTTGTAAACTTCTTCGGTATATTGGGCTCCTCGGAAGAGAAAATCTCGGATTTTGGAGTACCGATTTCGAAATCTTGTCGCTCGTTAGACAAGAACCTTGAAGTTGGGGCGTGCATTGACGACTGCACGTGACTCTTGGCATGCGATTTCGCGGAAATTTGGTGACTGAGAAGTTTTTCATTATTCTTTGATATCAATAGCTTCTTTTCTCCTTCACTGCTTCGTTTTTTGATGACATACGCCAGCTGGGTAGTTAGCCGTTGCGTCTTGGATGCCTTTGTCATTTGACAGAAGTCAAAACTTGAGCACGATATGGTGTAGCATGTTTTACCTACCATGAACGCGACATCGCATTTTTTATCCTTACAGCATAAATCAACGCACATTCTCATGTCTCCAATCTCACCGTAATCGTAAAATTCACCGGAATGCGTCCCGTACCGCAATGAAACGTCTTTGTGAACCTTTGCCGGATAACAGCCTTGGGCATACACCGTTACCTCTTCCACATTTGAAACAGGTACTTCAGTGCGCGTAGCTAAACTATTGCTAGCTAAATTTTTCTGTCCAAAATGCTTATCAGTTCCTGGATTATCTAAGCCCTCCGCATATAATCTAAGTTTCTCTTTCAAATTTTTCGATTCAGAATTATCTATCGTATAAAAACTATTTTTCCGCAACCCAGCGTCTCCTTTTACTGGAGACCGTGACCCTTGGTTGTCACCAGTAACATCACCGAACGTGCCTTGATGGAAAGTCTTCTCGAAAGCTTCGTTCGATATCGTCCTTGTATTTGCATGGAAAAACGTCCTTGAAACATAAACAAGACGCGGAAACAGTTTCGGTGATTGTGTCGGAACTGATCCGCAAAGGTTCTTTGACAGACAAGTCACTAAGTAACAGTTCTGTTTCGCCATAAACGCAACGTCGCATTGTCGATCCTCGCAACAATACTGAGAGCAGGCATTCATATCTCCTGTTTCGCCTATTTTTCTGAATTTCCCTGCGTGTATCCCACCTTGGAGTGTAACGTTGTAAATAACGTTCCCTGCGCTGCAAACCCATTCTTTTGACTGTGGGTACAGTGGATAGGCTGCAAGCGTAAAAGAAGAAAAAGATTATTTATCAAAACACTTTCAGTTTACAGCTGAAGAACTAATAAGATATTGAGACTACATTTATACTGCATAAATCTGAATAAAGCCAATACATTCATCTGCATGTAAATTTATCATGATGAATGGTTCAGTTGTCTATTAAAGTCCGCTTAACATGAAGAAGTTTTTTCAATGCTGTGAAAAAATACAAAAAAGTATAATATGAAAACGTTTCTAATGAAATAGGGTTTTAAGATAACAACTTTGCTGAATTAAAAATTACGTTAATTAGATAAATGAACTAAAATCCAACCCAAACAAAATCCGTTCGCTTTCCCCCAATAATGAGGGAGGAGAAAAAGCCCAAAGGAACAAAATATAGTAGGATACAACCAATGGTTAACTGTGCTATTCTGACGTCACTATGAAGCTTCCAAGGACTAGCAGAATCACAACATAGCGAAAATAAACAAACTGGTATATGCTATCATCTGAGCATGTGGCCTAGACAACAACGGAGACAGAGGCATGTGGTTTGCGTAATAGATACTACGCAAAGATACTATACCCCAGTGATTCTCTTAAATCTAGAAGCGATGTGAAATTGGCATAAACAATTAAAACTCGGTTATCTTGATACCAAATTTAAGGAAGCGAGCATTTTCAGAGAACTCATTTTTCGAAACAGAAGTAGAAATCTGATTGATAATTAGATAATAATTATCAAGCAAACTGCTTTTAGTTCATGCAAGGTTTCTCAAACTATGCTGCAGAAATGGGAGTCAGCTTAGAAATAGCTTTAACCAATGACGAGGTCTTATAGCAGGACAAGAGGTTTTTTATATGCTGTCTTATATTTTTAAGCCACAATTCAAATCAAATAGGGATTATAGCTGTTTTTGCAAAGACACGAAAAGACATCAGGAGACCAAGATTCTTATCTTCGTGATTCACACGAAGAGACATGTGAATCATTCCTCCAAAGAGGCCTGGATACACGCGCACTGTTACTTGTAAGTGACCCTTCAATCTAATGAGCTCGACCTTCATTGTGCACCCAAACCATAACGACAAAGAGTTCAATTTGCCAAGGTTGATGGTCACTAGGGTGAAACTAATATTTACTTTGATGGCTTTCCAAAGTAATAAAATGTAATAGAAAAAAAGTATAGTTTAAGTATGAAAGTATCCTACAGACCCAGCAACAAATGTTCTTCATATATCATAAAGAAATATAATGCGTCTTATAAACAAAACTTTGATCTAAAGTAACAAAAATTTAGAGCCCCTTTCAGATAAAATATACATTAATCCCTTTTGCTTAAATCAAACCATGGATCGTAAGCGTGCATTAATCTTACTGACTCAAGACCAACGAGCGATTTTGCTTGTTTCCTGATATTCTAGCAGATGTGTGTAAGAATGTGAAAAATTCTGCGAGAGAATAAAAAAAGTTCATACCATGGGCTAATGCCACAAGTGCATTTAATATTACGAAGAATTTTGCCAGTATTATCCATGGCTTCGGAAGATTCACATCCGATTTCAATGCGTACATAAGTAATGAATTGATTTTCCGCAGCGAACATTAGAGCGTCATCAAGTGCCTTCCAAAACCAGAATCATCCATATGAAGGCTTGAAGTAACTGTAAAACCCGACGAAGTATTTAGATTCTCCAAATCACACTGGCGTTTGATACGTGACTTTCTTAGCAGTTTTTTATTTAGCGTTCTTTTTGTTGCAACATTATGTTTTCCACAGTTCCACAAAGCCTAGCCACTGCCCAACGCAAAGCTCCTTCCATTACATCATTCACCAGGCATGGAAATAACTGCTTTCACGCTTCGGTTGATTTGATCCTCCTTCCGTCAAACAGGAAGGCGCGCGCTTACACGCTTAAATGCCTGTTCAAAAGTAATCATTGGTAATGCGGCCTAGATATTTGAAGCTAGCATATCATTGTTTTTGCTAACGGATTAATTCGCTAGAGTTGAATGGCTCACTCAACTGACTTAATTACTGTTGCAATTAACAGAGTGTTCGCTTTGTGAATATCCATGTCCTTACCTAGTAAATTAACCAACATTTATGGAAAATGCTTATGAATGTTACTAATGTTTAGCCGATAATTAAAACGTGTTATTGCGCAAGTAAACTAAAAACTTATTTAAAATATCACAACATTAACAAACACTTCATACTTTTAGACAAAAATTGGCTATTGTATCATCAAAGGTAGCAATAAGCAGTTAACTGTAAGTGCTTTTATGCACAATTTTTTTACGTCCTTGGTCGCAAAAGAGGACAAATTTTGAAATGATTTGTGCCCATGCTGCAGTGATAACAAAAATGCCCTACATAAGCATTTAACTGTTTATAATTTGGCAATGCTGTGTCAAAATGATGTCATTTGAGTACCACCCAAAATAAAACATTTAAAACTGCGTGACAAAATTTCGTCGTGACAAAATTTCGTCGTGGATTTTAACATAGAGGTAGCAGCATATTACCAAAATCTTAGAGGCAAAACCAAACAGGCTGCTTTATACTCAATCCCATAGGTACAGTCTTCGTAGATACTTCGGAATTTGACTCAACCCTTAAGCAGCTTTTTCAAACAAAACAGAATTTTAAGCAAACCAAATTTAACCGGCATATTTACTCAGTTTATGCAAAGATGGGGTCAAAAGAGATGTTTTTAATATTCAAAGAGTCTCTACTCTATATTTTTATGGTATGAAAGTTTATAAACAGAGTATAATTAAAGTATAAGTGCAAATAAATATCTTGAAGGAACGAAAGAAATAGTACAGTTGAATATAAAAAGACACAGGTGGAATCTTTTGAAACCGGCGACAAAGGACAACAGTTAGAACAGTAGTGTAGCCTGGGTGATAAGATTGCAAAGGGAGGCAAAGGCGAGTTGAGCAAGGGAAAATAGGGTTCCACGCCCACGTTTTTTTCATTGGTAGGTGGCACTGAGTTAGAATTTTTTTATCGAATGATGGTGAAAACGAAGTTAGATCAAGGACCGACAATGATGATGCTGATGATGATGATGATGCCAACATTAAAAAATATTTATGAAGATGATGTAAATGAGGAAAATGACGTAATTGACATTGAGTTGATTTTAAGGATCTATAAATTTGATTCCTGACCTCATGTTATCGTTTTTCTATGCAATTTCTATACGCAAAAATCTTAAATGCAAAAAATTTTGTCGAGACCAAATTTCGTCTCATTTTGAATTTATTCGAAGAAAACTTCGTCAAAATATTTGCCTGAAATTTTGTCACGACGAAATTTTCTGTAGTTTATTTATTTAAAGTAAATAAAGTAAATATAGCCTTGGGGTGATTCTTTTAACTTCCGTCTTTTGGACATTAAAGTCTGCAACAAATTTTCAGTGTTCGGAATATGACAAAGGTATTTAACAGCAGCATTATCTAAAAAAGTTTGATTCTGTGCCGAAAAAGTAGACGGTACATTATCGATTTTGAATTCAATTAGCTTTCCAGCAACAAGTAATGACGAAGTGTTGCTTGTTTATTCTATTATCATAATAACACTTTGCAGCTTATTCCAGTAGCATTGGTCAATAACTTGCTGACATAAGAGCTGAAACTGTCGCCCGTTCTTTCGTCACAAGTTGGATTTCTGTTTTCAGAGTCCCCTCTACCATCACAACTGATCGTGGGGCTCAGTTCGAATCTGCTCTCTTTGCGTTACTTACGTCGATTTTTGGAATCAAGCAGATCCACACAACAGCCTATCATCCTTGTGCAAATGGCATGGTTGAGCGTCTCCATCGTCAACTCAAGAGCTCAATCATGCCACTAACACTTCTCAGCTTCCGGACGCTTCGGAAACCAGATCTTGACTGCACTCCTGCACAACTGTTGTACGGTTGTAACCTATATCTGCCTGGTGATTTTTTTAATCTCTCCTCTAGACTCTTCTGTTTTTAACCCTACAATGTATGCACAACGTCTTCAATCTACTATGCAAAATCTTCGCAAGCAACACACCAAGTTTCATCTTCCGTCAGCTCTAGAAACTTGTAAATTTGTCTTTGTGCGTCATGATGCCATTCGCAAGCCACTACAGCCACCATACGATGGGCCTTACAAAGTACTACAACATCACGACAAGCATTTTGTTCTAGAGATTGCTGGCACACCAAAAACGATAAGCATTGATCGCCTCAAAGTGGTTCACTTCGATTCTGATTGCGAATCTTACATACCAGCTAAAAATCAACTCTTCCCAGTGATTGACAACACACCAGCTTCTTCTAATCACCAATGCACCACACGTTCGCAAAGTCCATTTTCCTGATCGCTTTGGTTTCTGAAGTATCGCCTATTGCAAACTTATATCGACTGTTTCGCTCCTCTTACATTCTAGGGGGGGGGGAGCTATTATGGTGAACTTATAAAACAACATTTTATTCGCATTTATTCAACCATATATTCAGCCATATATATGCACTTACGCACAACAGCTAAAATTTCTATTGTATTTACATTCGCTTTGTAGCCTAGCTCTTCTATTCGCTTTGCTTTAGTTAATCCCATTTATTGAGCTGATTTATCATAGTTGTGTAGATGGTTAAAATGATTATTCAGGTTCTAGAAGATGAAAAACAAGTTGTCGTAACTATTTGCATCTGCAACACTAAGGAGAGAAAACATTCTTTATATAATCTAACACAAATCGTTAGTAAAAGAGCCAACAAAGCTTTCACTAAAGAATTATCGCTAGCTATGGGAAAAAAAGGCCTACACGTGCTTGCTGAACTTGTCAATTGGGCATAGGGTTGTGTTATCTTGGTTGTGTTATCTTATAGAACATGACTTTCATATCGTAACAAAAGATGGCCCTCAAAGCCATCCAGCAAAATGACAGGTTTCTTTTACATTATTGATAGCTTACCATAAAGTTATCTATATGGAGTCTTGTGGGCAAAAAAGAAATATAACCTTTGGAGACACACTTAGCAATAACCACAAACTGGTTTAGAATCACAAATTGTAAAATGCATTGCAAATAAGTATATATGATAAATGTTATAACATGCAGTTGTGAATATATTGAAAAATATAATTTGGATTTTCCCATGTGTGTAACTTGTACTGTATGACTGCGTATTTGGCATAATTTCAATAATTTTTGGATGCCATTTTTACTGGACTTATAAAAACAATTATTAAAAGGTGAATTTTTTGAAATCCTTAAGTTCAAAATATCAAAAAATATAAAGCTGTCATTGTCAAAAATACCTATTTTTATCGAATGTTAATATTTTATTTTGTTTCTTACTTGCCAATCACACTTTCTCACTTGCTAATCTAAATGCTAGAAGTCAAATAGAAAACAATGGGACAACAAGGCTGCATTGAAATGTTTGAAAAATATAAACATGTGAAATAAGCTAAAAAATATTACCAATATAAAATTTTGACAAAGTGATAACTTAGCTACCCCCCTTAAATAAACCCTTCCATGGCTCAGGGGTAACAGCTGCCCCTGAGTACTCCAAACTAAAACTGCCAAAGAAAAAGACAAAAACAACAACAAGTGTACTCCTTCTCTCGTGTCAGACTAATCAGTGTTATGTCACTAACCCAGGGCAAGACAAACCATTAGTCTACTCCAGGTTTCTGGTACCCATATATCACTTGCCATTAAATGCTCTAATGTCTCTGACCTCTGATTGGCTGATAGGACATAGGTATTATACTCCATTAGCCTCTGTTTCGCTACTTCTTCACTTGATAGACGCTACAACTACTGTGGCAGTGACGGAGTTTGGTTCAAATGGCTTCTTGTGTCTCCATCTAATTAACTCAACTTAAACTACAAATTGTATATGTGTACGAAAGGAATATTATTGTAACCAGCTGACAACAAGTTAAAAGAAAGGCTAGAATAAATGATGCCTTGCAACATAAACATATTTAAATCAAAAGTATGCAAAAAATGATAGAAAACTACGCAAATGGTAAAGAAACAACCTAGGGTCAAGAATGAGTAACCTATAACTAGGCCTGAACAATACTGGGAAAATCCCATACCTCAAACATAAACAATGGAAGGGAATGACGCATGAACGAGAGGTACGCCACAGCTAATGATATTGAAAAAGGAACAGAGAATATCCTAACAATGAATGGGCTAAGGGGGTATCTAACAAAAATGACCTAACTATACTTAAGAAAATTGTGAGAGAAATTTAGCGCCAACACAGAGTATCTTTCAATTTGAGCAGGAGTAACACAGAGTATCTTTCAGCTCTGGTTTATTGCTTGCGTATTGTCATTTTTACAAAAGAATCTAGAGAGGGTAACCAGTAGATGGTAGCCAAACTCGGATTGTTGCTCTGACGCGTTTATTGTCCTATCAGCCAATCAGTGGTCGGAGACATTACAACATTTAAGGCAAGTCATATATCACATGGTTTCTGATCAGAGGGTGTGTACACGATAACTGTGTAGTAAAGAGCATGAGTGTCAGTCATTAGGGTTGGTAAAGTTTTGGTGTGTCGTTTTAGACTTTCTTGCTTAGTCAACAAAACAAATAAGGAAAGTGCAAGCAGTGAAGCAAACACAATGTTTATATTTTCAGAAAATTTTGCAGTCATTTCCAGAATTGAATTTCAATAAAATAAACTTGGAAAAACTCGTTAAAAGTTTATGGATTTTTGATGAACAGATAAAACGCTATACACCCCCCTTTCAAAAGTTTGAATGGAAAAATTGGGGGACGTGTACCCCTAAGGCAATATTCCTTAGCAATTGCTCGAACCTGTGCATGGATCAGTAGGCCACTTTTTTTATTTTTAGTTCATTTTGCAAAGATGGAGCTAAGCAAAGAGACCCACAACAAAAAACCTCTACTGGAACACCACACGAAACTCCAAGACAGTTAGAAGGATTCAAACGTATGCTGTGCTGTGTCATGAATCCCGAAAAATTTAAGAACTATAAAATAAACAAGAGATGATGAATATAATAAGGTTTAGTAGACAGCCCTACCTCTCACTTTGGTCAGTCATTGATATATTTGTGGGTAACTATCAGATCTAATACCGTTGCCGTGAGATGCTGCCTGTAACATACTTTGGCAATTATTCATCTTCTTCCGACAAAGTCTAACGCTTCAACAACACTCCAAAAGAAGTCAAAAGACCGACCCACGGGTTTCTTTTAGGCCTATTTGAAGTTTCGCGCGAGTGTGGCGCCATCGCAGGGGCTGTGCAGAAGCTCCATCGTATGATATGATGACTATTTTTCACTCTACGATTTTTTCACAAAAAATTTACCAAGAAACAAAAATTGATAAAAATTGCAATGATAAAGGTGCAACCAGGTCTGAACATAAAGTCACCGCTCATGAGTTGGTATGATATGGCCCAGAAATCACGAAAATGAAAATTACGGATCAAAAATACGGTGCATTTGGCTCTTACGGCAATTTCGTGTCAGTTATTGCATGGCAAATACTTCAATGATAACTACACTCCCAGTGTCACCACCCCTCTCCCCAATCATATGAGTGAGGTTTTTTTCTTTCAATGGCTTAAAGGTGACAGTTGCCATAGATGCTCCATAGAAAGGCAAAGCTGTCGAAGAAAAAGATGAGAAAAAATTGCTATTGTGTGCAGTATGTTTCTATGCTTAAAAACAAAATAGTATAATTAAAACATAATTTACAGGTACGTTTAATAAAATCAAAGAAAGTGATAATAAAAGGAAGTAAAATTTCCTCAATGACGGCTATTCAACTCATTGAAGCCTGGCTCCATATAGTTAATCTGTCCTACAATACAAGTTGTGCGGCCCGTAAGACGCTGAAAACATTCGAACAACAGCAGCTAATGAAGCAGATGCCACCTACACAACCGACTGCTAGACGGTCGTACAACTGGCACGGCTGGAAATCACATTGACCAGACGACAACTAACATGACTATCTTGAAACAATGATATTACCAGTCAGTTTTTTTCATAAATATCTAGGAGACTAGGGGAAGCTGCTGTCTGCCTTGGTGGGCAGCATGTTCAAATATTTTACGAGTTTTGGTAAGGCGATTTTGGCCTATACTAAAAGAAAATATTGTAGAAACATATAAGTTTGATCATATTATGTTTGGTCATTACTGACAGACTGGTATAGATATGAGAATAGCATCTAAAAAACGGAAAGATGTAATGGTTAAAGAGTCTACTTAGATATTTTATAATATAGAAATTAGTTCTCTACACGATTCAGTGTCTTATGCTTGTACATATACATATGTATTAATATATTCCAATTAAAGTGCATAAAAATAACCAATAAAACTTTTAAAAATTTTGAATGTGAACTAGGGTTTAGTTAGGCATGGTGCTTGATGGTACATATACGGATCTGCACGTTTCTGTTGCTGTAATAGAAACGTCGATTGGAAACTTTCTGAATTATTTTGTACATTTAGGTCTGCTATCACATTTGGCCACTGGTTGCCTAATCGGTGTTCGCAGAGCAACTGGGGGGGGGGGCTAAAATGAGCCTGAGAACATAAATATCACGGTAAAGATAAAGTTTTCCAATAGGATAGGGTTCATACTAGAGGAAGATAATTTACATGAGTAAAAATGGGTCAACAAGACAGAAAAACCAAATCGGACACGTAAAAAGGATCCCTGAAAGCATTCTCAAAGCATTATCAAAAAGGTTATATGACATTGCGAAAAATTGGTCCACGATGCTGGTTGCTAACTTGCAAGATGGATCCATTTAAGATGCTATAAACTGTATGTCTTGAACAATAAGCAAAACAGTGGGTTTGGAAAGCTCTCTGAATTTCGAATACACTTGAAATTGTAAGGATACTGGGACATAGCAATGCATAGTAATCTAAAAGGTAAATATATTAACAGTGGTGATCTAGTTGGTGTCAGTCATATTGATCAATTGAGAAAATATCTTCGACTGCCTACTGTTTACTTATACCATGCCTCTATTGAAGACAGATAATAAAACACCACAACATTGGAGAAAATACTCCTTGAAATATCAATAAAGAATACTATATACAAAATTCATGTGCCGCCCTGATAGCAATAAATATTTAACGTGAATAAAACGTATTTGACACAGTGCAAGGTGCAGTAATATGTTGAAAACAATATAATATTATCTGATATCCAGACGAAATTCCACCATGGACAAAATCTCTAAACAAATGATAATATATATCTAAATACTCGTACATAAACTTGCTATTACCTAAAACTATTCGTTTTCTTCACTGGTTACACCAATCACTGGTTATACAAATTTGAAATTTAGAAGAAATACCTCCACAGGTACTTTATTGGAAAACAAATTTTCGCATAATAGTGAGGAGTAGTCCAAACAGTGGGTAACCCATTTCTCTACATAACAGCTTCAATTGCTTAGATAAGTCCCATAAAAGAATAAAATAACTCCTTGTAAATAAAAGGGTCAACTAAATCAAAATCTACTTGTATCAAACAAATGCAATAGAATAAATAGGAAAGCTATAGAATAAAGTGCCATTTATGTGCTCGGTACGAGAACGGTGAGTTCTTCTTACAGGTAGATTTGACCTTTCCCAAGTCTATAAACCGCTAACGGCCTGTCCAGCCGAAGATGCACCAATGAGATTAGAACCAGCATCCGGTTCACCAGACAGGACCAATATACGAAGGCAGCAGCCATTATCCAGAGCCACTGGGACTACGATAGGCAGTAGAGGACGACAAATCGCCTTGCTTGAGAAGCTCAGGGGTGAAGTTCGTGAGATCCAGGTGCTCAAGATCCAAGTCTTTGCAGCGTTTGTCGTGAAGCGCTTCAAGCTCAGATGGGGCCTGAATAAAAACGGGTAGATTTTGATGAGAAACCGAAAGCTAGAAAAAGGCACACCATGGTAAAAATCAATTAATGTCAGATTATTATTTAAGGGCATATCCAGCTTCAACACTGGTGCCTACTGCTTCTAGGAGCGCAATTTACTATGCGCATCAAAATTCGTCTCTGTTGAGCACTTAATAGTGGCATGAGAATTTGATTCATGTGCTTCTTTTTGATATCGTTTTGTTTAATTTACGAAGAAAGACGACAGCGACGATTCAAAGTTTCTTTCTTATTGAATTTACGAGTTGTGTCGCATAAAAATGATTCAAGATTAATTTCAGACTCAAAAATAAATTTTTGGAATGTGTTTAAAAAGGTTGCAAAAAGAGATAGCAATCTTTGACATGCGAGGCTTTGCTTTTAAAAGAATTCATACCTTTTCTTGAAGTTCAGTAATATTCTGCATAAAATCTTCGTACTGCTTCTTCAAATCTGCAACTTCTTTATCTTGGTATTCTTTCATCTAAAGTTGATAACCAAACATAAATTTAAGGCTGACGCAAATTGACCCAAGAAATAACAGTACAACATTTTCAGGTTTTGAGCTACATACTGTCTTTTAAACATTTAAAAATATCAAGCACAGTAGCAGTCTATGAAAGGCTGAAATATTAACTCCACGAAAGTTAATGAAGCTTGAATTAGTTATGAGGCTTGTGAAGCCTTGGATTCTGCTACTTCTTTTTAGCGCTGGTTGAGTTATATTGTTGCAGAAAGGAAATTTAAGCAACAGCATAATTAACAACAGGATAAGAGGAATCTTCTTCACGACATTTCTCTCAGACCTCATGTATGAACAACCTATTTTGAAAACAAACTGTCGACCAAAAAAAGTTTGTATTTGCTACTACCTAGATTCCGAAGGTAGTTTTGAGGACCCCGAGAAGCTATGCTTATTGAGCTGTGTCCTAGCCCTTCTTCTCGATGTGACAACACCTCCTAATTCCTACGCCTAGACTTACAGAGAGTTGACGACTCCCTTTACTCTAAGTGAAAGTTTAGTCATTTCAGTGACTCGAGCCACAGAGCCTTAGATTTGCAGTTCACGACCCTAAACACAGATCCGCCCTTGCCTTTAAACGAAGATTATTGACACAATTAAAAGATGACAAGTATTCATAAAATATGATTTTCAATGTTTTTCGGATTGATTTATCGTGGCCAGCTACATCTTTTAACAAAACGCAACACCATACTCGAGGCTTAAACTGTTAATTTGCAAATTTCGGGATGAATTAAGAGACTTTTACCTTCTGCCTTTCAATCACAGCTTGTTCTATGTGCTTTTTGTTGTGTTCTCGTTTCATCCTGAAAATTCAAATTTTTTTGATTAATTAAGAGAAACAGAGCTAATTTGAACAGGTCAATCTAATCTGACACATAACCAACAATGAACAAAATTTTTTCCAAGGTACAAGAATCATTGTGACAAATAGTTTCTGTCTTCTTTTTGATCAAACTAGTATGCTAGTTTATCAAGATCAGTCTGTCGGTCCAGCTTGATAAGCATGCTGGAGAATTCTTAACAAAGGTCGTTGGATCGAATGAATTCCCACTTAGCCAAGTTAGGATGTTCAATAGAATTAAAGAAATCTTGATTATAATTTGAGCGAGAAGCCAACGCTCTAGTACCCACGCTAAGCAAACTTATTTAGACGGCTAGTCTCTCGTCATTTTTGATTGACAGAAATAGAGCTTTGACTTACTGTAGTTTCAAATTCAATCTTGATTTCACGCGTTTTTAAGTTTTTAACTTGCTGTTTTATATTTACTGATTCCTGTTTACTAGGTCAGTTTTTAATAATTCTAGCTTCAATGGAATTTTGTCAAATAAATTAAAATTGCTTACCAAACTAGTTCTACATAAATCCGGATTTTCAAAAAATATTAAGTCAAGACATAGAAGCCGCATCTCGTTTTTCTGCGCAAAGACTTCGGTGATATCAATCATTTGGAGTTAGGATCATCTGTTAGCGGCAAAAAGTACAATCGGAGCGGTTCACTTTATTTCTGTGCGCGTATCTATATCTACGTCATATTTACAATACACAGAATAGCTAGTGGAACACCATAGTTTTCGTATCAGACAGGAGATTCTGATTACACAATACACGAGCTGCCCCTGGACAAGACGTTGGACAATAGGGGAGAAAACTATTAAAGTTTGTAGGTGTAAATTAAGTAATCCCAACATTACAACGCAATTTCAGTATAAGCAGCACCAACATTGGTTCTGTTTCGAATACGCACATTTCTTCTGGATGCGATTAAACTAAAGTAATGACTATCACGCCTTTTTGCGCATTTATCGTAGGCTTAGAAACGTATGAAGCCACTTTTTATTATGAAAATGCGGCATTATTGCATAAAGGATTGAATTGCCTACCTTTGCAGCTCTCCTTTATTGCGGTATTCCTTCCCGAGCTTTTTCAGTTCACCTCGATTGTAACGATCCTGGTCTTTCTTCAAAATTTGCATGTCTCTAAAACAAAATGAGACAACAGTTGAACACGGTCTGTCAAAGGACAACTTCCAGTCTAATTGGGTGTCTGGTCTCACCAGAGGTTTACCTGCCAGTGGTTACAACGACAGGCTGCATTTTGAAAGTTTACGATTGAGAGTGTGAGCTCATATTCGATCAGGGCAGGAACACTAGAAAGGCAATGAGAAAAGGAGATATGTGTTTATAATGAAACCCTGCTCGCGTTTCTGATGGGCCTATTTCACCCAAAACTGGGTATATATATTTCCTAGCGTAGAGTTTTCGATCTAAGTTCTGACGTCAAACAAAAAGCTATGTATGATTCAAAATTCTTTTTTTTTCAAGATCATTTATAAACCCTACCGTGCATGTCTATCTTGAATCTTCTTTAAATCGGTTAATTTTGAAGTTTCAACAATTTTACGCAACTCTGAGAACTCCTAAAAAGAATAACGTGAAACGATCAATGAATTTGCCAATAGAGAGAATTTATTATCATAACAGATTATCTAAAGACGAAAATTCGGCGATTTAGCAAATACATATGCATAAATGATTAAATGATTGCGAAATACTTATAAGAATGGTTTTAGAACCATAAATTAACAAGCTTTTCCTTGCATATTCTGATTTCGGAAATCAAGCTTTTTCGTATGTAATGTATAATTCAAAAAGATAGAAAAAAATTCTTGCACTGAAGTGTGTCAAAACTTCTCAGTTAATTCAATAAGATTTTTGACCAATTTCAGTCGAAATACCGTAAAAGTAAAAAAATTAGGGCATGATGTTCATCTTTAAAAAAGTACATGGTAGCAAAATCATCGAATGCAAAAATGAGGCATTTTTCTTCAGGCTACGTACTGGAACGACGTTTCCTTTTGCAAAATTGAGCTGCTCGAAATAATGCTCTTTGTACAATGCTCTCAACTTGTCTTTGTGCTTATTCATGATTTGGGAGACCTGGTAACGAATGAAAAATACGATAAAGATATAGATATAAATATAGACAAAGTCAGCTTGTATGCGGAGCTGAGCAAAATTACAAAAGGTAACTACTTGCGTTATCTTATAGCAGAGAAGAAAATAAGAAAAAATAGTAAAATGCCCAAGGCAAAGGCAAAGTTAAATAGGATCCAGAAAGCTAATAAATTACAAAAGAATCATGAAGTAATAACCCGATCATGATCTGATCACGACGTAAAAGGGTAGAAACAAGATGCTTTGAAAACGGGAAGAACAGCAGCAAGAAAAACTGAAGATATGAGTTAGTTACAGTTTCAAAGGGATGTAATACGATGTCAATCTGTCAATGCATTTATTGTTAAGAAATAAGTATGAAAAGTCAACCAGAAACAAAAGAAGCTGGGACTAAAAATACCAAACTTGAGAGACAGGGACTGATAATTTGCAAAAAACCAAAAAGTATCACCCTCTGGAAAATGCCAATTGTCATACCTGACTCTCTTGCTGTGTATTTAGCTCTGAGATTTCTTCTAGACAAACTTTGTAAACACTCTCATAGTTGCTGCAGAAAACAAAATTTGTCAAAAAGGCTTAAAAAGGTTTCTAAAAAAGATTTTGATTTGCACGTAAAATCAGAAACATCAAGCATTAGCCTCCTCACCTAGACAAGTTCTTTAACATAAGCAGTGTTAAATAACTCCTCCGATTGTTACAAATTTGTACTTAGAGAATAAACATTTTCTGTCTACTAACAAAATATAACTTTTTGTTCTAATGTAGACAGATTCTAAAAATGTAGGTAGACAGATTCTAAAAATGTGTAGATAAAATAGGGAGATTTCTTGAAATCAAGTTTTTGTGTACTTTGGCACACTATGGTAAAAACTTTACAACGCACAAGACACACAAAAAGTACATATCCGAAGTATATATTCCCTTCGGTGTGCTGGTAATCTTCTGCACTCAATCACCCAGACCCAATTGATAATACGTAACATAAGAGTGGATACACTAAAACCTTAAAGGTATACCACCTGCAGTAAAAGCATGGCACAAGATGAGAGACATATGCCCCCATCCATTCAAGGGACTAAAATGCGCCTCTTTTGAGAGTTTTTAGAGGTAATTATACCATACCCATTCTTTTCTGCCTTCTTCAAAGTTTTTGAATGTCGTCTCTGCAAGGTGGCTTTGTCCTTTTCGATGGCTGACTTGATTTTGCGTAACTGTGAATCATAATCTTTCGCAGACTTCATTTTCTCCTATTATTTGGGATAACAAACAAATATTGGGCTATTATTCATTTCTATGCTGTTTCTGCAGTGTTTCATGAAATCAAAACAATTCCTCATTAGTGTTATATTTCGTAAAAAGATCCATTCAAAGTAAAAAGATCTCAAATTCAAAGAAATTGAGATATGATTTGCAAAATTTTATCGATTCAAGTCTAGAGTGATTGCAATAAAAGTTAAAGGTGACTTTAGCTAGTTTTAGATGTTAGTTTTACGAGATATTTGTAAAAAGACTTTTGGAAGACAATTACATAAATGACAAAATCGTGAAATACATGGCAGTGTAACTAGCTTCAAATATCTGAGAAATTCTGCGAAATTCTGCAAAATACTGCGAAATTCTGAAAAAGTCTGAGAAATTCTGAGAAATTTAGCTCCGAGCTGCCCCGGACTAAAACTGACAGCAAAGAAATGTTTCTTGGAAGCACTAAAAGGCTTTGCAAGAGAGTCAGTATGGGCATTTTGTCTTTTTATGGTGGTACTTTCAAAGAGGGTGAAAAGAGAAACCAATAGATAGAAAAAATTACCTTCAACTGTCTTTGTAAAATAATGCCCATTTCGCTTTCGAACTTGATTCTCATCTTGCCGTACGACTACAAATGAAGAAAACAACAATTAACAGTAGCCAAAAAACCTATTCTGGTAAATGTCATTTCAAGCAGTTTAAGGATAAGTTTCTAGAAAATTCTAAATAGATTTGATTTGTGCTCACCTTCCCTTGCTTTATGTCTTCTAAAGATGGTGGTTTTAATTCTAGCAAGTCTAAAGATAGAATGAAATATAGCGTGAAGTTATTGCAAAAAGTTTCAAAGTACGATTAAAAGTCTAAAAATGAGAGTGAAAAATTTGTCATTGTTATAAGTAACAAGATGAAATAACACTTGCATACCTTCTCTGATTCCTTTCATGTGTTCCCCCGATGTGCTTTTTGATCTTGACGGTTTCATGTCAACTGAAGTTGGTCGAATCGGCTGCAAAGACTTCGTTCGACCTGCTGGGAACAAGTCTCTTTCTGTGTTTCGATTCATTGTGTCCGATGCACTCTTAACGACTGGTCTCAGGTTTGGCACTGAGTCTAAAAGAGAATTTGAAATTTCATAAGAGATACAGACAATACATGACTCATCTAGCAGCACTAAAACACTTCCCTAGCAAATTAGCAAAATAGTTTGATACCCGTTCTTGTGAGAATGTAACAAGAATAGGAAATTGTTGAATGTCAAGGTACAATATTACAATTCCCAATCAAATGCTCCTTCGATGTAAAACAGTTTTCATTTCTAATGCCTTGAAAATAGCAAGAAGAAAATTCTCAAGACTTGAATATAAATGGGCCTTTCTTGAAGTAGAGCTCAAAAAAGGGCAAAGATTCTTAATTTTGCTTTTTGTGACAATGAAAATAAAGCGAGTAGAAAGAGAAGAGCGACATACACGACATTCATAGCTAGAATCCTTTCTTTACAAATAAGAATATGGCATTAACAATGTGAAGGTTTCGGACCAACCTCTGTGATCTGGCTTAGAACTTCCAAAAGACAAAGAGATCATGCTTCCTCTTTTGCCTTGAGGCTTTGGGGGTTTCAAATCTTGCTACAATTAGAAATAACCCTTCATTGAAAACTACCATTGAAGGATAATTAATAAGAACGATAGTTTGCAGCCAACGCAAAGTTAATATACAAAGCTTCTTAACAAAATATCTCTGCAGTGGAAAAATCTCTCAATATACAAAAGCTGATGCCAACGTCTAATGAGAAGTTATGTAAAAAATTGAATATGGCAAATAAATGAATACTAGTTTATAAAGAAATCAAATAAAAAAATATTAGACAATAATCAACCGCAGAAATCTTTTCTTTATTCCAGTTTCCCTAACATTTCACCCCCGAAGATAATTCCCCTGCTAAACTCATTCATTATTTGTTTTTAGGTTACCTTTTGTACAGCAGGATCTGCGGAGGAGTTCTCTGCAGACGCTTCCTCATCCATCAACAATGCCTCTAGCTGCTGAGCCCTTTTCTCGTTTTCAGACAAATATTGAATTGGATTAGCAAGTGCATCTGCGAAATCTAGTAAAAAAAAAAGAAAAGTCTCATAAATTTTCATTACGTGCATAATTATATTTTTGACAAAGCTATAAATTACCGCTCATGCTTCAATGCATTTTTTAAGATATATGGAGTTCAACGTCTGCTCCCATAAACAAAATAGAGCATCAAAATATCTTACAATTCTTATAGGAAACTCTCATTTGAGTTGATATTTCAACATGTTATTTGCAATTGATCTCTCCTCGAGAAAAACCTTAGATGATTGGATTGAACAAACAGTAGTCTAAAACTGGGTGCATTATTCTAAACACGATAAATAACAACCAAGAAACGACATTACTTTAAACATACCTAATTTTGAGGAAATGCTATCAATGTAGACTTTGATAAAAATTGGGGCTTTGGGCGGGTACCTTAAGAAATTTTGACCGACCACACAGTTTATTTTCGCATCAGACATCTGCAGGCATCATATTTCTTTATCATTATACCACTAATTATAAAGTTTGCGCAAAAGCCGCCATTTTGCTAATTGTCACTGCACGGAACCTTAATATAACTACATAAAGCGGTTATAAGTTCATCTTAAAATTAGGTACAACATAAAAAAATACAGAAAACTTTAAAGAAAATAGGTTACCTGCAAAGTTGGAAGGGACATAGTCTTTGGTGACGATGTTGACAAATATGCAAGGAAGACAAAGTGGTTGGTAGGATTCATTTCTCAGCTTTATGTGTCTGAAACCTGCAAAAGTGAAATCATAACTTGATATCAAAGACTTTATTTAATAGTACTTTGCTTAGCTTTCGAGAGTTTTACGTTTAGGCCAAAATTGGTATCTCTCATAACAAAGATACCTCAGGTAAAGAAAGAGTCAGGGTCATGAAGGCAAAATGCCCAGTCATTCTTGGAAAATAAACCACAGAAAGAATTAAAGGGAAATGAAAAACATGTTCTCAAATCCCAGGACCGAGATACAACTTTTTGTTGGGAGTGGGGCAGCCTTGAGAAAAATGGGTGTAGCAATACCTTTTTTGAAGAATATAAGTATTTCATGGAAGCTACTGAAATTTGCCAATGCACCCCCCCCCCTATATCTGTAACAGGAGTAGCCTCCTCTAATATGATTGGACAATTTAGTATCTGTAGTCTCGTTTTCGTGTGTAATAAAATGAATGAGCCCATCACATTTTCTTAGTCCTTAATCATCTTTTGTTTGTAAATTATTATCTAAGTGAGTTATTTTACATGAAAAGTTAGTTGTTGCCGAGATGGCAAAAGCGCAACAAGTGCGTCTTTTTATGCATCTCGATTCTTCGAGGGAAATCTCGGCTCAATTCTAGAAAAATTCAATCTTCGCTAGAGATGTCCTCTTTGTGAAGTAATTAATTACTTAATGAGGCAGAATTAATCAAAGGATTTGAAGGTACGTAGCTAAAACCATCAGCTGTATTGAAGCTTATTAAACACTTTACCAACAAGGTTTTTCTGCCTATTCAATTCCACGTAGCTACAATTGTCTTAATAAACAGATCTAAAGCTTGCAAACCTGGATTTAAAGCATGGACAGGAAGAACACGGTGGCCTATCAACTTTCCACCTTCTTCATAAGCTGCTATGCGTAGAACAGCGAGGCTCGGCAAGATTACCTGAAAAATAAAGTCGGTAGAACTAGTCTCTTTGAACCTCCACCAACCAGCTGAAACAGTTTATATTAAATACCTAAAGAAAGGTAGCTACCGTATTTCTTAGAAAAAGCGCCCGCCAGTAATCATCGAAAATTTAGAAAGCCCCCATCCCTTCTTAAAAAGTGCATTTCCCTTAAAAAATCTTTACTGATAAAAAACAATATAGGAATAATTCTTGCAATCGGCTACTTATTTTATAAATAAAGTAATGGCTCTTTCTTTATAACATTTTTTCATACGTAAGTTTAAAATGCGCGTATTTTGCTCTTCGTATATTTTAGTTCGTCATTGCAAACGTTAGCTTGTCTAGCATCCTTGCCAAGGGCGCTTTTTCGAGGAAATACGGCATCGAATATATGGGTATCTGCTATAAACAAGATCAATGAAAAATCTACGTACATTACAATATATTCTCATTGTCTTTATTAGTATTTATTTCTGTTGATTTTCTCGGTACAAGTCACAAGCGATGATGAGCCTTAGCTAGATTTCAAACGAAGTGTCATCTAAACGAATTTGCCTCAAGAATGTGTTGTTTAAAAAGAATTGTCGAAAATGTTCTTTTAATTCTGGCTGTAAAATCCATATTTTTCCTCGCCGTTCTCTGTTGGGTCACAAAATTTAACTAAAATCTGCTTTCCCCTAATAATTTCCAATTTGTTAAACATGCTATAGCAAATTCCAATCGATTAGGCACTTTCTCATATTTTAGCTTGGTTCGAACACCAATAATTGTGACAAGGATACATAATACGTTTACTCTCAGACATTATTGAAAGAGTTCCTTGCGTTATCCAAATTTAATTGAATGACACAGAATAGTAAATATCATTAACATTTAGTTTAGTCTCAAGTTAAAAAAGCGTAATAACCATTAAAAATTGTGGGTGGGAGCTGTTTACGGGAAAAACAGTTCAAAAAATACAATCATCCTTTTAACGTATAATCTATTATTTGACATCAGTGACACGGAGTTTCAATTACCTTTTTGAAAACAAACGGTTCCTCGTCGTAAATTGGGTTGATTCCGTTATTCGGAACCACTTTTGTTCTAAATTTTCTCCTCACAGTGTCTGCTGGTAGTCCAAACATGTCGACCTCAACGTAGGTTCCAGTCTTCTTCTCTGTAAGACATTGACCAGATATAACCTGAAAATAATAGATGCTTGTTGAACTGTGACCGCTTGCAACCAATAACTTAAATAAGAAACGACGTCCTTCATAGCTAATAGTATTCCTTCACAGAATCAACATTTGCATATTAGTTGCCGGAAAAAAATAAATTTGAAGGGTCACCATTGGCTTTATTGTTGTTCGTGAAACCTCAACTTAATTAAGCTTCGGTATTAGGGAACCCCTACTGTTTCTGATTATGTACTAAACTAATTGTGTAATTAAAAGTAACGAATCATTATGTCAATATCCTACTGATTGTTAATTAACTTTGAAGTTAACTTTAAATAAGCTTAAGGATAAAGTGGAAATTCGACAGAGAGGCAACAGTGCTCTAGTTCCAATTGTCTTAAAATGCAGCAGGTATAGACGCAAATTACCTCCAAAATGTTGTTCGACCTACAGCTTAGGCTTAATTAGGGGACGTTATTTTGTGACCTGAAAGTTTATGATTTAATAGGTTGTCTTATGATATTAGCTTAATAGAATTTCGCTAATAACTTTGGCAGACCTCGTTATTGCTCAGAAGTTTATAAAAAAGTAACATGATTCCATTTTCATAAAACCAGTCAACAGCGAGCGATTCAAGATCTTCCAGAAATGCAGGCAAGCGATTGGAGTATTTAAAGGAGAACGCGAGTCTATGTTTGGTTAATAAACGCAATAATTTGAAAGTGGATCAGTGGAGCATCAACAAACTAACTAAAATGATCTTTATGAAGTTCGCATTAGAATCCGATAAAAACATATACCCTGGCTCAAATCTCGGAGCGAATGGTTAAGACTCGCCATTGTTGTTGATAAACACATTCCATTTCACTTATTAAAATTTTTAAACGGGACAGCGGTTTCAGAATCAGCATATATCAGAATTGCTTTCCAAATGAATCCTATCTCACTTCAAACGATATAAAGAGTTTTTACATGTAAATATAAAATCTTAGAAGAAAAATTATAATTTGTAATCCGTGCCTAGCAAACCGTCATACCGTAAATAGCAAACCCTGAAGGCTTACCTTGACCGAAATTGTTCCGGCTATGATCCCATCAACAGTAGACTCAACGAATGGATCAAAAGTCCGGTCACTTCTACACATGAAATCCGGTTTCAGTAGATACCTGGTTGAATGAAAATTTGAGATACAAAACGATACATCAATGCAAAATAACGTAGAATTGAATGAAAATAAACAACTCAAAGTTAGGAAGAATAGCTTGAATGGTAAGCTTACCCACAACGTCCATTGATCTCAAACTTTCCTAGATTCAACATCATCGGGAGGTCTAAAAAGCAAAGAGGCCAATGTAGGCGTGAATTGTCTGTAAGACACTGCTAAACAAAACAATGTAACAAAACAAGTAAAGGAAAACAAAAAACCAAAAGAAAAACAAACGTGCAAGCAAGAAAAGAATCTGACAATAATTCCTTACCCAACGTTTGGAAATTGAGAGCAACTAACTGGCATCCAGCATTCCAGAATACCTAAAGCATTAATAAGATTGAAAAGGTATAAATATATTTTTGCTGATCATCCAGAATATATGATTCAATATTTCGACGACTGTTGAAAAGGGTTTGGTTAAAGACATATCACGAAGAGCTGCAAACTCAAAAGCATATTGAAATCATTTTGTCCAGGGTTCATGATATAAATATCTTCTCCTGCAACAAATTTTTCTAATGTCTCCAGTCGTTTATCTGAATAACCTTATTACTAATTCACACCTTCTAACATTTACATGATAAGTTAAAGGCATCGAGTCTTGGTAAATTGGCGTCCACTGCCGGGGGTCCTTCGCTTTTAGTGTGATCAGTGTAGATTCATGTGATTTTTCGCGACCAATGCTTACATCTAACTGTTGACGAAAGCTGTTTTCAAAATCAATACGAGGCAAATTCATGTGATCAGCCTCAGGTTCACCATAGCAATGCAGAAGGAAAATTTGAGTCAGCACATTTGGGCATACCCTCTCTTGTTATCGTGACTAATTGCCTTTAGGCCTTTTCAAAAAATAAATCCTTTCCTTAAGCAAACATCTGCCTTTAAACGCATATATTCTAAATTTACAATTTCTTTTCTAATAGAGTGTTAAGTGAAGTTATCAGGAAGGCAACGAGTTGGATTAACTGCTTAAATCATGCGTATCATCTTGAAAATGTTGGCATCGATTGTGGAATCGAAAAAGTGGGATCGAAAATTGCTAATGATCGAAAAATCCTGAAAATATAAGTGTCTGTTGTCCCCCTTACGGTATTCAACCCTCCACAAAATTTCCATACCAAGTTTAAGAATGTTTGTTTTTTAATTACGTAATTATTCTCAAACAGCCATTATTTCTTCTCCAGCTGTGGTTCAAGCGTATTAACGTTTCATACCAACTGTGTCAGTGGCCTTTCTCTAACCACGTCAACAATCCTCTAAACTAAAGCACAAATCGAGTTTATTACCTGAGGCATGTAATTGTCAGATCCAACTCTGCCACCTTTTGGGTAAATTCGACTTAGCTGCATTTTGTTATAACTGGTGTCATTAAGGTAACACTTTGATATTTTGAAAACAGACAGCACTAATGAATAAACTTGTTAATAAACATCTCAAAATAGATTCATAGCACGAGGGACATTAATTAATCGTTCAAATCGAATATAGATATAAAAAATAAAACATAAATTAGTTATCATAACCTTAGATTGAACACAAAACAAAAACATGCACTTTATTTACAATAAATTTAAAACAACTCAAAGGATACTTGACAAAATTGATGGGCTGTTCTTTTAGCAAATTTGTTGCTGAATTTTCACTGAATGATGACATTTCAAAATACCTTTGCCTTGCTGTGAAAACAAAAGAGTGCTATTTTCAACAAATATCTGAAAATTTAATATGTTATGTTATACTATGCTATTTTATGTTATGTCATGTTATCGTATTGTATGGTATGGTATGGTGTTGTATGTCATGGCATGGTATTGTATGGCATTGTATGGTATGGCATGGTATGGCATGGTATGGCATGGTATTGTATGGTATTGTATGGTATGGTATGTTGTGGTGTGGTATGGTATGGTATTGTATAGCATGTTATTGTATGGTATTGCATTGTATAATATGGTATCGTATGGTATGGCATGGTATTGTATGATATTGTATTGCATGGCATGTTGTTGTATGGTATTGAATTGTATAATATGGTATTGTATGGCAGGGCATGGTATTGTATGGTATGGTATGGTATGGTATGGTATGGTATGGTATGGTATGATATGGTATGCTATGGTATGATATAGTAAGGAATAGCATGGTATGATATAGTAAGGAATAGCATGGTATGATATAGTAAGGAATAGCATGGCATAATGGCATACAGATTATCAAAGAAGAAATGAATTGCAACGGGATGTTGGTAAAGACAATAAAATAAACGTACATTCTGCATACTCAAATCCCCGAAAGTGTACAGGCTGGATGTAATTAACGAGAGCAGATAACTCAACTTCAGCTTCAACTTCAACTTCCTCTTCATTTTCAGCCGGCTTTAAAAAATATAATTTCAATAAAGAGGAATCGAATCCATCTACCTATCCATCATCATCTATCAAAGGAGTTGAATAACCTGATGATAATTAACATTCGTGAATATCACCTCTTAAGGATTCAACCAAAACAGATCGATCAAAATTTTTCTTATCATTTTAAATCCGTCAGGATTTCTTTGAAAACCACCCACCCAACCACGGCAATAATTCAACATATTGGATAAAACCTTAATAGACCTAGAATTTAATCATTGCATCTGAAGGGTTCTATAGGATCTGCATATTAAAACAAAAAAATAAACAATTCAATAGAGCATCAATAAAGAAAACTAATCTGCTTCTAGTTTTCTTTTCGAAAGAATTGCACAAATGCAAGATAACAGACAATTATAGTAATGACCAAAACATAACTATAATTACATCATTTTCTGTTGCCTCTTTTGCATTCTCTTTCGCATTGGCTCCTTCAGTACCAGTCTCGCTCTGGGGAGACTTTGGTTCACCACCATCTTCAACTGTTTCCTCATTAATATTTTCACTCTTCGTACTTTGCTGGGTAGTTAATTGGGTGACTTCTGGCTCTGCAGAATAATTTCAATATCTACTAAGCTTTTTTCAGAACCATTTATCTATCAACTAGATCATTTTGCAGGACATATGACTTTATTCATAACCATATATATGGACTTTATTTAAGAAAATTTGGTAATACCGTATTTTCACTGTTAAAGAACATTTGAAAAAATTATTTAGCTTAGGCAAACTCAAGGGAAGTAAACAAAATATGAGTAGCTAAACAGTAAAATCAAACAACATCTGGTTTAGATGTTAAGACACAATACAAACACCAGCCGTAAATGAACAAAGACATTAAGAGCAAAAACTTTTCTAAAGAAAAATCTTAAAATATTAGAATAGCAACCTTTTGCTGTGTGCTTTTTGTTTTTGATCAAAATTTTGCGTTTCAATGATTTCAGGGTTGGCAGCGGTTTTCCTTGTTCAAGCTACAATGGAAAACTAGAACTGAAAGATCGTTCAAGACGAGATGAATATGTTCGAAGACATAGAGCATCTTTTTGCTGAAACTAACAGAGATACAAAATCTACACTTGCTTACGATAATGAATTTATAATTCTGGCTGTTGACACTTCATGACAGTGGTCACTCCACTCATGATTGCATGCAGGCAACTTTTTAAATCGATATATCTTCTAAAATTTACCGGAAATTCGTCCAACGGTTTGCTCAGAAGCATATCACCAAACACAGTCTGACAATAATTCGCCATCTTTGCTTGTTGCTTTGCGCTGAAAAAAACCAAAATAGCTACATGCGTTTTTCTAAATAAAATGACATAGCTTTGTGTGATCGATGACTTAAATAAAATTTATTAGCGAAATAAAATATGAGTGTACGGCACGGAGTTAAAAATACTGTCAAATTAAAATCCAGTAGTTGTGATATTATAAGCCAGACAATTTTTAATTAAACGTCTAGATAGTTATCAAACTTCATCAAACTTTAACGAAGTTTTGCTCATAAAGAAAAAGGTAAAACATCACTTAAATTATACAATAAGGCATTTCAACAGACATTTTGAGCAGTTTCTTTCCCTTTCCTTGTTCAACTTCATATTGTTAATCCATGAAAGTAAGAAAAGACTTTTCTTTTATCAGCTATTAGACTGAAACCTTCAAGTTGAAGGTATGGATTTTTTCTTCTCTTTGACAAGAAATATGAAACATTATTTTATTGTTTAACGACGTTTGACAACATACCTACAGTGATTTTCAAAGGACAAGATCACAGGGAAATCAGAAGTCTTAAATGCGCATTCCGCAATCGACTCAATCACGTCCTAAAAGGAAAACAAACAACTAGTCAAAAGTGATCCATAGATTGATAGCTCATCGTCTTAGGTAATCAACACATGGCTTACAACATAACTATTATCAAGAGAACCAATACCTTAAATGGGACCTCAGTGCAGAGGGTCATTCCATGAGTTATGATTGGCTCTTGGTCTTCAGTTTTACCATCCCAACAATCTAATTCAATGCATCTGCAACCGCTTAACAACACTTGTCTGTAGATTTCGACGGAGGAGCGCCCAGTCAGTTGATGCCCTATGGTGAAGAAAACGATCGAAGACAATGGAATATTGTCTTGTTATAGTTTGATAGAACTTAACTTTTCCTTTTTTAAGATTGTAAATAAAAAGTTTTTACTGAAACAATGATTTCTCGATAAATTAACGAATTTGCGTTGGACCCTTATGTAAAGCAGTTTAGATAGGCCTAAGTCAAATTAAGAATATCCAGTCTTAAACTTTCGTAGAAAATACTTTAGCAACTTAAGTGATTTGGTAACAGAAGTATATTTATGTTAATAATGTTTATCTTAATAATTACAACAATTTATAAAAATTATAAGAATCGTTTACAACAAATAATTCATCTTATATTAAATTATTCCTCGTCCATTTGCCATGTTGCTGCTTAGCACCTTCTTCAAAATTCCGTACTTTTACGAATGGATTTCTTGAAAAAAAAAGATTGCTCACAAGCCCCTATTTATAGTTTAAGGTTTGTTTTACGCAATATAAATGGTTAATTTCGAAGTCACATGACATACTTCGTGCAAATATCAATTAACTTCTACCAAAAGTGATTCTCATTGGTCCGCATGCAGGTTTTCTTAGCCAATTATATTCACGTTTTTAACTGATTCTGGCAAATAATTACAACTTGTAAACTGATTGGTTTAATCTGATTTCTTCGCTGTCTAATTTTTGCTTGCATGCACAAACAAAACACAAAAAATAAAAGTTCAATGAACATAATAATATTTAAAGATACACTGATACAAACCTGTGAGATAGGTGTTGTGAGACGAATTGATAAAGTAGTGGGATAGAGGCGCGCTCATGTCTTGATGCACGGGGATAAATCGCCTTGGTGTTATCACCAAATTATCATCGCTCATGAAATATTTTGTCAGTCCTTCAATAGACATGTAGCCTAAAATTCAGAAAATTAAAATATTTATAAAGCAACTTGAAAAACTATTACTCAAAAAACAAAGATTTTAGCAGAGCGTAATAACTTTTTGAGGTAAAGCCCCTTAACAATTTAGAAATTTCTGAAGACTATAAAGGGAAAACCACGTGAATTGTATTGAATTCCAGTTAAGACGCGTAGTTTAGACAAAAAACTATACGACAGGGGCTGTCTGGAATGTCAATATACTGAAATTTCATGGACTTTCTTGTCTAAACTACACGTCTTAACTGGAATATAAATATTCTGTTTGTCATAAAATGGATTCACGTCAATAGAAGTTGGAATACCACTATCACGATGTCTTTTTTAATCGCCGTACTTGTTATTTGTCTTTCAGTTCGTAGTGTCATTCTCAAAAAGGAATTTAGAACAGTTTCATAGATATTTGACAGGAATCTTTACTTAGCGTTTTAGAAAAGCGTCAGATATCTATCTAGGATTACTCTAACTCTAATATTTACTTATGATCTACCAAGAACAAGACGTTGCTCTTCTGCGGGGGCGTTCCTTTGCAGCTTCAATACACAAAGCATGAATTCGACACCTCAAAACGCGATTGTTAGCTTTTGCATAATCAACTGGTTTGCCAATGATTAGGCTTACTATCATCTTTTAAGTCGAGTGTCTAAATCTGGAAAAATGTGAGGGGACATGAAAGATTTTAACAAAAACTGGCATACTTCCACAATACGGGAAAAGCTAACAAAATTGTCAAGTTGATTTCATTCTTTTTGTTATTAAGCAAGAGGATAACATGAAGAAACATTTCGCAAAAACCACAGGCGTTTTAGTAAACAACAAGTTGACAAAATACCTTTCTTGATGAAGTCTGCATTCTTTTCGTAAGTCCCAATAATACTTAGAGCCCTAGCCGTGTTGTAGTATGGGTAGAGAATTTCGTTCAAACGTGGATCGCGTTGTGTGTTGTTCAGAAAGTCGACCAGCTGATCGACTGCCAAATACGGTTTCTTACCAACACCCCTGAAAAAAAAACAAGGCAATTTGATTGCTAAACGATGAACGATCACTTATTCTCAACCACGATTATCTGATAAAATAAAAGCTTTACCCAGTTCCACTTCTAAAACTAAAAAGAATTCTAAGATAGATCACTTGAAATGACCAAACGATGAAATACCATTTCATAGTTTTCGTGGCTATACCTTTGTTACATTTAGGGATGATTTGCTTGCCAACTAACTAACTAACTAACTAACTAACTGCGACTAGGGCAGCACATTCAATTGACCAAAATTATTCTTTCCCACGAACATAAACTAACGGAAGATATAAACCAAGGGAAGATATAAACACTAACGGAAGATATAAACCAACGGAAGATATAGACTTTTTTAACAAAAACAAAATGCAATTTTACTTACAGGTCAGCAAATATATTGTCGAGATCTTGTCTTGTACAAAGCCGATTGTAAAAATCAATAAACTTCTCGAACGTGAACTCCGAAATATTAAAGATGTCTTTCTGGAAAATAAAAAAAATCGAACTGAAACTCATTATTGGTTTCAGCAGAAATCCTGCTAAAATATTGGCCCATAATTGGCTTGGTTGTTATCAACCGGGAAGGGACGCATTGTGCTGATGAATAATTACAAGCAGCGAGTGTGGTTTTGAAATAGTATAAAAATATCAATAATTATATCAAATCAAAAATTGGTTGCTATATTCAAGTTCTGTTAATTATATCCAAGCATTAAATTCTGGCCTTTTTTCGGCTTTTCTAGAGTTGGGCCTAGATATTTCATAGCAGTTTCTGTAAACAAAGAAAGAAAAAGTCACATCTCAATCACATCTATGTCAAATGTGTTAAGAAAATTATGCATTGAGTGGCTAAACATTGTTGCTGGATCCGTTTTAAAACAGATCAATCATTATTTTTTGGAATTTCAACGAGACAGAAAACACCACAGCATGCACCGCGACTGTCAATGCTTGGATTTTGCGAATGACGGCTTATTTTCCAATATTAACATCAATTCATAAATTTAAGTGCAATATAAGACCCCTCACCGATATTCGAAAGAGAAGTGAAGAAAATCAATCCTTACTTTTACCAAATTTATAAGGGCTCAGTATGGAGCAAGTTCCTTTTTTCCACTATTCAAAATGACAGAAGTAACCAAATTTGCTTCACAGCGTACAATGCCTGCCAAAAGTCTTGGAACACAGACATCAATTTCCAAGATGAAAATCAATCACCCCCCTTTCCCCTACAGAACAATGTTGGTTCACTATCAAACGGGTTAGGATTTTAGGAAGCACTTTCTTTTGCGCTTCTTTTATGAAATTTATCTAAATCATCAATATTGTTTTAGGGGGAAGGGGGCGAAAGTAGTAATTTTTCTCCATGAAAGGAATGAAAGATATCAAATGCAGCATTAATAGCCGGATGTTCCAAGTATTTTTGGCAGGCATTGTACCTATGAGTTAGACATCTAGCACCTTCGGCGCTTCTATATCATTGATAACAACATACTTTGCCTGAAGCCAGGCCAACAGATTGGAGAGCATCGTAAGCTCGTTTCTTGTCTTCTTTACTCGTTGCAAAGTACTTCACAAGCCTGGAAAACACATGTCAAAAATGTTTACTGGTGATGAAAGGATTTCATTCAAGAATTCAACAATTACATAATAAAAATAGAAGATAAACTGAGATTACTGATGAAAAGGACTGTTAATATTTCAATTATAAACAAAAAAGTGTTTTCTTCAAATAAAATTTTAGTATGAACTGGTTGCTTAATAAACACCACATTTCTTACAAATGTTTTATATCCTGAACACAATTTCATTAAACGGGATTGAATAAAAGGAATCTTTCTGAAACAGTTTAAACAATAGAGTAGACGGTGAGCTTGACGAGAAGACTTACTAGCAGAGACTTTTGTCTCGTTTTGAACAACAGTTCGTTTTTAAACTTTAAGTTATCAAAAAACAATGAATAAGAACTCTTAAATTAAGAAAGGTAGTTTCAAGATTGAATTCTGCAAGAAGGAGTGCGTCAGAATTCCCAAACAGGGTCATTAAAGGAGATTAGCTAATGACCTGCTGTCATGCAAATGGATGTCCAACATAGTTCATATGCAAGACCATCCTCAAACAATTATAGAGTTCATAACATACTTACGTCTTTGCGTAGATGTTTCCATCCTGGTTCGCCTGAACACTAATTCTTGTAAAGCTTCAAAAAATATGTACATATAGATCTTTTGTTTGTGATATGATTTTTATTATGATGCAGTTTTTCAAAAGAAAATACCATTACTCAAAACATAAACAACATAGGGTATAAGGATTTAACAACATTCTCTACTGAGCGTTGAAATTTTTAGATATTTTCAAAAGACCTTATAAATCATAAGTAGACAGAAATCATAGACTTTGTTTTTCCGAGCAACTGAGTACCTCTGAAATTACATCAGGGGGACCCAGGATTATAGGTTTTGCAAGTTACTTTAAAACCATATCGCAATATCGTCAACACATTCTAAGTTAGGTAACCATAAGAGTGTTTAATTCACTTGAGAACAAACTGACCAAGCTTAATATCGGCTTTGGTGTTTCCAGTTTATCAAAAATAAATGCTTTTTAATGCATCTAGCCTCTAATTAAACAAAGATGCAGCAAGCAAATAGGTAGATCCACTGAAATATTTTCACTTGATGTATAATCCTCCAGTTTAGAACATATTAAGCCCTGGTAGATTCAAGGAATGGAAAAAATTGGAATTCAACAATTAAAGCTCAACACACGGTAAAATTAATCTGCAAAGAAAGTTAATATGATATTTTCTAGAAACTTATCATATGATCTAGGTTGCACGTTATCTTTCATAAACAAGACAAACGCACGTGGAGGATAATATGGCTGAAGTGATGCTAGTCAGGGAAAACAACCATTGAAAGTTGCCTTTAGTTTTTAATGTAGGTGAATCAATTCGTGCCTATTTGAGACGATAACTAAGACCTGTCGTCATGAAATATTAAAAACTTTCCTTTTTAATCGCTGTCGATGGATAGCCACTGATACGCATATCTCAATACAATTATTCAAACAATTCTTATTGTTTGCATAAATAGGACCCATTTCTATCTCGCTCGCATCAGCAGTCTTGCATTTGTTGTTGAAGTTATACGCGAAACGATGCTAAAAACTGCTTTTCTAGTTATCATAGACAGATGCTGAAACCTTTACAAAATAAAATGGCGATTATTAAAACTGAATGACTGTTGCACGCACTTCATCGAGAGTTTTTGATACCAACTTTATTTTAAGTTTAAGAGAACATAAGGCCCTCTGTCTGCAACACCAGCTGCGTTCTTATTCTTTTCTAACCCCATCGAAACTTTGAAAAAAAAGTCAATATAAGTAGGCTAATCAGTATGATTAAAGATGAAAGATAAGCAAACACGTGATCAAGAAAGAAACAAATCGCTACTATTTTGTTCATTGCCTATGCCCCTTTGTTTTTCAATATAATCCAAAATTGAAATCTAATTGCAAAACTTCATCATCATATTCCATCATATAACGGGGAACTATCATGCTTAATTTCTTCAGGGACCAGCCCTTGGCAGGACAGATTCTCTATAGCTAGATATTTCAAGGGGAACTCGTCCCCATTCCCCTTGGGTTTCCGTCTTGTTAGAGTGACAAAAATCAACAACGCAGAGATCAAAGAAAGGTGAAATTGTATAAGCAGAAAATTGGTCAAAAAGAATTATTCTTGTGAGGGGATTAGCATTCACGTTTGCAAAGAAGATGGAAATTTGCTCGTGAAAGAAAAGAATGTTGACATCTGCTATTAGAACTGACTCAACTTACTAATAAAATATTCATAATATTCATAAACAAGTGGAATTTTAAACGAGCCGAAAACAGATGCCTGGAGTTCTTTGGATCTAGTTTAGAAAGTAATTACCAGCTTTCCCAAATAATCTTGAATCGAAAAACAGGTACACTGAGGGCACCAGCCAATATTCCAAAAAAGTGAGAATCATCGTTTTAACGTCTGAACAAATTTACACAGAGTCTTTGCATCCATTGCGTTTTCTCAGATAGAAAGATTCTTCCCTTTAAATAATCATCAAAGATCAGCAGCTTAATCTTTTTGAAGGTGTAATATTCCATGACTCAAGAAAGTAGTTTGTGTTTCTTTTAAACGTAACCGAACATAACCTCCATACTACAATCACTTCTTGATCTTAAAAATGTAGTATGCTGGATAAAAGAGCAAAAGTATACCAAATTATAAAAACAGTGTGTGTCTATATACTCTAGTACGAAACTTACAATCTTTCCAAGCTGCGTAGTGGTGAAGCGTTTATGTCCAACAAGTTTCCTATGATAGCGAATAGGCTTTCAGCCCATTCCTGTGCCACGGCTATAGACGGTGCAACGAAATTCGTAAAGCTGACATCAACCATGGTTGGCCCATAGCAAACAGAGATTGTTCGCTCCTGGACTGCAGCACTTTCTTCCTCGGAAGATGCATTTGCCCTGAGAGCTTCACGTACAACTGAATTCTACGAGGAAATCGAGATGATCAAAAACTTACTCCATGCGAGAGCAGATATCTTTCAAGGACCTGATATTCGCTAACAGGGAAAAAATAATCGTTACTTTACAAATCTGCTCAAATTACATCTTAGAATTCATGTATACAAAGATGTCTTGATGTTTTATATTCTGAAGAGTATCATATGAAAAGCTTAAGCATGACTCAAATTATTTGCTTTTTCAAAGCCATTTTTATGTTTTGTACCACCAAAAAACTGTATACAAGATAAATATCTGGATCCGCCCTGATAATATCGGAAAAGTAACTTTCAACCGGCCTGTGCCAAACATTGTTTAACAGACCGGTCAAAAGTGTTTTGTATCCATCTCAATAAAAAGCAAGGACCTTAACAAGCCAGTTTATTAAGCGAATTCTAAAAAGAAATAAATTATATTATAAACTTCATTAAAAGCAGGTTTTGTGTTCGTTCAAGTTTTATTTTATGTACTTATCAACACTAAACAGTTCCCCTCAATTAATGTTTCAACTTGTGCAACTTGATCACGCGCAACATGACTTTCAGAGCTAGTATAGAATGACAAGTCAAACAAACATATTCGGAAAACAATAATGTAAGTCTTGTGGCCGATATTCTATAAAGGAAGAACGTCCACTTTTCTCAGAAGTTCCTAATGAAAAGATACCGTGTCTATTACACGATGTTCTATCTAGACAGAAATCGCTATTTAAACATGAATAAAATTTTGCTGCAGGATATAGACGTTTTCCTCCAAAGCGCAAACATATATGATAAACGGGCTTACAGCTCTACTAAATACAACCGAGTAAAATTTTGCATTCACAAAAGATTGTTTGCAAATTTCGCATTCATTTTATTATTAAAATTTCATAAGTTACAACAATTTAACTTTTTTCCCAAGGAATTGAGGAATTGATTCAAGAAATTTTTTTCTTGCTAGAAAGTACTGAGCGAAAGACCATTGGAAGGTAACAGAAAATTTTGTAGCAAATAAAACGTATACGGTTTCAATCGCAACGCCAGTTTTGCAAGAGACAAGCTCTAAAACATTTTGGTCATGCTCATTAGAAAAACTATGGATTGTAAATCTAAACACTCTGAGTTCAGTATCCATGACAACACTACAGGGCGTTTCTGTTAGATCTTCTAACAAGATAATTATTAAGACAAGAACAGCGCTGTAATTGAGATCAGGTTTTTGGAAGGACTGATATTTTGAAACAATAATTAGAACACTGTGTTTGACAGTGCAAAGAAGAAACAGCAACTGAGAGCCTAGAGGCAGGTCAATAAAAGATTCAAGGTCAAGCTGTCCTGAGTCACATGAGCAATTTGACCAAAAACTTTACAGCTTGCAACGCTCATGTTTGTATCCTGGAAAGCTATCTCGTGAGTAGGGGCATATTCGATAAAAGAAACCTCCATCAACCTCCATAGGCTTTGTGAAACTTTTAAGAAATTTCATCTTTAAAATTCCTGTTTTCCATAGTATTTCTCTAAAATTCCTGTTTTCATAGTATCTTCTTTTTCATTTGAAAAATTGTTATCGCCTCGAATAAAAACAAAAATTCACAACAGGCATAATATCAAAACCTATCAATGGTAGATTTCCGTCTTCACGCAATGATAACAGAACTTGTGCCACCAAAAGGTGCACGACCACCTGAAAGATGGAAAATGCCCGTTGGAATTTGTGTGTATCGCTTGCCAGGCCAAGGGCTATACCTTCACAAGGTAAATACTTTGTTTTTGGTTTGACCTGGTAAAATTTATAAAGAACAAACCTTTGGGGATTTTGCATAATGGCCAAATCGCACATCTCGCACGTTAACCAGCTCAAGCACCTCTGTATCCTGAAAAAGAATTGGAGAAAATTTATGGCAACTTGATAATTTAAGCAATAACGCAGGCAAGATTATCGTTCCATGCAACCTTGAAAACCTCCAAATAATGGATGTCTGTGAGGCAAAGTTGGGCAAGGTATGAGTGCTGTGACCGTAAGAAAAACTTCTGGGATGATATTTTGGTCTGTGAATTAAAATTTGATAGCAAGGATTTCAATAAATGGATGTTTCATTGAAAGAGAAAGAGTCATGTTCTGGACTGTGCTGGCGTTATACTATCACCGATTGTTTAATCATATCATTACCAATCAGTATCGAGTCAAAACTGTCACTATTTCAGGAAAGCTTTCATGATTTGAGCAGTTCATAAACCATAACATATTTGTCAGCTTCTATCGATAACAGCTTCTAGAAACTGAAAGTGGTTTTGGCACTATCATGCTGGGAAGAAAATCGGATGTAAAAGGAAAAAGAAAACATCTAAGAAGTAGGGGTTAATTTCTAGCATTTCAAACTTTCGTGTTTAGACTGTTTCGAGAATCAAGACACCTCGGTTTGATGGTTCTATTGCCATCTTGAAGTTTGTTTAACAACGTCATTATCAATCAGGATTATCATCAGTTTTGAAAAAGCTAGATTTAAACGATGAGATGCGGTGATGAAGAAGGAATTTTCTGGAAAGCCTTTAATTAGATTTCGCTCGGGAAAGGATACGAACTGATCGAATTAACTAAGAAGACAGCTGTTGAAGTTATATGCAGCTTGTAATAACGGACTTGGTTGACATGGTATCTAGGGTAGAGATTTTTAAACAGCGCCTTATGCATTAGCCACACCTATGGTTAAGCCAGCGCCAAAGGAAAATAAGCTTTAGTCATCAATAATTGATAAGATAAAACTGATTTGTACATGCAATTGTATTTTAGCAAGACTGTTTTTGCATTGGTCACCTGTAGAATGCAACCTACGTGAGAATTAAATGTACTTCGTAGATTCTAGGTAGACAAAAAAAGAAATATGAAGAAACAATAAAAGACACGCGAAAAATTGCAAATTCGGGCAATAACATAACAAGGCAGATGAGCAGGCCTGCTTCGCCATGCAGCGTGAGACCTCTCAAATTCTCTGCATTTGACAAAAGCTTGATGGCACATGTATGGAAAGTGTGGAAAGCATATGTATATTTTTAGCCTAGAAAAAATAAGCACGAATCATGCTTTTCATTCTGATATGTCAGATATACTATAGGCTGGCAAAACAAACAAAAAAATATGCTAAAAGCCCTAGTCCAGCCATTCTTAAACTCCGATCCGCGGGCCAACTCCGGCCAGCAGCAAGTTTTTATCCGGCCCGCCGAGCGCTTTATCTCAAAAAAATATTTTTGGCTTGAATTCGATTTATTTTTGTTCTTGGACTGCTCTGATATTTTTTTCTCTGCAGTAGATGAAAATGTGCGTCCCGTTGACCAGTAGTTGGTCCGAAAGAGAGGTCCAAAAATAGGAAATGCTTTATTTAATCATTTAAACATTTTATAGCAAACTATTTTACTGCTTTCATTGAATTCAATAGGCTGTTGATAAACTTTGTTACAGTTTGAAGCTTTTAGTCCCCCTCTTCCAGAAAGTTATCCCTGGCCTTGGGCGTGTAATATTCGTCGGGTATTGCACATCCTCTAACATAAAGCCAGCATCATGTTCCTAAATGTTATCATCGTCCTCCCTTTTTTCTCTCCTCTCATCCACCATTCCAAATCTTATTTCATGAAAATAAGCGCACTACATAGATTTTATGAAATAGAATCTAACAAGAAATAATAGGCCTGCCTATCTTATATCTATCTACATTAGCCTGGTGAGTATGAGACCCGAACGTCATTTTTTGCAACTTTTTTGACACAAGCTATGTAAATGTCGAAAACTCAGCCCCCCCCCCCCTTCCCCTAGAAAATCCACATGTTTTTCTGGCCAGGCACTCACAACACAAAGAAGTGGCGTTTAATAGGGGAGGCGTTAGAGAGGAGGGCTCTAGGGTAATTTTCGAAAGTATTGAATCATTCATTATCATTCATGTTATCAGAAAGTGAAAGCAGACGTTGCCTAGCGACAAGAGTTATTTGCACTAATCTCAAAAAAAGACTGGATCGAACAACCTATTGTTCTCCTACATCAGCATGAGGAAGCCGATGGAGTCTCTTCATCTTGAGACCTTGAGACCTCTCGCGCCAGCTTTGGGCTACCATTTGTTAAAACGGGGCACACACAGTGCTGCGCCTTAAATTGTGCATTAATGATTAAATTCTTAAATATTCTAAGATACAACAGGCCTAGGAAAGGAAAATAAGTGATCAGTTGATTATTTGTTACACAAGCTTAATACCACGGCAAAAATGTTTAACGTCACTTACGAACGATGCAAGTTTTTGTTTCAAGGTTTACTTTGAATTTTGCTATGAAAAAGTAAGTTGAACGGAAACCAACATAATTGTTTTTTTGCGAGGTCTCAAGATGGACGCGGCAATATGGAATCAATGCTGGCCTGGAGAAGCTCGATCCAGTCTTTTTTTGAGATCAGTGGTTCTTTGTAGACATATCTCCTTAAGGTGGGACGGAAAGATCACCTTCAACTGTCCTTAAATTCCGGTCATAGTTAAGAATTTCTGGGGCAATCTGATTCTTGCTGACATCAATAACAATACGGACAGATGCTCGTAATCAGAGTGGATATTGGCGCCAAAACCTCATATCGCAGCGATCTAGGGCGCAATTATTCAGTAATATTTGATAATTTACCAAAACGCTAAAACTTAAACTAAAAAGGAGGCTGGAACAAAAAAGATAAGAACCAAATTTCTTATTTGAATACAACTTGAATTGATTATGCATCAAGATAAATTTAAAGGAGTCCCAATTTACAAAAAACTTTGGATGATTATCAGCAGATAACAAGGTACTAACAGTTCTTGTTGAGGAACTGTTTCTTCGTAGACGTGTAAGATAACAATTATTGTTGAATTGATACCGGGAGTTGAACTGTGGGATTCTGCTCAACTATAAGGAAACTGCTTAGTAATTCAAACACATGGATCTCGATACGTTGTTTAGGACTTGTAAATTAGTAAAGCAAAAAAACGTTGGGAGGACGCTACAGACGAGGGAGGGCGTTGGTTTCATGCTTGCTTCTGCAAGGTGGTTCTGGAAAAGTTTTGAAACAAAGTTGTCTGTCTGTTTCTTAATTGGTAATTGGTAAAAGACACTGGTAAATGAAAGAACTGATGTCAATGTTTACTTAGTCTTCCAAACTGCTGTATCAGCATGGTCGTCTTATATATAGTGGAATTGTCGATAGTACAGGGGTTTAAAATACGCTAAACTTTAGAAAAGAGGCCAGGGGCCGCGGAAGGGGGACTGGGGGCTTTACAGACCTGTCAACCCTCCCGGTTCAGCCGGGAGACTCCCGGTTTTGACTGCTTTCTCTCGGTCTCCCGGTTTTTAAAAATTTTCTCTCGGTTTCAAAGATGTCTAGCATGTCTAAGAAGATTCTTCACCAAATGTTCGATTGAACTGCGCATCTTATGCTTCAAAGACAGGTCCATTGTGTGTGTCTTCTTTTTATAGAGGTATAATTAAGATATAATGGTCACATTGACTTTCCATATGACAACAATTTTTTGTTAGTGATTACTGATTTACAAAAGAACACTAAAAGTTATTATGAAGAAACTTCTCATGACCACTTTTGTCATAAACTGTTTGCCGAGCACAACATTTTATCAGGTATATTTATTCCCGTAACAAATATTTGTGGTCTCCCTGTTTTTGACCAAATCTTCCTGTTTTTCTCTAGGAAAAATCTAAAATCTCCAGGTTTTGAAAATTTAAGGTTGACAGGTCTGGCTTTACCAAAAGATACATGGATGATGCGAGCCCCGTTCTATGGCAACATCGTTTCTAATATTAGGACAATATGGCATAAAAAGATAGATACAAGGGCTGTTTAATTGAGGGTATTGAATTGAATGGCTTGCTGATAAGACTCTGCTGTAATCAAGTCTGGTCGCCTAAATTATCTAGATTCTGGCTTCCGATAAGAGATATCAATTTGGTTTCACAACGAGCTACCGAGAAAAAACGTACACCGTGAGTTAATCTGCAAACTATCATCTGATATACAAATTCTAAAATTCTCTTTGCCTATTTTGCTTGAAGGACGCTTGCGAAAAATAATGCAACAGGTTTCATTATTTTTGTTTAAAACCGATCAAAACAAACATTTTCTTTTAAATTGCTTTTCTTTCGGCATACAAGTGAATTTAAGCCTGTATACATATGTCAGTTGTTTTTATTAAAACGTAAGACGTTGGCTTATTCATAGAAGAAACCGTTCGAATCTTGTTTTATAATTTATTTTCTAAGTCATGTCTCTTGCACCTAACTGGTTTAAGCGATGGAGCTATTGACGATGGTCTCATAAAGTCTTGAAAACTGACTGTCATTGGGGATTGCAGAATTCGCTTAGAGCGATCTCATTAAGACACAACGGTACAAATCCGGATTTCAAAACAAATAAGAACATGACTTTATTAGTTTAATCGGCATCCGCTTCTCATTTGTTCAAATATTTATTGAATATTTATGGTGTATTGACTGCACAAATGCCTAATATATTTACACTCTTTGGAGACTAGCTCAACACTATGAATATCAAACAATCGCATTCAAAAGGTATTTTCAATAGCTTCTTTTCCCAATCTAATTACCAGACATCAGTTAGGTCAATATTGCTACATAAGCTGACCATTGCAGATGGCCTTCCAAGATTGCCAAGAACAAAGAAAGTGGGGAGCAAGGGGGAACTCAACTCCCAATAAATACTCTGGACAGTGTTTCTTAGCCAGCTTAGAATAGGTATAAAAGGAAGTTATTCAAATCACTTACAGTGGAGTGGACCAAAATGCATGCTGTTTGGCCATGGTTATCGGCCATGGCAGAGCAAGGGGCTAGGGTGCTTTAACCCTCCCCCAATCATTTTTAAAAAATGCAAAATATTGAGCAATGAGCCATCAGTAAAGGCCCTTTTTATTTGGTTTTAGCCCCCTACCCCTTTTTTGAACCCCACTTTCTCAATGCTCTGTTGTGCCTAGTCATTTGGGCATTCAAAACTAGCAGAAACTTCCATTGTACCCCTATATGTTCTAGCCCATCTGTTCTTTCAGCACACACTTTTGAGTGATTCAAACTGATTTCTACAAGAATATTTTGAGAAAACCTGAGAATTTATTGTTTTATAAGTTAAATCTTCAAGTCAAATAAATTCATTGATAAAAATTGCAAATGCATATATATAGCAGGAGAATAACAGAGAGCTCTCTCAGCAAATTGCTTAGACTCTGTAGTAGAATTGTAAGTTTATTGATGAGTATGTTTTGAACAACAGTCTACAAGCTCATTAAAAGGTCTTTTTATACTTACCTTAGATGAGGCAACAAACAAATCGATTTTGATAAAAAAAATATTAAATTCAATTGGTAGGAAAACAGCTTTGTTGAGTAATGAAAGTTAAAATGGAGAGAACAAACTATAAAATTGTTTTGTTTGAACTGAATCAGGTTCAAAACAACAGACAGTTAGGAAGTCATATGGCTTCTAGCACCAAATTTAACATTGTAAAGTGAGTGTGTGTTATGATAACTGTTGGATTCAATGAAACACTTAGCCAACTAACTCCAAACATTGAGCATACATTTACAAACAACATAGAAGCCGCTTGAATAAGGTAAGTTTTTGTTGAAATAGCATGAATGATTTTTGGAAGAGAGAGGTACAAATAATCAGTTGACCCATGAAACAAACAGCAACAAATCAAACATAGGTGAAAGACAAACTTTATCAATAAGTTTACAGAAACAGGGTCGAAAAGGCAGGGCATAATCTGATTTGCCTATCTGTAATTTCTGTAAATTGCATATTTGAGAAGATTCTAACCTACAGATAAAATATTCAAATAAAAAGATTCCGGAATTGGTTATTAAATTTACCTTGCTATAATCTTCTGGTCTCCAATATAATATGTGACCTTTTGGGTCAACCTGCACAACATATATCGTGGATGCAGCTGTGTCTTGCTACAATAAAGATTTAACATTGCATACAAGCAAGGAAAAATGATTTTCACAAATATAAAAATGGCATCATTCAGAAACCTAATTTTCATCTAATAATGTTAAATTGTAAGTCTTTAAAGAGGGTTTCTTTTCCTTAGCTAAGCTAATAACAGACACTGATTTCAACAAAATTTTTCGGTGACAGTGAACATTTGCACGTCACGAGAGCAAAGTCAGAAAACAAGTATCATTGTGGTTTATCAAAACTAAACAACTAAAGGAATATAGTTTTGAATGTTCTTAAATCCTAGTTTGGTCAATTGGATGTTACTCTGATATCATAAGATTGTCAACCAAACTTAAGGTTTTAATTAAAATTGTCAACCTTTGTTCAACACTTCTCTAGGCATAACTCTGTCCAAATTTATACATAGAGAAAAGTATTTAATTTATGAATTCCATGTGTACTCTCAACAATATAGTTTAGAGATAGCAAAGTCATTGCTAATTAAGGAAATATAATCTTGAAACATTGCTGAAACTCAGAGATTCTTTGCAAAAATAGAATGCTTTGTTCAGTCAATCGATGTACTTACAAAAGCTTCTCTTCGTTTGCTAATACACAATGCCTAGCCCGTTGCTAGGAGCGTACTTTTTGGTCTTAACAAAACGTTTGTTTTATTACATTCTTGTTATTAAAAAAATCTATTTTTTGCATACTAAGAATGGTCTTAGTGCAACAACACATCAGAAGAAATGACATGGAATGATTTGATTCCACGTTTCACAATTGTAAAGTTATTCTACATTTTAAAAAGCAAGCTAAAATCATATTTCGTGGAGATATTGCAGGAAATCCTCAATCGTGATTTTCCGACTTTTAGGTCTCAATCAGAACGAGATGATCAAATTGATCTGATTTCAAAACAAGGCGCATTCTTGCAACTAAACACAAGGCTTAGCAAAGAATTGACTTGTTTGAAATAAAAATCAACATATAACAGCTAAATCTTCAGAAAAATATTATCTTGAATGGTGCGCAGTGAAATCAGATCTCTTCATGATTTATAACCTGCTGGGGGAAACATACACCTCGTCGATTTGTATAAAACTTTTCCAATACCACAAATACAAACATGACTTTTTGACAAAATTCATACTCAGGCAACAGCAAAGTTAATAAAATTATATTTGATAAGTAGAACAAACTTACATCATCCCATTTCAGGAATTTTGATGCGCTGAGAAGTACCGGTGCAACGGAAACTCGCTTGAGAGCTTCCGCAACTACACCAGCACCCGCCATCTTTTGTGTAAACCGAAATGTTTACATGATCATCTTTTTTGTTTTCAGCAGCACCTCATTTACATTTTACACCAAGGTGCCGTCATTATGTCGAGACGCGCTTTGAGCGCGTCCTGACCGCGTCCTGACCGCGCTTTATCAATACAAATTAAGCTTATAAACCAAGTAGCGTATGTAGAAAGGATATAATTATTTGAAATAATTAAAATCATTTGTTTCCAATAAGTAATTCCTTTTGTCCTTTTTTGGAGGGGCACGATCTCCTCTCTTAGAACTGTTGTCATTACAACTACACCAAAGCAAGGTAAATAAGATTGGCTTTTTCCAGAAATACGTTATAGAAATTTTGCTGTGATCTACCAAGCCGAGGGGGCATTTGGCATATAGGCATACGGGAGGGGGGGGGAGTCCTAGAACTTCATATGTTACCCGAAAATATCTGCTCGTTTTGACTGAGACTTGAAAATATCTGCTCCACTTAGCTATATCTTGTAAATTATCAGCTCGACGTAGCTATACTTTATTAGATCAGATCGAGATATTGCTTTATCTTCAAAACCAAAAGTTTTAGTTTGTCGAAATTTGATGACAAAAATTGTCAGGATTGGTATCTGAAGCGTGACAAAGAAAGCAAAAAGGACAAGTGACAAAGAGATTTTTTTTCCCTAAATTTTCCTTTGAGGGGCAAGAGGGCAAAAGTGCCTTTTTCACGAAAATGCCATTGGTTTGTAATTATCAAAAAATTCTGACTGTACGTGACGATATGTCTCAAAACTTGCAAAGAAATTTCTTGTGCCAAGGGTTGGTCGATTTTCAAGATACTTACAAAAGATCGAAACAAAATGACAGTTGCGAAAGAAATGTTGGTAGCTTGGAATTGTTTTTCAAATCCACTTTTACTCAAGTCTGCCCCCTTGCCCCTTGTTCGTTCCGGCGTCCCTGGATAAAGATATATATCCATTAAAAGCGGTGCATTCCTTGCACGTTCAGCTACAAATTCAAGACGTATGGAACTTAGCAAGATAAAATTTTTAGGGGTAAAATCTTCTTCTAATATTTTCTCACAATTACACGAATATTTGAGAAATATGAACTATATGTCAGTTTTTTCTAATGCTGTCAATTATGAATCGACCTCTTTCCAAATACTGCATGAAAAGGGTTACTGCAAAATTTTGTTGATTATATTTTTCATTTTATGATTTTAAGTTGAATTGAGTCTTTGTTATAGTATCGTATCAGATAGCATGTGTCTGACGCATTTTCGTATGAAAAGGCTTTTGAAGTGATGCGGGCTAACGAAAAGCTTCTTTGTGATAACCACAAAAACCTGTCTTTTAGCCTCAAGGCATTTTGTATGAGGAATTCAAAACAGGTTGGAAACCTGACCAAACTAAGAAAGCTTGATTTAACTGTAAAATAATTTGAATTTAATTTCGGTTAAGACAGATAACTATACATATTACTCTAAAATTTTTAAAGATAAAAGCTACTGGGTGAAAATAATTTAATTTTTCAATTTCTTATTTCCATACCATTCCTTATTAATTGCAATTGCTTTTACTAATTTCATTTTATTGATGGGCTCAATTTAACTATCATTAAACGCATCTTCATTACCATCCAAATCCCCCTTATCATGACTATCATCTTAACCAAGATAAAATAATAGATTTTATCTTGTCTTAACTTATATCACTATTGATAGGGATAGCACCAGCGACCATTTCAACATTTGATAATAAATAACCTAAAACATTATCTCTGTACGTAATACCTAAGTGCGGGTACAGTAGTACCGTCAATTTTTTAATTGCCCCCCTTGAAGCCCCACCCTAGAACTACATACAAACTGTCAATAAGCCCCCCTCTCGATTCGTTGACTTTTGCCATCTGAGATTACCTTTGGCGTTTTATACTACAAAAATTCACACTTTTAGTAGCAATTAATTAAATGTTTATGAAGAAATTTCTACTAAAATATGCGAGGTCTTTTAAAAATGTCTTCCTAATGTCTAGTATAATTTTGTAACCCCCCCCCCCTAGAACCCTCCATCAAAAAATAAGCCCCCAGGGGGCTAACTCGAGGCTTTACGGTATTTGTGACCAGTGATATATAATAATTCAAACCATCTGCCTTACATTTAGTTATAAATAAGGAACAGCGCAACGTGACGAGAATAAACAACAACAAACACACAAATAAGTGATGGTCATATTTCGCCCCAGCATACGGGGCTTCATCAGAGCAAACGTAAACGAACTAAAAATTTACAAATTAGTAAGAGGCGATGGTGGTGTCGGATTGGTTGATGTGGAATGATGTAAATGCAGCGCGGCGGAGAGGAAACAGGTAATGGTGTGGAAGAGGGAAGGGTGGTGAGTGCTACAGTGTGGGTGGTGGTGGTGGAATGAAAGTGTAATGAGGGTGGGCAGTGGTGATTACAATACAAAGTTCTGAAATTATTAAAAAATTACGATAATAGTGACAATAGTAGTAAAAAATAAATTTTATAGAAAAAAGACAATGATAACAGAAATTTAGAGAGTAACGACAATGATTGTAAAATAGTAATGTATGGGTGGTAGAAAAGTGACGATGTGGATGTAATGTAATTATGATGGTGTGTTGCGGTAAAGTTAACTGTCATTTGTTCGGTTCATGCCGTTCGATGTGAGAGTGTTTGCCAAGCTACTCTCCTCCGCAAAGGCTATTGGGGAGGGAGATTGGGAGGAAAAAGGATAGGATAAAAGGAACTGCAGAAGAAAGGAAAAAGTGGAGGAACTGCAAGGAAGAAGGAGGAAGAAAGTAGCATCCTTCCTCTCCTCCGCCCCCTCCAATTCTCCGCAGCTTTATCATTTCTCCCTCCCGCAGCTTCACCATTTCTCCCTCCCCAGTAGTCACCATTTCTCCCTGCCCAGTGACCTCTGCGGAGGAGAGTATTGCCAAGCCAATGAAGTATTGCTCTTTGGCTCGTCAAACACTTTATCGTTTGTCGTTGAGTTCTTGGTTGCAGTAATTGTGTTATAGTAAGTTCATTGATGGTATGTTCTGGGCTGCAGAAGTGTTCTGCAACACCAGAGTTGTCTACTTTTTTGTTGATAATGTCTCGTCTGTGTTCGTTAAATCTGTCTTTCAGTCGTATGCTTGTTTGTCCGATGTATTGGCAGTTCTTGTTTCAGTTAATTAAACAGCGTTTGCATTGTACACGCGTAAATAACGTTAGTAGAGTTGCAGTCCAGTCTTTGTTTTATGTCGTAGTTTTTGTAAGTGTTAGTAAAATCAAATGTAGTAGTACCGTCTGTGATTTGTTGGCATGTTATGCAGTTACGTCGCGAGTGGCATTTGCAAGTGCCTCTGGGTTTACTTGGTGTGCCACTTTTTATTCTGGCACGAACCAGTATATCCCGGAGGTTTTTAGGTCTGCGGTAGCTGAGTATAGGAACGTCAGGGAAGACTTCTTTGCATGTTTTGGAGTTCTGTAATATGTTTATGTTTTGTTTGAAGATAGTTGTGGTAAAGAGGGGTGATAGGTGACAACAAACGGTGTTCTGTGATTTTTTCGTTGTTTTGTGGTTTCAGGCAGTCCTGTCTCGTTTTCAGAAGCCTTCCTTAATTGCTTGGGTGTCTGTTTTGTTTTTGTAACCCGTTTGGTCCAGTATTGTAGTAGTTGTTTTGTATGAAGTTTGTATGTTTAGTCTTCCGAGCAGGTGCGTCGTAGTCGTAGGGCAAGACTGTATGGGATGGACTGCTTGGTGTGTTTGGGAGTGTGCGGAGGTGCTGAGGAGACTGGTGTGGTTCTATTTAGTTGGCTTGTTTATGTTTAGAGGCTATCTATATTTAGCCAAAATATTCTTTAACCACCAAAATTTTGATGAATTTAAACGTAATATAAATTTTTCGTTACAAATTTCACCGAAAAAAATTGACTACGAAATTTTTTTAACATATCTTAATCCAATCTGAAAAGCAAGACTCGTGTAATGACTTTTATAGACCATACGTGACTGTAAACACACTTTGCATAAAATTGTGCAAAAAAGACTTGCAATTTTTTCAATTTCAATTTACAAAGTATTTCTCACAAAGTATTTAAATTTCAATTTAGATAGGTGAAAAACAGAGAATAAACAGGCAACAATGTATCTATAATTTGAATTTATTTGAGAAAATTAAACAAAAATTTCCCCAGATTTTTTGCGTTTTGATTCCTTCAGATGTTCTAACAAATGCATGAATATCTCCCTTAGATCGTGCCTCTCTTCAGTGTGCAGATCGTTGTGACTACGGAAAGAAAAGAACAGAACATAACTGAGAACTGTAGTACTGTAGGTGAACAAGGCTTAGATGCAAAAATCAAGTATCAAGTAAGTTTCAGACATTACGGTATCATCAATGAACGACTTGAAGTTTGCTGTTATGTTGGGTTGATTCATAAAGTTATCAACAGGGAAAAAAATACCGCGATTTGATAAAAAAATTGTGCCATTTCCCGTCGATCAACTAATTTGTGGCACATTCAACTGATTTGTCATTTTAGAGTCCAGATAACGTGAAAAAGCATCATGATTGCCTCTAAAATTCTGGACCAAATTTGAAGATTTTTAAAATCAGTTGACTTGAGACCACTTTGAGAAAATGCTTTAGACTGACAGGGGTGGGCATGACAAACGAATATAACTAATCTCAAGCCCTGGGGCGTAGCTAGAGGGGAGTATAGGGGATGCGACACCCACAATAGAGTTCTTAAGCGTGTCTTAATAAAAAATCAACTTTTAGAACATTTGGGTTTTAGAATTTAAAATTATGAGCCTAAACACTCTTATTAACAATATTCTTTTAAAGATTGTAGGGGTTTTCAGATAAAGCAATGAGATTTCCGACAAAGGTGTATGAGATGTGCATTGAGTGATTTGCCTCCTTCATGGTCTTTATTCAACGCAGATCATTTCGCACTCTATTATTTTCTTTTTTGCGCAAGTACAAGTAAAATTTCTCACTTGACTAAAACGCTATCTTTTTTCACGCATTCTCAATTTAAATCTCATCAGTTCAAATACAACGTCCAAGAATCCAGCTCTTAGTTAGGGTTAAATATTCCAAAATCAATTATTAGGTCAAACATCAGCTTTGTAGCTAAGTTACCCAGGTAAGAATCGTTCTATGACAATAATCGATTATTTCGTTGCATTAAACCACTATTGGTCGGTTAAAATAGAGAAAAAATTTTGTGCGCAATTCTACAAAGAAAATTAACACCCACGGTTATCAACCCTAACAGGCACAATTAAAAATTTAGGCCCTTATCTATGCCACCTCTTACATCGCGACGAGACCACAGCAGACGCGGAAAGATGCTCTTCCTTAATAAGTAATGCGGACTTCAGATAAATATAAATTCAGGAAGTTAGCAACTGTTTATCTCGATCGAGCAAACGCAGACAATGCGAAAACAACAATCTCTTAGGTAAAACGACCAGCCGCCAGGCTGAGCCAAGCTTTTACGACAAAAACCAAGGTTTTTGACGCATTAAACACGACCAAATTGCGGTGCGATAAAAAGATAACATTTAAGATTAACGTTATTTTTCAAACCAAAATACTGCCTAAAGAACAACCTAAAAATAAAAAAGCAAATACTGAATTTCATTGTTTACCCTGGCTGGTGTTTCTACAGGTAACTAAAAACGTCGTCTTGTGACACAAGGATTTATGATCTTACAATAAAGCCATTTAGGCAACATATATTTTTCTCCGATTTTTGAATGGAATATGCTGCTTTGTTAACTAGAGTTTATAATCTTAGTAAAAAGCGAAAATTTGTTAGAGTAAAAATGTAAATTATTATATAATAAAGTCACACGAGAACAAAATAATGCAAGAAAGCAAAACAAATAAAAAAAACTCACCATTCACAAATTCGTTGATAATTTTGATAAAACCAATCATAATCCAAACTTTGATAAGCTTTGCTCATTTCAATAACTAATCTCAGTGAAGATGAATCTTCATTTAAAGAATTTTCTTTCTTTTCCTCTAGCAATTTACCGGCCAGTTTGTCCAATCTGGATTTTAAAACAGAGGCAGAGCCATAAGAAAATACATACTGAAGTTTTAAGCATAGGATTCACCCCCCAAAACAAATCACTGACCACGCAAATAAAGTTGCAATTTAATTCAATCGCAAAAAACAACTGAAAAGCCAAAACCCACTTTATTAGTTTTGTGATAGAATGCTTTCAATTCCTGGTCAATTTATATAAACCCTGAAATAAGATAATTTGCATAATTTTAAGCCTTGTTAGTCAGTTTGGTAGATAGCAGTATGCATGGAAAAATTTGGAACGATGCAGATTAATGTCAGTAATTACAGATGCAGAAACGTAAAACCACTTGGTAATACTAAATGAAACTCAAAGATGCTTTGCTAAGATGGGCTCTCTATACCTTCAGGCTGTCAACAAGAAGTAGAGCAAAGGGACTCAATATACAAGCATTAAATTACGTGTGTGTATTGAGAGGAACCATAGAAACCTAAACTTCTTAACTTTGCTTCACCTGTCTTATGTATGTGATAGAAACTGTTTACCATATTTCGAGCAAATGCATTCTAATTTCGATATTAGTCTTCATAATATCTTATTTATTTATGTGGAAGCTTTTGAATTATCATCACAGCCTCCCAACTTTGACGATGATAAAATTCTAAAATCTTACGATCGACATTTCTCTTTGTCTCCAGAAAGGAGAGCTGTCTCGAAGGCATCTTTCAGGAGGCAAGTTGCTGCTGTGACGTCATTTTTATCCAGTTGGATACTGAACTCGTCAACTAAACAGCTCACTGAAAACAGAATGTGATTACCATGCAATATTATGAGCTCTACATTTACAAAGCAAATACTATAAATTTATAGTAAAACCCCGAATATAGGTGTCTGAAGTCTCGGGGGGTTGGGGTACCTTATTAGGTTTTGAGGTACGGGGGCGTGCCATTATCTACGGGCACCTTTTATCTGAAAAATGCAGAATTGTCGGCGTCAGTTATTATTAGTTGCAGAATTATGGTTACCATTTGAAGAAATCTGCAGAATTATGGGCTCCAATTTTGGGAAAATATTGCAAAATTATTAGAAAGGAAAGTTAGCATTAAGAAAATGAATGTCCAGTTAGAAATGAAATTTTGGAATATGCGTAATATTGAGATTTGGGGGCAAAGAACGTTCACAATTTGTTTGATATTTTTGCTGTGTTTTGAAAAGGTTGCTTGCCTTGCGGAATTATGGGTATAGTTTTTATCATGTTTGCGGAGTTATGGGTCAAAATTTTGAACCAAAATGGCACATCCCTGTCCAAAACTAGGCTTAGTTACCCCCGAGCTGGAAGTTAAAGAGTGATATGCATAGCCAATTAAATAAGCACCTTGTTTACCCTAAATTTTTAAAAAGGTTTTTTAAAGGAATTAAACTTCTATTCCTGTTATCAGGGTAGGCATTAGCAGCATAATCAATAATGAAGATAGGAAAATCAAAAACAACGAAAAAGCATACTGAGAACGCAATTACAAAGCAACAGCTTTATGAGAACCTAAATTGCGAATCACTAAAAGATACTTACTAAAAAAGAATCTACTTTGGTCGTAGAATCTACTAAAGTAGGGTCTTAAAAGCGGTTTTCTACTGTAAATAAATTTGAAGCAATCCAGGGATATAGTTCAAATCAGCTCATTTTCTCTTCTCTAAACTGAGGCAAAAATCTTTCTTTAGCGCTTCTATTGTTTAAGTGTTTCTTTACGATAAAATGTCGTACAAAAAAAGAATTCCATTAAAAAAACCTTGGAAGCTCTAATTTTTGATTAATGAAATTACCCACCAGAATAATCAAATTTCTGAGCTTTTCTATAGATGTCTGATAATTGTCTGTTTGCGGTGTACGTGTCTGTCCATCTTCTCTCACTCTTGGCTGATACAGCTGCTAGCGTGGCTAGGAAAATCGGCCAAGACGAAGTCGTATTTCCAGCAACTCTGCGGATGAAATTACATTTGTGTTCATTAAAATGGGACCATAAAGATTATACAGTATAATAGAAAATGACACTCTCGTGATATGCTGGAAAGAGATGAGAGCAGTTCAACTGAAAACCACAGTGGGTCATGTGAAAGTAGCATCCCTCAGCGGCAGACACGTCCAAGGGTCAGATATTGTCACAGATGTGTCATAGTTTAGGCCTGGGGTACCAAACTTGCGGGTTTAAACTAGCCCTGTTAGAGGCTCAATTCTACCTGCAGGACGATCCTGAAAGTAGAAACGTGGATGAAAAGTCACGAAGTTGAAATTCTTAACAATCTGACATTCCTAGGTTGTCCGCTAGGGTCCCACTGGCTTAGTAGACGCAACAAAGTGCCGAGGCAAAGAAAAATCGTTTTGAATTGCTCCTACAATGGCTTAAAAGTTGCGGGGAATTGATTAAGGTATTAAGAATTTATATCTTGATATCAAATTATAGGTTTTATAAAATATTTTTCAGTTTGATATACCTGTGGCTATTGGTTTTTTTGCCTTTTTACAATCCTAGTGCTCAGTTATAACGCACAAATGAAATCCCAAACTGAGACAAATATGCACAGTTTAATATGCATTTTTTTTAAATTTCTGAGGTTGCTCATAATATCTTTTGTAGAAGGACAGTTTTTTGAATACAACGATATTCCTAACAAATTTGCACTTGTTTTCGCGAAAACAGAGAAAAAATATGACGTTAGTTTATTTTGGGGAATTTTAGGCAATTTGGCAATGATTTTACTGGTCACGCCAGCCTGGCTTTAAATTAGGCTGTATATGGCTCTTGCACTAGAATGAGCTTGACACTTCTGGTCTAGACATCTTGTGGCGTCTAGGTGAGATTTATCCCACGAAAAAAACACTTAAAGGCGCACATAATATGGGTTGGGTAACTAACAGCTCAAAATAAATCAAAATATAACAAAAGCACATTTTCATTGGCAGGCAGCGATAAATCTGACGCCTTTGCTTGCTACTTTGTGCAGTTAAACAAGTCTTTTAAATATTAATTCTAATACATGCATACCAGGTGCTACTGCAACTCAAAATATGAGTTTTTCTATCAAAGAGCATTAGTTAAATTGCATCAGGGTCTTGAAGAAAAGGCGGGATTTCCGAGGAAATTACTCCAATCAAACAGATTCAGCAAAAATCACTTACAAATCTATAGATCTTATTAGCAAAACATGTATCTGGAAATTTAGTTTACATCGAAGAGCCCTTAACATAAACGATTACCTTGAGAAAATTATTGTGCTGATTTCATAATATTCTAAAATATTTATCGGAACACTTATGCAGCAAAGAAAATACTAGTGAACTAGAATAGCAATGCCCAGCCTTCAAAATATAATAGAGGACAGACAAACACCTGCAAAAATCCTTGCATTTTACTTGGAGAGAAATATATCAAGATATTTGTTTCGATGGAATTTTCAATCATAGAACCTTTATTTTCATAAAGCTAGTACTCAAAGGCCTTTAATGTTGCAGATAAATGGTGAAACGTTAAGAGTATTTTCATAACACACATTTACAGTTTTAAGGATTGCTAACGTAATTTCTACATTCCCCTTCAAAACCTCTTTCTCTTTCGCATGCAACTCTTCCTAACAATAGCTACACTACAGTCAAGTTATGTTCTAACTGAACAATTAGCTAGATATTTCTCAATCACTGTCTCAGTCAATTAACGTAATCTACTTGAAATTTGATACAGAAGGGGAGTGGTGTCAATCACACCATTTTTTTTAATCCCTCCTATATCGAATTGAGCATCATGCTAGAATTTATTCACCAATTGCTGTATGTTTGCTACTTGCCCATAACCCAGAACTATGCGAACGCTGCATCCAACAAGACAAAAAAGATTAAAGACCCTATAACAGGAAGAAGCTCTTCTCATGCAGTACCGTCTAGAGAGGGGGGGGGGGCCGGGGTAAATTTCCGGGGCCCGGGTCTCAAGAAGGCCCAGGGAAAAGTTTTGCCAATGCAAAACAATTTTAAAAAAGGGTCTTGTTGGACCCTCATTGTTGGACCCTCATTGTTGGACCCTCATTTGTTGGAACCAAGTTTATTATATTGTTTGTCGTTTGATTAATTGTTTTATCGACCTTGCCTTTGTACCACTGTGCAAGGGCCCGTGCTGTTTACAGCCTCAGGGTCAGAACTGGCTCCCGACGGGCCTGTACTCGTGCAGGGTGTTTGGTAAATTTGGCACTCTGACTGTCACAAATGCAATAGTAAAAAGCCAATCTGCGCTACGTGAAAACATTAGCTTGATAAAACCACAGAATAGAAAATACGCAGAAGGTGAACTCCGGTCATTTCACGGGATGCGCGCGCGAATGAGGCTGCGATTCAGATCGAGTTTAAATAAACTAGAACATTATCGATCGTACAGGAGCCAACCTACACTTTTCTGGAGTAACCTCGTCGATATGACTGGAACCTTAAAGATAACTTTGAATAAATTGTTTAATTATGCGGTTGTCATCTTTAAACATTTTCTTTTCCCGCTGGTATAGCAGATAACCTACAAATTTCTGCCAGATCCCGCTCGGTAGGTAAGCTGGGCTAGAAATAGCCCTTTTAGAATTGATCAACGTAAAAAGTCAGTTCTTATGATAAAGAATTAGAAATAAGAGCTATTTGTAAATGTAGTTAACAATGACGACTTTCATTCGAAATATTTTTCAGTGTGGAAAGGATTATTTTGTGAAAATCACATTCCTGCTGTTTATTCTACGGAAGTAAACAAACGAAGGCCCATTCGCGAACCGCACGATAGAAAATCGATGATGGTTCAAAATATGTTAGCTACGGTTAACCTGTGTACAGTTTTGAATTTTGCTGTAATTTCTATATTAGTTATTGGGAACAACTATGCTATAATTTTTTCCAATCTTTAGAAATGTCTAGGCATTTCCCGAACCGACTTTCGCATAGGGGAGGGGGTGGGTCATAAATAATCGAAAACTGCATAACAATAATAAAGACAAGGTTTATCGAAAGAATTATTTATAAAATTGTAGATTAGATTAATTGTTATGCAACTATTTTTGCCGCAAGTTAATATTACCACCTATATTTTGACCGATTCTACTATCATACAGTGCTGCATTAACGAGACGTGAAACTGGGCAAAACCGGGCTAAGCGTTTAAAAGATAAGAATACAAACCAAACGATAAAGTTTGTAATTAAAAATTTGAACAACAAATCATTGATTCGCTATACATTTTTTTCCTCGCAGCAACTGAGGAAGACTGTCGCCATCCCTCACCCAAACCTCTGCACCAAAACGAGTTTATGGCGCAAACCTATTGTTTCTTCCTACTCTGACCACCTGAGGTTTGTGCACGCAAACTTCAAAGGTGCCGACCGAGAGTTCACCTTCTGCGTATTTTCTATTCTGTGATAAAACTTACAGATTTGCATAAGTCGTTAACAATCGGAAATGGCCATCGTAGCTGTAAAAAGAGTCCACAGTCCCCCTGAAGGAAATAAACAGATCCTATTAGTTAGAGAAGAGGTTATTTTACTGGATATGAATGAAAATCGTAGCTGGCTTTGCTTTTGCATTTTATTAAATGCAACTTTGCATGCTTATTAAGAACAGCCTCTTTGAAAGACGTCATTGAAGTGTCTTTCAGTGAAATTCATGAAAGTCTGATTAAGCTTTGCTAATGAACAAATAATGATATTTACCAGACTGTGAAAAATTTAGTCAGTATTCAGTAGCAAGCTTATCAAGGAGAACAAATCATAGAAGGAATCATATAAAAAGGAATATTTGTGGTGCTTTCCAATAAGCATACATACTCAGTGTTCCATCTATTATGCTCATATGCTAGACAGAAACAAATGGATGGGTGATATAATATGATAGTACCGTTCTTGGTCATTGAAATATTTTCTTCTTTTCAAAGATTGATACAGTGCCTCGCATTTCTTTAACAGCACTTCTCTCACGGTACAATCCTATGTAATAAAAATCGAAAATATAAGATGCTAAGGAACATAAAACAACTTTTTGTCTGTGAACTAACAATCACGTATACTGATTTTTGCTATTTGATATTCATTATATGACACTTATCAATAACAAATTGCTCTGTGTTAGTCACGAGGGTGTTATTTTTTCACAGACTTCATGTGACCGCATATAATATTGATGACCACTTCCTGTGACCACTCATATGAAAAAAAACTATTTTCTTGTGATTTCCTGTCACCTGTCACCAATGGTCAAACGGGCATGGAGAAAATAACGACCTGTTATAAAGTTTCTTTGGGTCTTTGCCAAACCATAGCAAATAGGTATTTTGCGTGTTTTGCGTGTTCTGGTGTTTTTGCGTGCATACGTGGAAGAAACAAAAGAAACAAAGATAACTGAACTAGAGCATTATAATCTGGTGAAATATCTAACACAAACAAAAAGTTGAAAAATACCCCATAAAAGAATTGCAACTAAACATGGTTGATGGGTATTTTCTACCAGTATGATGGACAGACGCATTTTCGTCCCTAGACATGTTTCGCTTTCGAGTTATTTTACCTAGACATGTTTCCATAACCAGCTACACTCATTTTTTTATAAGAAACTGGCTATAAGAAACGAGTACTGGACAGTCAGAAAAATTTAAGAAACTTCAATACTCGAAGCAAAAAAATTAAGAAACTATGAAATCGTGATAAAACGGAGAACAACGAAATTTTGTAAAATCCAAGCACAAGATGGCCTAGAACTTAAGACACAAGGGATAAAAATATACTTCCCACATCTAAATACAGTATCGGAACGGAAGCGAATCTCTTGACGTGATAAAAAAGGTCACGAACATTTCATAACATCATTCATGACATCATAATTAAGAAACTCTTAAGAAACAATGAGCATTGAAATTTCCAGAACATTAAGAAACTGGATTACTCAACATCGACCTTTGTTTCTTATAAAAAAATGAGTGTAGTCCTCATTCATGGCAGTAAGCCACTTGTTTCTCTGTTTTTTATGAACTATCACTGCTGACATGTTTTGTATTTTGATAATTACGTCATAACATAAGCTACCTCTGCAATATCTTTCAGACTTTTGACATCGTAAAACAGTGACAGTGAATTTTCAAGTAGTTCATCGACTTTCTCCCAAGTTAACGAAGACTCCACTTGAACCAGAAGTAGCTGTGCTTCAGCAGCTACTGATCGAAAGTCAAAAACCTAGAAAAGGGTGTACTGTATTTCTAACTTTACTAAAAACATTTAAAAAATAGGAAATGCTAAACAGTAGTATTTTTAAAATGTTTGTTTTGACATTATCTATAAAGAAGTTATAAAAAGCTGTATAGCTTGGCTAATACCCTGGGTACCGGATTCACTTTATATAAAAAAAGAGAGCCTGATTCAGTGCGCCCGGACCTCATTCCGGTGAACTTATTTGAAAAAACTGTAGTCAATTTAACAGACTGGAAACTAGGCCTGTGAAATCAGACTGTCGGATAAATAACAAAGATACATACTCAGCAGTCAGTGGAGTTTTGGGAAAGCTTAAAGCAAATGTATTTTATACAGTTCTGTAAAGTCGACATTATTAATACAGTGGTAATAGACTTTTCTGCCTCAAGATTCCAATCAAATCAGGTTAAAACGCCATTTAGCAACAAAAACATGTGCGAAGCATGAAATCAAAGTTAGAACAATGCAGTTATAAAATGTTAATCACTAATAAATTTTGTATAAAATTTTGTATAAAACGTATAAAAGTTTTTTGTAATATTTCTCATGAATTGTTTGTACTTTCAAAATCTTCTTCCTCATTGTGAAGGCAGCGCGTTTCGACCACTGATCTATATAAAAGACTTTTTATAGATCAGTGGTTTCGACACCGCGGCGGTTAGCCTCGATAATTGAAACTCTGTTCTCTGTGCTAGTTTGATCTCTGTTCTCTGTCACACAAAATGTTTACAATTGTATGACGTCATTGTTTACACAGCACAGCTAATTAAATTATTAACTTTTGAATTAATTGCTTATATGATGAATAATCTTTGTTGCAAATTTGGTTATCATATCATCAATGCTCCGGATTGGTTAATATCGGCACACCAGAATGAGGAGAGGGGCGCACTGAACAAGATTCTCTCTTATTTTATATAGAGTGAGTCTGGTACCCAGGGCACTTGGCTAATTGAAAGCAAAATTGCCGACTTCTCTCCAGAAATTATAATTTCCGGATTTTTGTCATATTGATGTTTTGTTATACTGGTAATTTTAATTGAAAACAACATTTAATTAGCAGGCAGCGGGCAATGAATCAGAAATATGGATATGAGTAAAAACTCACAAACAGTCTGTTTATTGATCTCCACCTTTCTAGATTTTAACTACGTACGTATACTAAGAATAGGGGAGAGAGTTTTGAAAAATACTTACCTCTTCTCTGGTCAACGAAATTAAATTATCATTAGCTTCTGGGATAGTCAGTTCCTCAATATTTTCGTCTGTCATTACAGCAGGCAATGAATTTGATCTCTCAGTGCCCCCTTTGTCCTTCCGCCATAATCTTTTTTGTTTTACACTAATCGAGCTTTTACTATAAGTTCCATTTCTTTCTTTCATTGATTTCCATAGCCTAAATCCCTTTTTAGTTTTAATACTGTTTTCTTCTTCAATAGCTGACAAACTTCCTTGTGACATACTTTGACATTGACATTTATCGTCATCATCAGATGAGCTCTCAGACCGCTCAAGACCAAATTCTTTAAGAGTCCCATTGCTTTTTATACCTGGTTTCTCGAATCCAAATTCGCCGTCACTACTACTGTTACCCATTTCCTCTAAGCCGCTGTCTTGTCCATTCATCGTCAACTCCTCCATTAGAAATTTTGCTATATTCGACTTTAGCCTTGTTGACATGGAATATTCTCTTGGATGCCCTATTGTTGCTTTTCGAACTATTTGCTCTGCTGATAAATTCGGCTCCCGGACAGAATTTCTAGATTTTCAGGAAGTAAAAAAGTATTCTATCTCAAATCTTAAAATTTCCATTAATTTAATAGAATAAAAGTACTCGTGTATGTTTGTTTTATTTCTAAGATGTTTCTGCATCGTCACATTCGGGAAAATAGACGTGTTACCATCAAGGCAAGAAGAAAGGCCAGTGAAACAAAACAGGGTTAAAATTATCCCTGGGGGCACTCCATACTTGAACTGGCGGTAAGGGCACGAAGTAGGGTATACTTTTCCGATAAAAATTATGGGACAGGGTATTTTGAAATGCATCATAACTCTGGGACAGGGTATCAATATTAAGTAAATTGTTTGGGACAGGGTATTAGATAGAAATTCTTTCAATTGTCTGCTCCCACAAGCAAGACACATTAGTCACAGTGCAGATCCTCATTCCGTTCAGGTATATTTTGGAATGATTGTGTCATATTTTTGCATTTTTTAAGGCTGTTCGTGCACCCACGTCACTTTCTTGGTCAAGTGCTCTCCGCCGGGAAAATACTACGTCCAAGCCCCGCCATGTTTTTCTTTGCTTTCTGAGAGGGTAGCGCTTGAGGAAATTGCTCGCAAGGAGGATGAACACTATTTGGGACCAGATCTACTAAAATAATTTTGGTAGTGATGTCAGAAGCAGAAAGAGCACGTGGCCTTGTCAGAACCGAAATAATAGTTTTACGCTTCAAGTATTAATAGATTACAATCAAAAAGGAGGGTTAAAAACTTTGCCATACACTCAAAACTTACTTATAGATTGATGGTGTCAGCTCCTTTTTGACAGAATCTAGAGAAATGAGAAAATTCACGTTACTTTACACGCTGGGAGAAATACTTCTTTAGAAATCTACTAGCTGCTACAGTAAAACATCCTATGGCTACACAACGAGATTTATGCTTATGCACCACTCTTTAACATATCATAAGCGAACTAAAACTGCATAAAATAATGAAGGCTTGGTTCCATTCTATTACATAAACTTCTTTAAAGAGCCCACATAATATCTCATGGGAAAAATTCCCCTGTCTGGCAGCCCCTGCCAGCTTCCCAAAATTAAGCGGCTCTGGACCGTGAATTTATCAAAGACTTAGAACTCTTTGGAATAAATATCCGAACCTGTTGAAACACCAGAGCCGTGTAGGCTTACGACTTCACCAAGAGCTTTGAGCCAGGTTTCCTTCATTTCACTTGTTTCCGCCATGCAAACGTAAATGTCTGTGGTCTTGAATTTGCGGGTCCAGATGGCAAATCTCATGGGATCGTTCTCTACAGAGTGAGTTACACCCAGTCTACAAGTCTAAAGTAAAATCAGGAATAAATAAAAGTACATGGCATACACAATATTTAAGAAGATTAAATAGAGCTGACAGCGAATAGATAAAATTGGATGAAATATTCGGACAAAATTTCGCTAAATATTAATACAAAATATGATGTTTCCTAGAATCTTGAGGCTCAGTAAAGCTATTGGTCTTTTTCTAGTACCTGGTTAATCAATAGTAAAATACCAAGCTTGTGTGCTAAGATAGAAATATAAACGAACAAAGTAGCTAGGAATTCCAAATAAGCGTTGCTGGAAACTAGCCTTACTTGAATTTTGATGAATATATTATTAAAAACCCATTCGAATTTCAAACAATGCGGTCATATTTCCTTCATCTTTCGACCCCGTTTACACTGTGTCGGTACCATGCCGGTATGAACTGTTTACACGATGTCGTTACCACACCGGCATTAGCCCGTACCGGTATGGCTATCGACATGGTTTTAATCCGGATTAACAGCTTTTCATACCGGCATGGTACCGGTATCGTGTAAACGGATGGCCTAAAAACAAAAGATATCATGCCGGTGTCATTTCATGCCGGTGTGGTACCGACATCGGAAAGAAACTTCAGCTGCTGTCAAAAACTTTGCCATTGTCGAAGGCTCCTCCATGCTACTTTTCTGCTTAAACCCTTGTTGTCGGTGCTTTAATATAACATACGCCTTCACGTACTGGGCTTCGGAAGCTTTAGTTTATTCGAAAAGTTTCAGGACTAAGAAGGTTATGATCAAATGGGCTTTCTTTATTTGATGACTGAAAGATTATTTCAGACAGGAATAGGTGTTCTACATACGTAAACGACTTATGTGAACCAAACATTACCTTGAGTTCCAAAATGAACCGATATTGCGGCAAGCGGCCAACCCTCGCTACCGTCTCTGTTATCAACAAGAATTCCCTGAATAAGAAAAGTCGATACTGCCTCGGTTTAGCTTTTCCTCCACCAAACGCAACACCCAGAGTATCCTAAAACGCATTAAAAAGCGATCTTCTAGATTCAAATAAACAAGATATAGATATTCCGCTAATTTTTCATCCCTTTTAAGAAAATCTAGGTATAGAATACTCTTTTATGACATCCTAATTTATGACCGTCTTCTTAAAACGTCCAGTTTCGGGATACCGTACAGTCACTCACTGCTGATACACTCTTTATTGACCAGAGAGCTAAAGTTCCGAATAGAATATTAAAATGGAGTAAGTATTTGTCGTTCGTTCAAAGTCAACCGCACTGCAAACATTCAAAGTCAACTGCACTGCATTGCACAAGATACACGAACTTATACCAGAACAAAGCAAAATAGATTGTATGAGTATTCTTGGTGCACCTCTTATAATCAGCTACTTATACACTAATAATTTTAACTATCACTGCTATCAGAATTGATATTATAACAGCATTAATTCAGAATAAGATTTACTTTCATTAAAAGAAAGAAAATACTATCACCACAATCGCAAAGAACATTTTAAACAAGAATAATTAATCATTAAATTGGTACTCTGTGTTCATTCTTCTTCTTCTTTATAATGGGCAGCCATTCATTTTGCAAAAGCTGTCATATCTTCACGCTATCCTTTGTATGCTTTTTAAACCAATTCAAAAGTATCTTTTGAAGGGTGGCCAGAATAGCTTTTATTTTAAACCCAGCCATTCTATTTTCTATTCAGAGAGACTTAAGTATGTTGATATGATTCGAGGTTTTCATATTTTGCAATTTGATAAAGTAAGAAATATGGTCTTCATCCTTTTTTGATTAAAAAATTGTCTATTATATGTTGTTGCTCTGGAGCGTAAGCCAAGGGGCTTACGGCTGACGCTTCTAAAATATAAACAAATGAGCTTTAACCTTGTGTCCCTGTGTATCACTATATCAAACATAATTTGATTGGTTTATGGCTCGTATTGTTAAATTATGTTTCGGTAAGCGGGCTTGTCAAATCTATGCTAGTTAATCTGAGAACCGAATAAGAATCGGTCAAATGTTTATGAAAATGCAATCGTTTAGGCCGTGTCTCGTAAACGAAGCTGTAAATTGGGTCGTTTTCAAAGATACCGCCAACATATAGATGAGCCGATTGATTCCTGATTCGTTGACTCAGCTCATTTTTGGTACTCCGTTTTGGTAGCAACGCAAATTAGATGGATATAACGAGGAAACAGTGATGAATAATTTAGGATTTTTTAATCTTAATCAAAATAAAACTAACTTACCTGCAATACAAGTTCGCCTCTGTCAAGGTTTTTCTACAAACATTAATAAAAACAAAATTTAGGTTCATTGTTCTGTATTTACAAAATATAATTAATAACAAGTCTAAAGGGCGCGCTCAAACCTAAGTGGAAGGACAATATGCATTAAACTGCCACAACAATTAAGTGATAGTAAGTCTATCAGACAAACAATTGTAATCTTTTTGCCCTTGCTATCTCTTACGGCCCACTCTACTTCGAATGACGCATACAATTTTTGGTTCCATGAGGAAAAGAAGAACTTGTACATCATTAGGCATAGATTTCCACATATGTACGTGAGGCTCATAAGCAGATTTGAAAAGCCAAATGTAGGCAGAGGTAAACAAAGCAGACAACGTTCATGTGACCATGTTTTATTTTTCTGCATGATTTTTTTGCCTTTTGTAGAAGTATAATTCAAAAAAAGTTTTGTTCACTTATATAGGTGTATTCTCATATGCTGTTGGAAATATCTTGTTATTAGCAAAATGCCCCCTCCCCCGTACTGAAACTTTCGTTTTAATTGCGTTTTGTAGAAGCACAATTTAAAAAAAATTTTGTTCACTTACATGGGTGTATCCTCATATGCTGTTAGAAATATTTTGTTATTAGCAAAATGCCCCCTCCCCCTACAGAAACAATCGTTACAAGTACATAAAACATTACGTAGCATGATATTCTTTCTTGGTTACCTTGCCTATTGAGGGGGCCCTTCTTTTAAGAAATTCCCCTGATCACACTACAGCTCATCATACTCCCGTAATTCTGAGCCTCATTTTGTATTTACGTAATTTTATACGTTTTAGGTAAGGACTATAGCGTCAATCTTCTAATACTAGATATCGTTGAAGCCTTTGACACCGTATGCTGCCATGCGCATCTTGCCAGAACTTTAGTAGTAGTAGCATGTATGTAGGAGGGTGTTTAGATATAGGAATTTTGATAAAATGAACTAAAAAAAGGAAATGATATAGCCATGGTATGTGGTATAGAAAAAATATCCCAATCGAAATTTTCGGGAAAAAGAACGTATACTTTGAGGATTTGTGAGAACATACAGTATATCCAACTATCATTGCCAGGTGCATTTTGTCGTTGACTTTCTTAGGGACGATTTCCATCACCTCCAGTGCGTCCTAGAGATAAATAGATAGATTGAAGAATTGAATAATACATCAGTTACTATGTTTAGACGATGAAAAACCACCGAATAGAAAAACATGAAGATGAAGTGAAAGGAAGGCAATAAGACCTACTTTTGATTTGATAACTAAATAAGCCTTTCATAGCACAAAATTTCACAATGCTTAAATATCATGTGTTATGAAATTTTTTGCGAAGAAACTGTGTGCTAGTATGATTTACAATGATTTTTTCGTGGCATACTAAATAACTAAGCAATCATCTTATGGTGGAGTAAGGGGTGTACTGCTATGGGGGCTACGGGAGACCGAGCCCAACTTGCTAATGCCAAACGCATGTAATTCCCAAGGTCTTTGCTATTGTGTTTTGCAACATGCGCAAGAGCCCCCTGAGTACAACTCATATACTGTGCTGGTGATAATACTAGGCTACTGGTGAGTTGCTTGATAGATGAGACAGTATTCTGCACTAAGATTTAGCCATTTCTTTAAAGGTCGAGATTTAAAATTTATTACAGTATCAATAGAGATAAAAATTCACCATTAATCAAAGGAAAATTCACGTCAATAGATAATCCTGCAGACGCATATACAAAGTGACTTGAACAGGTGCCGAGAAACGCTTACTGGGATTTCCTGTTAATGTTCACGGCACTGCTGTTTTTAAGGGTCGTGTAGATGTGGTGGGACAAAAACAGAAAACGAATTACCAGAATTCAACAGACAAAGTCATCTATATCGATTCATGGTAACATCTGGAAACAACATACGTTTTTCAGAATCAGAAACCTTAAAACTTTTCCTCGGACGGACATTTGATGGGGTACTTAAATATTTTTAAGGGCAGGGGTGCTCAGGTTACTTTTTTAGGTCTAGAATGTTAACAAACGTTTTTTTGAAATCTGAATCATTTTTTTGGTTTTGAATATGAAAAAAGTTTTGAAAATAATGAAAAATTTCAAACCCTCTTGTGAAAGGAGACAAAGAGGAGTCATTTTTAAGCTTGAGATAATTGTTGGCTTGATGGCTTGTGTCCCAACCTGAGCATCTCCATGCCAAATATATATGAGTATCCCCGGCTTCCCAAGCATTTCATCTAAAAATAGTAGCCCCTTCCTAGAAAATTACAGAGGAAATTTAGTAGCCCCTTCCTAGAAAATTACAGAGGACTGTCGATTGCATTAGTGTTGTAAGCAGAAAATGTAAAAATTAACTGTAAATAATTATATTTTTACATATATAACGAAAATTACTGTAATACCGGTCTGGCATGTAGTGCTTGATGCCGTTTAGGCAGAGTTGAACACGCTTTTGTGTATAAAAAGGGAAGTGTTCTAAGTTCATTGCAAGCTTTATAAGATTATCAGGCAATTGAACAATCGACTTTCGTATAATTTTAGATGTATTCAAAAAAATGCAGAGAAATAATAAGAATATAAAAAGGAATAATACAGAGGCTGACAGCCAGTAAAGGGAATCACTGGCGAAACGCGTTTGGAACCAAGGGAAAAAGCATGAGATGTATATGCACAAAGTTTGTACAGTTTATACACAGCTGGCAAGAAATAAATGTTCTGCATGCTTTCATATTTCAATCTTCTTCTAAAACATTCAATGAATAATAAATGTACCTATGTCTCAAAAACTAAACCCACATCAGTAGAAAATCAAGTTTTTTTCAAACAATGGTGCCTACATCGCTTGATTCAAGCTTCGAGAACTCAAGGAATGACCAACAGAAACATTGGTAAAGCCCTAAGTCTTACTGTGTTGTTATTTGCTAAGGTCAATGAGAAACCACGCCTATCATGCCAACGATGGCATCGCCTTTGTGAAGATGTTTTTTTAGTAAAATGTACACTTTTAGATTGTGCATTCATATTTCTATTGTATATATGTTTTCAACAGTTTGTTTAATATCGACTTACCTGCATACTTTCTGTGCTCTCTCCCATTTTTCTTGTGAATTTAATAATACTTTGCAGCAACAGTTGATACTTCATAATTCTTTGAACAGGTTTGATGAGATAATCCAAAATCGTGTAGTTGGTATTGATATTATGGTAAACCTAAATAAAGGCAAAAAAATCAAATTTTAGAATACTGCAGTTCTACAATTGATGTGTACTGATACCGTAAAATAATACTTTTGTGTGTCTGACACTATATTGATACAGTTAAATATGTCAGAATTATCGAAATGGCTATTTCTTGCTCCCATCTAAAATCCTTGTTTGGATCCACAAATTTTTATAATCACCAATTACTCCATGCAAATACCATACTTCAAAAACATTTAAAAATACCATGTCAGAACACTTTTCAATATAAACGCTAATAGAGCCCCAGGGAATTATGCAATTCTAGAAGTAGAAATTCCAGGTAGAAATTCATGAAGAATTTCAAAAAAATCTTTTTCTGCATAGCCATTCTTGTACAAGGCTGTGTGAGGATGGGGACTTAACAGACAAGGGGTTTTTTTATTGCAAATATTCTTTAGATCAAAATAATCTTATTACAAGCTGAATTGACAACATGCTGCTCGATAGAGGCAGTAAACTATTATTGAATAATATCGTTATCATCATATAGCATAACAAACAAATCTTATTGGCGGTTAGCGAGATCCCCATCGTTGGAATCCTCCTGTATGTTAAGCGATGGGTTGTAGAAATGCTCGAAATTGGCCCACAATGTTTGATTCTAGCAAGATGGTTTGAAGGTCTCTTAGGAGATTCCCAAGTAAGGGATCTTGGTAAAAGCCAATCGAGATTTGCCTGTCTTGCTTGATCGTACTGCTAATGAACATGACTATAATGCATCATTAATTAGAATTGTGGAAAAAAATTAAACTCGATCACAAGCCATCAACTTAAAGAATACTCCCGCTAGCAATTAGCGGTTACATTTGATAATCATTACCAGAATAAAAGAGTACATCTAAAGATAGTGCAACATTTTATTCATTGATAAAATTAAAGTTTCAAACAGGACACTACGAAATATAAAAGCATTCCTATCTTTCTCTGGCAAAAAATTCTCTTTGATCAGAAAATGAACCGACAGAAAAATCACACTCATGGAATATTTGTAGGGTAAATTAGCCCCTTTGGTCTCTGCCGACAAGGACTGGCTGTGTTCGAGTTAATTATTTTCTTAAAAAAGGTCACAATTTAATCCATACCTGATCAATTTCTTCTGCAAACTGAACAAGCACATCATCCGAATGTGGTTTATTTTGGCAGTAAAGTTCATAAAGATCTGTTAGCTCGGCTTCCTAAAAACGTTTTTTATACATAGGTTGATTAAAACAAAATGCGACGATGTCCTATAAGATCTACCCCTCACTAAAAGGCACGATATATCAGGTTCAAGGCCCCTAAAAGATCATTTTTTTTATATTGTTAATTATGGAATATTTCTCAAGTGAATACAACGCTGTTAAAATCTGAGAAAGACCAACATTTGTAACTTTGCATTCAAATTATCTATAAAAGTTTAGATTGAATGGCCAATCTCATATTGACAAAATACAATGATAACGAAGCTTCATGTTCTAAGTTTCTCCTTTAAATATCAAAAGCCAAAGTATTGAACACAAATAAAAAACAAACAAAAACTGGAATAAAAAACAGACGTACGTGTTCTTTAAAGGTTGGACCAAGAAGTTCATGATCTTCCAAACAATCCTCTATTTTCTCAAGAAATACACTGAAAAAAATTCCGAAACATGTTCATAAAAGGAAATAAGATATGAGGAGATAGGTGTCAGAAAAGTGCAGAATCGATTGAATAAACATTTAGGCTTTGCTTTAAAGCAAATACTTTATTGTTGATAGCGTTAGGGTAACTTACCCACGATGCCATTCGTAGATTGCATCTATATTCCCAAAAATAGCAGGGGTGATTTCCCTAATTCGATCCTCTTCACACATGGCAAAAACTGGTATTATTTTCTGCAATGAAACCAATAGAATAATCAAGAAAAAGCTAGTCGTAAAAACGAACATTAATCAAAGAAACACCAAGACAAACTAGGCCTATTAATATCTTAGCTATTGCAGAAATCATGAAAAAAGCCTGTTTCTAAGATTATGCAATCCGAGAATTAATTCAGATATCTGCCAATCTGGGGGGGACATAAAAAAGAATTTTTCAAGAGCAATTTAGAAAGGTATCTTCATGCATTTTCTAAATGATATTTTCAATCTTACGGCTATTACCTTGTATATTGACCGTTGTCCAAATGTATTTTTCACAATGACATTACTATGCAAAACTTGAGTATTTACACTTAAGACTCAGTAAGACTTGTGTGAACTTGCAATAAAAGAGCTTGCAGTAGTATATTTGAACAAACTAAACAGTTGCATATTCGAATTGACAGCGTATATTGTTCTTAATTCCTTACGAAAAAATCAAATGAAAGTTTGTTGATGTTCAAATTTGTCATTTAGTACCATATCATGATATACACAATGGAAAAAGGCCACTAGTTGTCACACAGCTTTCAATTTTAGTCCCAGTTTGGTCCTATCAGTCGTCTGCCCGCCGTGGACGTGATAGGCCAAGGAGGTAACCTATCAATTACTGTTAGAATAGTACAATGTTTCATTTCTCAGCATTTCAAGAGAAATCGCTAACTGGTGGTGTCTTGATAGCTGGTTTTCAAATTTGGCACGATCTTTCTGATTAACACTTCATTTCCACATAAACAACTGCCTATTTCTCCGTTAAAAATAATTTGATCATAGTAAGACCTTTTAAAAATACCTCAACAAGGAATTCTAAACTATCCACGTAAGTATTTTCAGTATCCGCTAGCTCTTTTAAAACCAAGTCTCGGTTCATGAGTATTTCTGAGGTCTTCAAAGTGCTCCTCTTTCCATCCTCAGTTCTATCGTCATCAGCCGGGCTGATATCAAAACTTTCAGCATAGCATTGGATCATTGTCTCGTACAAATCCACAGTGCCTCGCTGTAGTTTGTAATTAGAATACATTTTGTTCATTTGTTCCATCTTAAGTCTTTTAAGCCGAGTTTTTGTTTGGGTCCTGCCCCTGAATTCCACATCATCAATTTCACTGTCCATTCTGTTTTTGTCACTGTCATTCATAACATTGTTGTTGCCGTCTTCGTTCTCGAATACATCGTCCTGTTAAATTCAAATATTCAAAAATTCAACTTTCAACGTATCGCAAAGCAAAAAACAAATTAATAAAACATATAAAAAAGAAAGGCTGTTTTTTATGTGGAGTACCAATCCGTGGGCATTGATTCGCAATATTAGACTTATAAACATTAAAGATTCATATCACAGACATAGATATACTGTGAATAATCTATATTCTGATATGTATCGTGTCATGTTTTGATAGTAATAAAACTGGCTCTATAATCATTTGACGAAAAGAAACAAAATAAAACTTTATGAGAAAATAGCGAGGTAACATTAAATTTCAGAAAAAAGGAAAGCCTTAAGCACTCCTCATAGATTGAAACATAAATTGATGTCTAAAATGCTTAAAAACAATTAGAAGGTGGCAAATATTGTAAATAAATAGGAATATTAAGAATGCGGTGGAAAAGTGGGCATCTTTGTTTAAAATGGAAAAATAAGAAACATAAAAATCCCCAGTTTTCATAAAGAAGCATATGCTCTCAGTCATTTTGATGTATATACGAAATTTTGCCTACGGATTGCAAATTTTATCTGCAATTCATACAACATACAAGCATGAGACTGCTCAGTACTCGATTTCATTTATGTCATTATTGGTAAAGGCCAATTTTCCGGTGATGATAAACCTAAATCTCCTTTCAACAGTAGTTATGGCAAAATGGTTCAGAAGAAATGGCCTCAAAAAGTTTTTTTGACTGATCCTTTTCCTCAACAGACAAAAATTCGCTCTTCAAAACAAAATTTGCAAGGGAAAATGAGTTGCCTATTATTTTCAAAATAAGATAACCTACATCTTACTTACAAGATAAAATGATTTGAATTGGAATTAAACTCAGGAAATTATCAAGGAATACCTACTTAAGAGCATTTCAATTTCACGTGCACTTTTCTTAGCATGACGCAATGCATGGGGGGGAGAACGGGTCCTATGGTCCCAGAAGTATTGGACAACGGGTTCTTTCCGGGACCCAAATTAAAGAACAGAATGTATACAGAAAGATACTTAAACTCAAGAAAGAAAGATCTTAAAAAATTAGAAAAGAGTACGAGAAAAAGGGAATCGGCCAAGTCAGTCAGCTATGATTAATCAATCATAAACTCAAGAAAGTAGAAACATCGATGTAAGATGTAAGGTATTAAACATGAATAACTAATATGATCAAGTAAAAAGTTGCTGCAAAATTGGTGTATAAATGTTTTTAATCGATGAGAATCACAATCAAAGTTGACAATTTTGTTGCTTTGCAAACCAGATCAGCATACTATATAGCAGCAGTAGCTTACTGCAGAATAGATTTTGTAAAGGTCAACTTTTATCAACAGAAGTTAGTTGCTCAGAAGGCATCCATGCGGCTAGTTTGTGGCACAGAAAATATTTGTTTTTTTTCAACTGCGGTCCCAGCTGAAATATTGCTTCTCCACCCCTGCGCAATTGAGAACAAAAACAAGAACCAAATGGCCGAGTACGAGGCTTTGCCATAAAGGACGAGGCTGAAAATAGTAGCAAACAAATTGAATCGTAGATAAGACAAGAGAAACGAGCAGTAAACGGAGATGATTCAAATTAGTTTGAAGCGGAAGGGCACTTACAAGTGGGGAAAATTTGGCCAACTAGTGGGAAAGCGTACGGTCTTATAGGGAATATTCTTACTAGATTATCTCACTACAAAACCTCTTGATAAACCTTTTCATACCTGGTACAAATCGTCTGAGTTATCGTCATCTAACCTGTGTTTCAAGCATTCATTTGCTAAGTCCAATGCTTTCTGCAAGCAATCTCTTGCCATTTCCAATTCATTAATTCGGAAATACCCTGGAAATTCAATGATATTTCTTTTTAGATCAATGGACTAAAATGGCTTTTTTATGATTCTTAGCATAACGTTAAGTCATTACAACTACTTTCTGGTTTTAAGATAAAAACCAGAACGTGGAAATAATTGTTCCAAATGTACTAACACAAATGCTGAATCGAAAACTAAATTAAAAGCAATCCGATGCTGATTCTGAAATCGGCATATGTCCCTTGCCTGATAACAAATGCAGCATTGTAGATGACAAATGAAGCATTGTAGATGACAAATGCAGCATTGTAGATGACAAATGCAGCATTGTAGATGACAAATGCAGCATTGTAGATGACAAATGCAGCATTGTAAATGACAAATGCAGCATTGTAAATGACAAATGCAGCATTGTAGATGACAAATGCAGCATTGTAGATGACAAATGCAGCATTGTAAATGACAAATGCAGCATTGTAAATGACAAATGCAGCATTGTAGATGACAAATGCAGCATTGTAGATGACAAATGCAGCATTGTAAATGACAAATGCAGCATTGTAAATGACAAATGCAGCATTGTAGATGACAAATGCAGCATTGTAGATGTACCCGCACTGTACCCGTACAGTTAAACAGCGTTATCGTTAAGGCATTCATTCTCGAAAACTTTTTGTCTCTGATATTAATGGTCCTATTAATGAAAATTTGTCTGATATTCTTTAAGAAGCTTTGCCATGTCCTTCTTTCATATATTCGTCGATGAAAACTTGGCCTATTAGGATTCTAGACAAACCAGACGACCAAGTTCATCAAAGCTCATGTTCTGTCACTGATTTATTTGTTGACGAAGAAACTTAGCAGAGATTATGAGGTTATGAAACCTGGCTCTTCTTTTCCCGGAAACAAGATTGCTATGCTTAGGAAAATGTTAGTGGACCGATTATTACTTTCGGTGTATTTTCAATTAATGACGATTTTGCCTAGGCCAACAACTGACGTTATTGGCCTCAATCCATAGCTATTTTACGATTTTGAAGACATCAACACAGCGGTCTAGCAAACCTTTATACATTGATGGAAATATTGTGCTACACTTTTGAGGAATGAAACTTGGACATAGCTATTTAATTCTTGAATGGTTCACATTCCTTGAAACCTTTTGAAGTATACTCAAAACAAACAGAGAGGTATCATTAAAAACGAGGCGAGTGAAAAATGTTGTCAACACAAAACATGCCTTAGATAAATTTTCAGCGCTTAATAGTTAAAATCTAACTTTATGCTATAAATGGAAAAAAAATTTTCAAGCATTATCAAGTCCCTCGATGATTTTCCAAAATTAAGAAATGTTTAGAGGCTTCATATGAACAAGTTTTATGAGAAAAAAATATTAAAGTAAAAAATTGTCAAAAATTTCACCTTTTCCCGCTTTTGCTAGCAGCAATGCTGATTGTTTGGGGTCAGATTCTTGTGACGCAAGTCCTTCATTTCGCAAGACTTTCATTTCATCTGAAATTTGAGCAAAAGCCATTATTTCCCAAAAAATTGAGGTCATGAATTCCGGTTAGCTCATAGCAAATTTTTGGCACGAATAGACGTCTAAAGAAAACAAATATGTTTTCCTGTGGCCAACGTAAAAAGAAGATCTGGGAACATAGCCTTTTGCTGAACTGGTAATTCTAGCTCGATTACTAAAAAAGGCTGCTATCTTGAACACAGATGTTTAGAACCCAGGAATATTAATCGATTATTTAGAGCAAAGCGATGATTTCAAACAAAAATTCGAGTGCTTTCATTAGAGGATGAGCTTAATTTATTTAGAAGCGTTCAGATCTGGGGTATGACGTGTCACGTGAGAGGTCTAATCATGGGCATGACAGATGTGGACAAAGATGGGTGACTTTGTGTCCCCTCCTCCTGAACAGCTCCGTGTAAAGCCACTGTATTCGTCAACGACATGCTAAATCAAATAAGTGCTGAGGCCGAACCCTTTTTTACAGTTAGCTTTAAAGCCACAGAGAATACTAAAAATATCTTGCAACTAACAAAAAGTACACATACTTTTTTACAAGAAACTAAGGTCCGGTGCTGGTAGGCAATTTCTCAAATTTTCTGGACATTTTGCTATCAAAAGTTTCTTATATGTTTCTTGAATTTCTTAGGTAATGAATTTTTTAAAGTAAATAGTTCATTCGCATTCAGAAATAAATTAACAAAGTGATCAAGGAATTTTGTTTTCCTAGAATGACACTGTTGAGATCTGTAAACAGTTAAGCTCATTGAACTTCATCAATGTCAAATTGAAGTCAAAACAAATTAATTTAATGGAAACTTCTTGAGTGTGCAATTTACTGAGAATGAACGCAAACTGCATGTCAAGTGTAGTGTTGCAATATACAGTGATGTTCAATGTCAAGACTGTTTCGAGTGTCAACACGGAAAATAAAAACTGCAAATTATAAAAGTTTCTTAGCTTTTGTTAATTTGGGTAGGGTTGTTTCTTAACTTTCAAACAATTGAGCCTACCATATCTTATAACCTGTTTCTTATAAAAAAAGGAGTGTAGTATTAGAGAAACCTTGGCTCCAGTCCCCTAAATTAGCATTTAATTGATATTCCTATAATTCGCCAAATTATAATTTTATAGTTATAATTTCATAAATTAACTCGCCAGCTTATAACTTTAAAGAGAAACATATTTGCGTACCTAGAAGCTTCGATTTTCCACCGCCGCCATCCATTTCAGCATCTGTTGTCACTTCAATTGATGACGTCATGCTTCGCTGCTCCAGTTTCCAAAGATGCCTCGGACTCAAGCAATGTGCTTCGAAAGTTGAACGACTTTTGAATTTTTTGTTGCAAATCTCGCAACGGACTTTGTATACTTCAGTACAGCCTTGCTGAGTTCGGTCTTTGCAGATATCAGATCTGAAGGACTTTCTCAAAACAGCGTGCCTCAAGCACGCTTCAGTTGAAGATCCTTCTGCAACGGAGTAAAATCTTTGAAACACTGGAACTATAGTCGAAAGATATGAGAGCAAAGGCCTGTGGTAATTTGTTTAGCCTAAAGTGGTTTTTGGAATGAGAAACATCTCTGCAATCACAGCCAAGGTTTCAACAAGAAGAAAACATGTATTAACAACATAATCAGCATATGAAACGTGGGTCTTTCTCGTCAATATAAGCACAATAGCGCGTGGGGGTTCATACTCAGAGATTAAAATAGGTTTCCATGGACTGATTATATATAAAAACAATAACCATTTCAAGCAAACGAGGACATGCTGAAAAGATGTATTTTACGACATCTTACACTCACCACCCGTACAACCTGCAGAGCTCAAATCAAACTTTTTAAACTGACGAAGATTTCTCTCATGTGAATGATAACTGAATAGACATTTCCAGCTAAATGTGTCACTTAAGAAAGGATGCCTTAAGCTGTGCATAGAAATTATGGTGTTTCGAACACAGTAACCAAACCTATTGAATCATCGGAAATGTGTGAAAATGCTGTTTGAAGACAAATGAAGCAAACAAACGCTTTACTTCAGGTTGACTAGAGGTCCTCCCAAGATTTGCACGTGAAACAACAGACCCTGCACACACGAATTCGTGTGAAAGGATCCTAAAAACCGCAAATCAAAAGATGTGGATTGGAAATTGTGGGCAGGGCTTAAATTGCACTTACAAAAAAAGATGCTCCAACCTGGATTGAAATGTTGTTTTGCAAGAATCTATGGTTAAGGTGATAAGGGGATCACAAACTTATTAGAATTGTCCGGTAACTCTATCACCCGTCAACAAAACTCAAGTAGATTACCCTATAGTAGATTCTGTTTCTAAGAAAAAAGAGAAATCGTTAATAGAACTTTTTATATTAGGATTGCTCCAGAAAACCATATTTTTAAAGCATGATTTGAAATTGACAACAGAGAATTGATCTGTTCGAGGTTATGTATGACGTCACACCCACCTAGATATTAGATTGGAGCGTTCTTATTCAATAAATTCTTTTTAAGAAGTTTTCTTCATTTGGCACAATTAGTCACTGGGCCACTAAATGTATGCGACCAAAACCAAAATCTCAAGTCTGTCGTTGATTAGGTAGAAAGAGTCAGGTCAGGTCAATATAGTATCTATTCTCTGTGTAAATGTCGTCTTATTAGTTGTGGTAGTCTTATTAGACGTCTTGAATATGATGAGCCGTGATTTCACGTTATGATAGAAAACTCTGTCTGTACAAAGCCACATATTATACTTGCACAAAATATTTTTCTTATATAGTTCTAAACATCTGCTTGGTGTACAGTAACACGGTGACACGTAGAAACGGTGAAATAATAAATCGATTGATTTGATCCAAAAATTCTTCCTTTTTAGACACAATTTAGTAGATCTACACAGTCTTGTACATTTCTCGCAGGTCTCAGACATTTTGCGCGACCTCCCGGCGCTTTGTGTGGGTCCCAAGCGTTTTACGCGAGTCTCAGCCGTTTCACGCGAGTCTCAGGCGTTTTACGCGAGTCTCGGGCGTTTTACGCAAGTCTCAGGCGTTTTACGCGAGTCTCACGCGTTTTACGCGAGTCTCACGCGTTTTACGCGAGTCTAAATCATTTTGCCAGAGTCTCCGGCACTCTGCACGGGTCTTTGGCATTTTGAGTGGGCTTCTGGAACTCTGCGTGAATCTGAGGCATTTTGCACGAGTTTCAAACATTCAGCACGAGTCTCAGGAATTTGGCGATATATTTAGGCTGGGACCTAAATTCTTAACCCAAATTTTTCACTTCCTCAGTACACGAGCGTCAGACTCACCCACCCCTCTTTCCCACCGATAGCTAGTAAAAGCGTTAAAATCTACGCCAATGGAGAAGGCCGGTGATACCGGGAAAGCAGTCTTGGAACATCTAATTCTTGCTACTTGTTTCGGTGAAAAGTCTAATTGCAAACCTTATAAGGGAGAAAAGTTCTCAAGACAAAGCCTCTAATTTCTATATTTCCTGGCTGACAAAATCTCCAAACACATCACGACAGAGTTGCAAATATTTAGGCAATATCATGGCCCTCTCCCCCCAACCCCCTGGTAACCCCTCCCCCCTAACTTTTGTCAAAATATGATCCACATAATTAATTTAAAATGAATGAAAATGTTCCAGAGGAAATATTTTCATTCACGAACGCACACAAATAGCAAAAAAATTGTCAAATATTATCGTTTTGAGAAGAGAGTGGCAATGCAATGCTGCGAGAAATGGGTGTTTTTTATATCTGAAAGGCGCGGTCATAAAAAATGGTCCGTGCGAGCGGCTGAACCTCCGAACCCCACAAGTCGGCTTTGTAGCTGTTGGCTTGTTCAAACACATTTCTGTTTCCCAATATTTGTGCTAAGGATTCATTTCTTATAATTTAGAATCCGGATTCAATTTCAAATGATTAAAGCCATCCATTGCCACCGCCTACTTATTTGGTGTTTACATGTAAAGGAATCACCTCAAGTTCCTTAACGACAACCATCGGTATAACTGCCGAGAAAACACTGATTTTCGATACATGCCGTAACGAAAGACAGCACCATTTTTAGACTAGCAAAGCACTTGGAGTTGAGGGGCACCACAATTCCTCCTTGATAACCAAATTTTTGGAAAGGATGTTTTTACCAGTGAACTGAGACATACATAAAAGAAATCTTGAAATTGTTGTTTAACATCAAAGACATGTTGGTAAAACACATTAACAAACATGTTAAAACTTGTTCAAATTTCCCACGTTTTTGAAAAACTACGCAGTTACCTGAAGATATTCTGGCAAAATTTGCGTTATTTTAAGACTAAACCAAACAAAAGACTAATTATATTCATTCGCTTTCAGCTCTGAACGAGCACCAGTCTTGAGCTCTCTCGTTGTTTGTGACATCTGTTTTACTTTGCTTTTATCAAAATCTAGTCTGTAAAATCGTTTTAAAAAATATGTTTTGTCATGTTACTTAAAAACCAAGGTTTCGTGTACCTTACCACAAGGCCAACTTCCAAGATTATATCATTTTTTAAAACTCCTACTTCCGCATGCAGGAAAGAAGTGTTCTTGTGTTTCTTCATTCTCTCCAATTTTTCTCTTCTGGTAGCATTAGGAACATAACATTCGAATCATTGATTAGCGAACGTAGCGTAAACAAATCAAAACCCACAATCTGTCTTGGATGGTTAGGCCCATTCAAAACAAACTTGTGGCATATAGAACAATTCGAGGTCAATCATCTACCTATATCTAATCGAAAAAAACCAAAGCATGTTACCTCCAATAAATTATCAATTTGTTGCAAGATAATCCAAACTCCAGTTTATCGGTCCCAAGATTCTGCGACATTGGTATGCTTTTAGCGACCTCCAATGCAATAATTGTGAAAGAATTCGTGTTATCTCAATAGCCTTTTTGTCCTTAGATCAACATCCATAAGATAACAAAGCGACCATTTGTGCGTGCAACTGTTGTGGAATTCGTCTTCGAGTTGAACAAAAACTGCTGGCGACATTTGTAAACATACATCGATTTAACATCTAGGTCTGTTTCTGTCACACACAACTCGCGTCAAAATTTATAAAAATTTGTCAACATCAATTGCTTTCCGCATTCAATCTGAATGAAAAGAGCTCTAAACAATTTGCTTCCTAAATCAATAAAAGATTCAAATGACAAAACAGCCCTCAATTTTGAATACAGCTCTGTTATTGAATGTGAAATGACATGAGCGATGTTGAAAAGATTGGTCTTGGCGTAAAGATGCAACTAAACTGAAGCCAAGAAGGGAAATTGTGTTACCTGCTTAACACGCCAGAGACCGTTCGACAGAGAATATTCGATAGAAGATATTCGACAGAGACGCTGTCACTCAATTGTACGCAAAATAATGTAAGCAGGTCAGAGAATCGAAGAATGAAAAATCCCAGACATGTCACATGCAATGAAAAACAAAGATTTGATGGAGGATGAGGGCATACAACTGGATAACAGTCGGAAAGACATGAGAAATTTCGCAAAGATTTAGAGAGTCCATCTTTGGCAACCACCAGGCAAAATGATTGAGACCCTCTGATCTTCGAATATGGAAATTGACAAGAAGAGGTGCACCTGCCTGCCTGTAAATCAATGCGCCTAAGATCCCGCTATCCAACGAGAAATATTCATTTGCAGTTTTCTTCTGTTTGAAGGAAGTTTTCTTCTGTTTGAAGGAAGTTTTCTTCTGTGCCAAAAATTTTTGATTTTGTATAATTTTGAGAAGAAAATTTGGCATGATCTCCTTGAATTGGATTGGTATGGCAAACTTTTGAGATCGTTCACAGTGTCTCATGATCGGTGAAATAAAAGTGTTCATTCTCCTTGAGAGTGAGAAATTCGTCAATGTTCTGAGAAAATCGCCATTATACTAACGAAAATCAACGATTGTATTAGAAAAGCCATCCCCAGCCCCCCAAAAAATTTCGAGAAATCTACTCAAGAAAATGTTAAAGGAAAGTTTCAGAACTTGAAAATGTCTTTGAAAAAAGGAAAACATTTCACAACATACTACTTTTTAGTATAATTCAATTAAATATGTACGTTGCGTGTATATGTACATATGTACTACGTAAATATGTACTTTTTAGTATACACATCAACAGAAAACCCCAACGTGAGAATTTGAAGAAATTGTGGGGGTCCAGCACCCCCCTCCCCCATCCAAGGCCTGCCACCATATTTATCGTTTCTGAAAAGCATTGTAAATGCTCAACATTCAGTCTAATCTTAGGATCATATGTCTATGTTTACGATTTTCAAATTTGGAAGATATTTGTTCAAGATGCATCGAACTTTAAATTTTTTGTGGAAAATATAAACAAAGCTAGGCATGCTTAGTGTCTACTAGAGTTTATAGGAGCACGAGGTACCATACTAGTGCCTTGTAGAAACTAAACTGGGTCCTAATGCCAAAGGCAAGAGGGCCCTTTCCAAGCCAATGGAGGTGCGACAAGAGGGACTGGGAAAGACACACAGCCCAGTCACAGAGGCCCAGTTCACAGCAGGATCGATATTGTATCACCGGTAAATTCCATTTGGAAATGTGTGGGGCCTAGAAATATCATGGCATAGTATTCTTTGTGATCTAACTCTATGATTTTGAAACTGCTCTTATCAGGGCCTCCGACGAAGGGGGGGGGCATGGCCCCCTAACATTTCTGTAAAACAATAGAACTTTTTACATAATCTTTTGCTATAGGTGTGAAATTTTCCCTCCCCCCCCCCATTTTCCATCCTGTGGCGGAGCCCGTGCTTACGCAACCAAAATAGGCATAGGTTTTGTTTTCTGATCACGAGACGACAGTTCGAGCACCCTGCATACCATCCCGAGATGCATTCGGAGAAAACGGCAATTTTTTTAATCCATCCACCGGACTTGTCGACTTTTATTCACAGACTTTAGGCATTTATCAGACTTCAGTTAGTCACATTTTGTTTAGCACGCAGAAACGAGGACGTTTCTATTTTCTCGATATGTAATACTGCTAATTTTAGGCCTTTCTCTCTAGTCCATTCGTTTAATTTTCTTTACCTAATTACTCTCGTTTATCTGTAATTTTCCTTGCTCGTTCCGCATTTTTCTATCACGTGTATTAGGTTAATCTTTGTATTATTATGAGTAACTTCATACCTACGTCAATTATCAGCATGGCAGATCGCCATAGCAACCCAGTATTTAAGGATATCGCGCTACCCCATCCCGCTCGTTACTAAGTAAATTACTTCCTTTCACCGTTTCATTTACGTATGTCTATTGTTTTTAGTTCAGTATATATAGGAGCCCCGTACCTCATCTTAGGCGGTAAGAATTATGGAAAAGTAGCAGCAAGAGAAAGCAGTTTAGGCATGCACCGTTTTAGGGGCAAGATGCTTGTGAAAGATCTTGTCGCCTTCGTTTTGCTCTTAGTCGTTTTGAGATATTTATAGGAGATGTATCAGTTTTGGAAGACCTCTGGGATACTTCTTGAGAAAGATTATGCCCATGTCACGCGTTAATTATTATGCCGTTTTTAGCATGCAAATTATGTAGCTGCCGGGACGATTTTATCGAAAGAAAAGAAGGAAAGATTTAACCGATTTACGTCGCATCATTTATTGGCCATACTCTGCCTTTTAAAAGGTCCCGAGAATCGATTTAAGCAACGTTTTTACACTAAAAAAGGTGTGGCCTAAAAACTTTCCTTTTGTCTGTCTTTCCTTTTTTCCTTTAAATTTATTTTCTCCGGGCCTCGATAAGGGGCCCCCCATACTTTTGCGTGATGTGTTATATGCCATATTTTTGTGCGTGAAATCGTGACATCTCGATTTTTTATGCGTGATTTCGTGAATTAAGATTACTTCGTGAAGCGTGAAACACGAGTTTTCCTCGCATTATGTCGTGAAAAGGCTTCAACTATCTGTGAATTCGTGAATTAAATTTCGAATGATAATTTGAAAAATTGCCTCAATTTGATGCGCAATAAACTAATAATAGTTAAATCTCAAATTAGTATTCCAAGTTTTAAAGTAATGTTGTAGTCCTTCAAACAGGGCTCTGATGAGCAATAGCTGATATTGCATTTATTATTTGCGTGAAAATCCAATTTTGCAGTGCGTGAATGCGTGAAAAGTAAAAAAATTGTGCGTGAATGCGTGAATCACAATCACTATGGGGGGGCCTCGATTGACTCTTTGCTTTTGGGACGAGGGAATGTCAAATTATTTGAAGTATACAAGATTAGTGTTTGTTTTGTTTTCTTATCACGCTCAATAATCACCATTATAGAATCAATGAGTAATTTCTTTATACCATTTCAAACCCATTGTTGTTTAAATCGAAAGGAGATTTAGCTATCATTTGTCCTAATAAATGAATACTATACAGCAAATAGGATTACCCTTTTGTTTTTGTACTCCGGATCCAGACCAGCTAGGTATCAATGCCCAGTATCCTGAAAACATTTCTCCACTGGCTATTCGGATCTCTAATCTAGGCACTCATAAAAGCTGTAAATTTTCCATTGGCTAATTAAGTCTTCGTGTTCTACAGAATTTCTGAATGATAATTAAATCTTCCAACTCAGCTTGTTCTGTCTCACACTTGTCATCAAACTTTCACACAATTTCAATCTTAGCATACCATGTCATTCATTTGCGTCAGTTTGTCATTCCTCCCGATATATTGCGATATAATCTTATGTATCTGTTTGTTTTAATTTCCCTTTCTCTTCTTAAACAAAAATAACTTGTATGTAATGTTTTATAATACAGCTCCAACTGAATGGCCAACTACTTGCTTGTGGTTTGCAGTTATCTACTGTTGTAACGCTAGTCTCAGTTTGCAAGCAGCGCAGTCATAAACAACAGGGGATCTTTTAACATACAAACCAATGGGGAAATTCCCTAGTAGGCCCTAATATACCCCTCTAGTTTGTCCACAATTCCCTACCCTAACTGTATGGGCCATTTTGAAAACTGTTTTAAGAATTACTAATTCGCAACATACTTACTCGCATTTTCACCCTTCACTGGTACATAGTTTGCCCCTTTTCGACTTGTTCTCGTTTTTGCTCAGTCAAAGCTCTTTTGAACTTTTCACAGAATTGAAAAGAAGTTGTTCTTTCTTCTATGACTAACCCCTCCCCACACACACACACACTATCAGAGACATCTTAAACCTTCAAGGACATCTGGTAACAAATATCTCAAGAATTAGTCGTTTAACTTACCCATCACTTGATTCCTTCCAGTTAATTTTAGCGAGCCGATCTTGTCAACCATAGATCACGCCCAAGAACCATCTAGCTTTCCATGAACGACTGAACTGAGTAGAGAAGAGAATGATGATAACGAGCAAACTTTGCTTGTTGAATTTAAGAGACTTCTTCAAATAACTTTAAGGCTATCAAATCCAAACGGAACGCAGGCTGTTTGACTGAACTTGTTTGATTGTCACATGTGTAATCCTTTTAATTTCAACAAAGCTAACTCCACAGGCAAGGCAGTTCATTAATCCTTCTTGCATGCTTCCCCATCTGTACTACGGAATCAAGCTTTTAAATTCATAATTTCTTTCCAAGGCAGAAAACGTCTTGTTATCTACACTTTTTAAGTCATATATCTATTCTGTGCTCATATGCTATTTTGCAATCAAACCGTTGACAATCAAGTTAGCCTTCTCCCAAAGGTATTGGCAATTCCAGGGCTTAAATCTAAGTAACAATGCAAATCATTGAACTCAAAAACATGTTTTACAATCTTATTTGTATGTATATCTATCTCGGAGTTCCATCTGCAAATGGAAGAATGTGTTTTGAGTCAGTGGTGGCGCCAGAGGGGGGGCAGGGGGGGCTACAGCCCCCCCGTCGGAGGAGGCTAGCCCCTCCGTCGGAAGATAAATTATGCTTGAATTTTTTTTGTCGGAGCGAATTTTTTAAGTTTTGGCGGAAATAGAAATTTCTAAAAGGACTGTTATCAGAATTCAGGAAGCTCATCCCAAAACAACTCATCGACACATCAATTTCATGGTAAATAATAATCTGTTATAAGAAGTTTGAATTGGTTGTTTAGATGTTCAGTACCAGGTGTTTTCCGCATGCTGTTAAATTTGATCTTATGTTATGGATAGTGCAGTTCGTCCAAATCTTGCTTGCTATAACCAACCTACAACATCGGAATATTTTTGTGCGATAGCGATATGGCAACAAATGTTACCCGTTTCAGTGTTAGATGTAGTATATGTAATGACGTATTTAACAATGATTACGCTGCCCGCCACACGAAGTCCAAGCACAAAGATTTGGCTGCAATGGGAAGGACTGCTCCTACGACGGCAATAGTTGAAACGGACTCGCAGCAGAGAAAAATAAAAACATTTTTTCAATCAAAAGGCGGTACTTTTCCAAAGAAACGAAAGGTTAATGATTTTGAAACTGAAAGAACAACAGAAGACCCCGAAGAACAAGAAGTTGAAATTTCGAAAATTCAAGACGAAGAGCAAATCGAACGTGGTATGTTATACGTTTTAATATTTAAGTCCTTTTAATACGAGGAAAAACACTTAGCAAAGGGCTTCAGCCATAAAAACAATCAAACTCATTTACGTAGTAGCTAAGCCATTTTACCCCATCCCAACCATACATATTTGTAGTGTTTTGCTTCTACGTACACGTTTTTTTATTTATAAGAAACTTGACTCAAGCCCAGAGTACTAATAGTTTCCAAATTTCTTATTTTTTACTATTTTTAAGGGAAAACGTGCCCTTAGTAATATGTCAAAAAACGTAGTAAAAAACACGATTACACCATTTTGATAGCATTTTTAGCCAATCTAATGGGTGTAGCCACCAAAATTTTCCCGGGGGAGTACCCCCGGACCCCCCGAATTTTCGGCTCGCAACGCTCGCCTTCGGTCTCCAGTACCCTTACAATTCCTTGTCGCCCCCTAGCCCTATCGTTCTCTAAAAAAATTAGCCCCTCCGTCGGAAGTGCTAGCCCCTTTGTCGGAGGAAACCTAGCGCCACCACTGTTTTGAGTGAGAGATCTTATGCAGTTGTCTTGTCATATGGGTTACCAATAGCAACTGCATTCGAGTAACCAATGCAGGAAAGTGGGAGCCTAAGAGGCTACAGAGGGCACTTCCCCCATCTTTTCGAAGTACTCCTGTTTTTAGACGAATCCTCTTTCGAACTGTTTGGAAATGCCAATTTTCTATGATAAAATGTCCCTCCCTGCTTGTGCCCTGCCAACTTTGAAATGCTTCAGATATATGCAAGTATGTAAAAATTTTAAAAAATTTCAAACAAATAATTGAGGGATTAACAAATGAGATAGTAAAGAATATAGACAGAAAGGGGCGTAATGCTAGAGGGCTCAGGGGGCTGAGCCTCCCTTGCTAATGCCGAAAATTAGCCAATTTCTACAATTGCTAGCATTTTTAGCAAAATTTTGTGCAAGATCCACCCCGTTGTTATTTTTATAGCATCTAGGGCATTTTTAACGTACTCAGTGATGGGGGAATCGCCCCACCAAGCCCTCCGACTTCCCCTACCACTGACGACCAAAATGATCCTTAGCTTGGTTCCCACGAGGCGACTAAGTGCGTTCAAGTGCGTTCATCTCTGAGCGTTCAAGTTAAACGCCAAGTGGGAATGCTCCGGGCGTTTAACTTGGAGGAGATGAACGCACTTGAACCCTCAAAAAAGTTAAACGCCAAGATCAAAAAAATTTGATTTGAGCGTTTAAACATTAAAGATATGTTTCATTCATCAACCAACAAGTAAGATGCAAATGTAAAGCCAAAATAAGGCAATTTCAACCGTAGCAACGCAAGAAAATCGATTTCGTGACTGTTAGTACCTTGCGATCAATAAAACATTGCCAATTAACAGATTTCTGCTAAATTGTAAATTTTGAAAAGAGCTATACAATCAGGATTACTTGAAATGACTAACGCGATGCCATAAACTGAAGGCAAAGAACACCTACAATGTACACGTAAACGAATTGCGAAATTTGTGTCACGAAAATGCAAGGGAACTTAAGTTGCGATCCTGTTGCGATACTTGGTCGGATAGTGTGGGTAACAATGGCCTTTACCTAATTTTCAAGAGAGGGTTACAACATCTTACAACTGCATAATTCATAAGTGATAAAAGAGCAAAAGTTATAATTATTTTAGTGTTTAAATGCATGTCCTAGAGTCTCTAAAATGCGACATTTAGACATTTTGACTTGTCTTCACACAGCTAGCTGATTGTTTAATGAACGTACTTGAACGCACTTAGTCCCCTAGTGGGAACCAAGCTTTAGCCCCAAATGCCATTGTGTGGCCCTTTCAAAAGAATGAACACAATGCAAGTTTACTGGTCAAAATATCAACGAGGTGTTTTGATCAAATGGGGCCCGGGTGAACTAACACTTGAAACATAAAGAAATAGTGACAAACGTAATCCCTATTGTTTTCTAACAATCGATTTATCAACTTTATGTTATTCTGAAAGGTTCTGTCGTCCTGTCTCCCAGACGTAGGGACAAGCGTGCACAGAGGGCACGTGCCCCCACTTTTTGAAACTTAAGGTAAAATGTCCCTTTGCAGCTAGCCTGGGTACCAGGGCCTCGTGAATCCGGGGATAAAGTATTGTAGACAGCTGCGGTCCTTGCTCAGAAATTTTTCTGTGACTAGTTTCTAACTATATTTCCGAGACTAAATAATTACCCTAGGGCCTTGAGGATTAGGAAGCCCCTCAATTTGGCAAAGCAATTAGCAAGAGATAACAAATTAAGCCTAAAATTTGTACAATGTTTTAAGCAATTGCAAGAAAATGTCTCCAAAAAATTTAAAAAATGTACTTTTCACTAATCTAAAGCCGGGCATGGTTGCCAAAAGTTTTCTGCTCGCCCCACTAGCAAAGGGCCTCATCTTTCAACTTTGCCACGAGGCCTCCAAAACCCTTGTCGACACTGTTCACGATTAAACTGAGAATGATATCATTATAGCCAGGCTTCCAGAAACAGCCATTTTTAACCTTTCTGGTATCTCTGTTAGAAATTTCTGATAGACATCCAGATTTTTCAATGAAAATTTTTTAATAGAATCTCATTTCTAGTTTTGTTCCAACTTGGTTCCACTAAAGGTTCCAATTTGGTTTCTTTCTGCAAGAACTTTTCCGAAGCGATTTCACTATAGTAATTCGAGTAAAATCTTGAAACCTTGGAGTCAATCCTAAGATAAATCAGCATCGAAACAGCTTGATGAAATGTGATAAAATGCAAACACCAAGATAATAATTCCTCATTCCAAGCTAAATTGTTAATCTCCTCTCAGCTGATGATGTCCTTGGTAAGAGCAAATCTCAACCAAATTGATGTCTTCATGAATAAGTGTGAAACATCCTATTTAACTGTCGCAACAACACCTGAATTTGTTTAGAGAAAATGGAAGCATACTACAATTTGAAGCACCGTACAATATCTTGTCGTGAGCGTGGCCCCTTTCGAGAAATGCCCCACTACTGAAAAATGCTTAAATAATACCCTGATAGCACAACACCACTGTCTACAACTGGAATATTCTTAACTTTTTCATCCTTCCATTGGAGGTTCGCGTCACCAGGATTTACATTGTGAAAATATTGGGATACTAAAGAAGATAAACAATAGCTTTTTTCAATCGGCTTACATGTCTTTTTTCAAGTGGCGAACTATAAGTTGAAAATTTCCAGATTGGAGGAACGGTTGAGAAATTTACAGGATGACCGCTCTAACTGCTCGCTTTTCAATAAAGGATGCGATTACATTGATTAGATAGAGGCCTCTTAGAAGTCCTTGTTATTACCTAGAGTTATTCTGATATCCACTGACAGATATTCATAGTTGACTCCCAAAATAGTGAAATTCTTTGATCGTTGTCTTTTGCAAAGTTCGATAGCGATTATAGAATTTGAATACGTTGAATTTACCATACATCTTATCTTACTGCACAGTGTTTGCCTTCAATTTGAGCACCCTCAATATGAGATACGGGTTCAAAGCTGAATATCTTAAGTAGGCACCGACACTGCAATTGTGATGCACCATTGTATACCTTCTTGACATTATCAGGTAAAAAAAGAGGAGATAGTGCCCATGAGGTAGTAGGTTTTTCTTTGCAACTGTTTTAAAACATTCGCTATGAACAATACAACCAAATACTTATCGTGGTAGCTTCATTGATTGGTTTAAAAGCGATTGAACAACCCCCTAACACCTTAAAACCCTCAATAACTCACACATTCTTAACTTAACTCATTTGTGCTCCGCTATTTTCAAACTGACCAGACTGGCTCAAAAGGGCCTCATTGGGGTTTTCTAGTGGAGCAGTCAAGCATACGGATATTCTTCCTGAACATTCTGGCAGTTTCTGTAAAACCAGCCAGTATTATGATCAAGATCTATGCTGGGTGCTGATGTTTTTATCACTAAGTTAGAAAGTGGGGGGATGGGGTTGGGGGTATGTGCAAAGTGAGATTAAAGACTTACAACAAAGAATTTTGCAAAATCAACGGAGACCATGAAACCCCATTCAGCCTCCTCATCGAGGCTCCTGTGTAGTGAACAACCTAATCTTTTCTACTTTCATAAGGTTTTTCGTTAGACAAGGTTCTCCAAAGCTGAAACAGAAGCAAGTCTATCAACAATGAATCTGTGACGACCGATCAAATCGAATAGACGTCCTTGAGTTAATTTGGTGACTCTTTCCTCTTTCTCTTTAAGCCTTACAATCAACTTGTATCAGTTTAATAAATTTGTTTATGAAAAGGGAATTTAAGTTTGATAACACGCAATCAAATGTGGCCTTTTCAAAATTATGTGGAAAAGCTTGGGTGAGTTTTCAGATGATGATGGTGCTGACCGGCAACGTAGAAATACCGTCGTACTTTCTGCATTGGAATATTAATATCAAAGTTAATAAAATGATGTTTTCCTTCGAATTCTTTTAAGCATATTATTAGATGTTTCTTAATTTCTGGAAGGATCAACGCATCTCATTAGCAAAATTGAACATAATAATCTACATATCATAAATCTTTTCAACTTTATCGTTGTAACCCAGATTAATAATAACCAGTAAAAAAGGCAAACCGTGTTTTGTCTTTTATTTCCATTGCAGGCTTATTTGTTCAAACTCAAAAGCTGAGGTGGGTAGTCTATTCGCAATTTTTGATATATACATAAAAAAGTGCCAAAGGAATGAAAGGTCAATTCAGCTTTAGAGGCCTTTTCAATGATACTGTATCTTACACGCATGAAGGATTGATTGAGAGGTAGCAGTTGAGAAAGTTTATGGAATGATATAGCCTGCATGCAGACTAGGATTAACAAGAAACTGCTAATATTAGATTATACAAGTTTATATGAAAGAATTTATAGGCATAAATAGGAGCAGGGAGGTAGTGGTGGGGGCTCAGGGGGACGCAGCCACTTTGTTAGAATTTTCGAAAAATGTTGGAAAGCTCAGCCCCCCCTCCTCAATTTTTGTGCTAAGATACAGCCAAGAATCATATAACACAAAGAGAACTGCAAAGAACTGTTGTTTCCCCATGCGTCAGCCATTGACGACTAAACCAGAAAAAAGAAAAGAGATACACTTGATAGATTTAAACGCATTGCAAGCCTTATATACATGAAAATGTTCGTAAAAGATTTTTTTCTGAGCATGTTTACACACTTTTTTATATGAATACCACATTATTCTAAAATTTCAGCAATTTTGCGTCTTTATATTTTTATTAAAAAAGTGTTGTCTGTCTCTGACTCTGTCTTGCCTACTTTTAATATTTGATTTCACTTTTCAAAATTGATTTTTCTGTATCTGCAAACTATGAATTCTTTCTAAGTCCGCTGAAAAACAGTTTCACATGAAACTAATAGCATGGCTCATTAGCTGATGAAATCTCTACGAGAGAAGGTTTCAATTCAAAATCCAACCAATTGGTCATTACTATAAAAAAAGAATGTTCTGTTGTATCGATGCTGTAAATATTTTAGATGCATTTTCCCACCCAGCATGGTAGCATGGTGGCTGATTTCATTAAGCTCCTGAGCAATTTAAACATTTTGCCCCCTCACTTTCGATGTTCAATAAAGTTTCTACCGTCTCTTCCCATGGTAGCAATGTTCTGACCTCAGAAAGTCAACAAACGATCGGAAAAAAACATCAACCCTCGTCACGTTCTAATTGCAGTGATTACATGACAAGAGCAACTTAGAAATTTTACAAACACCCTCCCTTGTTAAAATTTTATGACTACAGTACATCCCTGCTAGGAGACGTGGGGGAAGCTGTAGCGTCTCCCAAATCAGACAAAATCTTATGAATATCGGGCCTATTTAAACAATTTTGTCACAATGAAGCAACAACGTTTGGGCAAGACCAATACCAAGCCCCCTCAATTTCAGTGGCGTAGATACAGGGAGCTCAGGGAGGGGTGGAGGCAAAAAAACATTTTAAAGCTAAATAGCTATTTCGTCGGAAAATTTCTGATCTTGTCGGAAATCTAGCATGGTTTTCTGTTTCTATTTAAGTGTTACACTTTGAGAAGACAATCTTTAAGATTGCTATAACGATTTCTTCAGTTCTTCTGAATCAGATGGGCAACTTAAAATGCCTCTTGCAAAGGAAACACCATAAAATCTTCAATTAGTATTTTTTCAATTAGTACTTCAATGATTTATGACACATGATTTTGAGAAAATATTAGACTTAATCTCCTGTTTTATTTCAGTGCTAATGTCGTTATTCTAAGTTTTGAATCTGTGTCACAACTTTTTTCAATCTGTGTCAAATGCTCACCAATATGGTACACGGCAAGCCACAAAAATGACATTTTTAATACGAAAAAATACTTTGCAATCTGGTTTCAGATCTGTGCGTTTCTTTGGTGCTAAAATTTTGGAACAACATTCCAGTAGATATGAAAAGATCCTTGCCTGTTGTCAGTTTTTGTCAAAAGCTTCAAACATTTTTATTAAACAAGAACTATCAAATTTGATTCTGAAGCTAAATGTATTGTTCTGTAATTCATGTAAATGATCAATTACATTTAAAACTACCTTAGAAAAGGGGGTGCTCTCTCCTCGATTCGTACATCTAGGTTCTCCTCATCCTCAAGAAACTCCCCTGCAAACAACATCTCACGTAATTGTTTTTTATTGCCTTTTATTGTTAGTATTCTATGTAATGTATGAACATTGTATGTAATTAGTTGTAATGTAGAGTTTTAAGATATTGTATGTAGAGGAATTTTAAAATATATTAAAAACTGAACTAAACGTGTTCAAATGTATGAAGAAGTTAAAAATTTTTGTTATATTTTTGTCGGAAAATCTTAGTTTTTCGCCCCTCCTATGAAATTTGCTATCTACGCCACTGCTAAATGTATAGCCCCCGCTTCGCTCTCACGATAAATGTTTCCCGTTACCCCATTGTTTTGTCACCTTCAGCACAATGGTATCATTGCTTCAGCGCCCTTTTTAGCCTCGGGTTCATAAACTGTTACTTGGCAACCAGAAGCATAATTTCACGAACTTCCTCGGGTACAAAATGGCTGCCAAGTGTCTGTTGTAATCAAAGATCTCTATTATTTATTGTACAAGTGAGCAAGTTGAGATTTATTGTCAAGAATTTGTTCTAAAAGCCGTTGGTTGTATTGGATATCAACAAATTTTCCGGGGCTTTACAAAAAAAAGAAATCAATGGTAAGCAAAGCGGTAGGAGTTATTACAATTTAATGTTTATTTCCAAAGATCTTTATGTAAATACTTGCATATATGCAAAGCGGTAGGAGTTATTTCTTTCAAGACCTATATGTAAATACTTCAAATTTTGTTTGCTATCATCCCCTGACCTTGCTTGAGCATGCTAAGCTGAACCTAGCTCTTATTTTTCAACTAAATCAGGTTTAACAGAAGACTTCGCATCCTGATCATTTCAACTGAACTATCCTTGAATGGTGGCCTACTTGTAAAATAGTATTCTCTGTTTTTGATCAATTAATTGACTGACTGACATGACTCGATTGATTGACTGACTGAATGATTGAGAAACATCCACATAAGCATAAGAAAACATTGCTTTTTATTTGAACAGTCAGATCATCTTTATTGAAAGTTTTATTTTCCGTGGAAGATTATACATGCCAGTTTGTGTTTCAATTGAAGTTGATGGTTGTGGTCTATTGAGCAAATGCTAGAGTTTTGCAGCACCAGATTACTATTTTTATTGCTTAAAAATATTTCATTAATAACAACTTGATCATTAGGTAAATATGGCAGAGGAAGAAGAAAACGAGGTTCCAATCTCTGCAAGAAGAACAGAATCACTTGACGCTCCTGACATTTTAGGCTTAGTTAGCCATGAAACTGGACAGTTGTTTGGAAGAGTCAATATTGTGCAGCTCATGTAAGATTAATTATTCTTATCTTCCATTAATAATTTTGTTTACCCTTAAAAGGGGTAAACAAACTGTTTACTGTTTAGGCATAAAAGGTAATACAGTTAGAATTACAATTGATAATATCACTATTATGCATAATCTTGATTGGTGAAAATGTGTCACATCTTTAATTGGTATTTGTAAAGCCTAAAAACTTACAGTTATTTTGCAACTGCAATTTAGCAGTATAAGTTTTTGTTGTAAGTTTTCTTGCTAATAATGCCCTTATTATAAGCAACACAGGCTGTAAAGCTTCTATCTTTATATGCTCAATATTATGATTGCATTTTCAGACTTTTTTAAGGGCTGTGATATCATAACTTCCTTTAGTAATACATTTAAAAGCATTAAGAGCCCTTACTGTATGACCAATGAGGGTAGTGACAATGTTGCAGTCAAATAGCTGTTAACCATTAGCAAGATACAAACTAATAATTTCTGCTCAGGGAAAATTATACCCAAGCAATAAAATTGGTAGAGATTTATTTAAATCAAATTTTTTGTCACCTCCACCTTCAGATTCAACTTTTGAATAAGCATCCAATTTTCTGTTTGCAAAAGATTTTTTTCTCATATAAATATTTCAGTTAATCTAATGACATATCTCTTTGTAGAGAAAAGGCAAATATGTCAATTTCTCTTGTTGATGAGAAAAACAGAATATTAGGGCATGCTTCATTTCTGGATTATCCAAATCGAGATTTTGTGGAACAAAATAAATGGGAACCATGGCTTAAAAGTACCTATAATGCTGACATGTGCACAGTGAGTTTCAATTACATTGTTGATGTATACCATATACATAATATAAAGTGTACACTTCCTGTGCACCACTTCTCTTTCACAACTTCCAACCTTATCCACTTTCTTCCTTTGCCAGCAGTTGTGTGGCACAATAATCTTACATAGTGTTTACAGATATTTTGTGCTGCACAAACATGTGAAAACTTGAATTTTGATTGGTGAGATTCGGTAAAATATTTGCATAACAAAGAGCCCTGCATATTTGTGCGGCAAGGGTGACATGCTTAAAAATAGTACTGTTTACGGTCTAGGATGATCTTTGAATTTCTTCTATATTCAATTAAATCGCAGCAATGTGTGTTAGATTGACCCAGTTTGGTCCTGTGTTTATTGTGTAAAGAGAGGTAAATGTATTATCTGTAAGGAGGGAAATAAAAGATTGTGGTAAACATGATTGCCTTATTTTAATGACTGAAACTAAATTCTCAAAATCTGACGGTCTTTTGTGCGACCTGTGCGACACCCTGAATCTGCCCCTGTGACTCCAAATTGGGACATGACTGATGACTAATATAAGCATGCAAATATGAAATGTTTTGCCTGTTTAAATTAAACTGACCATATTCTACTTTTTGAAAACATTTTACTGTTTTTTGCAGCCTGTCAATACTTTGTTCATGCACTTTTTTGTATCAAAACCAGACTTTTCTCATGGAAGTCTCACTGAAATAATGAGGTAGGTTTCAAAACTGAACTATCATTTTTAAAATTAATAATTAAACTTTAGTAATTTTACACAGCATGAAAATATGTACTTAATGAGATAACTAGGCAGCATACTCTTCAACTTGTACAAATATCAAATTCTGTTAAACAAACACTTGGTCGGATTACCAAGAATTTTTATATTTTTTGCTTCATATCTTGTTTTGCTTCTAGAACCCTATTTAATGCTGTCCCCGTGCTTCATTTTGTCATTCTAATTGTTCCAAAAGATACAAAAATTGGTAAGCAATCATTTGATCTGCTTTGAATTTTATTATTATAACGTTTTTCTTTTAAATTTTAACCATAGAAGATTATCTGTCAAACTTAGAGATAACACAAAAAAGCAAAGTTGTAACATATCTAGAAAAGTCAACATTTGCAAGAGAGAAAAAGCTACTCAATTGTAGATTCCTTTGGTAACCTCAATTGTAGATTCAATAGTAGGTAACCTCTTTAAATCCTTTAGCTGTTCCAGAATCATTTCAAGTAAAAAATCAAAAAGTAGTTAGACAAAGTAGTTTGTTTTCTCATTTTGATCTTTATCTACCTCAAAGTAGAGCTGATTTCTCAAAACAGTTTGTCAGTTAAATACAGCCGTTTCTCCTCTTCTTTTGTGAGTGATCCATATCAGGCTATAAATGCTCTTTCATTTTGGTAATCATCCAACATTTTTACTTTTAAGTCTTTGGTATGGTATGTTGGTTGACTAAGGTTTTACTCATAGTCAGCCACAAAGTATTGCTGAAATCTTGTGCATTATTGATACATCTGTCTATGAGAAATTTCCTGTTCTGAATCTGTCATCTAAGGTATGCATTTTCCTGCAAAAACTATTATCTCAGAATTTAGAATTGATTGAAATTTTTATATTATAGGCTCTGGAATATCTAAGATATTTGAACCACTTTTGCAAAAAAACAACACAGATGAGCTCCCACACGAAGCTTATGTTTGTCAGAGATATAATCACTGTCCAGTTCTTTACATCAGGGGTGCCAGGTAAACCAACACATATTTTCTTGTCAGGCTTTTAGAAATAAATTGTTCAGGAGCTATTGCCCAAAGCTAAACCATTGCTTTGTGTTCCATTAATATCATATATTATACTATTGTTGTATTTGTTTTGAGATGTTATACATATATACATATGAGAGACATCTTTCAGCTTCATCCATTGAGTCTTTATAATCAAGAGTGATAATTTTCAATTTGATTCAATACAAGTTTAATTCTTTTATTGATACAGTTATTTTATTTATTTGCTTCAAATATTTAGGCAATATTTATAATAAGCATTATTAATATGAGATGAGTAGTTGAGTTTTGATTATTCTTGAAAGGGTTGAAGACCATGATGACCTGATGCCAATATTCAACCGACATAATGCTGAGCTAACAGCTATGTATGGTAAAGTACAATCCCCCTTGATTTTGCATTTCCCCCTGATGACAGAGTTGATTTCATACACTTTTCATACAGCATTCTTTCCTACAGATTTCCTAGTTACTTTTCTTCCAAAAAATATATTTCTTTAAAAAATTATTTTTATGTCTTTTTGCCTTAAATACTGAATAATAAAACCTGAAAACAAGTAATAAGCTAGCTTTATTTGACTTTATATATGTATATTTTTTCTGCATATTATTTTTGGTCTAGGATTCATAATTTCCTTGTAAACCCAATTTATCTTGAGAGAATACAAATATAGCTAATCCTAAGTTTAATCTCATCTTTTTGTAATGTAGAAGACAACAGACACTCCAGAATCCTCCAGAAAGCTGGTCATTGTCTCTTTAGCGGATATAGTGATTTTGTTCAAAATAGTAGATTCCTATAAAGGATTTCATCCAGAGAATAAAGAATTAACTTGAATTGATATTTGGAAGCACAGTAATAACATGATCCAAACGTTTGTCAACTGCCGGTTTGTGTACCAGATGTTTCCATTCTTCTAATCCCTATAAAGTGAGATCTATAATACGGATGGCCAAGTATCTTTAAAGGATTTCTCCAAAAATGAACAAACAACTTCTTTTGATAAATTTCTGTTGTGATCAAATTGTTTAGAAGCAACCTCTAGACAATTGATACCTCTCTACAACGAACAGTTATTTCAGTCCCACAAGGTCTTCAAATTTGGTTCACAGTCTGTAGAGAGGTGTCAAGTTGGTTTGCAAATGTAAGATGCTGGTTGACGTCATAAGTTTTCATACTACAATCTTTTCTTGTTTGTTGGCAATGAACTGTGCTTTCTAATGTTTCATTCTGATGCTTCGCAGGTGACTTCTTTCTGTCTGAGCTTATTGAAGCACAAGATGAGCAAAACAAGACAATAGTTGCAGACGTATGTAATAACTTAATCTAAATTGTCATTAATCAAAGGATTGTTGCCAAAAAACCACGAGGGCAACCCAGGGGAGGTGGTTGCATTTCCTTTGATTTATTTTCAAACCATTTGAAGGTGCTATGAGAATTATAATGTGTAACACATTTTTTACATTCAGAAAAATTTCTGTAGTATAAAAAAATTCTACATTTCTTGAACTTCTTTTTTGTCTAAAATTTTTCTAATTTTCATGGCCTGTTTTATTTGTTTTGACAGTGTACTTTGTATTCAAATGATGATTTTTTTGCCAGGTGGATGGAACAGCATTTGGTTTCATGAGCTTGTCTAGTGACGTAGATATTAAAGTGCTGGATAAATGCTTTGAGCTGGAGCCTTTTAATGGCTTGAAAAGTGTTCCAAAAAAGTTAAAACCTAAAGAAGGTAATATCCGTAAAAAGTGAGCCACTTACAGTCAACAATTAAAATGACTAATTTGTCACTGAACATTGATTTCATTATGAGTTAGATTGTAAAGAGCAGAGTTAGAGTCACAAACCTTGAATCTTCAACTTTAACTTAACCTTTCATTTTTTTCAAAATTTTTCACTTGAAAAAATAATAACCTTTGTGTTAAATTTGATGTGAAATGATTAAAAAGAGAGGTCCTGAACTTTTCTGCTGAAAATTGTCTAAAGCAATTTATTTTTAAAAGAGCCCTGAAGGAGCGCGATACTCAGTATTAAATAAACAAGAATTATTTGGTTTAAAGTGAGTGTTGACTTCTGAGCTGCTTCGAATGCTGTCACAGGAGATAAAAGGGTTTTTATTAGTCCTTGGTTGTATAACGTTGATGAGATGCACGTCTGCTGAGAGCGGTGGACCTTAGCTTTCGACCCCATTACACAGCACATTCTATAGCACTAAAAGTCGTATAAACTGTGCACAATAACAAGTGCCCATTTTGCCGAGGAAGGCATTTAAATCCTGCACTCTATGTTCTCAGAGTATTTGTATAAATGGTTGAATACCTCTCTTCATATTACTTCGTATTTTGATTACAGCTGTAGAAGAAAAGAATATTGTAAAACGCGATTCATTTAAGTCAAGGTAAGTCAGATATATCTTGCTTTTTTTAACTAAGTGACTTTGAAAATGTTTTCCTATAGCGTCTCGTCCTGTACGGGGAAGAGCATTTCACTTTCCTTCTAGCATATCTGTTGCTCGTTTTAAATTACTTTCTGATCTCCATAATTCGGATCCAAATGTCTCTTAAACATTAAAATTTATTTGCAGACCCGCAACTGAAATATCAATAACAATAAAAACAGGTACTTTTTAGTTAGTTTTTATGAATTGTTATAAATCTTTTGCAGCGAATTAATTGTTAATTGGTGGTTTTCTTGACTTAATATTAGATTTTGAGTCTTTTCACATTTGTTGTGTGGGAGGAAATGTGATTAAAGAGCCTTTTTGCAAAATCAAACCTATATACATAGTACATTTGGTTGAAATCTTTTTATTTTCTGGCTTCCTGCTTCCCATCAAAATGTACTATATTATTTCGCTAGTCTGCTATTAAAGTAGCTGGGTGGACCCTCCACAAAGAATTCATAATAGCTTTATCTGATTGATCGTTGCGCATTTACAAGGTCAGACTGTTCATCGTTTATTAATTATTTATCAGTAATACTGAATAAATTTTGGAGCTGATGAAAACTTGGGAATGCATTTTAGTTTCACCTTAACCTTGTCTTACTAACCGGCATAATTTTGAAAAATAGTGTGAATATTTAGCCTAATTCCTATAGACAGACAAGAAACTCAAAAAATTGAAAATGTTATTTTTGTTGATGTATATATGTAACTTTGAGGAAGACTGATGAAATTCTTCAACTAGTTTTTGATTATAAAGTTGAATTTTGTGTTTATAAAGTTATAAAGTTAACTTAAGAAGTTGAATTTTGTGTTGTAGAAATAATTTTCTTGTAGAGGATTCGTCATCACCAACAGCTCTTTCAGTGACATCTCCTACACATAAACCAGGTTTGAAAGTATTTACATTGATGCGATTACCAATTCTTTGTGTTAGATTGATTGATCGTTTTCCTGTCAGCTTATTTAAATATCATGAAGTATAGACATTGTCATCGCTATCTTTCTACATTTTGTGCTGATAACCATTTTAACTGATGTTATGTAGTATATTCATGTATAAAAGACAGAAATCAATTTCTGTGCGATTTCGGCGACGAACTTGTTAGCTAACTCCCTTAAAAATAATAATCATTTTCTTAATTTTTGTAGTTTTATTTCTTTTATCATTTTAGGTGAAGATGTTTCAGGCCCTCCTGGAAGGTGAGAGCTAATTTTCTACGCTTTGTGGTTTCATTTATACTTCAAGTATTTGTATTTCTTCTTTTAATGGTTTATTTATTCAATCATGTTTTCGTCTATTCTTAGCTCTTGGCATGATATACATAGAAGTCCAGATTTGAAGTACCTTAACAAAATTTACTGTTCCGTGAATTACCTGGATGAATATTTATCTATCAACGGCCAAGTATGGTTATTCCACGATTTCATTAGTAAAATAGCCAACGTCAAAACATGACATATACCTTATTTGCATTGTAAAATTACTTTTATATAGCCTTCTTTAAAAGTTTTATAATTTGCCGAAAACTTATTTTTAAACGATTCCAGTACTTTACCTGTGTCAGCCGGCCGCAAGGGGAAATCGCCAGTTGCAAAAGGTAAGCCTTCCATATTGGAAATAATGGCGCTTTGTAGTACAGGCAGGTTCCTATGATCTAAAGTGCGTCTTTCAATTCTTCTAAGAACTGTTTTGAGTATCTGAAAATTCTTAACTGTAACCAAATTTATCTTTTCACATTCTGTAAACTTTTTCCTACTAGCCCTTTACAATGGCTTGTCAAACTCTTCTAAGCTCCATCTGTTGAAAATGATGTATAGAATTACTCTCTTATAAACAATCTTATTTTTTCTGTTCTCCAAATCTCCCAATAAGCAGCTAATTGACCACAAGATCAGGGAAAACATGAGTCTTATGGTCAGAGACTGAAAATTTCTGGCAAAAGCAATGTTAATTTGGATATATCAAACCTTACCTAGGTTTCATATTAGCTGAGATTGTTGATTTTTTCCCTTTGTCTTTATGCAGATATGACGAACCTTCTGTTAGTATATATTGACAAAATTAATTGATAGTTTCAAAAATTTTGAAATCAACTCTCGTCTTGTACAGGATCTTTTCATCGTACAAAGCAAAAAAGTGCCAAACCCAAGGATAAAGATGCAGAAAAAGCTGAAAAAGTCGAAAGGTGCATTATGATGTAAAAAGCTGAAAATTCTAATTAAGATTCTCTGCCAGACCAAACACTTATGGCATTGTGATAAAACTTTTGGTGTAGAGGGAAAGGCAATGTCTGTGAATGGCTACATCTTGTCGGTCAACTTTCGGTAGCTTTTGTTCTTATTGCACGTTTTCATAATCAGTTCATAATATTACAGTTGATTTGCAAGCTGGATTTGAACTAAATGCGAATTTTACAGCGAAGGGCTTTGAAATATTCCAGGCACCAGCACTGGCTCTGTATACACACTTGACAATCCTGGTACACATGCATGTAGCCAGTATTTTGAGACATATCGAGTGCAGTCAAACATAACGTCTTATCGCATTTATTTGACAGAGCAGTGACACCACTAAAAACACCAGCACCCGATGAACATCCTGTAGATGTCAAGCCAATTGCATCCGAGGTATGCTCTTAACAGGTTTTTATTAAAACATATTTTCATCTTATTAGAATTGCCTGTGGCTATTATTTACTAGTACTTTGCTTCTCCATTATTTTTAAATGTCACACCTGATTTGAAACTTTCTTTTTACGTGTATTAACACCAATGTAAAACTGTTCCTCCTTTATATGTAGTAAATCATACTCCTCCATTTTTAAAAGCCTTTATATAAAAAAGATTTGAGCAGGGAATGATGCCTGATATATGATTCTTTTTGTTTCTAAGTCACTGCAGTATATCGTTATCTAATTTTTTAAATAAATATTTGCATTGAAGAAAAACGCGAGTCTTTTTGGAAGTTCTCGAGTTTGAAAGGTTGCCTGATGATCGTATTAAGCGACAAACTCGGAGTAGCAACTTACAAACGTCCTTTTCTATACTGCAAAATTGTGTACAGCTCCGTGTAAATTTTATTAATTTGCTAGTAAACAATTCAAGTAAAGGAACACGCCATTTTTGGCCTGGTCTCTTTCATCTAAGTGCCATCTCGCAGTTAAGCATGTGAAGCATTCTGCTCTCATTTTATTGTTTTTGCTCTGGTTATCAAAGGTGGAGCGGGTGGAAGAGAAGGTCGAAGAAAAACCTAACGATGATGTCGCAGAGACTGAAGACATTGATAAAAAAGAAGATTTTGACGAACCTGAGGAGGAGCTCGAAGAATTAGAGGCAGTTGAAAGTGCTCTTTGCATTCAATTGTTTTGCATTGACGAGAAATATGAGATGCGGTAAGTTTTCCTACCTTTTTAGTAAAAGTACCATTGTCACGAAAAAGAGGGCAAAACGATTTCAAACTTAATGATATCCCCCTGATACAATTTGTAGTTACAGTTACAATTTGTAACAGTCACTCGTTATAAGCTCTTTTTGGTCTATATCATCTTGTCAGAATATAATCCTGAAATATCATTCTGTTATAAATCCTTTAGCTCTGCCTTAAATACAGTAAACGCGTATTTTTAAAGGTTTGTGGTCGCTTTTGATGTCTCATTCTTTCACAAAGATGTTTACAGCTTTTCGCAATTCTAGTTTACTAGACAAGGCCAATTCTCAAAGCCTTTTTTGTGGATGCCCTGTGTCGATCAGATGGTCGGACAACTGCTACAATGGGCTAAGCTAGCCCATGTCTAGCCATTTGATTATATCTAAGTGCATTATTAATATAAATACAATGTCTATCTTTAGTTTTTTTAAAGACGTCGTGAAATATTTTTATGAGTTTTTTCAATAGATCATTGACAAGTTGACGTATTTTTGTAAAGGCATTTTTGATGCTATTAGTGATCGACTGATAATTTCATTCCAGTAAATCAATGTTAGAGAGTGTTTAACTGGCCTGTTTCTGGTACCATTTATTATAAAAAAGATACCTAATGCAGTTATGGAATAAATTTCCATTCTCAGTCATTGAATTTAGTGAAGGTAGACCTTTTAAAGAAACAAATCTGCAAATGGTTGTAGCTGAATCCACAAAATATAAAAACTGTAAGGCCTTTAACTGATTTTTGTTTCGGGTTCTATAATCTTAAAATATAACTATAACAGCGCCGGTTTTCCCTTTGCCGTCATAAATTACCTTAACCAATCCCCTAATTTTGCCAACATGTACTTAATAGTAATACTTCCCGGAAATACGATGGAAACAGATGTCAAAATATCTCGTTCAAAAAGGCAACTTTTCGAGGCAAGAATCTCTCTATGATTCAAAATAAAATTATCGTTTTCATAAATTTTTCCAGCTTACCTTTTTATGATGACTAGGATAGTGCAAAGCTTCTGTTTTCTTGTCGTTTTCCACAGCTTTTTACTCACTGTAATCTAGGAAATGTTTACATTCTAGGTCGATGGATTTCCTCACCAAAGTGTTTGAGCTTTTTCCTGTAAGTTAATCAAGTTAATTTCATTAATTTATCATATGCAGTCAGGCACTGGACATAAATATTTTCAATTCTGAATTCTGCTTATGTTTACCAGTGGACACTTGACATGTTTAGGAATGATATCGTCCGAGCTCCGAATATCTACATACACTGAGCTCTCTTGTTGTGGTTTATACAATCCCTACAGAGCTTTTCATCAATTGACTGGTTTATATTTGACTGACTCAAATTTAATAAGATGACGATTCTAATTTCTAGCCATGAATATCATAGGTCAATACTAGACTATTATACCTTCAAGCAGAATTTCGAGATATTCCATCTTTATCTCGTAGATTTTCTTTGTTTGCTATTTGATTTTATCTGCGTCTTGATCCACCCGCACATAAGTTTGTTTTATAGCTATAGAATTTCTTTGATAAAAAATATACAAGTTTGTTATTATTTCAAGGTTATTGGGGATCTTAGTAGCAAGGTGCATGTATGGTTACCTGCTTGTAAGGACAGCTGTTTTCATTTTGAAATTTTGAAAAAGGTAATCCCCACACCACACCAAGGATTAAGAGCCATACCAGCAGAGTATCGGTGAACTAGATGCAATAGACCAAGCAAAGTCTTAACCTCATTGAACAAAATTCTGTTCAATTGAATGTCAAAAACAAAGCTTCTTTTCTATTTGTGCATTAAAAATTATTTTGGAAAGCTTCCAATGTGTTAGTAAATGGAGGGTGACATATTCTCTTTGTCGAAAAATATTTGACCTGGTTGTCAACCCCGATGGGCTAGCGACGGGCAAGGCTGCAGATATCTTTGCTTGAATAAAAAACCCAATGACGAAGTTAGTTGCAAGTTCTTATTTTTTCCATGCGTATACTCAACTTGTCGGACATGGTGCTGATCTCATTTGATTCAACTAACACAAAAGTCTATATACTGCTAATATCTTATATAGTTCTGTATACATTTTTTTTAATTACTTGCCTTTGTTTTGACTGTGTGATGTTATTCAATATTGTGACGCCGAGAAACCCAGTATAAGTTCGAACTGGTAGCGAATATTTTGAAATGAATTTGCATATTAAATTTGTTCAGTCTGTAGGATTATTTTACCTGGTATTTTTTATCCTTTGTTTGGGAATTTTTCGGATTTTTGCAAAGTTATGTCATTTTCAAAGCAATTGGTCAGTAATTTAAGCCTCTGAATATAAGATTATATTTCTTGATAATGAAAATGTGATTGGAATTGCAAATATAGTCCAAATATGTCAAAAACTCAATCCCTACAACAAAAGTATGTCCTTCAAAATGTTCTTTAAAAGCAAACCTTTCAAAGCGTACTAAAGCTCTTTGTTTGACACTGTTCAGAATTGCCTTCGTTGATTCAGTATGTTTAAGAATATCTGCTGTTATTGAATATCAAGCAGCTAAAATCCTTATTAATATATGGAAAACCCAAGACAAATTTAAAAAAACCTAAGACAAATCTCAACCGTTTTTCACTATTGTTTCTTCTCATCATAACAATTATGGCCAGTTTCAATAGTTCATGTTTGGAACCTGACTGGCTTTGGCTAAACACTTATAAATACGTAATCAACATTGAGTGTTTGAAGAAAGAAACAGTCGAAGTCTGGCGTTTTCAACTTTTAGTCTTAAATATTGCGGTGCTACAACCATTTTTGGCAGGTATTCGAGGCATAGACAATCTAAGATTTTTTGTAAGAGTGGCCGTTCAAGAGGATTCTTTTAACCTAATTACAGATCTTTGTTGTCGATCTGGTCTTTTTAGATCTATAGAGATTCGCATTCTTCCCTCAAATTTCTGAAATATTTTCAAAACCAACAAAAATTTTAATATACGATTTCATGTCTGCTTAACTCATATAAAAATTCAAAACACACTGCGGTGTTAAATTAATCTTCGCATAGCCTTCCTTTGTTTCGTTTTGAATTTTGATGCGGAGAATAGTGTTTCAAAATAGTTATCAATTTTGTTAAATTTTTGTTACATTTTAGGTTTTTTTTAATCAGCTTACCATTTTGTTTAATTTCATAGCATAAAGATTTTTGTATCGTAACCATCCCTCACACTGTACCGGAGTTTCCACTGCTTCAAAGTTTCAAGGTATGGTTTTTTATTTCTCTGTTTGATTTTTCAGAAAAATACCATCTTAAGTGTTAAATCGATCCTAAAAATCATCTTCTGGGTCGCTTTTTTCTCTTTTATGTAGCATCCTTCAGGTAGATATATCGAAGTAGTATTAAGCCTGATACATCATATTTACACCTTGCTTTTTTTTTCTTCGTCCAGCGAGCAACACCGAAACCAGAGAGTACTTTGTCTCAAGAACTTTACGTTTTCCACAGAAACGGACTCCTAAGGTAGTTGAATGATATTTTTGTTTATACTTCGAAAACCTTCTCATTTTATTTAAAACATAACTAAGTTCTGTCTTTAATTAAATGCTACGTATATATTGATATCATTGTTCGTATTTCATGTTAGCTCCATCAATGTTCGATCTTGCAAAGAAGAAGACCAACAAAGAGTTGAAAAACTCACCAGAAATGTATCTGGGAAAGAACAACTTATGAAGTAAGTCCTAAGATTTGGTCAGTGATATGAATTGTGCAACTTCGAAAGATTTCAAGACAATCTCCTTCAATCACTGTTGTTTTTAAAAAAGGGCAGTACATATGTTACCATTTAACTTTTCTATACCATTAGAAACAATCTCACTTTTCATCTTCACCGTGAAGTCGTTTTTCAATGTTACGAAGCTACAATACACAGATAGGGTGTGACATTTCTGCTAGAGGGGTCCTATTGACTTGTTCCCCAGGCCTATTTGTATATTAAACCTGGAAATTTTAAACTTGATTGATTTAAATAAACTCTTTTCCTCGAAGTTACAGCTACTCGCTAAATTATCGCTTGAAGCTCGATTTTAATATAGTTTCTGTTAGTTTTAGTTAATTTTTTTTTAGGTTTTTTTCTGTATGTAGATCCATTCTTATTCAATCGATAACTAATTTTGCATTTATTTTTAGAGATGTTAAAAGGTTTCTTGACGCCTGGCGAGATAAGGTCAGATATGTTTTAAGAAAAACTTTTTGACTGAGAGTTATAAAAAATCCTTTAAGCATTTGTGCACAGGTAAGATAGAGAATCTACCACAATCGAAGCATCCGAATTGTGCCGTGCTTAAATGCGATCACCTGAAAGCTCCACATCATAACTGTAATTCATGCTTGTCTCAACCTTTTTGATCACATGCAATTTCTTCTCTTGGCCTAAATGTTGCACTGGATTGGGAGATTCGTATGATTTATGTTGAGATTTTTGCTCCTTGCAAATGCACGCCTTGATCTTTGCACAAACCCTATAAACCTATTACTGAACGCGTCTTAATTATATATTAAATAGCACCAGTTTGTGTTTTATTTTTCATGTTAAATGATGTTCAGTGGCATGTTTTTTTCAATATTAATATAAAATATGCAATCATTGTGCTCGACCTGTAATTGATTCAAAAGGTACTCATATTAAAATTGAGGGAACCTCGTTAAGCTTTAGCAACTAAAGGCCCATCTCTTTTACTCTTGATCATTATTCTGTCACAAGATTATTACTCTTACTTGTGTCTTATTATTTTTGATTTTTTCTAAGGATGGCACTCCTATAAAATGCTACGTTGCGGAATGTGTTGGACAAATTATTGGTATCTCAGTCATACGTCAAGAAGAGGTATTTGATTATTACCAGCCTTAATTCAAGTTTTGCTGGAACAACAACACACATTTTTACTTTTTTTGATATGTTTCTTTCGCCAGACTGTCTCAGAAACTTCGAATAAGTTTTAGAGACTTTTATGAAGGGGCGTGTATTTCGTCACAGTCTATACATTTATACTCCTTTAAAGTCACAACCTGTTTACATCAATAGAATTGACTGATTTTCTACTTCAAAGCTCTGTCACTTCAATTCTTTTCTTTCTCATTGTTAACTAAAAGTAAAATCTTCAAAGGAAGAATTTCATGAGAACAGAATTTTGATCTAAGCTTGTAACTACTTCCCTTACCACTCACCCAGTAGCACAGCCCGGGTGGTAAGATTGGGGGGACGGAGGGAGGAAGGCGAGTTGAGCGAGGAAAACATGGGGTCCAAAAACTTGGAACTCCAGAAAAAGACCCTTTTTCAAAGATCATTTTCATTTTTGCCATTGGGAGGGGGGGTGCGTCCGCCCTCTTTTGCCTCCCCCTCACTACGCCATAGCACTCACCCTATGTTTCCTCACACCTTCAACTGTTCAAAATCTCTCAGCAATGAATGTAAATGGCAATTCTGTTTCTTCCAGGACATTGAGTTCATCCGTGCTCACTACAATATTGAAGATTTTGTTTACTTCAATCATCACAAATACGAAGAGCATGGCCATCTGAACCATTTTGTAATCAACCCGGCGTTTGCACATTTCACTAAACATTTCCTAAAAGTATGTAACAAATTTTAGATTGCTGTGGTGATCTTTTTATACTATGCCTCATCGTTATTTGTTTGGATGCATATGATCATTATGATGATGATTATAATGCATATGACATGATGCATATGATGATGATTATGATGCACATGACTAGTATCTGTCATTATACAGTTTATAAATCAAAACAAAAAATTGATCGTAGAACCCAATCTGTATAGATTGTCACCTTGAATAACCATTGTAGCTATATTTGTTATAAATGTTATGATGCATATTTAACTATTATTGAGGCGTGACATCCATTAAGCAATACTCATGATTCTACGTGGTAGTAAGAACTTTGCGAGTCAACAAGACAATATACATTGCTACTACACGCAAAAAATAAGTAGACTTCTTTTGCTGAAAAATTTCAGCTCTTTAATATAATCCCAAAAACTGCTCTATTTAAACATCATACCAGTGAAATGCTTGTTTCAATTCTAGGAAATTCTTCGCCTCTCAACAAAGTCATGTTTGTATTATCCGTTATACAAATCGCTATCGGATGCTCAGGTATCTCACTTTCTTTTTTAATCATTCAGATAAAGCCAGGTGTAAGCTTCCCATAAAATCGTCAGCGATTTGTATCACGCAATAACTAGAATTTTTCTTGTCCAATCTCGCAGTAATTGTGTTGATCTCCTAGTAGCTAGCTACTTATGATAATTCAAGCAACGAGTTTTCGAAGGATTACCGCCACAGATTTCACGTTTAGCAAACCCTAAATCGGATTTAAACTAACAATTTTGCCTTCGTCTTTTTGCTTCAGCTGTTTTTTGCTAATTTCCTTTATAATTTTTTCTCCATACCTATGTTTTGATTCTATCTTTGATATTTAGGACGTCCCATATGGTAATCGACGTTATTCATTATCGTAACAAGTTTTGATTCCATGATTGTAGGTCAAAAATCCACACAGTTTAGTTACATGTCTCAACGAATTAGTACCAATCAGGTAAATATTGTTTATTGTACGTAGTGAATTTCAAACAGTGCTTTCTAGAGCTGTTCAATAGCTCGACAATATACTTTTGAATCCTATGCAATATTTTTTTCGACAGGAAATGTGGAGCTGAGGTGCATCCCTCCAAGTTTAAGAAAAACAATAATAATTTTGTCTTTAATAATGATGAAAACAGTGTTGTTTTTCGAAATAATAGTTTGATAGGTATCTGCCAGAGATAGGGAGCCATAGTGTCTTCATGTTTGGGACTTAATTTCTTGGTTGAACAAAGCTAAGAAGATTCGATTTTTGCGAAAGCCGTTGCCATTCTTTGTCATTGGTTTATGTTCCTGATAAACTGTATATAAAATAATACGTAAGCCACGTAGTTTAGCTATACTTTGACAATAAGGTATAGCTTTTTTAAAACCATTTCCACATGTCTCAAAGCCTGTATTTCAATTTATATAAAGGAAGCTTGACTATCGTTTAAGGATGAGGAGGCAGATAGTGTACCCATTGAAAGAACTTGGAATCAACGCTCCTTCCAAAAGGATTCTAGCCGACCAGGTAGAATCTGAATTCTTTCGATATATTTTCAGCAATTTCTCAGCTATTTGATACAGGTAATCTGAAATCCCCGATGCTATTAATTTATCTTTTCTCTTAGGCTGGCTACTCGCTATTTCATATAAACAGGAAGCTGACCTTAGAACCAAAGGTAGGGCTCTTGGCAGTTGATGACCATCTCTTCGCCAAACCAATCGTAGTTATTTATCTATTATTCTAGGCTGGTTATGGCTATGTCACCAAAAATAAGATATATGATTAGTTTGAATATTCGAGACCATTTTCCTTGGCATCAGAACTTGATATATTTGTAAATATCTGTAAAATCATAAATACCTCACCCTCTATCACATGTTCTTCCATTTTATCTTCGTAAAGGCCAGTGAGAGAAGCAAATGTGTAAGAAACGCTACGCCCACATCAATGTATTTAGATAAGATATATTCAGTTATGTTTCATGATAGTTTTAAGTCCTTCGCGTTGCCCAATCTTTTTTAAATGTATAGCTGATTGTTTTCAATTTCTCCTTTTTCAATAATTGGGTCTGCTTTACGCTTGTTTATAATGCCTTTGTTTATGGATTTGATATTGGCTACAGAGAAGATGTGCCATTAGACACTCTGTGGTATAGTCATGTCTTGCCCTTGTAGTATTTTATTAATCCAGTATTTGTATCATTAGTAAAAATATAGTATCTGCTTTTGTATCTGAATACTCTTCAATTTAATTCTTCAATTTGCCCTTTTATCTTTTAGATTGCTATAAATGTGAGGGTGGTTGTTGTCGGTGCATCTGATGTTGGCGTTTCGTGCTTGGATTCGTTGATCCATTGGTAAGGAGAATTTCTAGCACTTAATCAAATTCTACTTATGTTTTATAATCATTATATTCAAAATATCCTTTTATTTACGGTCAACAGCCAAATGTTATGGTGTGAATTCGAATTAATGGATTTAAGTTATCGGGGTCCATGTTTTTTTATATTTCAAAATGCTTAGTATTTACATGTCCAGCTGTTTATATCTTTAAGTTCTAATCTAATCTATTTCTATTGCTAATAATAGTGGTCTTTTATGTATAGAAATGTTAATAAAATATTTAAAACTATAATATGCCTTATAAATAATGATGATAATTTTTCTTTATGATAATTCTGATGCCTTATATAATAAAAGTGATAATATCATGCATTTGTAAAATTAATGGCAGCTTAACCTATACTTTAAAGTAATGATAATAATGATAATATACTTAATTATAATTTTAGTAATAATTCTCTACCTTATGAAAAATAGCTTGTAAAGTCTTTGTAAATATTCTGATCACATATGCCTTATATGATAAAGTGATGGTAACATATATTATAATGTCAATTGTAATGATGATATACTTTTGTTATGATAATAGTAATGGTAATAACATACCTTAATGATTTTAGTAGCTATCGTGCATAATGACAATAAAAAAGATTAGGGTTTTTGATAATTATGATAATGATAATATACTTGATGAATAATGACAATAATGTATCTTTATAAGAATTTTGACGATGATATACCTTAGATGATAATATACCTAATATACCATTATGTTAATAACGATGATGAAGAGAAATATATAAATCTAGTGATCGGCTTCTGCAACCACATTCCCTAACTTTGTCTCATCCTTTTTGAGTTCTTTTTCACAACAAGCAGTGCTCCTCATCATAGTTCATGTTCAGCGAACATCTTTTAACAATTTTCAACCTTAATATGATACCTGTCATCTTATCGCCAAAACTGCATTTCATAAATCAGGTAATAATCTTTTCAAATTAATTTCGTTTTTTTACAGCCCACATCTTTGTTTCAATAATCTTACTTTGGTTTCCACTAATGGATTAAAAGATCAGCTATCGATCGAAGAATCAAAGTATTTACCACACAGGTAAGCTTCTTGTGCACGTTGTTTCTACAAATGGTCGTTCAATATTCTAGCTTTATGTCATTTTTCATTTGTTGAATAAAGGTGAACTTTCAGTGAGATCGGTTGCAATGATCGTCTTAAAGTAACAATATATAAGCAATCATTTACCTTACTAAGCTGAAACATTCTCTGGGAAAATCTTAGTGGTCTCTCCCTAACAGATTCTTTCATCTCTACCAGATATCTACCAGATTCTTTCATTTACTGGCAGCCATGCTCTCTGCAACCCAGCTCTTCAAAATTAATTTCTATTTATGGCTCTTTCATTTTAGTTTATGTTTCAACGCAAAAGAATACGATGCAATGGCTTTATCAACATGGGTCAATGTTATTGAAGGAAAGATGAATAAAATTGATCGGTAATTTCAAAATTCATATAGCTGCCATACCAGCTTAAAGGCAATAGACAGATGCTTACTGCTTAAGACATCTATCAATCAATAAAATTGGCCAATCAATAAGTATGATAGCACTCAGTTGCTTATTGACTGGCCAATAACTAATTAGAAGATGGTTTAAGCCACTTTAGTGCCTGTCGATTGCCTTGAAATACCGTACAATTCCTTTGTATTTTAAGATAGGAAATTTTCTTTGTCAAAATTAGAGATCTAAATCTAATTGAAGCCACACGTATCATTGTGTCTTGGTAAGTGATACTTTTCTCTCAATTTTGTGTATCTAATGTTTTTAGTATATTTGATGAATTATATTCTTTTTCATTACGTTTTCCTTATTCCTTTCTTGTACATTTCAGTGCTATTGATGTTATTGTGTCAGGCATGACCTATAGCTCTTGTCTTCTTTTTTTAGAGTGAACAAGCAGGTCGTGATGTCTAATGGGAAGAGAATCCCTTATGACCATCTGTTGCTCTGCACTGGGCAACAGTTTCAGCACCCTATACCATCTGGAGCAGATATCAAAACCCTGATCACAACAGACGAAGTGATGAAGAAAAAGCTCCCACGGGTATCTTTAGACAAATTCAACAAATCTTGTTCTCTTGTCGCTTCAAAATCGTTAACAGAGATTGAGGTGTACATTGTAAAATAGAAAAAAGTTATCAAATTTCGAGGCAGAGTTTTAGAGAAATGCCCTTAGATCAAGTTCAATGCTAGATAGACATATATAAATATAGATACAGAAAAACTTAAAGGCAAAAGACCCTTTAGTGTTTTTGCATAACGAGCACAATATGCAACTCAACAAAGTATGAAGTCCATGAACTTGGCAGGTAAAGGAACTAATGAGACATTATATTAATTGCATTTTAAACATTTATTGAGCCAGTTTCAAGGATGGTTTTCCCTGTGCTCATTACAACGACCATTTCTCGATAAACTAAAGTCAGCAGGCCTAGGAACTCACATTAGGCGTGCGAAGGCATAGTAGCGATCAATAATTAAATTGTCAGATACCATTTTGTTCGTAAACTCCTCAAGAATTTTCAGAGACCTCTAGCTTGATATTTGTTAAATCATTTCGATAACATACTTCATTAACTATCATTCTATATAGATATCAATTTAGTTTACAAAAACAATTTAACCATAGTATTTTTAACTTGATTCTAGAGCTGCAAAGGTCCCATACCAAAAAATATTTTCATGCTAAACAACAAGGCAGACGTAGATACATCGTTGCAATGGATCAAGGAAATCCTTTTGGATTCACTTGGTAAGCAGTTCATTGTCCTTTATAATCTCAAAAGGCGAAGTAGTGGCGCTTTTTGCCCTGATGAGGTGGGTGTGGGGGGATCACTAAAATATATCTAGTGTCCAACAGCTTAATCGTTCAAAAGTAAGAAATATTTAATTGAATAATTGGAACCTCAATTTATAAAATTGACCTGAGCAAGGAAAACTAAGAGAATAAGAATTATACTTTGTATGGATTTGGAAAAAATTTGAATCACTAAAAGCAGTTGAAATATCTGACTTGATTATCTGATAGACAGGGAAGAAGAAGAGTCCATACAAGCATGTGATGATATAAAAAGGGGTTAGGGTGGGGGCTTGCAACAAATTTTCTAAACACACCTAACATTTTTCCACCATTAAAATGGACATACCAAAACAAGGAATTCATCTGCAATTTCACCGACAATGAAATCTTTTAGTCTTCATTTTGGAGGTAGCTCTGTGTGTGCTCTCTCTGTTCTTTGCTTCGCTTAGAAGCTAGTGATTTTGCGTAGGCCTGTAAAGGGGGGGGGGGGGGGTATAATAAGCAGCAGAGCTAACAAACGAGCTTGCTCAGAAGAAAAGTTAAGGTGTAGTTGAGAAAATAAGAGAGTTTTGATGTACTTTCATGCTTCTCAAGTATAGGACAGTATCCAGTGCTGAACAACCTGTCTTTTCAATTTGAGGAGTCAGTCAACTCCTGTTACAATCCTCCTGTATTATATAATACTAAATAGGCACCCATTTACAGTTTTACTCCGGTTACTGTCACAATCTACTTGGTAGCATTGCTATGGCAAGATCTAAAAATTATCTAAAAATGTCTGCCTATTTACTGTGGACTGTGGCAAGATCTGAAAATGCTATCCAATTGCTTATGCTTTCCTTACGATTGGTTGATATTTTCTAATCAGTTGCTTGCTTGGGTAAAAAAAGCAATAAGTCAGAAGTCGATCCTAAAACGTCACAAGACAATGTTTCTTTTACTACCAGAATGCACTATATAGTTGCTTTGGTATTAGAAAACAATTTTCGTACAACTGTAAGAGCAAACTTTGTCCTCAAATCAATCTTAGTATGGTTAATAAAAGTTTAACGGACCCTAAGGCTCTGAAAAGCTAAATGTGTATAAAAAAAGAGTTAAACGATAAGGTTAAAAGGTTTTCTCTAAATCTTGACTAAGTTGACCGCTAGCCTTCCCTTCCAAGGATTCAGTTATGAAAGAGCTCTGTCATACTTCTAGGCTCGAGGCAAAATCTAGCTATTTGATTGTCAATGTCAGAAATATTGATACAACACAGAGAAAGTTTCATTGTAATTATCTTATGTGAAACAAGAAGGAAATTAAAGAACAACAGGCTAAATCACTTTCAATCTGAATTCGGCTGATTTGTATAAATCGCTTTCTAAAAGGTTTTGAATGCTCACAATTTAACTTTCGTAAGATCATTATGATCACTGTCAGATCATTATCACAATGACTCTGAATTTAAAGAGTAAACCACAAGATAAAACTTAGCCTGCCACATGTTGATTTTGAAGCAAGAGAAAAATAGCTAGCCGCGCCAACTTTTGGTCCGGCTAATTGGAAGAAAACTAGACTGCCTCTGCCCTTTCTGAAAAGTTAGAAAACGTCAGAACCCAAAAATAGGGTGGTCACACGGCCAATAAATGTTAGACAGACCAAAAAACAAAAATTATGCAAATTTGTACGCTTATTTTCCTTGTTTTCTGAGGAAGGTTTTTACAGCCTGCGGATATTGTCCCGAACAAAGAGACACGACTCTGGTCCCCTCTCTGAAAACCTGACTTTTCAAGATCTGAAGGGGGTTTTGCTTTTTTGGAGCCAATTCATTTTACCAAGAATAAAAGGACTAGGACAGAGCAAGTCTCACTTACTTGGACTGTTAAACGTTTGTAGAGGATGGATAAGCATTAGAAGTCATAGTCGCTTTTATGCAGTACAGCAGTTGGTGGAAATGATGTTTGCTGAGTTATCCATTTTTGCAAACCTGCTTTAGCATTGGAATTTGGCCTTTGGTTTTTATTGAAAACATCTGTTTAGTGGCGTAGGAACTGGGGGCCTAGAATGAGTAGGAACAAATTTTTTGCCCCCTCTTATCTGAAAATTGCCGATTTTGTAGTTGTTATGATGCCCTTTGCCACTCCGATTTTTCAACACGCTCTTACTCCTCTGCATCTGTTCGGATGGATCGCCTGGTAACATTTTTAGGGATTTTGATGCGCGTTCCATGAAACATTATTGTATGGCAATACCTTATTGCTTGTATGCGCAGTACATAAGTGGAGAAACTTATTTCTTGCAGGAGCGGTGCTGGTATACGGTGCATCACTCGATGCATACAGCTTTATCCATGGTATTCTGGAGACAGGAATCAAGGGAGAGCGGGTTATTCTCGTAAAGCCACCATCTTATTCTCCGTCCTGTTTCAACAACCCAAGTATCGAAGAAATCATTGATTGTGTTTTGAAACAAAAAGGTACGTTATTGCAACACTTCTCCTTTCAGCCTAAGAGAGGCTATCCTCTCTCATTTATCACGACCAATGCTTTCATAATTCATAACTTTGGATGCCAGAGCATTTAACGGACAGCAGTCGCTGGCCGGCAAAAAAAGGATCCACCCAAATTGAAGTTATAAGACCGCTCAATGTTTTCATTTCAAAATAGTCTCCTTTTTAAAACATGTAGTTTTCACGCCATTCTAAAAATTATATATTTTACAAATGTTGACCTATTTTAAATTCATAAATATGAAAAAATATGTCTTACCCAGACACAAACTTTTAAAGGAAACTAAATAAAGATTGTCTGACCGAATTTGGAGACCTCCTTTTTGCTGCTATTAGACACTGCAATTGCCGATACAGCACCCTTAACGCCCATATCTAGTTTGCCTGTCTAAGTATAACGATGTAAGTTCAAATGTAAGCTCAGCGAGTTAATTTCAAGCTCTCTGCATATTTGCTATTTGCCTTAGTTTTTCACGTAATTTGACATAATTTGGAAATTGTTAAACTTATCATTAACAGGCGTCACTATTTATGAGGATTGTATGCTAGCTGGATGGAATGACGAAGAAGACGATTCAGAGGTCAGATGTGCGACTTTCACGACCAGTGCAAAGCCAATTAAACTTCAGTGTCAGGTAGGAATTTTTGTCAGGAAGTTTTTTACAAGTTAATATCAAGATTAAGATTAATTTTGACAAAAGTATTTAATATACTGAATTACTACGAATATTGATTCTTTACGCCACCTTTTATGTCTTTTAAATGAATTATTTCTAAAGGAGTAGTTGTGCAAAGCCTAACTTCGAAGGGAAATCAGCTGGATGTTGTAAAACCTTTGTTTATAAAAAGACTGTTTATAGAAAGCTAATGGAATATTACCAGGAATGGAGAGGCAGTTGCCCCCCCCCCTCTTAAGTATTTTTTTAAAAAGGCCCTGTAGTTGTGTAAATATTTTGTTTCATATTCGAAGCAAACTGTTTTTTGTACACGTCTTATTTATAGCTTGTATTCCTTTATCAAATTATTTTACAGGCATTCTTTTGTTTTCAAGAAAAGCGCGTTGATTACGATGCTTTCAAAGGTATATTTGACTTCCAATTTTTTCCAGTGCCGTGAATCAACAAGTTTAAGATTATTATAGTTCTTGTGTTGTATTTATTAAATTTTCTATAGGTTTTAAGTATAGTGACAATATGTAATAAGGAAGGTATTCATATGATAATCATTGTTCTGTAAACTTAATATCTAATGGAAAGATATTTTTAGTACCAAATGCACCATAAGGATCCAATTTTTAATTTTGCTGCCATGTAATTATAGTTTTGCTCACACTTCCCTATTATTTGCAAACTAATTGACAATACGGTCTTAAGTTGTTCATTGTGTTGATTTTTTAGCCATTAACGACAGTTGCTTGGTCTATGATGGCAAACTTGTCATCGACACAAATTTTTGTACAAATGACCAGTACATAAAAGCAGCTGGATCTCTGACGAAGTATGCAAGGAAGTATCATGCTGGTGAAATGTAAGTTTATAACTGCGATGTCTTCTACAGTATGAAAGTAATAAATACGGTGGTATAGTTAATTATTTTCTTGAGGCAATGAAAATTTTAACGTATCAAAGATATATTAAAAACAATTTCAAACCGTGCAATTTGGGGTCTCATGATCTTCTGTTTCCCTCTTACACTCACAAAAGCCCATAATTATTTAGTTGACGCTGTAGTTCTGCACATACTTTAAAGATTGTCATGATCAACACCAACCTGTTCGAAATTTGAAACAATTGCAGTCGGTTCGCAGTAACCAAACCTGCATTTGTTTACGTTTTGTATAGATTGAATGTTGATGTAATTTCATTCTCAAAATTTGCAGGTCACCAAAGTTTCATTTTGCTTTTAGGAGTCACTCTTTGTATAATTCAAAAGAAATTGGCGCCAAGGTATTATTTATCGCTATTTCACGGCCTCTTCGCGTGTTTATCAGTGATTATATCCTAGCGGGCGAAGGGTTTTTTAAATTCTAGTTGAAACAAAGATTAAGTCTTGCGTACTCAGTTGCTTTTTTCGAGTTTTTCGTTGCAAATTTTTACGCTTTAATCAAACATTCACACTAACGAGAACTTGTCAATAAACATAAAATATTTCTTTTAATCGAAGCTGAGGAAAAGGTTGCTTGAATAGAATATTACACGTATTGAAGCTGCTTAGAAAGCTTGCAAATTTTAGTCTAGTTGCTTATAAAAATGAGCGAAACAGAGTCTGTGGCTATGCTGAAGAGCATTTTTTTTCACCTTATTTGCTTTTTAAATGTTCCTCAAATATATAAATGGTGTTTTGGAACTTTTGCTCAGTTTTGCTCAGGATCGAGTAAAAACAATTAGTCATCAAAATTTGTCCTTAGCCGAGGTGGCCACTTTTTTATATATGTTCCCATTTTTGCTTGGGCATATAAGTTTGTAGGTATCTAAGAATATTAATTATTATAAATATTTTTTAGCTAGCAGATTCCTTGTTGAACATATTTGATCCAACATTAGACGATATGGAAAGACTATCGCCTGATGACCAGTTAATACCTGTCTTCTCAAATCCAAAGATCCAAACAGCCATTTTGCCTGGTAGGTTTGCTTTTTGTAGTGACAACAAAGGTAATATCTTGATAATATCTTGTGTGACAACAAAGGCTTAGTTACTGTGCATTGATGTTACACTGAAGTCAAAACAATACCCAATATTCTCATAAAACATTCTTTTTAACCACAATAGACGTTGGTGTAAAATTTGAGATTGAATTTGATAAAAAAATTATATAGAATATAAACATGATCAAAGCATGAGCAAGTTTTGAAAAAATGTGGCAAAAGTGTTATACTAATTTCAAAGAATCTGATAAAAATACTAGGTAAATGGTAAAATACTAGTAATTTTATTTCTATTGGGAACTGTTGACCCATTTGAGTCTCTAATACTCATGCCTACTTCTTCTCCCTATAACTTATTGTCTTTGATAACTGTTCGTTGGTTTTAAACTACATCGCCAACATTTTATCAAACTGTTTTAAGTATACAATAAATTTTTCCCGGTACACGAATTATTCATTGACAGTGGATCGAAACCAAAAATGCCGTAATAGAAGACGTGTACCATTTCGTATCCACCTATCTTTTTGGATCTTAAATCTAATGCTCTTATAGCCAACGTACGAGACTCATATCTTCTTACAAATAAGAACCCTGATAAGTACCAGATTAGGATATCAGTTTTGAATGGATCATGTCCAATTTTATACAACAATAATAATTTATTTCAAAAAAGGTTCTTATCTGCTCCTGGATCAGTGTATTTTTGTGAAAAAGTAAGATTGACTCACTTAGTTTGCAGCGACCTTTTCTTCTGATATTTTAGGAGGCTTTCGCTATCTGCACGTGGCTAAACCTTCAGTTCCAACCCCACTGGCTTCCCTGATGATGCAGCCCGAATATGTAAGTATCAAAATGATCGATACATTACAGTCTCCTTTAGCAGGCATCCTCAAATAACTGACACCTCCCAAACACGGAAACCTTCTAATAACGGACACCTTGTAATAACGGACGCCTACAAATAACGGATGAGTACTATTCTCCCAAGATTTTTTAAGCCATCCGTTTACAATCTCGTAATGACGTAAACCTCTCTGCAATGGACTGTAAGCTCTGATCCTATTTATGTTAACTGTCCACAAATTACTGAATTTGACAGTATTTAAAAACTAGAGATACGTAATCAGTGCAAAGTTGACCTTATGTAAAGGGAATTATACCCATCATATTCCGTTTATACCAAATCACTTTTATATATTGTGTTTCTGTAAGATATGATATTAGATTAACTTCAAATGTCTGAAGTTGAAAAAGAAACGTTGAAAATATATTATCTCCTAATGTAAATGTAGTCGTTACAGAGTTACTTATTGTTAAAAAACGAAACGCTAATGAAATAAACGTCAAAGACAATTAAAGCTCTATGGGCAAAGTGATTGCCGGGAAAAGAGACACCAAAACAAAACTGTAAACTGAAGTCCATGTCTTTTAAAATTTAAGGGAATTTTTAAGTTTCGAAAACTTATTTTTGTAGAAATATGTTTTCAGAAAAGGCATGGCAATAAAAGTGACGTTTCTTAAAAAACGTTTTTATTTTCATTTTAGGGTCAAGAGCTGGTCACAAAGGATGCCTCTGGAGATAATTATTTCAGAATTCATTTAAACCAGTATAACACGATACAGACTCTTACGTGTTTATCAAAGCAGGCAAGTTTTAATGCTACATGTCGTTAATAATTCGAAACAAATGACAAACCTTAAGCGTTTGGTCGTAAATATTGGAAGTAAAGACCTGCGTTATTCCGACTCAATATGGACAAGTTGTTTTAACTCTTTGTTGTAGTGTTATTTCCACAATTAGAAATCCTTTCTCTTGAACCTCTTGAAGATGATTTTTGCTAGTATCAAGATATTTTTATGTGGCCTTGCAAAAAGCAACCATTTTATAACATATTTTCGCTAAAAGCTTTTTGGTCTGACACTCCTCAGAGCATAAAAACGTCAGAATAAGGGTCCGAAAGAACACGATGAAAAATATTTTGGACCCTTATTCTGACCTTTTATGCTTTGAGAAGTGTCAAAGCTTTTAGCCAATGTGTTATAAAGTGTTTGCTTTTTTCAAAGCCATTTCAGGTTCTGTTTCGCCAAAGAACTGTTCATGTTTTTATGTCTTTAGCATTGTATATGGTTTTGTGACAGTTTCCAAACTTGGGGACATTTTGAAATGGCTTTTTCTGTATAAAGTCGTAAGATTATCATACACTAAATAAAACCAGGCTGATCTTACAATTGACTGAGGCAAGAATTCTCATTTGTCTATGATTCGTGGTTCTGTTTGGTCATACCCTACAGAAATCAACCCCGTCCATATTCTATTATGACTAACAATCGCACTAGCTAAATGTCTGCATATTATTTCAAGATCTTTGTTCTTGTTTCAGGACATTGATATTGACAACTTGGTTTGTTTGTATAGTATCCATGAACGATTCTTGAATAACCTTCTTCAAAGATATAATGAAGGCCTAATCAAAGATTTCTACAGGTAACAGAAAGTTTCGCTATGCCCTTAAAATCTATGACTTGTTATTCACTCATTGTATTGAATTCTAGATATACTAGAATCTAAATCTTATGAAACAGATGTCACAATGATTATGGTTTTTTTTTGTTCTTTGTTTCATCGATTGAACGTTTTATCTTTGCTAGCAACCGATATTGATATAATCAATGCCTACTTGGAGTATAAAAAGATATTTATAAGAAATTACTTGGAGAATTATTACAGTCTTATACCAATTAATCTGTTTCCAGGGCAGGGAACTGGGACCATTTTCTGAGTATAATAGAAGCAATTTCACCATTGTTTTATGCATAGCTAGACTACATTAATATATGTTATCACAAATTCGTGTTTGTGACTAAGATTTCCAATGAGAGCTCAAGTAGCTTAGGACCAAATTGAAACTCCATTTATTTTGAAAGCTGTTTATGGAAGACAGGAGTTTCAAATGAATCAATGAGATGATTTTTTTAATTTTGACATATTGCATAAAATGATGTCTAGTTTTTCTATAATTGCAGTTTATAAGCATTAGATAATTTTTGCTTTGATTTTTACAGCTATTTCCGTGAATCGTGGTGTCTAGCAATTTTCCACGATCGATTTAATGATTTCCGTTCAGAGGTACAGGAAATACTGGCAGAAAGACAGGTTTACAATCGTTTTTTCCTGTTCTTTGATTATCTGTTCTTCTAATCCCAAAGCAAAATCAGATGGTCTTCACTCTAAATTTGTTGCGTTGTATTTGAATCAAAATAATGCAATTCATATATTTTCTTAAATACTTCAAAAGAGAACAAACATTCTGCCACTGCTTACTCAGAATCATTTCACAATTCACCCCTGGTACAAGTATAAAATTTTGATATATAAGTTAGTTTTGCATAAATAACTTTTGTTTGTTTTCACTTATACATTACCAAATCAACGTTCTTCCTAAAAACCAGGCAAACGAAGAGGCTTCTTTAGAAGAGAGAGTGAGGAAAATCATTGCAGATGACCTAGCGGTACGTAAATTAAACGTAACGTAGTTTTTAAACGTAAATTTTAGCCATTCAGTTACTGGCTTTCTCCAAGCCATGCTTTTCGATGCTGAGTATATTAATCTCTTTTTGATATGTTACTTGCATTCAATAAGTACGCGTTTACAGACTATAATAGGATAGAGGCTTGCTGATAGTTCAGTCTCTGTGACCTACGTCAAAATAACCGCTGCGCATCTCTTTCACAAGATCTAAATCGAAAGGATATTGCATAATTTTTCTTCAATTACTTCGGTTCTTTCTTAAAACCTTGATGGTTTTTACAAAAATTTTTTCAAAACATCTGGTACATTTGTATATCTAGCGCTTTGCGAATCTCCAAAATTTATGTAACTTTAACAGTTCCATACAGTTACCGAAAATCCAACCGGTCTAGTTCTGTGCAAAGAAATTCTTATTAGTATTATTCTTTTCAAAACTTAGCCATTTGAAAAATTATAGATAAAACCTACCTGCTACGTAGAGGTGGTCTTTCAATTTTTTGCCCACTAGTCACTGTGTTCTTCAAACTGCTTTCGTCGAAAACAAAACTGAGTTACGTCAAATGTCTGTGGTTGTTCTAACCTATGAATTCCAAAGAGAAAACGAACATATTCATTGACACTGCCTTTTTATTTCTTCGAACCATGAATACTTGCTCAGTCACATGGAAGCAATCGCTTCGTTAATGACTTGGCATAATTAACTTGATTTCATGCCTGACAGATGATTTGCGACATCTTTTTAATCTTTAATGGTGATATCTGCAAAGCCTGTATTCCATATGCAAACTTTCCTACAATTATCTTCAGACTTTCCAGTCGTACATATCTATTCGGTGGTTCATAAATAATTCCATATAGCTTGCAAAGTATTTACCCAGAATCACGGAATCAAAGGACCAACAGATGGCATATCACTTTTTTGCAATATTTGGCAATCTATCTAATCGTTTCATGGACAATCCCAAATTGATAAATTCCCGTCCTTTTCATTCGCAATCCAAACTTTTGCATTAGATAGCCCCCCCCCCCCCCCACTAACATAGCTGTAGCAAATCCAGTTGATTTTGAATATATGTTTTAAAGGAATAGAGTAAAGAAATGGTGACTTGGAAGAAATACAAATGGAATAATGTTTTTGTGAAATTTCTCCTATTTTTCTTAGAAAGTGTCGTCTTGTCACCTTTTGCACCATCTTGACTTGAATCGTAGCTGAACCTTTTTGTGAAGGATTGAACATTTCGGGGAATAAAAAAATGTTTGGAATGATAACTTTCTGTTCTTTCCTCTCCCCTTACCATCTAATTTCAGGTTTCCTTTGTGACATAAGAAAAGCCATAAAAACGAATCCCATCTGTTCAAGCTTAATGAGTGACGTCACATACTGTAAGTGAAATGGACTACAAGGGCCAAATGAGAACAGCACCTGAGTTTAACTGCATACTTCATTTACTTGTAAGGATTATAAAGATCAAAACCTGCAAGCAGTTTGAATTGAAATATTATTTGAATGTTGTCACATTAGAAGTTTTCGGAAAATATTTTCGGATTTAAAGATAGCTAGATAAGATAATATTCAAAATTCATAATAGTTGATCCGCCCTTCCCCATTAATCACTTTGGCAGGTGTTGCAAGATTTTAGTCTTGATAGTGTAAAAGCAATCAATTTTGTTTATGACAGAATTACCAATTCAGTTATTTTTGATTGTAGGAAATAATGTTAAAATTGTTCAGAACAGCAAATTTTTAAACGTAACACCAAATCATACTTTGAAGGGTATTTTAATTTTCCCTTTTAATGTTCCTAAGAAAGTTAAGAGTTTATTTCTATTTGAAGTCACAATATTATGTAAATTCATGTTTACATGTTTGTGTTTTTGCCAAAACAACTGTCCACCCAATCAACTGTATACCCATTTTTGGTAAGAATCAGAGGTTTTATTGTTTAGGTAAGAATCAGGTCAGAAAGAGGTTTTATTGACTCCTTTGCATCTTCCATGTGACTGAAGCAGAAACAATTTTCATAACAAAAGCAGATACATGTAATGTTTACTGTGAAGAATGACAGCTTTTATGTTGCTGTTAAAATGGAAACTATCCCGAAAATCTTAACCTTCATGAACCTTAATAGTTGCAAACAGCACTGAACTGTCGTATTATGCTATTAAATTAAGGGTTGTAGTAAAAATGGACAACACGTGGAGGTGAACTGTTTCGGAGTCCAAAAGGGAATCTGACCCATAACTTTATCACTCTCAGTGCACAGTTTGTTAGGAATTTCATTTCAATGTGACCTATTTGGATGAGTTTAATAAATTTGAAGTCATGTCTTATGCAAACCGTTTTGCATTTTAGCTCTCCAAAGAGCACCGTGTCCTGCTTGGAGATGCGTACAAGACAAGCAGAGCGAAAAAACTTGTTGAACAGAGGCTGTTGAGTTATTTAAGCTACAACCAGTATCACCTTCCAATGTACGCAAAACCTGGCCTTGTATGATGTCAAACTGGCCTTCCACAAACTAAAATCTCTATGTAAACTAATATCACGTTGTGTAAAATTGTGTTGATAATGTCTTTTGTCTAACAGTTTATTTGAATCAATAAAAAACCATTGCAAGTTGAATTATTTTTCAAGACTCACCTTTAGCAATGCTCATCAAATGGCTGAATATTTTTGGCAGAAGATACCGTGAGGTAAATATCTTATTGTAGTTTTGTTGTGGCCTAAATTGGGGTCCTGCACAAAGGAAACGATTTCAAAGTTGCAAAGGAATGGTAAATGCCTTTATTTGACCTTTGCCGACAACCTCTACATCGAGCATGCTACGTTGCCCACAAAGCCCTAGAGATAGCAAAATGGTGCGTTTTAGGCGGAAGAATTCCCATCGGCAAAAGCAAAAGGGTCCTATGGGTAAAAATTTATGCATGTGCCACTATTATGGCCGTGGTCAATCATATACCATAACGAAGTGGGCACTGCTTAAGAATAATACCTTTAAAGGTGAAAAGCACGAAATTTTATTGTTTATGTGCAAAGGCGAGTTAATTGTTTTGAAGAAAATCGAGGGTCTCTTGATAAAACAGCCATATTTAATGGTGGGAGCATCAATAATCTCAGTTGCTGGTCAAAGATTGCTACTGTCGCTACGCCCGTTGCTTTGAAGACAACACCTGCAAACGAATCATTGATGCATATGAAATATGGACAAGTGAGTTACATAACATTTGAATTAGCCTAAACGTTGATGGTTCATGCCCTACAATCTCATCACAAATAGGAATTGTAAGCAATTCATCGACTCAGAAACAATATGGTTACACGTTGCTGTATTTTGTGGATTGTTCGATGAACAAGTACAGCCATTCCAATTCCCTTCTATATGATAAAGTTCGCGTCTTGTTAATATGTATTTTAATTTCCTTTCGGCTTTCTTGTATGTTGTTACTAAAACAATTCGTAATGCGCGAATTGTTGTTTACAGAATGTTTATTACAGAGCTGTGGTTTTCGTGCTGTGTTTGAATTCGAGTCTTTCAATGAATGGAGGGAGCCGGGCGTAATTTACTACAACAAGTAGCGAAAGAATATATTGAAAATATCTTACCGTTTATCATTAAAGCATGGCATCTCGCAGGGACGGACTAGAGTTTCTGTTTAGCAAGATATTTGTCCGTGTGCGAAAATCATTGATGACTGCTCTTTGGTGTCAAACAATGAACGATAAAAACAATAGAAAATGTTAGAATTGTTAGTTTAACTAACCTCTTTGCTTTTATGTTCATATTAAAGTACAAAGGAAAGGCAATATTAAAGAAGAGAGAAACAACAATAGAGAAAACCACACAATTTCGCCACATCAACGATCCAGATAAAATAATAACCCAAAATCAACGCAACCAGGAAAAAAATTGTATTAAACCTATTAGAAATTAATTAAGCAATGATAAATTGGTTTGTATAAAGTTCGCTTCTGGTACATTATCTTGTTTCGGCTGTTAACGAAAAATGTAATGAAGCTATTGCTATTTAGCTTAATTGCTAGATTTGTCTTGGTGTGAGGCGTATTTCAACGTAGCCTATGGAAATTTTAGGGAAACGGCAGATAAATCAAAACAAATCTGTAAACAGTATGTTTACTTTGTTGCAATAATTTTTTTAGATCAGAGAAGAAATCGAGGGAACAGCGCAATGAATTCTGGGATTTCACTATAAAAAGTGACCTGGTTCTGGTGGTGGAGCACAGCGAACTTCACGTACATCGAGATGTTCTGTGTTGCCATTCGCCTGTTTTCAAAGTCATGTTGGAATCGGACTTCAAAGAGAAGAGAATGGAGAAAATACCCCTTCCTGGGAAAACTGTCCAACAAGTGCTGGAAATGCTGAATTTTATATATCCATTTGGACATGAAGTCAACGGTATCTTGTTTTGCTGGACAAATTTTTTAGATTTTAAAAATAGTTGAAGCTTGATTAATGTATTTTTATTTTATCTATGAAGGATTATTTGCAAACTGTTCAGATGTTTCAGATATTAAAAGGCTCTTGAAAGATGTAAAATATTTTGATGAGATTTGCTTGCATCTATAAAAACTTTACCGACTTTTCCAATTTCGAACAAAATATTCTATGTTTAGGCCAATGTTTTATTTCTCGATGTTATGATGATTTCAATTAAAAATTGTTGTTCTTTGGGATTTCAAATTGTCAGAAGATGGCTGCTTTGTCGTTTTATTACGCTGGTCATCATTTACACTGATTATTATAATTAGATTCGACAGACGTGTTCAATTTGCTGGACCTGAGTCGCGAATACCAAATCGAAAAACTGAAAGAGCAATGTGAGGCGTATTTGAAGCGTAAGCCTGCGACATTGGAACTCTTGATCACAGCCCAGGAGTACCGACTTGATTCACTAAAGGAAAGATGCCTACGGTTTTTATCATCGAGAGCTTTGTCATCGGTGCAAGAAAATCCAAAATTTGACCTTCTGTCAGAGGAGAACAAAATCCGAGTCATGCAAGATCAGCTGCAGAATTTGCAGCTTTACTGCAAAAAGGTATGGCGCATTGCATCCGCTGCAGATCCAAGGTACATACCAATGATATTGCCAACATGCAATCACAGACCAAAAGGATGCAACAATCCACATTACTTCTGCAATAACTGCAAAGCATCTGTTTTACGGAACTTTGTGCGAAATGAAAGTTGGCGAATGGGACTTGACACCAAACTGCCATGAAGAATATTTGTTTATAGAACTCATCGCGACCAGATATCTTGTAAGAAGATTTAAAATACTCAATTTGTACCTTACAGCGCCTACTATTCTTTAAGAATTATACACCGCTTTTAATAATTAATTATCAGGATAAATTGTTATCGTTTTTAGCTGTAAATTTATTTAAAATTTTTATTACTCTATTTTGTCCTCATATTTTAGGTTATTTTGATTTGTAAAGGTAATATGAACCTCTTTTGTAAGAATCATTGTCTCTTGTCTTCTGGAGCCAGGCAGTTGAGAGATGAAATCAGCAATCTTAAATTAGAAAAACTGTGTTGCATATCCCAAAGCTTGACAGATAATTAAAATCATGAGCTAGATTATAGAATTCTAAAACTTGCTAGAACTAAGGACTATAAGGATTTTTCAAGGTTTGATCTGATTGTACCTTTAAAATATAACATAACTGCGACCTAAGGCAGATTGCAGTGGCGTAGCGTCCGGGTATTCAAGGTATTCAGTGAATACCCTGAGATTTCTCAGAAAAAATATTAATACGACGTATATTTGAAATAACTAAAACATGTTTTGGGGCTATTGATTCTGGTTGAATTCATTACCTTCGATATTCTACATTTTGTACAAGTACAAAATATCACGAAATTCATGGAAACAACACTGCGACGCATAGAGAGGCTGGGAGATCTTTGAAGCTAACTTTGAAAATGGAGCTACTTCATGTTGAATGGAGATCGGTCATGAATACGCAGTGAATACCCTAGAAGGTACTTTAACCAATCAAAATGCTCCTTTCCATGAATAATGTTTGCCGTTAATCAGCTAAAACAATGGTCCTGTACGCTGAGAAATATGCAGCGTACAGCCTCAAAGTTGGTTCAAAATAGTCTCGTTTTGAGATCGATATAAACAGATAATGGACGTCGGAGCGGTTGGAGTGATGGATCTTCATCGAAAACAGTAAACATGACTTCATTCAAAAGCTATTGCAATGTCCGTATTACTGTTTCATAATCATTCTCTCATTTGACCCCTAATCCTAATCTACCAACAGCAAAGTGGAAAGGAAAGGTAGGCTTCTACATAATACTACACTGGCTCAGATCTGTGCCCTCTTGAAATGCCAATTTTGTTATTGCTTGTCAATCAGGGATGTTTCTAATTGTGTTAGGAGACGAAATTAAAGTAAATGCAGATAGGCTTCTATATAATATCTATATAGTTGCCTGGTGCATTCAGTTTTATTGTTTTCCTTTTTTGTTTGCATTATTCGGAGCGCATTTATTTGCATTATTGTGCAGTCTCTTCTCATTACCTTCGATTCTTTCAAACATTAACTTGTATTGAAAATATCACGATAAGGCCATGAAGAAAAAGTCTAGACTGCATACCACAAGCTATTTATAACTCGTGTAAGGCCCTATGTGAATAATTTTGAAACTTTTGAAAGCCCTTTTGTATTGAGGTATCAAGAGTAGGTGTTTACAGTTACTTCCTCTTTACATCAGTGTAAATTTTAGAGGATTCAACAACAACTATTGGGACATGTTTCGACCAGCAAAATTTTACTGATTTTCAATGATACGTTTCGATTTGAATTACTTTTGATGAAATGGAATTTTGATGCAATGAATCAGTTCGAAGAGTATATTTGCGTTGGGTCCTTTAGCAAAGTATCGTTTTCATCATAGTAATGCCCTGACAGTGCAGTACTTGCCAACCGAACCAAAAAGATAAGTGTTAAAGTAATAGATAAAATGTCAAAAGCTAGTCCTTTTAATCTTCCTATTATCCCTCTATTTTCATCAAGCCCCGTCGAGCCACACCCTGCCCCACCATTTTGTTTAATAGAGAATACCCAGTTGAAAAAGTCACGCTACGCCACTGGCAGATTGATATATCACAAAGAATTTTCCATTCTAATTACTTAGGACAATTACGATCTGCTCTTTAAACATTTTCTTATTCATATCCATAATCTTGATGAAATTGACAGCTAGCACTTACTTTAGGCCAAAGAAGAAAAGAAACAACGCTATTATTGTCGCAGAGACAGAATCAAGGAACCAGAGATTAGTCTTCTGGTACACTAACAAACTGATCAGATTCATGACTGCCATTACGAGTCCACAACCAGTATTTATCCCTTTGGATGAAAATGAATCATAAAAACAGATTATCCACTACTTACTGCATAACAAGAAAAAGAAAATTGCATGTGAATTAGTATGCATTATAAAGGTTCAGCTTAAAAAATTCAAACCTCTGCAACATGAAAGCAAATTTATTTTATCATTTTCTCAGTTTTCAATGCTGAATCATTTTTATTTTCAATATTGCTTTCATGATTTGTGAAGCTACGTGTCTAAAGAGCAGGAAAAGTAGCTAATACTAGCAATGTGGGATTGAGGTATTAAAAATCAGGATATTAAACAATTAGTCAAATACACACATAAATTAGACATATGTAGGTGAGAAACAATTACACTCTTTCATCAGCAAGCTCCATCTACCATGGATGCAAATCATATTTCATCCTCACCCGAAAACATACGATCAATATTACAGACGCCAAATACTGTATTGATAATAAGATTTCAGAAGGTACCTACCGTCGACCATCAATGATTGGCTTGACAGTTTCCGCGCAACGTAAATTTTAGCATACATCAGGCCAGCAAATGTGACTGCAATTGAAACTTCGATGGGCAAAAGAATGCGAGGCTGAAAAAAGGAAGAAAAGCTACTGTAGCGGGATGTCAGGGGCTGATGAAGACTAAAGCAATTTTTTGGCGCGAGATATATTCGCATCCATTGAACTTCAGTGCTCTCTGTCCTCATAAGCTCTGCTCCTTGCAATACACCTTAAAAGGGGACATTTCGTTTTATTTCATTTCATTTTGGTATACTTATTAGGTTAATGTGGACATTATATTTGCAGGGATACTATAGGGGTGTCCCGTAAAAACAAAGGGCGTTGACAGAAACCTCATAAAAGTTTAGCTATAGTTTCCTAAAATCAACTCAGCTAATTTTCCAATGAAAACAATCGATAAAAATATCTCACCTTGTCACTTAAAGAACCTTAGGGTTTGCTTTTGGAATATATATAATCCTGGATATATATATATATATATAAATATATATATATAACCCTGGTGGGATATTACATACAGCCTTCTTTCAACCTTACGATCACTGACATGTAAAAAATTCTGAAAAGTTACAACCAGGCTGAGAATACAATTTAGCTTTTGTTCTCTACATTGCTGACGTAATATTGACAAGAAAGATAATGCTTTTAGATTACTAAGGTTCTGAGGGCAGGATTGACAATAATAGCAACTTAATAGAAAGGCTAACCTTAAGAATGACATAAGGCCTTATGAATTCGTAAACGTGGTCTTCTATTTATAATACACGCAGAGAAAATAGAGGTAGAATATATCGTCCTTGTCACAGAATTCCTTAAGAATACACGTAACCCGGGAAAAAGCACTTGAAAGACTTTTGAATTGATTTATATTTATCCTTTCTTCATTTAGTATCAAGCAGAAATCTGAATTTCCATTAGATAATTTGAACACCAAAAAGTATTGGGAATCGTACCTCTCAATTAAGTTTTTCCAAATACAGAGGTATCGATTCCCTAACGCCTCCCTTCTGGCTACGTCTTTGATTAATTATACAAAGTTATTTAACTTCTAAGTGGCGTATTTTTTAAATAACGTCACATTAAAGAAAGTAATTCAGCTATTCAAAATGAATGGTGGCTATTTAAAATGTTGTTCAAATAAGAAAAGTCTACCTTGAAATAAGGAATCCACTCCTTTGAAAGGTTGTAAGTGGCCTTCACACTAAGTGCGATGCCAGAAATGACAAATAGCACAGCAATGAGAACACAAGCTCTAGAAAGCAAACAGGTATTTTTACTCTCGTGGCCAATTTGATGAGGGCTTATGCTTAAAGAGTAGTGATATTCATTTCTGAGCATTAACTTATCAAAGTGCCAATATCTGAAAAAATGATCTGACAAAGTGCCAAAAATGAAAAAATGAACTGGAAAATAGTCCATGGATTTTGGAAATTATCCAAATCACTGACTTATTTGGCCTAGTTGATATCCTTAAAAGAAGCTGCTCCATTATTCACAACTAACAAGAACCACCTTTCGGTTGCTAAAATTCTCAACTACTATTTTTTAAAACCCCGTTTCCAAATCTATTCAAGTCCTGTCTGCGTTGTATTTACGAGCAACCTTAGTCTCTAGATCAAATTTGTCACTCGAGGATACTTTAAACTTGAGAAGTGCTTTTTTTATTTAAATTGAAAGTTTAAAGATTCGACATATATTATAATTCGTTTACCGCAGCACCTGAAACAGAAAATTTGCAAAAAAGAAATGGCATTTTATAAAAATTTTAATCAATAAAGAATTGCTGCACTCTTTAAAACCAAATGACTGAATTACATACTTGCTTTCATTTTTTTCAAAACGATATCTCCAGATTACCACAAGAGTTGTCAAGACATCGAGGATTATATCAATCTGCGTAGAAAATATCAACCTGTTCAAAGTATATCCTAAATCCGTTCATATTACAATAACAACAAATACCAATTACGCGAAGGAGTTGGTAAATAAACTGAATAAAAATAGTGATGTATACGTAAAGCGAAGTTGTGGACATTTGAAAATGTTTATTCTTGTGGGATTGTAGACATTGCAACATGTTACGCTTTTTGTAACAATTTTTGACTCACAGTTTATTGAGATTTAGCTCTATCCACTCATTTTATTATATAAGGAACTGGCTATAAGAAACGAGTACTGGACAGTCAGAAAAGATTGAGAAAGATCAGTACTCGAAGCAAAACAAATTAAGAAGCTATTAAATATTGTTAAAACGGAGAACAACGAAATTTTGTGAAATCAAAGAACATGATTGCCCTGTTGGCCTAAAACTTAAGACACATAGGATAAAAATCTACTTCCCACATCTAAATACAGCATCAGAGCGGAATCGAATCTCTTGACGTGATAAAAAAGGTCACGAACATTTCATAACATCATTCATGACATCATAATCAGTGGCGCAGCTAGCGGCCATGCTGGTCATGCTGAGCATGACTAAAAAAATTCAGAGCTAAAGACATTCATTATAACGATTTAAACCTTTCTTTATTGAAAAAGTACTTTCAAAACCTCTTTCGTCGAGTTTATTCTTATTATTCTACTGCTTTTCCCCACCTTGGTCCTTTGTGGTTAGTCATGTTCATTCTGAAGAGCATGACCTGCCATCAGGGGCGTAACTTGGCCAATAGGTTTGGGGGGGGGTGAGAAGGGTTTCTGCCCTGCGAAAATGAGTGGTGCCCTGCAGACCTCGTAGCAAAGGTTTGTCTATGGGTTACTAGTGAAAGCTTTATCAGTGTAAATTTATCTTTACCAAGAACAAACTTCTAAGCAATAAAAATAAACTTGAAACTTCATTGCCTATGAAATATCTATTTTTCTACGCGAGCGTAAATTAAGTGCAAAATTTGATTTTCCTTTGTAATAGAGCTTGTATTTCATGGCATATCAAGTTTAGTGAGGTAGGAGGACCCCCCATGGTTGGGTCCGACGTGAAGAGAATTTTTGAAATTATACCTTGTAAAAGGACTAAAAAGCATCTCCCAGACCAAAATTTAGCAAAATACTATACTGCTAAAAAGCTGATTATTGTTTATTGGAAAAATAGGGAGGGGGGATGGTATGCTAAAACTCTAGTGATGGACGTTGTGGAAGGAAAGAAACGGTAACCTTTCGTTTCAGATTGCACATAGTTGTGAATGACAGAGCAATGCTATTTTGATTGGGAGAATTTCATTCCCTGAACAGAAATCTGCAGTTTCTTATCTCGAGAATGCCATGTTTACACTTCCAAAATGAAAACATTGCAATGGGGTGTCACAAAATTGCGTGTGGCTGAGCAAAGTAATTGTAAACCAAAATTATACACTGTAATTTGCTTGTTATTCAATATTACACCATGGCTTGTTGCTGGTAATGAAAATGTACTCTGGAATTTGCCTGTTATTGGAAATTTGACCATAATTTGCTGATGAATAGAATTTAGAAATTATTTTTAACCACACTAAATATGTAGCTTCCACACAGCCAACCTTCTCAGTGCAGTTTGATTTCCCGAGGCTTTCTGTTGCCAGGAAAACTTTGGGGTTTCTTAAACATGGAAGACCAAAGTTATAGGAAAGCCCTTGATGTTGGGCTTGGACTTAACTTGTTGATGTTTATGGCATGTTACACCTTAAATACAGGGATCAAAATTTTTTGTATATGCTAAACAGTACTATCCTTGATACATTTGTTTTAGTTATGTAAAAATTCAGCTTATAAAATTGAAGCTAAGTATAAAATTCTGAACCAAAAAACAAACATCCCACAATTTCCTGAACCTTAAACAAGGGAGGGCCTACCTATCATTGAGGGCTTATCTTGCCTAACTTATCTTAATACAGAAACATCATCAAAAATGTCAATAATTAATCAGGGGCGGTCTGGCGTCAAAATCACAGGGTGGCTAGAAAAGTAAAGGGCCCGGTTTAGGGCGTGGCGGGAAAATTGAGCCACACCCATTAAAAATGTGGCTTAGAATACGATTGATTCGATAAAAATTGATAATAAAGCAATACGCTAAACAGCAGCAGTATATCGACTTTAATTCGTAAATTCGGACCCAATTCGATCCATACCTTTCCTCTCGTGTAAACAAGCTTTAAAATCCCATGTAGAGTTGAGAATCAAGATCAAAACTTATTTAAATTCTCAGAGTTTCAACTCTTGTGCAAATGAATCAGCAAATTGGCCAATGACTTGCTCGTAATCAAGTGGAAAGTTTTCCCTTCTTTTAAAATTATCAGTAGCGCTAAAATAATCTTTCAAAGAAAACTTGGGTGCAGCTAAATGTTATCAAGCATTTATACGCGTTGTAGAGAGAAGGGTATGCTGCTAGGTGCATGTTGAATTCACTAATTTTTTTATAGCAACCAGTAAATTTAAGTTCAGGCTGACTGGTTTTAATTTTCGCAAAAATCCGAGGGTGGATTGTCTTCAATTTGATTTTAAATTAATGGGGTGAAAGCAGTGCGATTGCTAGCTTTTTCGCTCTTGGGAGGTGTTCAGGCATTATTTGCCAACAAAGTGAGTGAGACAGCCTTCATTTGACGACAAGATTGAATATTCACCGAAAAGCAACCACACATGGCTAAAAATCCTCGTTTTGGGATAAGATGTTGTTCAAAAATGCATTAAACAGTAACTCAGCTTTTGACCAGTTTCATATTTTTATAAAGTTGTTATATATGATCAAAGATATAAATATATAAACAAATAAAAATGAGCGTCGGTACGAAGTTTTGAATGCGCAGGGTATGCACAGTTGGCGAGCGTTTACCCTTTTGATAAAGGGTGTCTATGTCGACTTTTGGGTCCTTTCTCTCTTTGTGAATCCCCACCTTGAAAGTCACAGTTTTCCTCTCCATATGTTTCTTCTCTAAAAGCTTGTTCCTTGAGATCATCTGTTTTCAGGATCTCTATTTCCACCAGTTGTTGTTTTCACTTGATCGATAAGCTGCTGGTAGCAATTTGCAAATGCCAGCAATTCTGACATTCTATGAACTTGAAATCTTGAAAAAGGCTCCTATTGCTCTTTTGCTTCATCTTTGTGTCAACAAATCTTCTTAGCATCGTTAAATCCTGATACAGATCTCTGTAACCAGATGATAGTGACGACCCCTTGTCATCTCTCTTCTGAATTTCCTGTTTTGAGTTTTACGTTATTTTCATTTACTGAAGCCCCCCTCCCAATAATTGCAGCCTTGAGCCTTATGCCACATAAATTAGAAAGCGGAAATAGAAGATAAGAGTACGCTCATTCGCTTCTCTGCTTGGCATTCTGTTTACGCGCTCGAAATTGTGTGGCACTGGGACCCAGGGTACACGTAAGATTGAACACATGGCTGAAATAACGGAAACCAGGGTTTGAAGCGCATGTATTTGGACTTTAATCGCAATATAATCAGTCTAGGGCATTGAGTATTTAACATTAAGTTAAAAAGGTTTTGTGTAATTTTCCAGGGGGCTACGCCCCCAGACCCCCCATCAGCTTTCTGTTCTATACAAAGCATGGTCATTGTCTCAAGGACAGCTTCGCCACTGATCATAATTAAGAAACTCTTAAGAAACAATGAGTATTGAAATTTCCAGAACATTAAGAAACTGGAGTACTCAACATCGACCTTTGCTTCTTATAAAAAAGTCAGTGTATGCCTAAATATATCTGCGGAAAGGTGCTGGATTCAAAGTCCCAAGAAAAAACCCACTACGATTTTATCATATATTTTTTGGCGAAGACATCATATATTTGTTGACACCAAGAGCCCTTTGTTGACCACAAATTGACTTTCAACGAACATGGAATCGATTGAGACAGAAAAGAAGACATCTTTAAATCTTTATGCTAAGGAGGACCTAAAAAATAGACCTAAATTTATTCAGATTTATTGCTGATATTTGTCCATAAACGTTGTCCCAATATGGCTTTTCCGGGTAAAACACACTACACCTTGAGTTATTTCTCATGTGGGAAACAGAAATTTTCAAATGAATAAAATGTTCTGAGAGTAGAATGAATAGAGTTTCGAAACGCAATGGGTCTTTAAACCAAAGTATAAGATTTGATTATTTTTTAAGTTTGTCCTTTTTGAATCTCACTACAACATGCTTTTCGTATGACTGCTTAAAACAAGAAACAAAGAGAATGAAACCACATAAAGCAGATATTTTCTGAAAGAGGTTTTCCAGGACGCGTCCATATGGGGAAAACCCTGTTATCACAATTATTGACGATTGCTGTATGTGGGAAAACGCTTTTGACGGTCGCTGGGATGTGAAAACGGTAAACAAAAAGATTTATATTATCTGTTTATAGATCTGAAGGTGGCAAATTTTGCCCAGCTACTGCTTTTGTGTCAAATGAATTTAAGAAATTTTCATACTTCACGATACAAATTCAAAACACCTATTATGTGAAATGCTCAGTCGGAAGTCACGAGGACAGAGCCCATCGTGATTCTAAGCTTTGACCAATCAGCGCACAACCGGAAATAAAAGTCTACCTTAGGTCTGATCAACTTTTGTTCGAAATCAGACTGCGAGCAAAGACAACAATGGCAAAGACAAAAGATTTGTTAACCCGTTGATGAGGCAGACCAGTTTTGATGACGCAGGTGGCCACTGACCTGTTTTGTGAATTGCAGAGAAAGAAAACGCAGTTGAGTTGAGAGAAGCTTTGAAAGATACTTTAACTACAAAAACATGAAGGGGCTCTCTACCACCGTGATTGGGAGTATGCCAAAACCCGAATATCTTCAAATTCCTTGTTGGGTGAAAAATGGCAAGGAAGTCATAGATTTCGTCAAGGAATACAACACCATCATGGCCGGCAAACATTCTGAAGATATCGAGAATCAACTCACAAGGGCAACACATGAAGTCATTGACCTACAGACGGATGTTGGGTTGAAAACAATCACAGATGGGGAGTTACGCAGGGAAAAATACATTTACACTTTCTGTCGCAGCCTTAATGGCTTTGATTTTGTAAATACCAAGAAAAAGATTTGCAGGAATGGCGCTTGGGAAGGGCTTCTGCCAACGATTGTGTCAAAAGTTTCGCACAAAGAAGAACCAGGTTTCATGGCAAAAGAGTGGAAGTGGAGCCAAAATATGAGTGAAAGGCCCATCAAAGTGACGGTTCCAGGACCAATGACGATCATGGACACCTTTTGTGATGACTTTTACAGTAACGACGAAGAGTTGTTAAACGATCTTACTAAATGCATCAACATTGAGCTGAAATTGTTAGCAGAGGCAGGATGCAAGGAAATTCAGGTACTATACTGATTTTCAGATGCAAGTGATGATCGGAAATTCGATATTTTACGAATACTTTGCAAACATGCTTATTGTGAACTGTTTTAAGGAAATAATTTGTACAAAGGATCGATATGGCAAGCTATTCGCTTATGTACCAGGCTAACGTAAATCATGTTGCATTGTTTAACCAGGGCTCCAAAAATGAAACGTTTTAAGATTGTATTGTATATTACTGATTGTTTTGAACTTACAACAATTAAAATCCTAAGGGAAAGTAAAGGTGTTTAGAGAAGACAAAAGTGACGAGGGACTATAGAGAGGGCAAAGACTTCTTTTATAGTGAGACACCTTAGGATGTGCCGCGAGCACTTCTGGTCCAGCCGAGGGAATACTTTTTGCAATTTTGGTCCAGCCAAAGTGTACCCAAGGGTATCATATTCGACTATATTGGTCCAGAAAGTATGAAAGTAAAGCCTTTCAAAGTAGAAATTTCATCTTGACGACCAATTTTTGTTCATTATAAAACATAATATGAAACAAATCGATCTTTGACTACCCTGGGTACCAGATCCGCATCAATTCGAGAGCGGAAATAGAAGATAGGTGCGGAGGAGCGTCTATCTTTCTTCTCAGCGAAACGCTCCTCCGTTTCTCTGCTTGGTTTTCTAATTTTGCGCTCGGAATTTTGCGGCACTGGGACCCAGGGTAACCTTTGACGCGAATTCAACAATTTGGAGATCTACTAACTCGAATGGTTTGGAAATGAACCTAGCCGAAGTCTTGCCAAAGGCATCATTTTTGTAGAAATAGGGTTAGCCAAGGGAACCATTTCCGAAATTGTTTTTCTAGTCAAAGATATCAAATATGCTTGTGGCGGACCTCTACCCAAAGTTTAGCCAAGAACCCCCCACCCCCCGCCCGCCCGTGCTGGTGCCAACGACGGGCTGAAAACGACGAAGATTCTTCTATATCAATGGACACTGATTTCTCGTTATTATCGAGAAACGTGCTAAAACTGGTTAGCCAGAAAAGTATAAAGAGCGCGAAAATGATCAAAGCATAGACACAAAAGGTATTGGTATCACATTCGCTGTCCTAAAAAAATTTAATCTCACTTGCAGGTTGATGAGCCAGTGTTGATGAGGTACCCCGAAAAAGCACTTGAATTTGGAATCAAATATTTGTCAGCCTGTATCGTTGAAATGCCAAAGGAAGTTTTCAAAACAGTGCACGCCTGTTGTGGATATCCACAATATTTGGTAATTATCAAATTCTTACCGCTTATTTCATATAAATGTTGATTACAGAAATTCTTATCCTAAATGTTATTGCTGCACCATTTTATTTTGAAATGAAATTATGCTTGAAATGATGATTATGATGATGACTATTAATATCATCTTCAATTTCTCAAGGACCAAACAGACTATGAAAAGGCTGACAAAGGAGCCTATTTGAAATTGGCGACTTGCCTGGAAAATTCTGGGTTCGATGCACTGTCAATTGAGGATACGCATCGCAGAAATGATCCCGAGCTCTTCAAAGCTTTCAAGAAAATCAAAGTGAGCACTTTTCCGTATTCGTATTACGGGAATACATTCTTGTAAATTAAACTCTTATATCCACCCGGCAGGACCCTCAGAGACAACTTAGAAACAGAGCTTGCAGTAGTAAAATGTACTTTACATAAAAACGGCTTATGCTATGTCACAAAAATAGAGTCATTAATCTAGGCTTGACTTGAAATGTAGTTGAAAAAGGGAAATTTTTTTTCATATTTCAACCAAAAGAGGCCAAGTGTCACCAGAGACGCCGAAAAAGCTGTATTGCCAATAAAAAGGGCCAAATAGAAAAGATATAAAGAAAGTTGCTAAATTTTTCGAGGGTAAAGGGCCCAGTGGCAGAAATTATGAGAGGGTTTTGGGGGGGGGGGGTTCGGACCCTCCCAATCAGCGACGCCGTCGGAAAATTCGGGCTTTCGTCGGATAATTGACAACCGTTTAACGTGTCGAAATTACTCCAAGAAATCGTTCTAAAAAGGGAGCAAATTTAAGCTAATTTGAGGGGCAAAATTGCCAAATTTTCTGCTTGCTTCGCTCCCAGGTGATCTGAATTTCCCCATTTTACCCCAGGGGCCTCTTTAACCTCTCTGAGCCCTTTTTGCAAAATTTGAACATAGTATAGCTGATAAAATAATAGCCATTAATCAATCAAACAATATATGACCAAAATCAAAACTGCTTTGCTTGTGAATTGTATATTTAATTTCAATACCGTAAAGACTAGCCGAAACTTCCATCGGATTCTTCCGAATAAAAGTTATTTTCAAACGTATTTTCCAGTGACAAAAACAAAATAACATGCAGAAAATGAACGTTACAATTACAATGATGTTGTTATCATGAACGACTTGTCAAAAGTGTAATCGTCGACCTCTTCTAACATCAATTGCCTGATGAGATATTGATCTTGATATCAAAAATCATTAATGGATTGTTCTTCTTGCTATCTAATTATGGCGTGGTCAGCAAAGATTTTTAAAGGGTCCCGCCCAAAAGTCACCTATTTTCATCGAACTGTGCAGCTTTCTTAAAATTAGACATGATCCAAGATGTTATCTTGTCGAAAAATCATAGGCCTGCCCCCCCAAAATGAAAGCCTGAATTTCCGCCCCTAAAGGGGGGCAACCGCTGTCTTCTCTGTACAGTGTAGGATTTTGATCCATTGTTACCGTCAATAGACTATATGGATCTCTCAATCTCTCAGCATTCCTTAGAGGGATATGTAAACAGCAAAAAATCATATAGTTGGGTAGCAAACTAATGACTTGGAAAGCCTGAAATGTTTTTATTTTCCTTGTTTCCAACTTCCTTGATGGGATAAAACAGCATTTTTGGTGTGGCTTTATGCATAAATCCCAATTTATTTGCTAGGGATTACGCAGCTGTCTCAGAAATCATCCCTATCGTCCTTCCCAAAAAGGGTCCTCTCCTAAGCCTATCGCTGAACATAAGGGTCCTCTCCTATATCATTCCTATTAATATGCCATTCCTATTAAATCCTTTAATCATAAACAAACTAAATCATTCCTATTTAATTCTTTTTCTTTAAGGTCGTGCTTGGAGTTATTGACGTTGTCAAAAGTCGAGTGGAAACAGTTGAAGAAATCCGCCAACATATATCAGATGTTTTGAAGTACATTCCCAAAGAACGTTTGATCATTGCTCCAGACTGCGGAATGTTGTTCTTGCCTCTCGACCTTGCCGAGCAGAAGTTGACAAATATGGTGAAAGCAGCAAGTTTATTTTAAAAAAAGCGTGTTTGCATCGTGTTTTATAAATTTTGGGCGATTTTCACAATTCGACTCATTGCTTGTTAAATTAAGTAGAATTAAGTAGATTAACTTTCCTAAACGTAGGTTGAATTTGTTATTTGGTTCATAAATGTTGTTATCAACGAGGGTTGAGAATTGCACGCATTTATTGACATGAAACGGCCAATAAGGAAACCTAGACCTAATATAACCAAAAGATTATAAAAAATAATACTGATCAACACCAAAATTAAGAAACTGCTTGAAAATACAAATGTACGTAAACTGCTCGCATACATACATGATCAATGCAATATCTTATCATAGCAAGAGATTGAGCTCGAAAAACTTTCCGTCGAATTCTTATTTATCGCTTCAAAATCTCTTAATACAGTTATGACATCAAAACATTGTGTCGCTTTGCAACTGAATTCCATATCCCAATGGAAGCTCTCTTCCTTGACAAAAATATTAAACTCTTTGAATGACAGCATTTGATTGAGTGCTGGTGACTGAGATATAACACACAACATATGACTAATCTATTCAGTAATGTTGTTAAGAGATACAAATCACAGTATGACGTCACGGTATAGCCTTGCCCAGACCCCAGCTTTCCGACAACGTCTTAACATAATCATGTTTCAATAAATCATATCTATATTTCACCCATAACTTGACTTTGAAAGTTTTTTATACGTAAAGATACTTACAGCTAGGCCCAGGCCACCAGGAGTTTTCTGCATCCATGCAAATACTAGAAAGAAACAGATGGAAATGTATTAAAATATGTTCAAGGTACATTTGACGCGCAAAGTGTTCACACTTACATGATAAGTCTAATTAAAGGAACATGGTTCTTATTTAAATGGTATTTTGGTGATTTGGTGCCAGCATAAAAATTGCAGTTAACACTTCATTGATTTTAGGTAGCTATGCAATTCCCCTAAAAAACAACCGTTTTGTTTCATTTCTGATTCAGTTGCCTTTCAAGTAGCAAAATTAATATTGAAGACTTAAATTTAGGCTGAATATTTGATTACCATGCACTAGTCTGGGGACCGGATACATAAAGCTTGAAAATGGATGTACTAGAAGCATACTGAGCAACAAGCCCCCCTTACAATACCACTCTGATAACAAAACAACGGCCTACACATAGACCTTGTCGAATTTAAGAGCTGAATGAGCATTCGACTCGTTCCTTTGTGTGCTATAGATAGCTTAGTTGTTTTGCTTTTAAAATATCTGATAATCCAGACATACGACAATGTATGGCTAAAGGTTACCTAGTCTGCCAAAATACAATTGTGACACAGAACAGAAATTAGGCAGAAGGGGAACTCCTGCCTATCAGGTGAAGCCTGATAAAACCTGCGCATGCGTTAACTTATACGAGGCTTAGCATGTATCTGTCGGGGAAATTTTAAAGAAGAATGAAAGGAGACAACTTTATTTGAGACGAAATGCCCCATGATAGTGAACAAATTCAATTATGTATCATAATTCGTTTATATCAGATTAATGAATGATAATTTGTCATGGCTAAGTTCGTCTAATGAGATCGAGGTTAAAGGGGAGTTAAGGAATTCTATTGTTGACTCGGGCTTCAAAAATAACAAAGGAACCGACAAGAGTTACCCTTCTGCCTATTTCCTATTCTGTGATTGTGATTTTCACCTTCCATTTTGCAAGGGTGATTCATAAATTGAAACGGTTGAAATGTGGAGAGACTTGAATATGAGAGTGTCTTGACCAAACCCTATTTATCCACTAGGGATCCTTTCAATGGTCATAATTTCAATCATACATACAATCGAATCATGAATACTACCAACAAATACAGCAAAGCACTTTTTGTTGTACAAAATGAACTTTCAAAAAAAGGAAAGTTTTACAAGTTTTCTAAAGAGTGAAAGCTTCTGATGTCCTCTTGATTACACGTCTCCGTCAATAAAATACCCTGAACCCATATTTGCTTGCAATTGTATAACGATTGAGGTCTAATGAATGAGAACAGCACGGTAGTCTGTAGATGGTTGGATGGTAGAAGTAAATGTTAATTTATTTCTTTCAATTAATTAGAAACTTAGAGAAGTTGTCTTTTTATCGTTTGATTTTGGTATAAACGAACCTTATTAAGCTTTGAGTGTCAAAAACATAACCTCTTTTGGACTTATTTAGACTTGTATCTGCCATTGCGTCTGATACTTATTACCTTTCGACCACAGCAGTGTGAATTATTATTCAACGCTTCGAATGAAAGAGCACTGTTGCATGCGTGCGCAGTTCTACATATTGTTTCATGAATTGAAGCTGCACGACCGAGAAAACTTTCAGTTGTGGGTAGGTTTCAGGCGGGGATTCGGCCTGGATTCTGACCTATGCACAAGGACGGCGCCACAAAATTGAAACTGGGGGGGCTAAGGAACAAGTTTCGGAGGACCCAAAATGGTTTGGTCCGACGCGGAAAAAGATTTTTTAGATTAAGCCTTCTGGAATGGCTCAAAATGCATCTCCAAGACTAAAATTTAGCAAATTACTTTAGCGCTCAGAATAGAAAATTCGACTATTCTCATAAAATTATTGATTTTTAAGGAAAAATTTAGGAGGTGAGGTGTCATGCTAAAACTCTAGTGACAGATATTGGGGAAAGAAAGAAAGGGTGACGTTGATAAAAAGAAGCGAGCTTTACTTCCTGAACAGAAACGTACGTCATCTTTGTCTCGAGTATTTTCAGTAAGCCACGTTTACACATGCAAAATGCATGCATTGCAATGATACAGGAAGTTATCTGCTGAGTTGGTGCAAATAATAGACAAATTGCTCTGATTCCAAAAATTATAAAAAACGGTCAAAACATTTTTATCTCTGAAAAGTGGGGGGGGGGGGCTTCAGCCAGTAGCGCCGTGCCTGAGCAAAGGTCGTCAGAAAAAACGCCCTTTTATGTTGGAAACGCCCGAATTTTTCTGAATAAAATCCGCATCACTGATTTTGAAAAGGGGGCTCCAAAAAAGCATTCTAAGGAAATGACTCGCAAGAGAAGACTAAATTTACTAGCGAAAGAAAGAACTTTTGAGTTGCCGACCCCGGTAGGATTCAAACCAGGGCCCCCCACATTCCGAACACAACAGTCTTACTACATCACTACGGAGCAGATACTCAAATGTTGACTGATTTAGCTAGTTCCTCAGCAGGGGTGAAGCAGTGATTGTCTAATTCAGACCTGGCAACCTTAAATTTTTAAAACCTGGAGATTTTAGATTTTTCCTAAAGAAAAACAGGGAAATTTGGTCAAAAACAGGGATATCACAGTAATTTGTTACGGGAATCTAATTATATCTTAATTATACCTCTGTAAAAAGAAAACATACACAATGGACCTGTCCTTGAAGCAGAAGATGCGCAGTTCAATCGAACATTTGGTGAAGAATCTTCTTAGACATGCTAGACATCTTTGAAACCGAGAGAAAATTTTTAAAAACCGGGAGACCGAGAGAAAGCAGTCAAAACCGGGATTCTCCCGGCTGAACTTGGAGGATTGACAGGTCTGCTAATTCCATTTCCTTGGTTGCAATGAAAAATTGCATTGTAAACAATTGCAGGTCCACTGTAAACAATTGCTGCAGTGGCAAGCTCAGCTTCTGAATCGATAAATCAAATCTGACCTATGCTTCTGCATAGGCTGCTGTAATCTGGACGGTTTGGTCTTTGCATTCCCTAAGACTTTCATCGTACAAAAGGGGATAGTTTTGAATCTCAATCATCAGAGTCTCATCACTAATGTTATCTACATGTGTCCATATAGACTGCGCTTTGTTAAAACTGCTAACGAAATGTTGACATTAATTCAGCTGTTCTGTGATTCAATTGGCTGCGACCAAGCTACTTGGGCGTTGATTGGGTTAGATCGAGCTACTCGGACGTTGATTGGTTGAGGTCGAACTTTCTGTATATTGATTGGTTTAGACTATGCAACACAAAACGACCCCTCTCCCCTCTCGAAGCATGCTAGAGGTGCAGATACAATGCCATCCACACAAAAATGTTTTGAATCAAAAACACATTTTATGATAAACTTAATTTTTTTTCACTCTAAATTGTCTAACAGTATCTTCCTGTTAACGATAGAAAAACTTTTTGAACAGTGCTTTTGGCATTAACCTTGTGTCCATAGTAAATTTTCAATTTTGATTTTCAAGTATTATTCAGTGCTGCAGCTCGATAAATCTCAGATTGTTCCGAAAACACAATTCGCATTGCCAGTTTCCCAAAATAAGAAGTACGTATGTAACAACCAGCGTAAATAATATAAGAATAAACAGACAAGCACGTCCCATTTGAAAAAGACAGCCATAAAATTATTGAAATGACAAATATTGAGATTAGATACTGCAAAAACAAACAAAAAATCACCGAAAATTGAGACTCCAAGGCCAAGCTGGATGAAAACTGACAAAGCAGATAGTGCCAGTGCAATCTTTCGCCAATAAGCATTGTTTAAATGGGCGTCTATCTCTGTTTGATCTGCCAAAATGAATAAGAACACAATGAAAAACTTAGTTTCTTTATCTACACGAGGAGAGGCTAAACCAATGTAGTGGCAGGTGTTTTTTTGTGTATGTTTTTCGCAATTCTTACAAAACCTAAGTTTGAGCCATTTAGCAAGCTATGTTGAAGTTTCTCAAAGTTTATGCATTCGGAAACTTCTTGATGTTAAATAAAATCTTATTTGAGCAACTGATTCGTAAATTTCCGAGGCCTTTACCAAAGGACGATGTAGTAATTGTACATTAAGGGGAAAAACTTTCGCCAATGTTACGATGAGCTTTTCGCACATAAGCGTACAAATACTTGCTTAAATTTTTTTGCACAATTTTTCACACAGTGAACAGCTTTATATCATATTAATGCATAACGTAAAATTCAGCTGCATTTCCTGTCCCTTTGTCGTGAAATAAATGTTTTTGTTTTAAAAAATTACATTTACCAAAACATTACCTGTTGAGCAAAAGCAACTCTTGCGAGCCTTCATTTTCGCTGATTTAACCTGTTTGTTTCTTTGATAAACAGAAAATTTGTTGACTAAAAACAATTCTGCTTCAAACACCTATTTCCTTAGTTTAATTAGAACTTAAAATAACATGCTTAGGACTATATATAGCCATCCTACAAAATTTAAGTTTGATAACATGTTATTGAAAAATCAAAGAAGACTTAGGTCGTTCTTCAATTGGGTAATGGCCAGAACAACTACAAAGGTTCTCAGCGAACATTGCGACAGACAATTTTGCCAGATTTATCACAGCAAGAATGTAAAATCCGTTCTTTTTCGCTGCCCTCCCCGGATCTTCCCAAAGACTAACATTAATGATATAAAAACATACAACCCATGTGGATTACTGGGTCTGCCCGCAAGAAACAAATGATACATACGCGCGTCTTCGCTGTCACAACGGTCTGCTTTCTCCAGTAAAGAAATCTCTTCTGGGGTGTTCATCTTGGCTACAAATCTGCCGCTTTTTCATGTCATTATTTGTGCGCTGCGTCTAGTTCTAGAGACCGCTCTTCCGAGAAGAAGTATTCTTTGCTTCTCAATTACGATTTAACTCGTGAGCTGAACAAACTTTCTTTCCACAACAACAGCCGGGGGTGCATTATCTTCACCAAGTTGCTGCTTCATTGTGTTGCTGCATAGTGAAATATGTTTTTAAATATTGCAAACGCCTTATGTAATAAACGGATTCTAGCGAATAAAATAGCAGAATGGTATGCATTGAAAGAAAGTATTTCTTCATTAACTTAAGCAGGCATACAAAAGTTATCACTGTTTTCAATCTAAATAAAGAAACCTCATCGAGAACATCAAGCCGCTTGTTATTAAATAACAATTAAAGGCCAAATTTAAAGGGTCTATACCTATAATATCACAATTTTCAACTAAAATGCTTCTTTAACAGTCCTTTTTATTGCTTAAAAGATTCAGTTTTTCTAAGATCGATTGGTAATTCGTTGTACAGCTTTGCACCCATAAAATGGAATGACTTCCTAGCATATTCTGTTTTGATGCTTGGAAGCCTAATTAAACATTCGATGTTTATAATTCGTGTCTTGTGCTGTTGTAGCTCGAAATAACCTTGAAAGTTGTCACATATATCATTGTCCAAACATTTACGCACAAGTTTACATGCCATGGTCTTTTTGGCATTGGCAACTGGTTGAATTGCTGTGGGATTTCCAGGAATAGGTATCAGCCCCAGCTAATTGCCCAAGGTGATCTCATGGGTTTTTTGTACCCTGATACTGACCCTGACTCTGAAAGACTTGTTTGTGCCATGTAAATAAGTCCATGGCTTTTTATAGGCCATTTGTGGCGTTTACACACATTGGGTAAGAATTTTTTTGTTGAGCGTCGATATCCTTTAAAACTTGTGCTTCTGAATTTGATAATGTTCTAAAATAATTCTTAAGAAGAAAGTTTAGATCTTTTGCTACTGTCTTTCTTCATCACCAAAACATTGTAGGTAACGAAAGAATACTAGCACAAAACAAACTTGATAATTTTTTTATAAAATTTTTGCGCAAAAGTCAAGCTTTCTTGCTTGCTCAAAAGAATCTTATGAATAAAAGTAAAAGTCAAATTTTTCATATAATTGAAATATGGCTATTATTCTTGAATGATTCTTTTTCACCAATTTCGAGCCACATTAGTGTTACAAGATTTGTCCGTACAAAATGTATGTCAAATTTTGGATCAAATTAAAAAAAGAATAAAATCCTCGACCGCATGCTAGTGCATTTGAAAGCCAAATAGAGGCGAAAACGACAGGGCGGCTGCAGGATGATAATACAATTTCCTGACATCAGTCAGAATTTGTGGCAATGGAATCTGGATATAGTGATGTTGAGTACCTCGAGAAAATTGAAGAGAAGCTAAGATTATGGAAAGCAGATAAAATCTCGCTGTTGGCAAAGATTAAAAATTTGGAGAAAAATCTTGAAGAACAAAACATGCCGCTGCTTGCGTCTTGTAGGGATTTGAAGGAATTAGAACTTGAAAACAAAGTTATTCGAGCAGACATTGACGAGAAAAGACTGAAAATAGACATGCTGAAAGAAGAGATCAACTCTCTAAGGGAAAAGCGGTAAAAGAATTAAAAGATGATTTAACATCTTTGTTTTTACTACACATACCTGATAAATCAATCAAAATGATTTATTTATTTAAATAGCATTGTGGTTGCATCGAGAGGTTTAGAAACATGAACAAACTAAAGCAAACCAAATATTGTCCTAAATTTGAAACTTCAAATTCTCATTTATTCCATTTCAATTCTCAATTTTGATGCTTGCAACAATTACTATTCATTAATCATAGATGTGAATTATAAGTCTGTTATGTTACCTTTTGTAAGTGTAATATATATATTGTTGTGGAAAACTGGGAAATAACAAGGTCATAGGACTTTAATCAGGCCATAGTTTGTACTAATATAAGGGAAGCTATCTTTGCTTTGTACCAAATTTTAGAAACTTAGTTGTATTTTAAATGTTATTATGCTCTTGCTTGTGGTTTAAATATGTGCATATTATCAGGGAAATATTTATATGCAGAGTAAAAATTTATATTTTGTATTTGTTGCTACCTAGCTTCCAGAGTTTTCGGGCACTGAGAAGTTGTGCTTATCAAGCAATGTTGTGGTCATCCTCCCAATGTTATAACATCCCCTTTTTTCGGTACCTGTGCCAGACTGGCAACTTTGTTTCTTGCACAGACATGTGTACTTTGAAAATTTGAGAATGTGCGTCTGAATCAGGCCTGGCCGTTTGTATTTTTATAGGTGAGCTGTGAATCGCTCCCCTCATTTGCTGAGGCGAGCTAAATCAGTAACACATAGAATGTACTTTAAAGACAATCGACAGATGACTTAATAAGCCCCTTTAGTATCTGTCGGTTGCCTTAATGTAATTGCCTCAGTCAGGAGTGTTATGTTTTACTTCTTTCAATTTGCATTTGCTTTAACCGTGACTTAGGCACCCCATTTACTCGAAGTATTTGAAAGAACAGACTCTCTCGGTTTTATATAAAGCTGGCACAACACAAAAACAACAATTCTCTTGCAAAACAATCTTTTTGTTGCACAGAATTTGAAAATGGCTTTAAAAACAAATTTTGAAACAAACTTAATTATACGTCTAGCACTCTTCAGAGAGTAAAACGTCAGAACATAGATGGAAAACTCTACGCTAAAATACCCAGTTTAGGATCGAAATAGGCCATCAGAAAACGCGAGGACATGACTGTTGAGGTTTTCAATAAGTGCCCCTTTCCTATTGAAAATGTTACCAACTGCTACATAGATGGAACGATGATCAGGCTTTGCCAATAATGCGAAACATGTCGCCGTTATAGTTTTTCACCCAATCTGGGTTTTTCAGTAAATGCTGCTCGATAGTGGAATTCCATGTTTTGGTTGTCGTTTTTGATCTGCAAGACAGAGTACCCTGTTCTCTTTGAGGGATAGTTTTGTTTCTATTGCTGGAAGGGACCTGCTGTCTTATTATATCCCCAATCTACAATTCCTACCCATTTCTTCGACTTTCCTTCCAAAAATATTCCTGTTTTCTTAAGATTGAAAGTTTCTAATCACTACAAACGTACCTTTCGGTTAACTATCCTTTTCCAAACAGATCGAAGTTTATGCCTATCATGACAAAAACCGCCCAACAAGCAAAAAGTTAATTGCAAAAAATGCAGTGACGGGAGAAATCGCTGTTACAAAAATAAGCCAATTAACCCGTTTTCAGGGTTCTCTGAATAGGAAAAGGGCAAATGAATGGAAATTTTAGGGGAGCGATTCTCCCTTCATGTTCTGTTTAGGAGAGCAATTCATAGCTCGCCTCAGGTTGCGAGGGGAGCGTGGAGGCGAGCGCGAGCTATCGCTCGCCTCAAACGGCCAGGCCTGTGAATTCATAGATTCTGAGATATTTCTAAAGTTAATGATGGTAAATTTTATTATCTAGGGTTTTTGCATGGCCAATATGGAATAGCGTGCAGATGTGTGTACAGCCAATATATTGCGGGTGCCCAAAAAAGTTTCCAATCTAGTACCTGTGAACAGGGACTATCAAAGTCAGGGGCTGATGGGGCTTAGATCCCAAATAGTTTTCAAATGTACTTAAAACTGTACAAAATGACCTTGCTCTTGGTTTTGAGCATGTTTAACCCCCAAAACGTTTTAACCCCATCAATCTATAAATTTCTTCTTGCCTGTGAATTACAGAACACTGGTGGCTCTCTTTACACTCAAGAACTCCAATAAAAAGACACTTTGATCTGCTGTAACACCAGTATAAAGGGAACATGATTTGCTCATTCTACAAAATTCAGTTTTAAATAAGACATGATGACATCAAATATGATTTGATCAAATCCACATTCCTCACAGGCCCCCTTTTTAATAACAAAATTTTCATTTTTCTTAATAATATTTTAGATTATTACTGCAGCATCATTGTACTGTACACAAAGTAATTTAACATGACTTGAGGTACAAGTTTGATTATTGGGATCAAAATTTATCTGGAATTCTGGAACAGATGTCATTTTTTTGCAAATAAATTTTAGAATGTAGTTACTGCCTACTGGCTGTTCTACTTGGCCAATAAAATTGATAGTGTGCCACAAGTAAGGCCATCGTGAGAAAAATAATAGAATGTCAAAAAGGGAAGATATTGGTACAAAGTGTGTTCTTGACCTTTTTACTAACTCCCCCTACCCTCTGCCCTCACCAATTTGAAATTCAAGGTATGTCTTTGCATAAAGCATGAGAGAAATCACAGAAAAGGATAAATTGAATACTGAGGGAGTAATGGAACAAAATGAAATGAAAGCATACAGAAAAATTTAACTGGGGAAAAGAGCAAAATTCATTAACAACAAATTAGGAAAAGGAACAGAAAAGAGCACAAAATTTTTCAGGGAAAACAAAAAGGGAAAGAAAATTTTTTATAAAAAATTAGTTTCAATTTAAATGCAGGATAGCCCAAAGCCTTTTTTTAACTTTCAAAGGCTATTTCCTCCTCTTTATATAAACAAAGAAAAATACATTGCCTTGAGTGTAAAGATTATGAATCTTGGACATTGTAGTATAGCAAACCTCAGATAATTTAGTAAAGCTAGTAGCAAGGTCAAATTCCTGTTGGGGAAAAGAGATTCCAGAGAAACAAACACCATAATCCTATAAAAAATCTTACTCTCTTACCTATCGTATATAATATTTTCTGCACTTCTGGGAATCAAGAATTCATACTATTTTACAACATTGTCTACTGCAACTACTCTATTCACAACAATGGCAGTTACTGCGATGATATTTAGAACAATGACAGTTACTGTGACTTGCTATTGGCATTTAGCAAATTTGGCGTCCCCCTGAAACTTAAAAGCCGTATGTTGCTTCGACCTACGTAAGCCGACTTTAAACCTATGTGTCCTTCTGTTATAACAGTGAAGAAGAAAAGTTCTATTTTAGCATTTTTCAGGGCTTAACATTTGCTAATGAACAACAGCCAGAAATTTGAGCTAGATTTCTTAATTTTTAAAGCACTTTCCGAAAAACAAACGAATGGCGTTTAGACTGGAAGAAAATCCAAAGCAAAATGCAAAATGCAGCAAGTCCTAGGTGAGAATAATGCTTTGTACAACATTTGGAAATAATAAACATTTTAGAATTGATATTTGTATAAATTGAATTGCCAAAATAATGAAAAAGTGTTAGAAACCATTGATAGTAACAGCAGAGAGGAACCTTGGCTTTTAAATTACAAATTACTGTCTAGTCTAGAAAGAATCTAAGGATCAACGACCAGAATTGACGACATTCGAAAACTTTTTTGCCAAACATTGTTTCCATTAATATACAACAGAACTTTTCGAAGATACATGCAGCTGCAAACGAGTCGATCACCGCATGGTCGACAGTAATGACTTGAGCTTTAGATAACTCGCGAAATTTTGCATATAAATGGTGTCGAAATGGCATGGTTTAACTATACCTTAAAACCTATCTGCAGAATATTAAAAATTCAAAGGCCGGCCAGTCATCTTGCAATGCAAATACGCGCAGTGTTAGAAGTTTTCCTTTAGAATCAGATCCCTGCGAGGGTTGATTTTTACGATAAGGCTCTGGTGATGTCAGCGTAAACCACTGATTAAGCATGACTAGCGCTGTCTTCACTCTCAGTCAAGTCAATCAAGTCACACAAAAGGGGCGATAATTCATCGAAAGATATCTTGCTCTCAGGAACAAGTCTTTCTGCCACAAATTTATCCCATATATCTTTTGAGTTCTTTCCGCGAACAGCACTAAACAAAAACCACGCCCTTTCGTGTGGAAGAGTTCCACATCTTTCGTAATCGAGTAGCTCAAACTCCCATTTAAGATCTCTTAATAAAAAGTTTCTCCTATCTAGATCATGAAGGACATCCATAACTTCAGCTTTGTCACAAAATTCGGCACCAACAACTTGAATCAAGGCGGCTTCAACTTGCTTCAGTGTGATTTCATTGTCCGGCTGTATCGCGTCATGGATCCTAATAATTTCAACAGGCATCAAGATTTCTTCGTAACACAACCCAAATCTTCTTACTGCTTCGTCAACCAACTCCTCTTTCCCGAGTGCATCCATGATCATAATCAAATTATTCGCTGAGCTTAATTAAGAGTACCCCCGAGAAATACTTCTACTTTTTATTCACCTTTCTAACATGCATACAGAAGAGCTTTTATGTTTTCAAAAAGGTTAAAATGAGAATATCTTGTTCTTGCTTCATCATCAAGTAAACAAACTATGGTCACTATCGACATCAATAATTGAATGAATCGTCCTTTTGCTCCGTGTTATCTCTAGTTTGAATAAATTTTTGCAAGTTTGACCAATGGTGGAAGCAACTTTAAACAAAGCGGTTTCTTATACGGGCAGCAATGAGCAAGTAGGCCAATCAATTCGCATCAAAAATTTACTGTAGCAACAAAACTAATGATGTCGGTGGCTTCAAACAATCCCTCTGTTGAACAAATTGAAAAAAATTACGCCAGGTCATCAAGAAGCTAGTAGAATCACAGTGGAAACTTGAAGATAAGGCACGATATACAAAGTTATCGTATTCTGCTTTCACGGAATCAATCTAGGTATTCCCGGATACAAATGGAATGAATGTAGCACCAGCTTTCCTATCCACAATACAGGGGAAACCTCTCTTAATCACATTTGTGTCAACCTTCAATGCTGTCACCTGCGACAAGAACCCATCAGCTGGAGGTACGCTAGGCTTTTTAACAAACAAAACGACAATTTTCTCTCATTTGGTTTACATAACAAGGCTATAAGTATTTAAGATGTTAACATAAAAGTTAGGATATATTTGTCAAGAGATAATTCTGTTTTTACTTTCTATGCCCTTGCAACAAACGTTTCTGGTGTTTCTAGATTGAAGTTCTTGCCTAAAATCTTGAATTTTTCCAATTTTTCGTTCTTCTTTTCCATCATCTAATGCGAAGATACAAACGGTCCAGATGCTAAAACGAGGTTCTTCCTTGTAAAGTGAATTGAGTGGACTGGTGTTGATTTGGTCAGAAACGAGGCCATTTCAAAAGCTGATTCGCTGGACAAAAGATAGAGAAATTTATCATCATGCCAAGCGATTAAACTTGAAGAATTTCTTAATCTTTATTCAATCATAATTAACATAAGATGCCATTAACAGAATGAAAAAAGCACAAACTAGCTACTGATTTTTAGCGTCTAGCTTCTTTTAATAACCTCAGCGAGGATATAAGATATGGATAAATTCAATCACTTCTTACTTGTTTTCGAACTGGTCCATTTCCTCGTCGTCCTCCATTTTACAAGCGCGTTTTATATCCCAAAATTTCAAACAATTGTCAACTCCACCTAACGCAACGCAAATAATTGTAATAAATTGAAAAATCTATATAATATGGAAGCTTCAATGAAAATCTAGCAGAGTCGTTGAAGTCTTTGCTTTAGTTATTGAAAGGGAGCGAAAGTCTGTTTGTTATGGAAAATTTTCAACCAGACTTAATCACAGTACATCCTTTTACAATCTTAAACCATTTTGTATGTATGAACCCGGAAGGAGAAAGGAAGCGTTAAAAGTAAGGCCTAGTTCATACTTGCCAAAGTTGGCAAAAACCAAATAACGAAAATGAGTAAAACTAAATTGTGTAGGAAAAATAAGAAAACAAGGAGAAAAGGAGTGGTCACCAGATCGGGAATGGGTAAATTGGCTAATTTTGTAGAGGAGATTGGGAAAACTCCTGACAACGAAATGCGTGAGGCATGAATGACTATAAAAACAAATGTGAATATCAAAATCCCGCACCATTACTCATTCCTAAATGGGATCCTGGCATATTAGCAAAAACTGCCTCATATTCTTTGGAACTGGCCACAATGAATAAATTTAAACGTATTGATGGTGGGAAGGAGTCGAAATTCTAAATTTTATTAAAGAGCTGTGTCTTATGATGGCATAAAGAAATAAGCAAGAAAAGATGTATTCACCCTCAAGCGAACTAAAGCAATCAACATTAAAAATTCTTGCTCTCTTTGTGATTCTTAATCTTTTAGAGCTTTGATTGACACCAAAGCTGGTGACTCGGCGGTTTCGTCACAAAATATTCATCATTCTATGCTTATCATAATATGTTATAGATTCCAAAACCCTTAAACATGGACATTCTCCGTTCAGAATACGCAATAGGGGTGATTTCTTTAAAAATTGGTACAGTAAATTCTTACGATAATAACGACAAATGTGAACCAGGCTTTTGATATTGAACGGTAAATGTTAGACTCCAAAAGTGGCCTACTTTCCATCCCATTGTCAAAACAGCGCATGAGCTCTGGGATATCATTCTACCCTAAGATCAGTTGAAACGGAATTAATGCTACCTGAAGCGAGCACGTGACCATCCCGGCTGAAGCTAAGGGCAAATACTGCCTCCGTGTGGCCTGTTAAATCGATTACTGGAACACCATCTGCTATGTTCCACAATAATATTCTTTTATCGACACCTAGAATGATTTGAAATTCCGGTTCAACATGCAAGGTTTTGCTTTAAATACAAATGGGTTACCATTATTTGCAAAATAAAAAAGTATATTTCAAAAATGACAATAAAACATATTGTAAAAAAGTAAGTGTTAAAATGACTAAAAAATCTATGCTAGATTTTTGTTATAATTAATGCTATAAATGTCAATCCTATTGGAAAGGGGAATAAATTCTAAAAACATACCTGACGAAACAAGATGCTTTCCATCGGGAGAAAACGCAACAGCATGCACGGCACCCTGTGGAATCAACAAAAACCATTCAAATGACGCCAAGACAGTTATCAAAAAGAGATTTTGCCAACACCCCTTCATCCCTTGAACATATTTAGTTTAAAGTCAAAACTGGTTCTAGATATACACCAATAATTTACGGAAGGTATCAAACAAGCTTAAATTATATCTTTCACATCTTATACAGCGCTTACACTGACTTTGATTTTATAACCAAATATGTCATAAAAAGGTTAACAGGGACCTGAAAATTTGTAAGAGAGAAACAAAATTAAACTCAATATAGGTGAAACTAAATACACCATTTTCCATTCTTTCACCATGCTGTTCCTACTTATATTGCAATTAAATTTGATAAAACTAACAACATTCGAGCTAGGTATGCACAATTTTTGGAGTTTTATCTGGATGAGAGTCTCAACTGGAAGTACAATCTGTCCAACCATTCATAATTCACAGTTTTTGTGTCTATAATTCACTATTTTTGACCTTTTTAATCTATGAAATTGTTGTCAGAAGACAAATATTTGTTTCATTTATTGATAAGGTAATTAGATTGTAGAAGAAAGCCTGTAAAGCCATTTCGCATGGAATTTATACGTCTAACACTCTTTTTATGTCCAACTCAAAAAACTTCCAAATTTTGGGACTTCGATACATTTTCCGAGAAAATATTGGGTTCATATGCTTGCTGTCACTCGCAAAAAAAGTATTTGATACAATTCGAAGTCCATTCTAAAACTGGGGGCAAACATGCGGAATGATCTTGCAGAAGCGATAAGAATTTTCATCTAAACATTCCTTTACAAAGAATCTTTGAAGATTAAAATTTCTCTTGTGAATTTTGAAATCTCTTGTATATAAATAAAAATTTAAAATTTTTTTGATAGGCAATGTCCAAAGAAGCTCTGCTGAGTAATAAAAATGCATTCTGCCAAGGGGGTGCTCGCCTCTCGTCAGTCTTCGGTATACTTAAGAAGTTGTCCTTTAGGAATTTTGTGATTGAATTTTAAGAATTTAGAATTTTGGTTACTATTTATCGATTATCTCACAACAGATTAATTATTACCAACTTAAGTTATAATTAGTTTTATTTGCATGCAAAAATGGAATTCCAAATAAACAATGAAATGAAATAAAAATTACCTAACTTTGAAAAATTTCATTTCAAGTTTACATATACTCTGCCAAAAATAATAATGACTTAACGATTAACGCTGAATCTTTACAACATAAAAACCGACCATATTTTTTTCGATGTTGAAGGTGCATAGCATCGGTTCAGGCAAATATTGAAACAGCCTACCTTATGGCCAGTGAACAGACGCACTGAATTGCCAGTAAGAATATCCCACACACGAACTGTCCTGTCTGAAGAACCAGTTGCGATATAGTTGCAGTTAGGATGGAAATCGATAGCCTAGAAGCAATGGTAAGTATAAAGGAAATTACGATTTCAAAACAAAAAGGATTTGTAAAATGATTCAAATTGCCAAAGTAAAGACCTTTGAATAGAAACCAGTTTGACTGAATAATTGCTATTGCTAGCAGGAAATCTTGGGGGTATTTAAAACGGTTTGTACCGTCATATCTAGCTTCTACGTCTTCTTTAACCAGTGTTTGAGACTTCAAAGTTAAACATTTGTTGATACATGCTTTAGCGAAAAATGTCTGTAATTGAACACTTCTTTCAACTATGATAGCAGTACCTTTTAAGCTTTTACTTTGGAATATAAGACTTGAATAATAACGTTCATAATAATAATCATGCGGCTAACATAGTAGACCAGGAAGGGGCTATATCATTCACAGGGAAGAGCCCTTATTCGATATTATTAAGAGAATTTGGTTGCAAGCCAAGTACACTCTTCTTAAATAAGAAAAACATTATAAAATCGCCAGCCTCAAAATTGGTCAAAAATCAAGAACAAATTTAGAACAAGCTGAGGCTAAGCTTTTGCAAAATGCAATTTTGAACAACGTTTTATCTAAAAAGCGAGGACTTTCTGGACATGTGAGGAAGCTTTTCGTGAATATGCAAACTTGTCAGCAAAAGAAGGTTATCTCGCTCACTTTGTTAGCAAATGAGGCCTAAACACCTCCCTAGAGCAAAAAAGCCGACAATCGCACTGTTAATTTAAGAACAATTAAGAGCAATCCAGCCTCAGATTTTCGAAAAAAGCCTGAACTTTAATTGACTGGTTCTTATAAAAAGAGTGTAACACGGAGAAAAGCTTCAATTTTATAAAACAATTAGTTATAATCGAGGTTATCCACGCACACATTTGCTAAAGGATATCTTGAAGGATATAAAAGATGAACGTAGGTCGATTGGAAAAACAATATTTGAAAACAAATCTTTATTCTTCTCATAATTTCTTATATTTTGACTGCGAATAAAAGGCGTTTAAACGAATTCTCAAGCCTTCCTTTATCATCAGCGCAGTTTAATGTTTACCGTGCACCTTGCTTAAGATGGGAAAAGGCCTTTTCATAGTAATTAGCCTGAGCTATGTTTTTGACATTCTTGTATAAATAGTCCCGCTAATTGTCTTTGCCGATATTGTTCTTAATCGCGATTAAAATTCATAACAGCGCTGCTTATTAAAAATTTAACGAAACTCCGAGGAGGCAATACATACATTCAAATCAGCTAAGTGTCCAGCGAAGATTCGCAGTGGTGTGTGAGAATCTGTCGACCAAAGACGAGCTGTTCTGTCAGCTGATACTGACGCAAAATAAAATCCTTTTGGGCTAAAAGAAAAGAAACCAATCGGGTCACTGTGTTGTCATTAAAAGCTTAAACGCCTTTTAGTTTGATAACGTCAAAGTGCAATTAAAAGGAAGAAGAAACCTTAGCATGAAGAAAATCAAGACAGGTGGTTGAGTGAAGTAGCCATCTGTGCAATTAAAGAAAATCACATTGAAATTGAGAAAGTCTTTAAGCTACAAAAAGCTATTTTGATGTTAAAGATGCTTAGAGCTGTATTAGAAGGCACTGTTCTTTACTCGCTACCGGGAAGATCCAAAAGGGTGGATATGGGAAAGGGGCATAAAACAAACAAACATAGCTACACCACATCACATAAGACCAAAAATGAAAACAGAAGACTATAGGCACTGAGGTATTGGTGACCAATGTTTAACTAAAAGCAATCTTTAAATCGTCACAAAATGTATATAACAAGCAGGTACAATCCTATGGTTGTTTGTGAATCATATTATGAGCTCAAAAAAGTCGTACAGTTAGCTGTAGATTGAATTGAAGCATACACTGAGCATTGAAAGCCTTCATCAAAACACTTTGAAACCAGGCAGGGTATGGTTAAGGATTTTTTGTGCAAATGACTTTATTTATCAAAAGAAGAGCAAACGAGGAGCAGTTCCGAATGAATTTCCCCGTTGCATTTCATCGCTTGGCTGTTGCGGTACCCTGAACACGTTAAATTCAAAGATAATAGGATATTCGATATGTGCTTAAAGAAGCCGTAAGTGAATCCTAGATATTGACATGGGATTGAAACCGAACTTCTTAAATGGTTTAGTCACATGAGATTAATCTTCTTCGTAGGGGTTAGCCTGTTTCCAAGACTTGACGGTTTAAAGGGCATGTGTTGTGAACATGATTGGCTAATGCAATACAATTATCTTTTTTGTTTAGTACAAAACATGGAATCGAGGGTAAGGAGGTGTTTAACACTTTAGAGGTGGTGAGCCGCCATTTCATCTCCTGTCAACCCCCTACAAAGTTGACAGTAGCCGCATACTTTTATCTTTCAACAGTAAAAAACAAAGCTTTGCTACCCAAGATTTCTGAAAGTGCTCACCACTAGCAAAATGTAGCATTACGTCTTCACGCCGAAAATGTCATAAAACGTACCTAGTTGTGTAAGATTTTTCTGAATCAATTTTGTTGTTCGTCTACCCTTAAAGGTTATTCTCTTGATAATAGTAACTAAGATCTACATGAAAGTCCATATAAACCAAATCGTCTCTCGTACTGCAGAATGTCAAAACGGCAGGAAAAAGCGTAAACATAGCATATGATAATGGCAAAAAAGTCATATGATAATGGACAAAAAATTCGGACGGAAAGAGCTCGAATATAATGGGCTATTTTTCCAGATTTTTCGTGCTATTTAAAGTCCAATATCAATAATATTGATGAGGTAAGGTATGTAAACATAAATGATATACCATAACGAAAGGTACATTTGCCTGATGATCGCATTAAGCGTGAAACACGTGAATAAGGTAGGCTGCCAAATTCTTTTCCTCGAAGCCTGAGATTTGAAAGTGAGCGAAAAGTACTTACCAGAATTTGACACTCCACACTGGGAATGTGTGGCCTTTATAGACAACAAGATTTGTAAAAGTGTGCAAACTCCAAAGACGGACTGCAAAGAGAAGATTCAAAATCAAAATCAGGCATATTAAAATAATTAGACTCCCGAGTATCAGCCGCTTACCGGAAAAGGAATCTGTGTGAAAGTATCAAGCAGTTTATAGATGGAGCAGAGGTAAAGAGGGCAGCTACATTTTCCAAGAAAGAAAAAGGTAGATTTGTAACTTGAAGGAAAATTTTTCTTGTGCATTTGTTAGATATATAATTTCTCTGACCAAAATAGAATTTCTCTGACCAATGATCCTTAAATCTTAGAACATTGTGTTAAAAGATTGGAAAGGATGGTTTGAAAAAAGGAACATCAGCGAAAGGTCTTCGAATCTGGAAACTCCAAAGGTTTTTTACACATGTAGTACGAAAATAAAAAAATATTTCTTCAGAAGAATTTTTATTTAATAATTCCCTAAATATGAAAAAACATCAATATTTTTCAAGCACAGGCAACGTAGGTATAAGAAGATATAAACGAACCAGTTCCATCTTCTGACGACGATACAAGAAATGAATTGTTTTCGTTGAAACTCAAGCCATAAACTGGCCCACTGTGACCAAGCAATGTTTTTTGCTCCGTTGCTGATCTGTAAAACAAAGTTGAAAATGCACGTATACATTGCGTTTGATACATGTTTTTGTCTGTATATTACGGTGTCCTACGCAGCTAGCAAAAACGCAGTAACATGCATTTATACAACAAGAAGCAAAATGAAAAATCGAAAAATTCCTTGAAATTGATTCGCTATAGGCTCAATACTTTTGAAAACAAAAATGATCAAGCAAGCCCCTAACCTTTCGTTCATTATCCTTTCCAAAACATCATCTACAAAATAAACAAGACCTTCCTTACCTAAAGAAGAAGCATTGACTGTATTTACAGCGTTTGGAGAAATCAGAAATAACAAAAAGAAAACTTGACAAGCTGGGTAATCCTTTTGAAAGAAGAAAAAGCTAAACTGTAGGATAATACTGATCACCTGTTATGAAAAATAGGCTTCAAACCTAATTAATGTACAAAAGCAGAGTACAAAGTCAGACGTTTTGATTTCGAATTAAGGCCCGGTCCTTGACAGTACGTCCTTTGCCTGCCTGCTCAACAGAGGATGAAAAATGATGGCACTAACGCAGAGTTTGAGAAAGAGCGTGTTCCAGTGTCTTATCAAAAAGTTATTTTGGTATATGGGCTTCAATTACGATCCTTCTTTAGAAGCATTGTCTACATCAACTTGAAAATCTGATGGCACAAGCTTTAAAACCACGATAGGATTTTGTGGCCGAAACAAGATAGATTGAGGACACTTAATACCACAAACACAAGCACCTCCTTTGTGAACAATTTACACGGTTCATACGGCTGAGATAAAGCAAACTAATGAAGTATTTTGCAAAATCGCCCAGACTAAAGTCAGCTCTGAAGCTTTTGAAGAAAGAAATCAAATTTGCGTATGGAACTTAATTATACTCAGTGAGTTCTGTATAGCAAAGAACCTTCCTCGTTCATAATCAATAACAAAGCTCAAATAATAAGGAGGTTATACTGAAATTTAACCCATTGCATCAAAGTCTGTCTTTTCAATCATCGCCACTTAGGCTGAGAAGATATGGTACACAAAATGTTACAATAAATGTTTAGACTAAACTACCAGTTGATGCAAAAATATGATCTGAAGCGAAATATAAACATTTTTTAATAAACTGTTTCAGAAGAGTTTTGAATGTCCCTGAAGTGTGCCGATACCGTCTGCCAAAGAACAGTGGTTGAAAGTCACTAATATAGACGCATTTATCTTTATAAGAAAACAATCTTGCGATTCGCACTAAGAACTTTATATTTTTGTTGATTTTAGTGCTAAAGATTTATTCAAACACATAGTGCTGAAGAGCTACCTTTTAGAAATAAAAAACGCAACAAAAGATAGAATGAAACATAACACTTCACCAAGAGGCATCTATTATTTTTTGTAGATTGAACAGAAAATCGGTGCTCAATTGACGATTCCCGGCGGTTAGATTCTTAAGGTTTAAGGTGGTCAGTAAAATTCTATAAATTACTTGCCCATATCAGGGCTACGTTTCTTATAAAAAGAAAGAAAGATCCTGCGGGAAAAAGTCCAAAAGAAAATACCATGAGTAACTCTCCTTAACAACACACTATTTAGCCATAGTTGGTGCTTTAACACATCATGATGTATATGACATATTAGGCATAGTAACAACAGTAACCGGATAAACAGACTGCAATCTAAGGAGAAACGCAAGTGCAGAAACGACATGCTTCAACCAATACAAATAAATGCTAAACATACCAGCCTCTTTGTCAATCCTTGCTAGTTCATAAGGAGCTTTTAGTGTTCGCAATTTTCGAGGCGTAAGACTCCATAATTTAATAGAAGAGTCATCGAACCCAGCAGCAAGCATCTTGGAATCATCACTAAACTCGATGACATTCAGTCTAAAAATTGACAAAAGTTGATTTAGTTTTGCTGTAAACATAGTTTACGAAAAGTTAGTCACCTGAAAAAAAACTGATGGGTCGTCCAAGCAACACCCAATAGAAAAAAATATTCTCTGTGGAGGTTTTATGGGTATGTAGAGTAATAGCAGAACATGACATGTCGTGAACCAGACATAGAACTCTACTCAACAACGCTCTTCGATATCTCATAAAATCGTATATAAAAACCCAAGTCCGTTAAGGTACCGGCTTCCTTCATCTGCAACCCGGACTGGTGCAAGTAAAAATTCAATTTTCTTGCACAAACGCTATTTAGAAGGCTCACAGAATAGAGAGTAAGTATTCCATTCTGTGTTTAGGACAAGAAATTGAATCACATGTACCCTTGACTTGCGTTTAGGACCGTGTAGAAGCAAATGGATGGAAGGCTGTTTGGGCCAACATGCAGACGCTTCAATAATTCTTTGTACTTTGCAAGTTTTAGTCTTTTGTCACTGTCCTTCCTAGAAACAAAGAGAGCAAGATAAAGAATAAAAAGTAATTGAATACGCATTTGATTAGATTAAAGAAAATTATTTAACTTGGACAACCAGATGCAACGGACTTTGCGCCTGAAAATTAATGAGACTTCACTTCAAAGGTGGAGATATAAAATTTGATAAATAAAAAAAATTTCAATGATGAAATTTGTCAGTTATGAAATAAAAGGGATCTAACGAAATTGGAAATTTATCTTGATAATAATGGCTGTTGGCATTCAATAAAACTTAATTCCAGCAAACAAATAAATGAAAACAGCATGGTGCATGAACTTATCAACTACAGAAATATTCTGATCTAGAAGAATTTTAGAAGAGTTTCGTAGCTCTACTTTGAAATTCTACTTCATGAAATAAGAACATTTTGAATTTAGCTACTATAGAGCATTTTGAATTTTTCTTCAACTTTGATATTGCAGAAAATCGGTATTAAAAGCTAAGCAAGATTACCGGTGATCTTCGACGATAAGGGCATTCTAATTTCTAAAATCTAAAATCTCTGGGATCTGATATGGTCGAAAACAGATAACATATTTGAAAGCCAGCCTTTTAAGTTACGCTTAAAGTTTTCTGGGTGAAGACATCAATTTTTCGATCTCTTCACATTCTACTAGCCGGACTTTCAAAGCAAAAAATGATAGCATGTTTTAAACTAACAGAAATTTTGAAAATCGAAGACATCCCATGTAAACGAAGGTTTCTATAATTTCTTTTTCAAAGCTTTTAGTTCAAGTCTGAAAATCTCTTGACCCATTAAGCCGATTGTCGTTTTTTGCGGTTGTAGTCGCATGTCTTATTTACCACAACTAGTTACAATCGTATCACATGAATACCCTTGTTTATTTAAACAGGCTTATTGATCTTCGAATGACTTGACCACATTACACTTTGGTTTACGAGTGCACCTATCAAGTGCCATCAATAAAATCACGTTTTCTCCAGACGCAATTCTGTTCCTCTTCACATTTCCTCTACATACAGTTACAAAAAATGCTTTTGGCACACGACCAGGACAGATGTCGGGTAACCAAAATGTGCGTCAAATTCTTTTATATGCTCTGGTCAATCTTTTATGGCGAAGAAAAACTGTTGGAGGGAAGAAAAACTGTTTGCCAATTTTTGACAGGGTATAGGGAGAGGAAGAATTTTATAAATCTGAGACACACTTTGGTAGCTTGGGATCTGAACTTTCTGCTGATATAAGCCAGATTTTGTTTTCTCAAACGCAAGGATACAAAATAGCTTTTGAAGGTGGTACACTCATTTAAGAAGTAAATTTGCCTGGAGAATATCATTGAACAATATTTGCCAATTATTTTGATATAGTTGGAATCATCACATTCTTGTGCATCGAATGATGTATAGTCTCCGATTCCGTTAATAGTTTGGCTTTTAGGGAGAGAAAACCAAATATCGTGTCAAAAACGTTTACTGTAACCTTAAGAGAGAAAACCATCTGAGGTTGATAAAGATTGAAGAAAATAAAAGTGAAAATTGGAAGAAAATTGAAAAGTGGAAGCGACTAATCGATTAAATATCCTTTTGTTCTTGCAATAACACAAATATGCTAGGTACCTCCACCACAATGTGCGGTGGGCATAAATAACTGAAAGTCTTGTTTAATTTGGACCAATAAATATCTGAAAGACTTGTTTTACTTGGACCAATAAATAAAAAACTGAGAGGAAGCAAGGCTCAAGTGAAATCAAAAAAGGCCATTTTAGCAAAAGGGTGATGCTATTTTAGGAACAGCAATTTCCTGCATATTTCTGGACATTTGGCTCGAAGTGCATGTTTCGTCTTGTCAGCAATTTTCTTGCTATTTTGCGGCCAGAAGCATCGAAGAAATGAAAATTATACGTGACTCTCCTATCTTTCTATTCTTGTCTTTTACCTTTTTCTTGTTTACTGTTATTTTCTATGTCTTACAGAATGTTTCCAATTTCTAATTTATTTAGTTTAAAGTCAAAACTTTTAATGCACAATTCAAGCTTTAATTTTTAGTTTGGCACCAAAACGATGGGGTTTTTCCTGGACCAACCAGTTCATCATGAATAATCCTTGTTCCTTTTGGTAAAAATCTAAGAAAACAGCTTTCAAACCTGGGTGGCTTAAATGGACGTTCACTTATCAGTTAATTCATTAGGTAGAATGGAACGATGTGAATAATTTTCTGCCAAGACTAGCTACTGAATCGTGCAAAGTGAAAACATAAGCATAACAAAAACATGCAGTGCATGGATAGGAGACTAATATCTTGTGAAGTGGAATAATGGAGAAACTTTAAAAATGACTAAGTCTAATAAAGTCTAATAAGAGTGAGACAAGAGAGGGGCAGTATCTTCCCTTTGTTAGCCATTACGTCATGTTAAAAAGCCATGAACCTCAAATGGGATGATAAAAAGATTGATCAATTAATGTTACTTACAAACTCGGAAAAGAAATCCTCTCTGGTTTTGGTGCATGAGGGTCTGTGGCTTGTCTTTTTTTCGCTAAACAAAAAAGCAACCATTGTTTTAGAAGAGTTCAGCCATAACCCATTTGCCTCAATTTTCAACTCAAAAGCCTTTTTAACTAGCCTTAAGCTAATTCCTAAGCCAATGAAATTGATCGATTCCTCGTATATTCTAACTTTATGGGAATCCTCTTGCAAGAGACCTCCATCGGTAACACTTGAATAAAAGATGTGAAAATGAGACATCAGACCACTGTCTCTTGCAGGGGTATGTTGCATAATCAATATCAAATGGTTATCAATATCAAAAGGGGGAGTCCTGCGTGAAAAGTACGTTAGCATGCTATTTCCCTACTCTTCTGTGATACTCTGATGCTTTTTAGTACCATCAGTCAACATATGACTTAATAGGAAAAGTAGTTATGTATTGTTTTCTGTTAAACAACATTATTTCCAATTCATATTTTGAGTCTGCCACGAGTAAGAACAACGGAAGGGGATACGAGGCTTAAACAATACCCTTCTTTACGTATTTCTGCCATATGTGAAAAGTTACAAGAAACTGGTTGATCAGACATTACGCATTAACTTTATGATTTTTAAAGGTTTTGTAGTCGTTGTGGTTTTAAGACATTTGAATTACGGTTTCCATTTTTTCTTTTTGCAATCTCCTTGAAATTTTGCGATAAGCGAAGAGTGCCAAAATAAATTTCAAAGAAAAAGTTTTCAAATTCATGGACATGAGAGATAAAAAACATTTCTTTAGCTATAGGACCTGTTTTACTTGCATTCCAGCGTGTTCTAGAGCTGTAATCACACAATGATTTCTTATTAAATATCTAAGGTGGTTTTTTCTCAATGAATGTTGGCTTTATTCTAAAACAGCTCAAACCAGGTTCTTTTGGAATGCCACAAAATTAATTTTCATTGCTTGACGACATTTGTCAACAAACAGCTACTAGTTGTACTCGATGAAATCAAAAATAATCTGGGGACCCCTTTTTGCCGGGGAACCTTAATTATCGAGCTTAGGTCCCCTGAACTGCGTTACGCCCTAGAGCCAGGCTCTATTTTCCAGTTGTCGCTTCTTAAATGTATGTTTTTAAGATTTAGCGTCAGTTAACCTCGCTTTCAAAACGGGGTCCCAGATGCCTCCGTTACGCCACTTACTGGCTACCCTAATTCGTGTCCGCCATCCTAGTATGCCAATGACTACTAAAATCTGAAACTAGGAAATCTGCCCGTTTCTTAAGTATTTTTTACAAAGAGTCGGTCGTTATCTTAACAGGAAATTAGTATTTCAATATTATTTCAATTATCTAAGCCATCTGTCAAAGAAATAAAAACATTAACATTCAAATCAACTGCTTATTAAATATCCATGTAGAGTAGAAATAACTTTTCAAAGTACCTTCATCTCTTTTTGACTTTTTTTTCTAAAAGAAAACCATTGGAAATGTTGAATTTTGTTAAATGGATGGTCTAAAGCTATTCCAAGAAACTGATTCCATGTAAAACTGAACCAAACATTCGAATATAAGATCAACTGAGACTAATACGAATAAAGTACTTGAATAAGATATGTGAATAATGCGAGTAAGTTGAATATATAATCTTGAGTATACTAAAATCCAGTCCAAAAAAAGAGTCTTTATCCGTGTCCTAAATAACTGGCTGCTATAGAAGCATATTCCGCTCACTATTCAAGTGTCGGTTCCCTCATCGTCTACTGAGGCCAAGTGACCTCTTATCTCCTTCGCTCAAATATCAAAGTCCTCCAACATTATCAATACCAACGCTTTACGTCATATCATATGTCACGTGACACGTATACAATATAATTGTGGTAATACAGGTTAATAATAATAAATCTTTTTAACAATTCAGCTTATCTGATAAGACAATTTACTTTCTTCATAACAAAATTTCCATTCTTAACGTAGCAAAATTATTCTTAAAGTCAATTCACCGCCTGGAAAAGATGGAAAACACCACAGCTTGTGTGAATTCGATTACAACGCTATATACGTATAAAATGAGAGGTGTGAGGATATTTCCATGGTTAGGGTCATTCGCTACAGATAAAAGGGTCTTGGAGTGGTGAGAAAAGTCGCCAGCTCTTTGTAATTCCAGGCATAAAAACCACGAAGTGTGGTCATATTTAGACGATAGAAGCGGCCCGCGCACGATAAGCATAGCTTCTTAGTGTCCTAAAACTGCCTTCGGAAGCTCGGAACTGTCAGACTAGCAAGACGGATCTCTTCGTGCCATACAAAGTAGTCAGACTTTTGCGAAGACCGACCTACACGAAATTCAGATATTTTCCAACTTATGCAAAGTTTTGAAAGCTCTACAACTATTAACTGTATGAAGCATAACAGCTGAAGTATATAGTAAAAATTAATATGTCATCACACGTGCTAAATAAACAAATGTCTGTCCAGTATCCAAAAAATAGTCACTGGTTGTTTATAATGCAAACGCTTTCTAATTATAAATATTCGATTCTGCTAGCATAAGAAAATCTCCCTTGTGGAGATCCAGGGCAATCAGACGCCAGTGTATAGTGTCTCAGGATTTGATCAAATTAGAAGGCGTTTTATATTTGAAATCTTGAATTTTCGGGGACGTCTTTATTCTTTTTTCCTGGGTGTTTTTCAACAAATTTCAAAAGATGAAACGTGTCTGAAGATCACAGAAATTTTTAAATTTGACGTCCCGTCGTCTGTACAGGTTCTTCCAGGAATTCTTTAGTGCTGCCTCGATCCACTATCACACTTAAGTTGTTAATAGATGTGTTTTTTTTCAAAAGTGTCTCTTAAGATAGCCATTGATATGATGATATCTTGATTTTGTTGCAAAAACCTGACTTCATCAATGGTAATTTCATTAGGGATTCAAATAATGATACGAATAAACAAATATCCGACTTTTGCGATGAAACGAATTAGCTTTTGTACCAAATGGACTGGGTGGGACCAAGCATTTTTTCCCGAGTTATGAAATATCCGACTTATGCTAGTTTGACTGTGGTAACAAAAACAACATATTGGTGCACTGAATTGGCCTTCCTTTTGCAAATGGCTGCCTGGCATCGTCAAATAACTTGAAAAGTGTAACGAAATTGATAGAAAAATAAAGTTAACAATTTGGAAGAACCGTCCAAACAGGGTAATGAACAGCAATGAGTGTGCATCAATGCTAGCTAAATGAAATAAATTAAACAAATTTGCCACGTGAGTGAAAAAGAATGATCTATTTAACTTTCAACAATCGAGGAAGCTCGCTGGACAAATGCGATGTATTATTGGTGCTGGCCACGACTCGTATTTGCTCTCTTTTGCTGGTTACAGAATTCGCACTACGACATTAAAGGCAATCTGTCACGACGTTGATTGATTATAAGAACAAAGGGATTTTTTATTGTTTCCAGTCCCCCTTTGATTTATCGCATTGTAAAAAATATGGCGGAGCGCTGGAATCGTGTTTAGGCTATTGTTCCAGCTATTGTTCTCGTTAACCAATCCGCAACGAGACAGATTGCCTTTAAACCAGGTCTGCCCGCCCAAAATAACTATCTTTGGTCATGATGATGTAATCTTTGGTCATGATGATGTATCTTGCCCTGTATGTTTTTGTAGATTTCCTGTTTGTCCAAGTACCGCATATGCCTTTGAAAACCACAATATTGTTTTATCTTAATCCTATTTAATAATTATATACCACACTCTGTATCTTGAGAGGTCACGTAGGCTCTTTTTTGTTCTAACTTTATGTAATCACGAAGGTTGTGTCCAAAAAGGGGATATCTAGAGGTATTAAGGGGTTGGTTACACTAGCAGAGTAGCCGAGTAGACCACAAAATCTTCATTGCCAGTTTTTCTAAAAGTCCCCCGTCAAAACATCCCCAATTGATTACGTGGTACGAAATTATTCATCCCAGCTTTAGCTCTGCATATGTCTGATTCTGAATTACCTTAAAACCTGTTTGAAAATCACTACGTTTTGAGAATTAGAATTGGAATTTATCAAAGGAAAAATATAAGTTCAAAGATAATGACCGGGGGTAATGATTTTCTATACAAAGAGAGTATACAAAGCAAACGTCCTCAGGCACTTTAGGGCGTATCCGTACGAACAAGCGCAACTAGTTTTAACATACCTAGCTGAACATCACTAATAGACAACGCTCTAGTTGTTATGTATCGAAAATGATGGTGGCTGCGTTTCAACTCAATCTCAAACTCGAAAATCTTTTCAGCAAACACAAAAATCAATGACAATATACTGACATAAAATATAATTACTAGAAATAAGAAAATTGAAGTAGGTTAAAAAAATAATTAGTTTTTATAATGCTGAAGGACAAATGACAAAACTCACGATGAACTATTGAGTCATGCATAGTCACTATGAGTCACGTACCCTGTTTAAAGTACTCAATATACGATTACGTATGGACCTTAGTTTGAATTGAACAAAAGAGAACCGTAACGTTAATTGATAAAAGAAGAACAATAAAAAGGTCATAAAAATCCAAGATAAATGTGAAAAAATAAGGCACAAGGCACACTCAAACAGACTCAGGCTCAACGTAAGAGTTTAAATAGGCTCTTTGTGAGGACTACGCACATTATATAACATAACATTGCATCGATGCTTTATTTAATCAATAATTTTGTTGCCTTCCTTAGGCTTACCTTTGGTTTTTCTTTGTCTTCCTCCTCGTCACTGTCCTCTTCCAAAGAGGCATTCAATTCAGGATCGTGAATAAGGCCGTAAAAAACCTTTGCATTGTTTGCTGAAACAGAAAACCACCATGCGTGAGCAAACAAGGGATAGAAAGATCGAGAAAAACAAACATAATAAAAACATCTGTACTATTTTCAATGCAAAAATGACTCACAGGTGTACCGATCCAGTAACTCCGTCACAAAAATAAAGTCTTTCCTTCACATTCACAAGAAAATTTCTAATCCTTAAACTCCGAAATACATTTTGACTTCTTAACTTCAATAATAAGCTCCCTGTAGTTGTGGAAAAAGCTTTCTGTAACATCAGCAATATAGAACAGAATTTCAAGTATTGCATTTCCGAAATCCGAAATTTTTTCAACAAACTCAAGCGGATAATAAACAAGTTTCATTCAAACAAAAAAGGGATTGTTAACTTGAAAAATAATGATTCTTCAAGTCAAAAAATTGATTTAAGCAAGACAGAAGCTCTGAGAAGAGACATTTCTCCCCAATTCCTCTTTATTATAAGCAGAGATATTTCTAAATATTTCTAAAGCAAGGGTGTGGTCAATATCTGGTAATATTACGGCAAATATTTCATGTAGAGGCCCCTAGCATTTACCAAAAAACAATCAAACAAAATATCTACCAAAAATTAGCCTGAGCAAAAAATGTTGTTTTTCTACGTGGTTACACTTGATATGCAAAGGGCAAATTGGAATGAAGTTTTACGCAAGACTGGCGTTAGGAATATATGAAACCGGCAAGAGCGATCCTCTTTATCGCCTTGCCAAATAGGCTTCCTAAGAATTTAACACATTTAACTGATTTCGCACAAGAAAAATCAGCTTTTTGCACCATCATAATATTGAATTTGCCAAGTCAGTTTGATGGCCAAAGTTTGCATAAACCTTGAAGCTTTTCCTGTGTAATTGGCCCTCTTACTGACTGATAAAGCCCAATTTTCTAATTTCTAAGTCAGAAATTTAATCCCAATTTATTATAAAACCAAAACCCCTCTCAATTCCTTCTAATTTATAATTCCTTCCTTTCCCTTCCAATAGGCCATAATTACAGAAGAAGGATAAATCTACCCTAGGTACCAGAGCCATAAAATTTCGAGCACGTAAACAGAATGCAAAGCAGAGAAGCAGAGAAGCGGCTAGCCGAGAAAAAGGATAAATCCTACAACGTGTAACCACTGCCTTTCTCCAACGAGAAATACCGCAGCATATGCAACAGTTATTCGAGGTAACCCATCCTATTGTATACGACCTTTTGACTTGCCTAAACCAATAATGTGCGAATAAAGAAAAGGCCACGATAGCAGGCTGCTCGACGGACTCCGATGGAATTCTTGCGGCGAAAACGCCCAGGCATTCTCGTCGCGTTGCGGTGTTACTTATTTACTGTACTATATTAAACCAAAAAAATGACATGTCGTGTATGGGGTGCCAAATGGGCCAAAATTTCAAGACGGGATAGAATCTTATGAAGACTTTAAAATATCATAAAGAGTTGGATATATCGTCAAGATTAGGATATATCTCTCTTTACAACAAAAATTCTTCTCAAGATAACATATATTCATTTCTTCATGACATTCCTAGTATCTTTACTAGAATATTTGCACAACTTCTTGATGAGATTTTCGCTGATCGCTTGATGAGATTTTCAGACTGAATTTTGTCCCAACCAAGATGACTGTTGGCTGAAGCATTACCCAACAGTCATGTTGCCGGTGAAAGGAGGGAAGGGGTAGGGGGTAAGTGGCGAAAGGGTAAAAGGAAACCGAGTTAAGGGGGAAAGGGTGACAAGATGCATGTTGTTTCGGACCCCGATTGGTGAGAAGGGTTGGGAAGCCCGGATAAGGATTATTGTGAAGTCAGTTCATTTCACAGCCTGAGCCATTATTGGGGGGTTCTTTTGGCCCTTTTATTATGCTGTCTTGATATATGCTCGTCCATGTTATCTTACGTGTTATATTCACACCCTATATTCAGTGGCGGACACCTGGGGAGCGACCGCCCCTCCAATACTTTAGAGGACAATGATCTCTTGTTCCAAAACAATGGGAAATGTGACGTCATCTTATTAAAACAATAGGCTTGCCCTATGTCAAAGACGCACTTTAAATACTCTGTATGTTATAAAAGGCAAAATCGTTTTTCTTACCATACTGCGGTGCTTCACCAGATATTCCCCCTGTTCCTGCCCCAAGATTCCGCTTTTTCCTTGGACGGCCATCAAAGACTATCAATAAAAAAATCTAACCTATCAGTACATTCAAAAAGTAAATGCAGCCGTAGGCGTGGCAACGATTCAAAATGCATAACATTATCATAACATTTCATATTATCATATTTTAATTATTGTTCTCTTATTTGGATGTTTTGCAGAATAAAACAATAACTTCTCACAAGAAAAATTTACAATATCTGGCAAGAGAAACTTACAAAACATTTAACAGTTAGAATCCACCTTTTATGGATGAAATATTTTCCATAAATGAATGCCCATTTTACTTAATTAACTCTCAATTCAAAACAGTGGAGCCACATTACAAAATACATGGATTTAATACCGTATCATACAGATGTAGCCAAATATGGAACTCAATTCCAAATGAGATAAAGTACTCCCTACTTTATCAATATTCAAGAAAAAAATCTCAGAATTTACATCGTTTAATTGTACTTGTAATCTTTGCAAGGAATATGTTAGCAACATCGGTTATATTTGATTTATATTATATTTAGCGTTGGTAATTAAAATTAGTTAGCTTTAATTAGCTTGTATGCATAGCTAGAAATTTTATCAACTTTAAATAAAGAAAGAAAAAAAAAGGCAAAGAAGCAAATAAACCAAAAAAGGCTTTAAAATAATGGAATAAATCCTTAATTAAAAACAATTTCTTACCATCCAGATGGAAGTGCTGCTGGATTATGTTTAGAATGACGTCTCTTTGATTTTCCTGAAGAAGAAATAATCTAAGAATCAACAACGAAGCCCAACTACAGGCCGGTCGAAAGCCTCGATGGGCAGATGGGCAGCCATGGCATGACCAGCTTATATTGTAGCTGGTGTTAAGATATCGCAGAGGACCCCTAAAACTCGGTCTGCCGATGAAGACAGATTGAACCCGAAATTAAATATGTTTATCGAAACTCAAACTGACGTAAAATATTCTTTTAACACCTCGGTGGTACAAAGGTGGTACAAAGGCGGCGGTGGTACAAGGGCCCTCGGTGGTACAAGGCCAAGGACGATTGCCCCCCATTACCCCCCCCCCCCGGTTTCGCCGGCCCTGACTTTGTAAGTTAAATGCATTAAAAACTACTCTGTACTTTTGGATACTAGTATGTATAAGAAAATAAATTCATTGAATCGATAATGCAATGACACATTGGTTTCTCCCTAAATCGAAGAAAAATATTTAGGACGCTTAAAAAATTGCCTTGGAAGAACAACATTTGAAACTGTCAAAAAAGCTAAATTAAAGTAGTATTACTTGAGATACTAGAACTTCTTAAAGGTTTAAAGTAGCTTAAAAGACTTAGTTCTAGCGTTTGGCTTCTAACAATAAGAACTTTGGCAGTAGCTTGTGATTATGCATTGGGTAATAAATTATTCAAATCTTGGTGCAAACTTTATAAAAAAGCCGGGATTAAATTGTCCACCGCAATACTAGTTATCCATAATTGCAAATATCTGAGCTTTTCTTGGGTTTGGGTACAGATTCTTATTCTAAAGTTCCTCAATAGTTGAGTTCGTGAATAATGTCATAAACTCGCACAAATACAATTCTTAAAAACTGCAGCAGGAGAAAGAAATGTTAAGTGAAAGAATTGAATATTCTAGAAAATTTTGATATTCGAGTTGGAAAACCTATTTCAAAAAAGTCCTTGTGATTATTTGCAAAATTTTTCCAGTAATAACCGTAATTGATGAGTGATAATACAAAAATTAATCATTTTACTGTTATTCGAGTACCTTTTTTCAGATTTTTCATCCTCTGCTTTGCGAAAAACTAACAAATCAAAATGTCATAACAATAATTCAAAGAACCCCTCCCCCAACACTCAATTCGAATATTTATTGTTGCAGTAGCCCCCGGAATATGAAGCAGCCCCCTTCACTTCAGGCAGAGCTCTCCTTTTGAATTTTTAATGAGCGCATGTTTAAACAAGCCTGCTCACGACACAAGTTATATTTGAAACTGTAAACTTTGGTCTCTCCTGCCTTCAAGGATATCTGAATGAAACCAAGTTAAACTGATTGAAACCAGATTAGTTATAACATTTATTGGTAACACCCCCTGTCACATACAACGACCCCAATACGTGCGATACAGTTGTTTGTTACGTAAGTCCTCACATGAAGGCCACCGATCGAACACAAAAGAAAGCAGGTAATCTATTTGCCCAGTATTCAGCTTTTGAGAAGAGGAGTCCCCGCAACATGTGTTGCAGTAAAAGCGAAGAAAGGTAACTATATAACTGTTTGTTATTCACAAGTCATGATCAAAAATGAAAGCTGACCAAAAACTTATCGTGTTCGATGGGATTCTGATGAAATGTGCCACTCTTAATGGCGTGCATATTCCACAAGAAAGCGTCAGTTTAGATGAACTAATTGCAACAATTAAAGATGAAATGCTCAATGCAAATTCAGAAACAGACAAGCAAGATAACAGAAAGAATTCCTATATTCGAACACAACAGGTATGAGTCCAAAACTAATGCATTCTGCGTGAATTTCTCTTTTGATTTCATTTTCATTTAATGTTTGAATATCCAATGCCTGCACGCATTCGTAACATGTGGACAAGACTTGTGGCTTTGTTTTTTTAAGTCAAATGACTATATGAAAGAACGTTTAATTTCATCGTTGAATTCTGTTGCAAATCATCTGTGGTCAGAAACTGAAGATCAGATTAAACTTTTGCTATAAAGAACAACGTAGAGTAAAATGGCCAGTGTTCAGAGGTTATTTTTGAGAAATCAGAGACTGTTTCCATGTGCTTGCTTTCAGGGCCTATAAGAAATTTAAGCAGTTGTTTGTAGTTATTATTGAAAAATGAAAATATTGAAATTGCTTTTGTGGTTTGCGTAATATCAAGACATTTTAGAATGTTTTGTCAAGCTTAGAATTTCAAGGCGGGAAACTGGTAACTTGGTTAAAGGTTCTAAATATTCTTTTCACAGAACTCCAAAGTTCAATCTTAATATACTTAAAGGATTTTGAATCCACTATGTCACTAAGCCTTGGGTCAAACATATGTTAGCTGCAAAGGCTGGATTGGTTTATTTCGTTCTAAAACTTTGGTCTTCATGCTTTGAGCGAACCCCCACTATTCAAATAACCAAGAAACTTCAGAATACAAAATTTACATGCTGATTAACAGTCTTATGAAACACCAGTAACAAATGCATTTATTGTAGAATTCGCATCTTTATGCCTTCGGGAAAACTACAAGTCTGCAGGAATAAACGTGGGTTCAAGACATGGTTAGAACTACAATCGTGTTGTAGATACTTCCTTAGGGCAATAACAAATTATTGAAAAAACGAAAATGAAATGAAACGAAAAAAACGATTGTCAGAAGGTATACACTTATACACTCTCCATGATATCAAGCTCGACTCATAGAATCAACCCAAAACTCAAAAGTATTGTAAATTATATCTAGCAAGATAATCATTCGATTTTTCGTTTGACAGCAAACTCCTTACAAGCCCTTCTACAGATCGCAATTAAAAAGTGATGGGGAGGCAAATGTGGAGGACATTTCACTGAACGGCCGAAGTCCTTTGAGCCGGAGAACTTCCTCGACAAGCAGTGGAATACCTCAGTCGATCTTAATTTCGTTGCACAGAAAATCTTCACTGAGTGAATGTAGCTGCACATCGGAGGATGAGTGCTTCAAAGTGGAGCCCAGCATAGCCAACGAAGCATGCCTTTTGGACCAACTGCACTGGATGAAGAATCAAGGGGATGACTGTGTCGCACTGGAGAACTTGAAAGACATTCCAGAAGTGGTAAAATTTTTAAGAGTTTTAACAGGGTTCACAACTCCAGCGGCACTTGAATTCAAACTAAACCAGAGCGGAACTATAACAATCTCTTACCAATTTTTACATAACTTCAAGAATGACTACATGATGCTCAAAGTCAAGGACAATTATTGCATGTTTCTCTCGCCATTTTAAAAAGCTGGTACCGGCATGAACCCATTGCAAACTGTGTGGTACTGCAGCTTTAACAAGTTTTCAGGACACTAACCGCGAATGTTAAACCTACATGCGTACATGAAACTGAAACAGAATACAGAACAGCGCTTTATGACAGATTGTCAGAGGGACAGCAAAGAAAAACACACATTAAGTGATGGGCCAGGGAAACCCGTTACTATTCTCATACCCCAACCCTTTTCAATGTAACCTTTTGCTTTATAGACCGGTTTAATTCGACCGAAATACTAGAGCGCTAACTGAAGAAAGACAACAGCCTAGAGCAAAGGGGATAACATGTAGCCGCAAAAATGCTATCTAGATGACCACTATATCTTTAAACCAAGGGCTCAGTACGGAAGTATGGATAGTGCGCCAAACTGGTGTCTTATGGTTACCTAAGAGGGGAGTACATTGGTAATGCCGTCAGGTCTATGCAACAGTTGTTATGTAACAAAGCGGGCCTGGATGTCTATAGCGTCCTCCTACCATATCATTTTGGTTAATAAAATGCGATTACTTCCAGCTGCCATTGAATGGGTCCGACTACTGACGTCAACTGGCGAAAAAGAGGCAGGACAGCGCAAACCTATAACCACATAACATATTTCCAGTCTTCTGAAAGTTTGACAAAACAATACTTTTTCACCTCAGAACCAGATAAATCTCAAAATGTGCATGGTTTGGACTCTCAATCTTGCATTGTAACATTAATTATAGGTTAGCCTTTAAAAATTACAACCTCAAGTGAAAAACAAAGTTGTTTCGACATAGTTGGCTCAAAACATGACAATGACATCACAAATGACTGCATTTCGATAGGAAACCTTATTGGCTAAGCACTGACAATCACAGCTAGCGTTGATTTATGATTGTCATCTTAAATGTTTTACAGTGAATAGTCAATTTGTTTGAATCACATAATAGTCAATTCATCAATAAATGACGAATCCCCATTCCATCCTAACTGAACATCGTCGAATGATCATTCCAGTGACCCGGCCAAGCCTTGCAAACCCCGATTCCAGTTTTAAGAAAAGTTGTTTTCAGCCACTCTATGTGATTTTTCCATGAAAACAGTCAAACTGCATTTTAAATGAAAGTAGCAATAAATTGAATTCATCAATCTGTAGAGGTTAAAATATTTTACTCTTAGTAAACTCTTAGTAACCGCTGTATTTATCAATAAAACTTTATAGACTTGAAATTTGGCGATAGAATTTCCAGGAAATGTCGGGTAATAAAACAATAAGAATATTTTTTTATTTAGATAATTAAATAACGTGAAAAATCACGAACAAATCTATGTACGAAGTAGTGTAGTAATCAAAACATTTGGCTTGTTCATTTAATGAAAGATTTAACGTGTAACGTAATGCGCGTATCGCGGTGGAATTCGTAAATATGTGGGTTTTAAACTACCGTATAATACTGGTATTCTTCAACTTCAAAAGTAGTGACTGTCAGTAAAATTGTTCGTATGATGTAAAGATACCATTAGACAATAGATATAGAGGACCATAGCAGTTACCCCTCCATTGTGAAGAACAATAAATTTTGTCTTAATGGCCTAAGTGTGATTTTTCAGCTTAAAGACCTGTCTGTGTCCTCAATATCTGTTCATTGAACTAGTTATATTATGCTGAGAAAACAGAATATATTAAGTATTGTAAAAACTGATTTCAGAACTCAGTTTGCTCCTTAAAATAAGGTTGTTACTCTAGAATTTGGATCAATGGATTAAACGATTGAGAAGGAACTGTCTAGAAGCCATGATAGACGGGATGTTTGTGTATGTTAATTTGTAAAGTATGTTGTTACCTGCAGACCAAGGCTCAGGTGAATTTGTTTTATGGCAAAGAATGATTAAAAAAAAGAAAGCATAGCTAATGAATTAAAAAAATGCGTGATTTCTTGTTTTTAAACTGTGCGAAGAGCAGCAAGCTGATTCAAATTCAATTGCATTAAATGCTCTGATATATTTTCACTTGGTACAAGTGTTGCATCTCTTGTAAGTCATTGATATAAACCAATCACGTTTTGGAATGATGGGGATTGTTGATGGTGATTGGTTGATTAAAGACTAAGAAGCAAAACTACATAAGAAGACAACAAACAAATCTGGCTTGACATCTAGAAGGAATTTCAATAGTAAGGAAGATAAAGGCAATCTTGATTGTTACATCGTGTATACTTCTTCTGTACAAAGATAACTAGACTTTTACAAAGAAGGAAAATTTATGAACAACATTTCATGTTAATCACCTATGATAGTCATACTGATGTTTTGAGGTCCTAACAACTAAACAACAATTGCATAGAAGGATGGTAAATCTTAAAAGTGAGGTAATCGCTTAAAAGGATATATTTCGTCAGGGACATTATTAGACTTAACGCACGCTGTCGTCAACCGTGGTTTTTTTGTTTTGCAACCAACGCTACAAATTTCCTGTCTGACACGCAAGATCGATTGCTTTGTTTTGATTTTTACGTAGATCTATCTTAGCTTTAGAAAATTACGTAATGTTTGTTTTTGTTTTGACCTGGTTTCCATGACCAGGGAAATTTAGAAAATTGTATAAATTGAGCGCAACTATCAGTAAAAGAGAGAGAGAGGGTTTGAGGTTGCCTCACGTAAGAATGTCATTCTGTGAGCATAATAATCATCATAACCAACGAAAGTGAGTTTTCTTTAGTGTCACTGGGAATTTGATTCGGGTAACAGGGCCTTGACGATGACCTTACGAGATTCCCAACAAAAGATCAAAATTTTAGGGCTTGTTAGTTTTACAATCACGATATGGCTGGCACAAATTGTATCTATAATTCTGTCGTTTCTTCGCAAGAGAATACTGAAGTTTATGTAACGTAAATCGTTATCTCAATACAGCCAAGTACTTCCATTCTAAACATCTTGATACATAATTTTCTTTCATTTTGATGTTATATATTTAAACTATGCCTATTAAAATGGCTGACGAGATCATACTGGTACTCTGGCTTACCCGTTGACCACAAACTATAATCCAATTAAAATAAATTCGAGGGAAATCATAATCAACCCAATGCTTTTCACTATTCTACTTTGCCCGGTGTATCAATCATGCGCTCATATTGTCTGGCTGTGATTCCATTGTTATCATTTACTTACAAATATACGGACGAATTAGCGTAAAACATCATCGTTAATTCGTCCGTATAATTGCGAAGCGACGAAGAACCGAAGCATATTTATTCCGTAATTTAGTGCTGAATCATATATTGCATGATTCGCTGACAGCATATAATAAAAATAATAATTATAAAAATAATAATGGAAATATATTTGTTTTATATTCTTAAATGCTACATCTACAAAGCTCACAAGATAAGGTACTTTGTAAATAGCTTGCCTGTTACATAAGTTGAATAATCGTTATAAATGTTGACGTAGTCATAACAAAAGAACGGTATACTGACAATAGAGAATACCAAGTCATTCGTCAAAAAATGGGTTGTCCCATGTTTGTTGCGCCGGCTTTAGCAGGTAGATCTAATAATGATGTTTGACAGTTTACGAATCAAATAGTGGTGTGTGTTGTTGATCAAGCTTAAGCATGTCCCACATTTCGAGGAAAGAAGTGGATGCTTGGCCAAAGATACCAAGTGAACTGACAGAGCGGTTAACAAATGTGACGGAATTGTATGAAGAAGACATGTCTGATATTAATTGGCGATACATGAGCCATTTCTCTATCAAAAGCAGGTCAGGATGGAATTGTTCTCCAGTGATGACAGAAGGAGAGAAGAATGTATCGAGTAAATACATACACTGAATAAATACATACATGATTATATACATAAAATTTCAAGTACATGGTAAACTTTGAAACAGAATCAAACATTTCATCTCATTTTAAAATCTTTATACACGAATTCCCTATTAGCTATAATATAAATGAACTACTTCTACTACAAATTACTTCTTTAATATATATGAAATAAAGATGTTGCTGTTCTACCTAGGGATCGTGTTTTGTTATGGGAATTCATTAACTTTGTAGGAATCCCTTCAAGTTTCTTTTAAACATGGAAATTGTGGGGCTCATTCTGGTGTTTCTTGGGATCTCATTCCATGTTTTGGCCCCAGAGTGAAAGAAACTTCCCTTTGAGAATTCCAAATTTTGCCTTGGGATGTCAATATCAAGCTGATTCCTTGTTAAATAATTGGATATCTCTGATCTAGTGGCAAATTCACCTTTAAGGCTGTCAGGGCAAAGATCATTCATCATTTTGTACGTCATTATGGCCCTGTCATATTTAATCAGGTTCGAAACTGAAAGCCATTTACAAATCTACCCGTCCTCAAATTTAGCACTTTCGATTAATGTTTGAGCCCTGTCTTGAAGACGCTGAAGATGTTCAAGCTTTGTAACGGACAGATTTTCCCAAAATTCATCACCGTATCTCAGATGGCTCTGGAAAAGTGCCCTGTAAACCTGGTCCAATTTCGACTGTGGGAGTATGTTTTTAAGTTTCCTCAACGAAGAAAGTCCACTTAAGTTGACACTTAAGCCTCTTGTACTGGTTGTTCCAAAATAGGTTTTCATCGATAGTGACTCCTAGATATTTTTCTCCATTTATTTCCGCGTTTATCTCCCCCTGGATATGGTTAATTCGTCTTTTATGACCAATTACCATATATTCAGTTTTATTGGTGTTCAGACTAAGCTTATTTTGCCGCATCCACTCTGCAATGTTCTTACCCTCAGTTTTCAAGCCATTGCACAGTCCCCAATGTCTTTTGCAGAGCATGTTATGCTAGTGTCGTCTGCATACATATTTGTTGAGCTTTTTTCTAAGCATCGCTCAAAATCGTTTACGTATAGGATGTAAAGGAGGGGCCCAAGACACGAACCCTGGGGAATACCGCACTGAGCCTTCTTTTGTTGTGAACTGGAACCATTGATTTGGCAGCATTGTATCCAATCAGTTAGGTATGATGTGAACCATTGATGGGGGGTTCCTCCTATCCCATACTTTGCTAGCTTAGAAAGCAAATTTTTGTGATCCACAGTGTCAAATGCCTCCTTAACTTAAAGGAAGATGCTAATATTTATCTTTCGTTTATCGGCATTTGAGAACCACGAGTCAGTGCCGAGAACCATCAGTCAGTGACATTGAGTAATGAGGTCAACGTGTTGTGCAGCTTTCGAAATACATGCTGGCATTTGGAGAGCATGCTTTTTTCCTTCAAAAAGGTGGAGACTTGATCATGTGCGATTTTCTCAATTAGCTTGGAGAATACCGAGAGTATGGATATTGGCCGGTAGCTGTTCAAAACAGTTTTCGACCCAGTCTTAAAGACTGATGCTACCCTGGCTACTTTCCATATGTTCGGAAAAACACCGCTTTGAAGAGAAGAATTGAAGATAGCTGCTATTGGCTTAGATAAAATATCAGCAGCGTCTTTCACTAGTTTTACTGGGATCTTATCGTGCCCTTCAGCTTTAGAGCATTTTAACATATTGATCTCGTTTTCAATGAGTTTAGGATCAACCCTTTGAAAATCAAAGCTAGTTTCAACCGGCAGTCCCTCGCTGGGTAGGTAATTCAGTGGGCCATCGCAATCTTTGACTTCAATATTTTCGGCTATAAAGTGCCTGTTAAATGGCCTCTGCAATTTCATCAGGCTTCTCAACTTGTTGACCTTCATGGATAATTGACAAAGGAGGACTATGATTTGAAAGTTTGTCTGATACCTTGTTTATTATTTTCCACAATTCCTTCGAATTATTTGAATTGTCGTCTATCATGTTACGTTAGTATGATACAGCAGCTTTTTTGAGTTGAGAAGTTACTCTGTTTCGAAGCTGCTTATATCTTGGCCATAGTGCTGGATCTCTCTCAGCCCATCTCTTAATACGGTCTGTCTCGCACATCAAATTCTTGATCCTTGGAGAAATCCATGGTACATGTGCATGTCCCGTCTTAGCGGTCCTTTTTTCAACGGGGCATGCACATCCAGGACAGCGAGAAAGAGATCGTAGAAACTGCTAGCCATCTTATTAGGGTCATCCACAACACGTAGTGGTATAAAAATCTGAGCTTTTTAAAACCCGAAAGTACATTTATGTATGTAACGATAGTATTACAAAAATCCAAGTTCTGCAATTTTCTGTTAATTTGGTGCTGACATTGTGAGCCGCAATATCAGATAAGAGATTGTGAGCCACTAAATTAGGCCTACTTTTTTAATTTATTTTCAATGAATTTCAATGAATTTGAATTTCATATCAGGCAACTATATCTTTTGATAAACAGAGGGCTTTATTCATTCTACCGACAAAGATTTCTGATGTAATCTCTAGTACCTCTTTATACAAGATACAACAGTTAAGATGCCCATGTTTGATAACAGAAATAGCTGTATAAAGCAAAGAGGATTCCACAAGCCTGCCTGCACGTGCTCTTTTTATAAAATCATAAAAATAAAGTCCTTAAGCAATGATGTCACAAAAATATCTTGTTAGAACTTTTAAAGTTGGATTCAATACCCTGAAAGACCACCGTGAAATACTTCCAATAGGGTCATTCCATGTCAAATCACCAGATGGTTCCATGGGCACCATCTCAGATTCTGTTTAAATTTCTATCATATGAACTTTATCTGGAAAAAAAATGCTGAAAATTTCAGCTTCATTGCTCAAACGGTTCAAAAGTTATCGAGCTTTGAACTTTTCAAAATCAGCCAGAATTTCACATTTTAGGCTTCGAGCACAATTTTGCCAACTTTGACATTCAATAACTCAACAGTACTGAAAGATATCAATTTGAAATTTGGTTCCCAAGTAGTTTTTTACCCAAATAAGTCATTTTTGGCAATATTTATCACTAAAACGTAAAATTTTTGAAGATATAGCTTGCTTAAAATGATAAAAACACCGTTTTAGGGGGGTCCTCTAACATTCAAGAGGCTACTGACAAAGCATGAATTACACTATCACTTCAAATTTTTTTGAAGTCATTTAGCAGATGTGTTGGCATTTAGAAAATACTAAAAATAAAGCTTCCTTTATGTTTTAGGCCCTGCATTAAGCCACATTTTAGAGGGTACTTTAAAAATTTCAGGAATTTCCTTGTATTTCGAGACTCTGAAAAGTAGCGTAGACAGTTAAAACTTAATTTTAAATTCATGCATATTGAAAGATTTACATAAGATCTTTCATTTCAGAAAGTTTGAAGATTGGCTCTAAATCAAAAGTGATTTAAATAACCTCCGGTTTAACACACGGTATTTATAAAATTGCATTTAGAGGGATAACACTGTATGTGCTGTAAAACATAAATTATGAAGCTACCATCAATAGAGTATCAATAATTAATCAAAACCTAGTTAAAAAAGAACTGAAAATGTTGTTAAATATTGTATTCAATGTTTTGGTGATAACTTAATTAATCAATTTAATATCAAAAGCTTGTTTGCAAAACAGTTATTTTGTATACGTTAAAATTTGTTCATAGTCTTTTCTTGCCAAAGGTAATCTTGAGTACTGTATCCTTTAACTGCTGGAGGATTAATCTCACATATTACTTTAGTAAAAGGTACCCAGCACTGACTAGAATTGTCATCATTAACTCACTGAAAAGTTACATTTTTAATCCTAAGAAAATAGTCAATCTAGAAGTGGAGCTTCCATGTTTTCTATGGTCACTTGTACTCAATGATTTTGAGATTGATGATATAGTATCTTACAAGCAATGGGTTTCTACTGACAGAACTTCACTTATCACTGTATGTAAATGACCTTATTGATACATTAACTGAGAAAATATTTGGACTTTGCCATCACCATTACATAAAAGTTCAACAGGCGTCATTCTTAAAAGAGGAAAAGGCAGAAGTGCAAAAAAGAAACATGCATAACTTTGATGGATTTTGCTGAGAATTACACCTTTCTTGTTCAGGATGCAGTTCAAGGTTTTTATTGGCAAAATAACCAGGCAACACTTCATCCCTTTGCAGTGTATTATAAAGATCAAAATGGTGAAATAAAATGTGACTGTTATTGTGTAATACCAGATCATCTTCAGCATGATCAGACAGCAGTTCATTGTTTCATTTCCAAATTGCTGCCGACAATTTGCACACAAAGCCCTAGCATTAAAAATGTTAAATACTTTACTGATGAAGCAGCTTCCCAATATAAGAATTACAAAGATCTGATTAATCTAATGTATCATAAAAATGACTTTAATATAATGATAATCTAACAGCTGAACATCAATATTTTTGCAACAGCACTTCTAGATTAACTATTTTCTTAGGATTAAAAATCTAACTTTTCAGTGGGTTAATGATGACAATTCTAGTCAGTGCTGGGTACCTTTCACTAAAGTAATATGTGAGATTAATCCTCCAGCAGTTAAAGGATACAGTGTTCAAGATTACCTTCTGGCAAGAAAAGACTATGAACAAATTTTAACGTATACAAAATAACTGTTTTGCAAACAAGCTTTTGATATTAAATTGATTAATTAAGTTATCACCAAAACATTGAAGACAATATTTAACAACATTTTCAGTTCTTTTTTAACTAGGTTTTGATTAATTATTGATACTCTATTGATGGTAACTTTATAATTTATGTTTTACAGCACATACAATGTTATCCCTCTAAATGCAAATTTATAAATACCATATGTTAAACCGGAGGCTATTTAAATCACTTTTGATTTAGAACCAATCTTCAAACTTTCTGAAATGAAAGATCTTATGTAAATCTTTCAATATGCATGAATTTAAAATTAATTTCAACTGTCTATGCTACTTTTCAGAGTCTCGAAACGCAAGGAAATTCCGGAAATTTTTAAAGTACCCTCTAAAATGTGGCTTAATTCACGGCCTAAAACATAAAGGAAGCTTTATTTTTAGTATTTTCTAAATGCCAACACATCTGCTAAATGACTTCAAAAAAATTTGAAGAGATAGTGTAATTCATGCTTTGTCAGTAGCCTCTTGAAATGTTAGAGGACCCCCCTAAAACGGTGTTTTTATCATTTCAAGCAAGCTATATCTTCAAAAATAGTACTTTTTAGTGGTAAATATTGCCAGAAATGACTTATTTGGATGGAAAGCTACTTGGGAACCAAATTTCAAATTGATATCTTTCAGTACTGTTGAGTTATTGAATGTCAAAGTTGGCAAAATTGTGCTCGAAGCCTAAAATGTGAAATTTTGGCTGATTTTGACAAAAGTTCGAAGCTCGATAACTTTTGAACCGTTTGAGCAATGAAGCTGAAATTTTCAGCATTTTATTTTTTCCAGGTAAGGTTCATATGATAGAAGTTTAAACATAATCTGGTATGGTGCCCATGGGCACTTCCAGAAAATTTGGTGATTTGACATGGAATGACCCAATAGAACAAAAGAACAAAGCAGACTAAATTTGCGAGTTTGGTGTAATTGTTTGAAAAAAGAGCTGACTGTCTATCAATCTGTATTTTAAGGTGAAAAGCAGGCTAGGCGATCTTACATTAATATCGCAAAGGTATATTTATCAAAGAATGCCAGATGCATCATTTATGTGTCTAAATGAATGCAAAGAACTTCGCAAAGTTGGATTAGTCAGGACCACTAGATACTTACGAGTAAGTCAGCTTAGTCAAACTTGCGTAAGCAACATTGAATCAAATGTAATTGTCTGTTTTGAAATAACTCATCTGTTAATTGGCTGCACAGTGTTAAAAAAACCCATAAATGGCCCCAAAGTGTCTAGCCCTCAATGGCAACCCAAGAGTTTGAAATTTCAAAAATATTACCTGAAGGTATTTCTTTAGCATTCCAAATGTTTCTCTTGAAATCCTGATGACATACTTAGAGCTTCTGAAAATATGGAATGAAAAATGTCAGCAACCAAGAATTACAAAAGACTAGGGAGCACACTGGACAGCAGATAAAGTTAAAATTTTGAGCAACTTAGTAAAAACTGTCGTTGTACCCGTAAAAATTTCCCCAACTTACGCTGCTGGATTTTTATAAGAGAAGCCTTCGCAGTTTAAAGAAATGAGATACATACAAAGTAAGCCTGCAGTAGAATGTTTTTCCCTAAAAGTATGGGAATGACAGGTTCAAAATCCTAGGTAGTTTCTGACTAGCGGGGGGAGGTTCTTAAAAACATTATATTTATATTATATTTAACATTATATTATGCATCTAACTATATATTTGTCATTAAACAATTGCGCCTAAACTTATCATACCAACAAGGTAAAATGTCTCTGCCTCTAACTTTAAATTGTTTGGCTTTACTGAAATTCACTTTATATGGAGTACATAACATAAGACTGGAATCGGCTTCAATAATCAAACTATTTGCAACATCATTTTTGAATAAATGCAATGTTTACAATGCTTTCGACGTCAAAGAACACGAGGCTAGATGATCAAAGACATCCGCCAACACAGACAGTGTCATGGATTGTGAACAGTACTTAGTTGAGCAATCTTATTAGTTATGAGTTGATCAACTACGTAATTCTGTGGGCTTTAAACACAAAGGATCATCAAGGAAACAGTTATAGCACGATGACTGCAAAATATCAACAGAAATACAAACAGTTTTACCGAAACAAATCGAGGATTTCATTGCTACAAAACATGTGGTCTCTTTTTGTGATGCATTTTAGTTTTCTCAAATCCTCTTGACGATATCCTTCTTGATATGGCTCAAATTTAGCAAAGAAAGCATTAGCTAAAAGAAAAACAAAATAAAGATATTAAGGAACAAATGATTGTGACTACAGTCATAAATGATAAAGTGATAATAGTATGACAAACATTTTCACGAACCACTCCAACTGAGATAGTTAAATATTTGAAGATAAATTTTCAAATAAATGTAGAAGGTACATTAAACCAATTTTGGAAAAAATATCATCTTTCATAGGACAAGGAAGTCGGATGATTTTGTTGACAACCTGGTGGCTTCGTTGTTTTTGCTTTTCAATTAGTGACCCCTTTTACAAAACAATAATAAATTTAAGGATTGTTTTCAGCACACATTGAAGCATAAAGAATCTTCCTTAAAAGACTTCACTTACCTTCAACTTCTAACTCTTTGTAAACCAATTCAAGGTACAAATGTACAAACAGGGGATATAAGACCAATGACATTTCAGGCTGAAAACAACCATATGTTATTTTTCAGTGAAAAAAGCTTTAAACTAAATTTTTCATAGCATAGCTTAAGTTTAAAACCAAAATACTTGCGATAAATCTTACAATAGCATCATAGCTTGGGTAATTTACAAATCTTTCTTTCAAGGTCCCATATTATTGTATTCTACCAAAATAGGTAAAGGGCATTTAATTAAAAACAAAGAGCAAGCGAATCATGTAGATGTATTAAGTTATGACAAGAAAGCAATCAGCTCCCAAATTAAAACATCAATAATTCATAAAGTTTCAAAAAGACTTCAAACAGCTTTTAATACTTAACATACAACTACAATGATTCAATCTTAAGTACAGTTCTAAAATTATTTCTTCTAACCAATTTGGCATTAAAACATCTGCTTTTTTCAAATTTTAAGCATACAGCAATATCAAAACTTTTAAACAATGCAAGCAAACCCAAGAATCACCTGAAGGATAGAAATTAACATTAAAGCAAAATCATTAATTTCTAGATGGTGAACATCTTACCCTATGAATGTCCAAAGTTCTTCCAATAAAGTCTTGTAAGCTACAAGATAAAAAGTTTGAAAAGGGTTTAAAAGACAACAAAGCTCAATTAGAAAGAAAATCTTAGTGATGAAATTAATAGATGTATTTTTATGTTCATTTAATAACTCTCTACCACTGGCTCAGCGTGCCGCAAGCTGGCGGTCCACCTATAACTCTCTATAAAGTGAACTAGATTAAAACTATACCCTCTTAAATTCAATTAAATCTTCTATTAAAGAGAATCTAGACAGATTTTTTCCAATAATTACAGTCTCAACCGAGTATTGAGCATTGTCAAGAAAAGATACCGGTGGTTATTACAAAATGTCAATCTGTTTAATTCATGATTATATCCAATTAGTCTTGTCAATAAAGTGCTGCTTAATATCAAGTATATCTTTGAGGCATTTAAAACCCCAGATGACATCACAACAATTAAACCAATGGGCCATTAAATTTTTTGCTTTTAGGTGAATTTTGCTACCCTTTTCAGGTAACTTTATTTCTTGTGAAATCAACAATGTTGAAAAATATTTGCACATGCCCAACAAAAGAAGGGTGCATTGACAAAAGTTACACAGAAACATAGAGATTCATTTAATGATTTCACTAATTTAGTTTTTGGCTACTTCAGCCTTTTCTTCTAAATCTTTAAGATCTCTATTCATAGCCTCTATTCCTATTCATGAGAAAAAACAGATATTTAATGACTGAAAGTAAAGAAATTCAAGTCCAAGAGATTAGAAAAATACGTCAAGTAAGAATATCATCAAACATAAACAAGAAAATAGCAAACTTATGACAAAAAAAGATAAAAAACAAAATTATTGAGTGAGCTGGTTGAGAGTACTGTCTTTCATGATGCTGACACATGTTTGCAAACATTTCAAAAGCAACCATGTACACTGTGCTGAATGAGAATAACTGAAAGAATAACAAACTAAACAGCAATGAAAAAACTCACCCTTTGTAATATTCAGCGTAGTTGAGAGGATCACCCTCACTATGAAAAAGCATTTCAACTTTTAAGTATAAATTTCATGAACAAAGAATCAAATATACCAAATGTTGAATAAGCTAATTCTGTGAATAAGGTGAATTAGTTCTTTTAATAAATTTTTATCAATGCTTTTAGCAAATATATATGAAAACAAACATGGGCACTTGTTCTTTTCTGTACTCTCTCTCTCTCTCTCTCTCTCTCTCTCTCTCTCTCTCTCTCTCTCTCTCTCTCTCTCTCTCTCTCTCCTCTCTCTCTCTCTCTCTCTCTCTCTCTCTCTCTCTCTCTCTCTCTCTCTCTCTCTCTCTCTCTCTCTCTCTCTCTCTCTCTCTCTCTCTCTCTCTCTCTCTCTCTCGCTCTCTCTCTCTCTCTCTCTCTCTCTCTCTCTCTCTCTCTCTCTCTCTCTCTCTCTCTCTCTCTCTCTCTCTCTCTCTCTCTCTCTCTCTCTCTCTCTCTCTCTCTCTCTCTCTCTCTCTCTCTCTCTCTCTCTCTCTCTCTCTCTCTCTCTCATGTGCTCTCTCTCATGTGTGCAAGATGCAATACGTTGTGTTTAATGATTACAACATTTCTCTAGAAAAGCATGTTGAGACTAGAAATATTAGAAAAATGGTCTCTTTATTGGTCACACACTTCCTACAATGATTGATGTAGAAAGTGTGCTTATGGTTGTGAAAGAAAACTAGTCAATCCAAACTTTAACACATTTATTGGAGTCTTTACAAAATTTCTAAAGTAAATAATGCCCTTATTGAATCAGCCAGAAAATATGCTAGCTGATTTATACATTTAGTACTTTTCCTTTATAAGCCGGTTAGTATAATTGCACAGGGTCCATAGTAAGAGTGATGGTACTGCTACATCTCCATAACACTTGTTCTACAGCTGACTATCAACTCAATGCCTTAGTGATGAAATTTTGCTACCTTTAGATTTTTCACTTGCTGGTTAATCTGCAAATCTCTCCTGCTCACTAACTCAAAGACACATTAAGCAAAAAACCCCTAATAGCAGATTAAAATTGCAATTAAGCAATACATACTTTTCATACTCTGCTAAAAGGCTATTTATGTCTGGCACATTTTCCACTGCTGAAAGGGAGCGTACAGAACTATATTCCTCTTCATCTATACCAGCTTCTGATTTCAAGGCATCTTCTGTTGCCTAAAGAAAGATTCCAAAAGCAAGTTAAAAGCATGTCAATTTAAGGATCAATTTAACTTTTTGCAGAAACCGACAATGCCAATAGTAACATGTTTGATAGCAAGTTCAAATTGCTTAGGCCGGCCATGCCCGGAAAGGTGCTCGACCCAGAGCAAGCACCTAAAGCGCACCTTAAAACAACCATGGCGAGCACCTTTATGAGTGCCTGAAAATGTTAAACGTTATTGCCATGAAGCAAAACATTGCTTTAAATTATGTTGATCAAATCAAACCCTCAAATGACCACAATATCATAATTTATCTGATTTGTACAAGAGTTTATACCACTGATCTTTTGACCACATTTTAAACTCAATTATTTATTATTTTATCCATTTCCCTATTAACCCATGTCTACAAGAATACATTTTCAAATAAAACTGCTATTTCTGTGCATAGAAAATACAAACGTATAAAAACAATTCAGAAGTTGAATCGCTTGAAAACGCAAATGCTTCATTTCTATTTGGGCACAAAATGTTTGATTCCTTTTCACTAAGAAGAAACACTGAACTTACCAATTTAGACATTATATTTTATAAAAAATTCTGGCTAGCCTATTTAAAAATGTATGTAGATATTTGTAGATATTTGCTGCAACATGATACAGTAAACAAATAAATACCACACTGATATCATACCCAGGGCCTAAGTGCTATGGAAGCTCAATATGGCTAATTTTTACTTTTGTTACTATTTTTGCAACTTTTTATTCCAAGGCCTGAAATAGAGCACCTTGCATTTTCTAGAAGCTCGTTGTATGGAGCATTATCATTTTGCTTAGAGCATGGTCTGCTCAGGTGAGGCAAACCAGCAAAAATATCAGGGTTGATAGAGGCTGTTGTTCCATTATAGTCATAAAGCTTCTTTAGTTTTAAAAGGGACAAATACCTACAAATGAAAATCTGAAATTTTGTTGCTAAACAATGGACAAAATGTTATTGATTAACAATGGACCTTGTTTCATCTACAGAAGAATTTACAAATTTCAAGGATAAAGGCCCTCGTTGTATTTATTGTGACTTTTGCCCCACTTGAGTCATAGCTCTGCCAACACTAAAATGGTCTATACAGACTAAAGGTATATTTGATTTTTTGGCAAGTAGGAGGGATAAAAAGTCAATTAATTTTATCTCAAGGGGCAAATTCATTGAGTCAGCAAGTACAACCTTAGAAAAAAGATATAATTGTAGAAAGATATATTAATACATTTCAGACAGAGGTTTCCTCTAACCTTGTTGGTAACTGAACTGGAAGTTTGAATTTTGTAGTATTTGAAAAAAGTATGTTCTTTGCTGTTTTAAATCAATTTAGCTGACTCGCTTTGGCTTTCCTGTTGAAGGTCAACTCCAATCAATGTGATGTTTCATCTTGAATGTCAACAAATGGGAACATTAATTAGGCCGTATTAAAACATTTTATGATTACCTTTTGGTTAAAATTTTGTCTTAAATTAAGAAAATACATACATAAATCAACAGAGAATCCAGCCAAGTTTTTCAATTTGAAATAACTTTTTTTGTTTTTTTATAATAAGCAATTGGAACAAGCAGTCAGCTTCGCCATTTGTTCTTTCTTCATCTGAGGAAGATGGTAATAGATTGTTCTGATTAGGCTAGAACATCATTTCCATGTTCAAAAATTTCTTCTCTCACTTCTGAAACATCTTCCTCATAGCTCGGTGAAACATCTTCCTCATAGCTCGGTGAAACATCTGCATTTGAAACTTTGTATCCAATCATAGGCTGCTGCATAGTTCCATAACTCCTTTGGGTTTTTGTGATTGTGAACCAAAGAATAACACACCAGAATATGTCACTTTCCCCAGACATTTTTCGAAAGACCTCTAACTCAAACCCCCCAAAAATGAATTTTTGGTCCTTATTTTGAAAAAAAAATTGAATATATTTAATCAGTGATGTTTACTGCCTATGAACAAACTTTTTGCAATATTGTGATTTTCATGTCAGTGGCACTTTAAATAAATTCTTTGAAAATTGATATAGGTTTAATAGGGTTAAATTCCTAGGCTATTTTATTGCATGCAGAAGTCAGAATTAAGAGAAATACTAAGTCACATAGAGGAAACTTGCACCTACCTTCAAGTTCGTTTTCTTTAGAAACTGCAATACTGCTTTAAGCAGCTGTTTTTCGTCCTTCTTTGCCTCGGCCATTATAAACAAAAGGCTTTCTCTGAGAGAGAAGAGTCACATTGACATGTCGACCTTTTCACGAACAGAGATATAAACTCTCGAGTGGAATATTCATCTACATTGTAGAAGATAAAGGATTGTTTCTTTCAGCCATGAAGTGCCTTTGAAGCTAATAATTTGAATTACAATGAACTTGGCAAAAAAGTCAACTTCCAATCCAAACTGAAAAATTGTCACAACTAAAATGGCGCGTGCATCAACAGTAGCCTCCTTCAAGGGCAACATTCTTGGCGGGCAAATTGAAATCGAGTTTCCAATGGATGCTAAGGGTGGCGCGACCCCCTTGTAAAAAATTTCAAAAAAGTGGGCCTCAGCCTCCCTTATATTTTTTGCATGGATACAGCCAAGAATCATGTAACGCAAAGAAAACTGTGAAGAACTGTTGCTTGACAGATTAAAACGCATTGCAAGCTTTATATGCACGAGAATGTACACAAAGTTTGACTTATATAGGTAGAAAATTCTTGAAAGACTTCTCACTGAGTACGTTTAGTTGCAGTTTTATATAGACAGTTGCCGACTTTCAAAATTTGGTGCACTACAATCTTTTTCATAAGAACTAGATCATTTTTCCCGACGCTCAATGTTCTTATTTTTTGGATAATTTCAGGCTCGTGTGTTGTTCATGGTGTTCTCATTTCAAATTGATTTTTCTATATTTGCATTAGAACATAACTGCTTTTATAGACGGACACTGACCATGATCCAGCAGGTACCGCAGAGTGTCGAGAAAAGGGGTCTAAAACCGAATAAAGAGAGAATTTGAAAATGGCTTTGAAAAAAGCAAACATTTTACAACATACTAAAAGCTTTTTCGTCTGACACTCCTCAGAGCATAAAACGTCAGAATAGGTTCCGAAAAAACACGATGGAAAAATATATACCCAGTTGTGGATCGAAATAGGCCAATCAAAAAACGCAAGCACAAGACCGGTATAGTTGACCAATCAGTGCCGCGAGCATAAAGAAAAATTACCAATGGAGTCCAAGAGAGAAAACGAACTCCTTTTGTCTACACAATGGCGGCTTTTTCGTTTTTATGTAGATTGACTCCAAAACTGCTAGATGGAAGGACGACCGGGCTCTGCCAATTATCCGAAACATGTCGTCATTATAGAGTTTTGCACAATCTGGGTTGTCTAAAAGATGTTGACCAATGGCAGAATCACTTGTTTTAACAGTGTTTCTAGACCTACAAGATCGAGGAGGCTGTTCTCTTTGAGGGGCAGTTTTGTTTCGTATGTTGGAAGGAACATGCTGTTTTATCCTATCCCCCAATCTTTGGGTTGTGCGCCCTACGTAGCCAGAATCACACTGGCACGTAAATTCATAAATGACGGAACTTTTTTGTTTGGTAGGAACAAAGAGAGAATTGACGATGGTCCATTTCTTAATTCTTCAAGTTTTTGAAAAGTGGGGGCTCTAGACCTAGACCCCAGGGCCCCTACTCTGTGGTGCTTGTCCAGACAGACACATTGAGATGGCATTGTTTTAATCCAAACGTGATTTTACTTTAATTTACCATGTATTGCTGTTTCCTGGTACGTATGTTATTTACCAACACCTGATTGACTAAATCTTTGTGTATTTCCTATGATAGTATACAGAAATAGTATCAGATCGGTTTCAGTAATCAATTGTTAGCATGGCAACAGAGATAGATCTACATTTAAGCATGTGTTAGATATTCTAGCATTAGATATTTTGCATCAATTGATGCCCAGAAGAATTCGTAAGAAATAATGGACAATTCGGTGGCTTTTAAATGGAAAATTATCTTCACAAAACTTTTAAAATTGCTAAAAACTTGAATATCAATCTTAAAAACTAGACGCTGCTTTGACCATGTTGGCCAGCTTATTTTCTACAAGGTTTATAGGCAGGAAGATCAGCCCACAATCCGGGGCGATGATCAGCCGTTCTCGTGGTAAGTATTCCAATACGTCCGATATATGTTTGCGGATTTCTTCAACAGTTTCTAGACGACTTTTCACCACATCGATGACACCAAGGACGATCTAAAAGTATTTGATACCGTTAAGAAATAAGAAGAAAATATAGAAAAATGAAGGCCAATGATAAAAGCAGAAGTCAAAATCTTAGTATAATTTACACGAAGACACCTTGTTTTTCTGTAGCCCCAGCGGTGTTGTCTGAACAAAGAAGACGAGAGACAAATCTTATAAGTAGGACAAGTTGCAGCTACATGGCGGACAGGCTTAGCTTAGCTGTGGCTGGCCTGAAGCATCTACCTGTTTGACAAATGGTGAAATCTATATCCTCAGATACATGTAGCTTTTCAACATATAGCATCTCAGGTTAGGCCGAATTCATGTGACAGCCGGCTTAACCAAACATCTCTATCTTAGATAGTGAGCTCATTGATATTTCATAAATGGTGCTCTGGAATCTCCATTGAGTGTCTATACTTACTTTCATTTTCTTGAAGGCTTTGAAGAGCTCAGGATCATTTCTGCGATGCGTATCCTCAATTGACAGTGCATCAAACCCAGAATTATCAAGACTAGGCGCCAATTTCAAATAGGCTCCTTTGTCAGCCTTTTCATAGTCTGTTTGGTCCTTGAGAATTCGAAGAAAAACTTTAACTTAAAAAATGATAATCATCAGGTATCGTCAGAAGTAAAAAGGAGGATAAGCAACATTTTGCCAGCATTACATTTTGCTGACATAGCATACATGTATGCTCTCTTTCTCTTTAACCATTCTCTTTGGTGCCTCAAGTCAATTCTTAGATGATAAAAACCAGTTAATCTCAAATCTATCGTTCTTGTTCCTGTTGTTTAGCTGAAATTTTACTTATCAATAAAATTCTCTGTTTCAAATATTGCAGTAGGAGTATCCAGGAAAGCACTTTTTCACCTAAATCCCTTGCCCTTAGGCCTGAACGTCACCTGCTTCGCCAGCATCATCTGGAACATGCAAATGGGCCTACTGGGACAAATGTCCCACCAATCAGTACGTTACAAATACCATGCCTTTATCTAGCGAAAAAGCGGTGGACCTTGTAAAATTACCCTGGTATTTAGGAAAATTATCGGTAAGCTCATGCGAGGCATCATTACATTCTGTGAGGCACAATGCGAGTGTCTTTTATATGATATGATACTTATAAGTTACATACTGAGAAAACGGAACAGTAATAGTAAAAAGTACAATATTTTCAAAGTCAAATATGTATAAAATACTGATAAAAATTTGATAATTACCAAATATTGGGGATATCCACAACAGGCATGGACTGTTTTAAAGACCTCCTTAGGAACGTCGGTGATGCAAGCTGACAAATATTTGATTCCATATTCAAGTCCTTGCATAGGATATCTCATCAACACTGGCTCGTCAACCTGGCAATACAGAAACAAGGCCCGCAGTAACATTAAGTGATGGAATAAGATTTTTGAAAACAGAGATGTAAACCATTATCAATGTAACAAACACCTTCTAAATACATTGCAAAATAAAGGTTTATCACAAATAATATGCAATATACTTACGGTCTTAAAACATCAATCTAGCTATAGCCTAAATTCACAAAAGAAACTTTACATAATCTATGGTTGTATGGAAAGCCCTGAAACTTAAAAAATGTTACAGCAATTGTGACTCTTATTTCCTTTCTTCAGGCATATACACACTGAGAATATAGTTTCTAGCTTGCCTCCCTGCAAAACATATTTTACAAGTGACATAAAGTTTAGTTTTTTTGCCAAGTATAACACCTAATAATCACAAATGAATAAGCGCGTACAGAAAATTTTGTTTCTTTTTCACTACATATGAAGAGATAAAATTTTGCTCTGTTCAATTTCATGCAGTTTTTCGCAAACATATTGCTTAGTAAACTAGTATAATTTTCTAGTTTTAAAAAATTCTTGATGAGGAAAGTAAATTGTCATATTGTCTGTATAATTACAGATTATAGTCCAATTCAACACAAGGAAAAATATAGTTTGTAAATAAATTAAACAGAAGAGACCCTAAGACTGACCACTGGGGTACACCCAGTTTCATGCTGACAATCTCCCAGAAGCAAGGGACTGTTATCAGAAAATCTGGTAAATCTAAGCATCAACAAAAATTTACCTTTAAAAACATCTCGGAAATCTCATCTCCTATATTTTTCTAGCAAAATGAATGCTAATTAACCTATGTCCAAACATATTCAATGGTCTTAACAGGATAAAGTCATGCAACACAAGTCATACCAATGAAGTATAAGAATACCTCATTGAGTCATACAGACTTACTTGAATTTCCTTGCATCCTGCCTCCGCTAACAATTTTAGCTCAATGTTGATGCATTTAGCAAGGTCGTTTAATAACTCTTCGTCGTTGTTGTAAAAGTCATCACAAAAGGTGTCCATGATCGTCATTGGTCCTGGAATCGTCACTTTAATTGGCCTTTCACTCATATTTTGGCTCCACTTCCACTCTTTGGCCATGAAACCTGGTTCTTCTTTGTGCGAAACTTTTGACACAATCGTTGGCAAAAGTCCTTCCCAGGCACCGTTTCTGCAGATTTTTTTCTTTGTTTTTTGGAAGTCGAACCCATTCAGACTTCTGCAGAAGGTGTGTATGTATTTCTCTCGTCTCAATTCTCCGTCAGTGAGTAGGTCTAGACCAACTCTGCGCTGCAATGCAATTATATCCTGAGTGGCCGCTTGGAGTTGGTTTTCAATATCCTCCGCACCTTGACTTGATAGTGCTTTGTTGTATTCTTCCACGAAATTTATAACTTCTTTTCCGTTCTTTACCCAACACGGAATGCCTAGGTATTCAGGCTTTGGAAAGCTACCAATCACAGTTGTTTTAAGTGGCGACATATTTTGAACAGATTGACGTCTGTCTTCAGCACATAGAATTTCTTATAAGCAGGTAGGTTTTATATGAGTTGTAAGCAGCACGACACAAACTCCAAAGTACAGTTTCATTGCGGTTGAAGGCCAAATATTTTATGATTGACGGCCAAATTCGGTCACCCATAAAAATTATACAAATTCAGCTAGAGTATGGCCGACTCCCGGTTTCCAGTGGACGCATAGATAATAGAAAGGAAAGCTGGATTGGCAACTAGGGACTGGGAACAAACGCGCGCCTTGTCCTCTTGACTCGATGTTAGGATTTATCTTTTTCTTTGCAGGTTAAATTAAATAGCCATTTGAGATATCATATTTCTTTTATTATGGCTTTGAAAAAGACGGACATTTGAGTAAACTAAAGCTTTTCGTCTGACACTCTTCAGAGTCTAAAACGTCAGAACATAGATCGAAAACTCTACGCTAGGAAATATATATACCTAGTTATGGATCGAAATAGGCCAATCAGAAACGCGAGCACATTATTGCTGAGGTTGCCCAATCAGTGCCGCTTGCCTATAGAATCTATAATATATTTCCTAGCGTAGAGTTTTCGATCTATGTTCTGACGTTTTAAACTCTGAAGAGTGTCAGACGAGAAGCTTTAGTTAACTCGCAACGTTCAAGCCGTACACAAAGAGAAGTTTTGTTTCGGTCTGCTAAGTTGAATTCAGTTTCAATAATGGCGGATGCTAACGATTTTGATGACATTTTTTATTTCGACGATGAAGATACTCTAGAGGAATGCAATAGTTATTTCCCTTTGCGCAAATCAGTTTTCTTTCATGTTATCGACGGTGGTCAGTGATGAAAATTCATCACTGACCACCGGGGTACACCAAGTTTCATGCTGTTTCAGCTGCATCACATTTGTCTGAATACTGTGGCTTAGATATCCAATGTTAATAGAAAGGGACAATGGACCTTGTAGTTGGAAGTTGTCCAGACTTTTGTAGCTCAGGTTTCACTACACTCATTTTTTTGATAAGAAATTGGCTATAAAAAAAGGGGGAACTGGAGAGTTAGAAAAAATCAAGAAACTTCAGTACTCGAAGCAAAAAAATTAAGAAAATTATAAACGTGATAAAACTGAGAACAACGAAATTTTGTAAAATCCAAGAACAAGATTGCCCTTTTAGCCTAGAACTTACGACACAAAGGATAAAAATATACTTCCCACATCTAAATACAGCATCGGAACGGAAGCCAATCTCTTGACGTGGTAAAAAAGGTCACAAACATTTCATAACATCATTCATGACATCATAATTAAGAAACTCTTAAGAAACAATGAGTATTGAAATTTCCAGAACATTAAGGAGCTGGAGTACTCAACATCGACCTTTGTTTCTTATAAAAAAATGAATGTACTCCGGGACATCCTCGAAAACTATCTATGTCATTTAAAAGCCATTGTAGTATGCACCTTTGCAAACTTCTTAAATTATTTTGCATATAGAATGATCTAATGGCAACTTTACCCCTTGACACTCAATTTCATAACTAATGGAGCTGTCAATTATTACTTTTATTACAATGTCAGCATTTTCTGATAATTTGAGAACTACCAGTATTCATCACATTTAATAATTTGTCATGTAGACAAGCATACTTGATTGCTTTTACTGGCTCTTATGGCTTTAAATACTGTAACTCGCTTCTGGGTGCTGGTTTAGGTGTTATAATGCTTTTTTGAGGAAGAATTCTTCTTCCTCAACTCTCCTTCTCCTTCAACTCTGGTATCCCGTTCTTATCTAGAACAGAAAACAGTCAGTAGGTTTGGTATCCTTAAGGTTTGGTAAGTTTTCAAATCTTAAAATAAACATATCATATTTGGTGAACAGGATGTGGAGGGCTTTTATCAGGACAGAACAGCAGTCAGGTTAGTAAAGGTTCGGATACAGCAGTCAGGTTAGTAAAGGGTCTTGGCATCTTCATATATGTTTTTATTAACGCGGACATAGGATTTTGTTTTTTCATAAACGAGAATAATTGATTCGTGAGGAGGTAAAGATTCTTATGTCAAAAACAAAAATGGGTAAAATGTATTCCAAGAGTATCTTGGTCGGATAGGCAACTACTAGATTTCCACAAAAACACAATAATTTCTCAGGATTTACCAATTTCTACCATAGAGTGATTTGCTGCTTGGATTTTGTCAGTTAAAATCCGAATCTTAGTTAAAAATTTTTTTGCCGTACAGAATTTGAAAATGGCTTTGAAAAAAGCAAACATTTTACAACATGCTAAAGCTTTTCGTCTGACACTCTTAAGAGCATAAAATGTCAGAATCAGGGTCCGAAAGAACACGATGAAAAATATATACCCAGTTGTTGATCAAAATAGGCCAATCAGAAAAACACAAACAAAAGACCGGTATAGTTGACCAATCAGTGCCGTGAGTCTAAAAAAAATGACCACTGGCGTCCAAGAGAGAAAACGAACTCCTTCTGTCTACACAATGGCGGCTTTTTCGTTTTATGTAGATCGACTCCAGAAACTGCTAGATGGAAGGACGACCGGGCTCTGCCAATTATCTGAAACATGTCGTCATTATAGAGTTTTGTACAATCTGGGTTGTCTAAAAGATGTTGACCGATGGCAGAATCACTTGTTTTAACAGTGTTTCTAGACCTACAAGATCGAGGAGGCTGAATCTTAGTTAAGGAAATTGGTCAATATTGGTCGTGAGTCATTTTTTTTATTTGATAATGTAGACCGGGACAGTGCCAATTTTGTGTCTATCTTGTTCGGGAGACGAAACTTTTAGTCCTATGTTTCGAAACAATACCGTCTTCAACCAATCAGTGTTGTAAGGTCATTGCACATGCGCATTAACAACAGTATTCGCACAATGGTTCTGCCTGTAACCACACAACTGTTGAACTTCCTGCCAGGGCTTCAAGTGATAATGCGCATGTGCAATGACCCTGAAACGGGGCCTAGTGCATGTCTGGAAGACGGACATGATTCATCTCCCGTCCCCAAGGGTCATATTTCTTTGAGGGAAGAAAGTTTCGCAGGAAGAAAGCTTCTCGAATTGAGAAAAGCGCCTAATTTTTGGAGTCAACTTTCGCGAAAGAAGCAAAAAAAACCCTTCACAAAAACAAACTTTCGCTGTTCCCGCTCGCGCTTGGCAGGGCAAGTACTCCACCACTACATGCTCCAAATATTTTCTCGTCGCTCGATCTTGAGTCTGTTGCCATTCCTGAAGAGCTGTCGTGAAAATTGCTGAAATTCTAACTGCTAAACGAATTCCTTCCCTCCGTTTCACTCTACTACAATGTTGTTTTCGTTTCCACGCTTGGGATCGGGCACGCGTCCACGACTTTACCTCAGCGCCTTAAATTTGTCTCCAGACATCTCCCCCACGGAAATGGAGAAATTTCACACTTTGCGTGGTAAATGCGGAAAAACGAAAGGAAAAACGCAAATTTCGTGTCGATATTCGAAAATAGCACGATGAAAACTACTTGTCAACTGGTTTTTATTTTTCATTTCCCCTTTAAGGTAGCAGTCTACCATGAAAATGGTCAGTTATGGAAATTTTGTCAAAATTCCCTTTTCCTTGGATATGATCAGGAAAATTACTGCAAAATTTGATTTTGAAGGAAGTTTTCCCGTAACTGTTGTAGTTTTTGCGAAAATTTGATTTATTTATCCCCTGGGTTGATCATCTTTCCTTAGCAACCAAGTTTCTATCGGTTGCTAGGGGGTCTGTTGACACCCATGGGACCCGTTTTTGAAAAAAATTATATTACGTAATCTATGGTCTTCTACCCTATCCCAAAATGCATTTATACCACTTTAAAAAGCACAGGGAACGAATGAAGCATAGTTTCTGTTTGGCCTGGCCGACGAAAGTAGTTCGAAGAGTCCTTCTGTTTATGAAGCGAACTTATCCGACAATGAACGCCCTGAAAAGAGAGTTTTTAATCGAAAATTTAGGTCGGTAAAGCGAAGAAAAGAAAAAGATCTGCTGGAAGTAGAAAAAACTATGTATTCGAAGCAATGACAAGGATTTGGATTACTTAGGCCAAAGCGAAAAGGTGATGAAGATGTACTGCCTACCTCGTCTTCACAAGCAACAACGGATCAAAGCAAAGAATTAGAGGAACACAGTGCTTCACTTTATAAACTTATGAACTCTTTCTTTGGTTCAGAAAACCTTAGTCCCATAAAAAGACCAATTTCCGGATAAAAGAAACGAAGGATGCTGCTGCTGGCAATATTGGCAGTGCTGACGATGGCTACAGCCTTATAGATAAGAAACTTTTGATGAATGCAATCAACAAAATTGCTGTTTGTCGTACATGTAGGAATCCAAAGGCACAGTTAAGCCTGCTGCTTAGTTTGGCCTCTAGTTAAGCAATAAGTTTGGCCTTCCAGAGAAATATTATCTTGTATGTAGCCATTGTCATACAAGTTCACCACTTGAGACCAGTGAAAAGCTCAGTGGATCTAAGAGGGCAGACAAGAAAGGGGGACAGACCACATATGAAATAAACTGTAGATCAGTTGTTGCTTTACTAGAAACTGAATGTGCTGGGTTGGAGAGATCTTTTGGCTTATGAGTCTTCCAAACATTGTCTCAAAGTCACCTTACAGCAAACATTTAAAAAATCTTGAGGAAGTGGCAGTAAATGTATGTGAAAACATTATGAATGAAGCAGCTGCTAGGCTTATAGAGATCATTGAAAGGGAAGAGCATACAATGATTGAATTTGATAAACCATCCACTGGAATGAGTCCTTGCATGGTATGGTATGGGCATGATGTCCAAAAACCTGTCAGGTTTAGTGGTTAGAGATCAGTGATTTAGTGGAAATAGAAAAGTTACAATCGCTGTTTGCCATTCTGTTGGAAATTTCAATATTGGGCCATCATCAATTGCAGATGTTTTGAAGGCATTACAACTTAAATATGGCCAAACAAACTTTAAATTATTTGAAAACTGTAGACAATAGAAGGCTGAAAGATGCTGCAAGGAAGGTTTCACAGAAATACAAAGATCAGAGACAAAAATTACAAGCTGCCACCTTAAAAACATCACAGAAATACAAAGATCGGAGACAAAAATTACAAGCAATAAAGAAGCCAAGACTTGATGTAGCTAGGAATAGCTATTTATCAAGGGCTTTTGGTCT